GACTTTGGACCTTCGAGAAGCATGGTAGCAGATGATCTTTGCCTCCATATAGCCGCGATGATGATCTTCGATCTTCAACTCGCCGGCGAATTTTGCAACTTCTTAGAGGTCGGATGCGAATAGCTATTCAAACGGAAGAAGACGTTCTGCACCAGTACAGTATAATTCTAGGTCTCTTGAAGATCAGAGGAGGTCCACACTACTGCGCCGCTAGTCTTCTATCAACGCCAATAACAAACATAAGGCTGATCTGGGTACTGATGATGCCCGTTCCACTCGAGCACTTTTCCGTAAACTTCTTCACAGATCCTGGCGAGTAGTATGACTGAGGAGAAGGGATGGTATGTAGGAGATACGGTATATATTCGTCTGCAGTTGGGATCCGCAGCATTACTCGTTACGATAGTACGAGTATCGAGTAATGTACCCTGCAGAGGGTGTCCTCAGCCATGTGATTTAAGGACGGATAGTCAACGTGGCAACAGGCTGACAATTCTCTCCTCCAGCGCCCATCACATCATCCAGCAGCTGAACAGGGACGCGGAGAAGGAAGCCCAGATACAATGCCCAACAGCACAACACCCAAAGCCGATGCATCACATGTCAATCCGGGGTATCCAGGTGATCCAGAAATGAAAAAGTACGAAAAAGAGAAACAAAAGCCCTTCATCCCTATGCCTACATATGCTCTCAGCCAAGCCAAGCGACAAAAGAGGCCTGACGCCTATGTACGACTGAGCCCTTTCTCCGCCCTTGTCCCCCCTCAGCGTTCTACAACTATTCGTCTAATTCGTCAATGACAGTGGGAATTTCAGTCAACAGAAGATTATTGACGGTAGAGGTGTCGCTGGAGGACCTTGGCGATGAGGTTGGTGTCGGGGAAAGCCATGGGCTCGAGGGATTCAGAGTAGGGGGTGGGGACGTCGGCACCGGTGATTCGCTCGGGGGGAGCGTCGAGGAAGTCGAAGGCGGTGGACTCGACGACCTGGGCAATGATCTCGGAACCGACACCGAAGGCTATATGATATCAGTATCAAGAAATATAGAGAATGAACTAGACGTACCAGGGAAACCACCCTCGACGGTCACAAGGTGCTTGGTCTTCTTCACACTCGAGATAATAGTCTCAATGTCCAACGGCCTGATGCTCCTGAGGTTGATGACCTCCACCTTGATACCCTGCTCCTTCTCCAAGATCTCGGCAGCCTCAAGAGAGTGGGTGACCATCTTGGAGTGGGCGACGACGGTGACGTCGGTACCGGCCTTTTCGATCTTGGCCTTGCCGATGGGGAGGACAAAGTCGGCGTCGAGCTCGGCTTTCGTGACGGGGAACTGGACACCGTAGAGCATCTCGTTCTCGAGGAAACAGACCTATAGCACAGATTAGTTCACGCCGATACAAGAGGGAAAGGGACGTACGGGGTTGGGGTCCCGAATGGCAGCCTTCAATAAACCCCTACAGTCGGCGGCACTCCAAGGAGAGATGACCTTCAATCCAGGGATAGATCCGTACCACGCGCAGTAATCTTGAGAGTGCTGGGCACCGACACCGGCAGCGGCACCGTTGGGGCCACGGAAGACGACGGGGCAGGGGACGTTACCACCAGACATGTAGTAGGTCTTACCACCAGAGTTGACGATCTGGTCGATAGACTGCATGGCAAAGTTCCAGGTCACTGCGCGGGTCAGTTTTATCCTCGCCTAGGGTGGGAGTGCAACTCACTAAACTCGCAGACAGGCCTGAGGCCGGCAAGGGCGGCACCGACAGCCATACCAGTGAAACCACTCTCGGTGATGGGAGTGTCAATCACTCGGTCCTCTCCAAACTTGTCCAACAAGCCCTTGGTGATTTTGTAAGCGCCCTGGTACCTGGCGACCTCCTCGCCGATGATAAAGACGGTTTCGTCCTTGAGCATCTCCTCCTCCATGGCCGAGTTGAGCGCATCTCGGACAGTCTGTTGTCGCAGATAGCGCGTTGATTAGCGATTCGTTCGGTCACAAGTACACGCCCCTCTGCAGGAGCAGTCCACAACGCACCATCATAGTTACACCCTCATCGCTGCTAGCAGCCCGCCTCTGACCGTCGACCAAGAGCCTGCTCGGGCCCCTGCTGACGAGGGGAGCAGCGGTGGACACGAGGGCGTTTCTGGCACCGAGCTTGGTGGCGGCGTTGGTGGAGAGGGCCCTGGCTGCGTGGCGGGCGGTGGGGAGGGCGCGGAGGGCGAGACGGGGTGCCATTTTGGGTATCTGAGGATGTTAAAAGAGTCGTTGATGATTTCCCCAGTGCACTTCCGAGCCGTGCTTCACCCGCGCCGTCCGTTACTTCCGTCATTAATTCCGCCCCATTTCTCGTATATCTCCCGGCCGAGGGGCGGAGCACGCCGCATCTACTCTTCTCCATCTTCTGCCTTGGCGAGTTCGACGTATGCAGCTATGCGACCGCTATCGATACCCCTCGTAGTACCGCGTGCATGCAGGCGCTATGCCACAGCTCCCAAGGCTATTGAGAGCACAGAAGACTTTGAAGATGTCGTCGAAGAGCTCAAGCGCAGACGGCGCAAGGCAGACTCGAAACGTCGTCAATATGCAAGTATCTCCCCATATCTACTCGAATTGTAGCTGACCACCAGCAGGGCGCGACATTCGTAGACCATGCGCTTGTGACGGTACGAGGCGGCAAGGGCGGTTCAGGCGCGTCAGCCTTGGAAGCATCCCTCCGCGGTCCTGCAGCTCCTTCAGGCGGTAACGGCGCCCAAGGCGGCTCTGTCTGGCTCACAACCTCCCCCGACCTCTCATCCCTCGCCACCCTAAAGAAACGCCTGATCGGCGGACAAGGCGGCACAGGCTCGGGTGCTTTCCGCCACGGCCGTAAAGGAGAAGACCTGATCGTCCAAGTACCCCTCGGGACGATCGTCCGCGAGCTCAAGAGAGAGGGAGAAGAAGAAAAGATGGAGAGGGATGAAGAAGATTTGGGGCTGAGTGATGAGGAGAAGAGGAAGAGCCGGTGGCAGCGGTGGTTCCTCACCCACCCTTCTGCCGGCGGCCAAGTCTCGACGGAAGAGTATGAAGAAGGTGAAGCACTCCTCAAGAAAGAGCGCCGATGGCTCACTCACACCCCTTCTTTCGACGAATCCCCTCCCCTCTACCTCGACATCACCAAACCTCTCGCCGAACCCGTGCTTCTCGCAGCAGGCGGTTCAGGCGGCCTGGGCAACCCCTTCTTCCCCTCCCCCCGAATCGCCTCCAGAGGCATCCTGCCCCCAACCCACACATTCGAATTCGAGCTCAAACTCCTCGCCGACGTCGGCCTCGTCGGCTTCCCAAATACCGGCAAATCCACCATCCTCCGCGCGTTGACGGGGCGCAAAGCCGAAGTCGCCGACTATTCTTTCACGACGCTCAACCCCCAGATCGGCGTCGTGCGCGTGTTTGAGGATGGGACGTGGGGCGATCGCGGAGAGGAAGTTGTAGAGACGCAGATTGAACGTGAGCGGGAAGATAGAGCGAGGACGGAAGGGACAGGCTGGACGCACCCTGCGCCTGTTCCCCGGTCAGATAAGAGACAGCTCCCCGAACGGCTCCGGTTCACCCTCTCCGACAACCCTGGCCTTCTCCCGCTCGCTTCCCAGAACGTCGGTCTGGGCCATTCGTTCTTGCGTTCCATCGAGCGGTCGCCTGTCCTGGCGTATGTGCTGGATCTGACAAAGCCAGCGCCGGAGCAAGACCTCGAGGTGTTGAAAGGGGAACTCGAGGCTTACCGTGAAGGATTGAGCGAGCGTGCCCGAGTAGTCGTGCTCAACAAGGGCGATAAAGTGTCAGAAGAACAAGGAAAGGAAAGGATCGAAAAGGTCAGACAAGTGTTGGCGGGGTGGGATGGAGAATTCGAGACGACCGTCCTGAGCGGGCGGTATGGGCTCGGTATGGACGGCCTGGTCGATGCTCTCGCCGGGAGGGTTGAGAGGGCGAGGGAGGAAAAGGCGATATTGGACAAGGAGAGGGAAGAGAGGGGGGAAGAGGAGATGGAGGATAGGGGTGTGCAGAGAATACCGAGGACAGGTTTTGGGGTCAAGGGGTAGAGAGAGGGAAATGTTGTACGCATTCATCATTCATTCCTGCATCATGTAACTGCATTAGCCTTGGATCTGGGGCGCTCACATGGTAGTCCATGCAGACACAACAAGAATTGAATTCCACGGAGCGGCCAGATAGCCGAGCAGGTCATTCGCTGTGTCTGCGCGCGCATGGCATCATACGCTTTCTTCGGCAACTTTAAATACTCTGACCATCAGTTCAGGCCTTTGCGCAGTATCCTTCTTTTGCTCGGATCGAGGAATTTGGTAGACGGCTGCGAGATATCTTAGGGAGGAAGGAGACGAGTTCTTCATCAAGCATGGGGATTTGGATATCAGACAATGTTTGACAAACGACCACGGCGGTATCGCGGGGGTGCTGGATTGGGACTGGTACGTGCTCCTTCCCTAATCATCACGCCCCAATGCTGACTCGGAGACAGGTCGTACACCACCACCAAATCCGAAATCCCCGCCTCTCCCTTCAACATGCACCGATCAGCACCCTCTTGGAAAACCGGCGACAACTCTCTCCAACCCTGCGAGCTGCACATGATCTCGCTCTTTTGGGGCCGAGGCCGGAATGATTTGGCAGACTGTATACGCCATGGGCGCGTGTATTTGAGTTTGAGTCAGGCGTTTTTGCTGGACAATATCTGTTCTGTTCTACCCCAGGACGACGGGGTATCGCCACGGTCTCAGAGCGGCGTTTCGAGAGCTGGATCAGAAATGGGTGGGAGAGCATGTGGGATCGATTGAAAAGTGGGAGCGGGAAGGTTTTGAAAGGTCTAAGGACGATCAGATGTTGGTGGATATGCGACAGAAGGTTGGGGCGTGGGAGGTGATGAAGGAAAGAGGGGTGGGTATGAGTGAGAGCAACTTGGAGGTGTATATTCGAGAGCTGGCGAGACAGAAAGCAGAAAAGGAATACAGGGATTGTCCTTGTTGACATGCAGATATATGGAAGGGATGAGAAGTTTTGCGAGGCGGAAAGTAATCATGGCTAGACATGTGTTGTATGATGCTGCTCCTCCAGATTCTTATTTTCACTATCAAGACGTTAGCCCTGCGTTTCCACTGTTGTCCCAGCTTGCGTTTCAAAAGGGCACAACCAAGGAACAAGCGACGTACTTGGCATTCAATATGCTGAGGTACACAGTCCAAGCTATCCCGCAGGTGCTCTGGAACGGGACGCGGTATTGGAGGGGCATATATTTGAAATTGATTGTCTGAGCTATAGGCCAGTATGCCCAATCTGCAATAAGAGCGACTGTTGTACAAGGTCAGGAAAAGTGTCAAAGAAGAAGGAGAGACTTACTCCAAAAGATCTGTGTGCGCGTAAGAAGTGTCAGTTTTCTGATGGGAGCGCCAGCAAGCAGTGAAAGTAGAGGGGGGTTAAAAGGAGACGTACATCTTGGAATTTCTCAATGATGGAAGCCTGAGACAGTCCTTCCATGATGCCCATTGATCCCACAAACAGAGCTAGATCTATCGGTCCCCTGTGTAACAATCATGAGCCTCTCACCCTTACCGACAACCCCAGGCAAACTACTCACATGATCGCCTGATCCGCCAAAACTCTCTTTGCCAGCTGTGCATTATCTCCTCCCCTCTGCTTCACCACCCTCCCCGGCACCGCCACCCTCCCACTCCTCACAATGTTACCCATCGGTATCCGTTTCTCCAGAAAAGACATCCAGCGGCCTACAAAGGGGCCCATGGCCATGCCAAAGATGGTGAAGCGCAGTGTGCGGGCATAGTCGTATTTCGGGGCTAGGGGTGATTTGGGGGTGGGTTTGTGGAGCTGAGAAGGGGGTGTGAGTGGTGGGTATGAGGGTGGCTTTGGGGAGCTTACCAGAATGCTGGACGCTTGGGCCTAAATAGCATGGCGTGCGAGTGATACGAGTGTCAAAGGGGACAGAATTCAGAGCATTGGTTAGTGTGTGGTTTCCTAGCATTTCAACGTGAATTCAACCACTTACCAAGGCATCAGCGACACCATTCAAAGCGCCATTTGTAACGATTAACGTCGTATCAGGCCGACGCTGAAAATTATTGTTGTATAACCGGACGGCAGAGTTTAAAAGCCGTTTGGCCATCGGATGGAGGGTGATAATAGGTCCGCAGGGAATTTTCTGGAGGCAAGGATTTTGAGGTGTGCGCACAGGGGAGACGAGGCGGGTTTGACGAGTATATGAATAATGAAAGACATGAAAAATGCGCGTCGTCGGCGTTTGAGGGCTTCGGTCTTCCGGCACGCCGCGCGTACTCTAGCCCGCCGAGGTTGGAGGTGCAGTGTCTCGGCAAGATGATGGTAACAAAGGAATGACTATTGCAAGCAGCGCTTACAAGCGGTATTATGGAGGTTGATTTGGTGCTGCAATAGAGAAAGCGGTGAAGGTGGAATCATCAACGTCTTTTCGCTCCATAAGTCAGTCCAAACTCAACAGTCGAGGCTTGCTTCTTTTGTTCATACATCCAAAAGTACTACGAGTACCTTTAAATTGTTCGCAAAAGGCGGAAAGGTGTGTCACACAGGCGCAAGAAAGATAGAGGGAGATGAAGAGATCTTGGTGATACAAATACATGCAGGCCTGCCGTGGCATTGCGCCTTAGGAATTCCTATCTCGGGGCCTGTCAAAGACGTCTGGTATCGCCCTCTATCGCAGCATTACCACGTTCCAGAAACTATCCAAAGACAAAACTCAAACTTGTTTGACATGATGCTCCTGCTCAAGGACCTTGTTATCCCTGATTCAGTCATCAGCCCTCATTCCCTTCATTGTCCATGTCCTTCTCCTCGGCCTCGTTCCGAATTTTCCGAACGAAGGAGGAGCGACCTACTGGGCATTGAGCAGACTGAGATAGAGCGTCCAAGCGATACCGCATGTGCTCTGGAAGGGCACACGGTATTGGATGGGCATGAGTTTAAAGTTGATCGTTTGGATGAGGGGCCAGATCTTCCAGTTGGCAAACAGGGCGGCTGTAGAGTTGAGTCAGTCAGTCTGGTGCGGGAAGAGGAACAAATGGGAGAAAGTTTACCCCAGTAGATCTTTACGTTCGTCAGCTTGCAAATAAGAGGTAAGAGGGTGGAAAGACGCACGTCTCGGAATTTCTCGCTTATCTCCAGCTGGGAATGACCTTCCATGATACCCATCGACCCCACAAAGAGACACAAACCGATCGGCGCCCTGCACGACAACCCATCAGCACCTTACCCAGCACACCCATATCGACCGTCGATCAAAGAAAAGGGCTCACTTACATGACGACCTGATCCGCCAACACCCTCTTCGCAAGCTGCACCCCCTCCCCACCCTTCTTCCTCACCACCTCTCCCGGCAGCGTCAGCCCCCCGCCCCGGCTCACATTCGGCATCGGGATCCGCTTTTCCAGGAGCCGCATCCAGCGTCCGATGATGGGGCCCATGGCCATGCCGAATACGGCGAAGCGCAGGGTACGGGCGGGGTCGTATGTCGGGGGAAGGGGGTTTTGGACGGTGGGTTTGTGGAGCTGTGGGGTGTTAGGTGGTGGGGGAAGGGGAAGGGGAGGGGAAGGGGGATGGGGGGGCTTACGAGGATACTGGATGATTGGGCCTTGGTCTGTTCAGCGCGTGGAGTATACATGGTGGAAGAAGGCTCACGAGGATATCGGCGACACTGTTCAAGACGCCGTTAGTGACGATAAGCGTCGCGGTGGGCCGGCGCTCAAAGTTGGAGTTGTAGAATTGGGCGAACGAATAGAGCAGTCTTCTCGGCATTGTGCTGGGATAGGGGGTTAGAAGTGTAAGGAGAATGAGATGAAAGAGATGATAGGCGACTGGGAGTTGTAGGAGATCAAAATGCGTCATGGCATGCCTCCACCCACGCGCCTGATCTTACGCGAGGCGGCCCTCTCCTATCTCCTGTAATAACGCCCAATGCTAGATTTGCCGTGGTCTATGCAAAGGAAAAGCTTGCGAACATGATATCAACCAAGATCATAGGCTCACGCCCATCATGCACCCGAGTTGAGCGCTACAAAAGGCATAAGGTAGACAATTCATCAGAAGGCATTATCGGAGTACAGTTACAGCGCATTGATACAAGAAGTCTCCAAGATATAGCAAGACAAGTTCTAACACTCTATCATTCAATTTGATTCTATAGTCCAGTCTCGACAGCGCGGGCCTTTTCCTCATTCGCAACGACAAGATCCGGCCTCAACACCCCCACAACACCATCCAACACCATCCCGATCAAATGAGCATTACACCCCGCATCACTGATCGGGTCCAGAAGCCTGCTTATATCGTCTTTACAAGGGAGGAGGAGAACTCGTATCGTCCCTAGCAGCACTGTCAGCATGGACGTCAAGGAAAGAGGGTGGAGAGGGACGCACGAGGGATCAACTCTTCAAGCCTGTTTTCCAATCTCTTTCTTAGATCTGCTGCTTCGGCAGGAGAAGGATCTATAGGTGATGGACCGGGGTAACCGTCGAGTGGGAAGAGCAGCCGTTCGGTGAGGTCGAGCAGGCGGAGAGCGAGCTCGGGCGTGAGGCGGGTTTGGATTAAGTGTGGTATGATTCTGCCCACTCGTCAGTCTTCATATAAAATAAGGAGTAGAGAGAAAGAGGAGGCTCACCGATCGAGTAATGGCGCTGCAAACCCCACCCCCATCTCCACCCCTCCCCAAACCAACCTCTTCCCCCACTTCTTCCCTCCCCCCTCCAACCCATCTATGCCCAAAAGCTCCCGCCCGATCACGAGAAAAGAGTCGGAGCAGTGGTGGAACTGTGGAGGAGGAGGCGGGGCGGCGGTGTATAGTGTGAAGAGGGAGAGGAGGAGGGTGTAGAGGGCGGTGAGGGAGGAGAGGAGGGAGTGGATGTGGGCGAGGATGGTTTGGTCGAGCGTTTTGGGCTTGGGCTTTGGGTCTGTGGGAGGCTCGGACGGAGTCGATGGGAGGGGATCCCCAGGTTCACCGACAAACCGCAAGATGAGCGCGTACCAGAACCAACCATAGCTCAGCCGCCTCAGTCCTCCGCCGAGTACGGCGCGCGCGAGCACTTCGCGCACCATCAGCTGCTGTACATCCGGCTGGTTTGGGGGGATGATGGCGTTTGCGAGGGCTGATAGGTAGGTGGGGTTGAGCGTGTATGATGGTGCACCGGGGGAAGAGGGCGAGGGGGAGGGGGAGACGGAGGGAAGAGGTAAGCGCGCGTGGTACGCGTCCGCGACGTTGCCCCCAAAGACCGCCACCGCCCCCCTCGCTTCATTCCACACCCTCACATGCACCCCCAACACCGTCCCCAGATCCAGCACCACCCACTCCCCCAGCGACTCCGGCTCATCATACGCCCGCTGGAGGACAGGGTGGAGGAGGGGGTGGAGGATGGTCGAGTGGATGGAGGGGAGGAGGGTGCGGTCTTTGGTGAAGCGGGTGTACCATGAGAGGATGTATGCGCGGAGAGATAGGGCGATGAGGTTGTATAGCCTGGGTTTGTTAGCTTGGGACGTGGTGGGGGAGACTTACTTTTCGTTGATCTCGTCGATGGCTTTGCCCTCGCCGTCTATAAGCCTCGGCACCTGCTTTGGCGCACAAGTCGGGAAGAGGAGTCTGTGATACAAGGGGAGGTGGGCAGGGGACCTGGAGTTTGGGCGGGGTTGGAGGGAGGAGGGGCGGGACATGAGGACATTGTTTTTTGCATGAGGGGAGATGGAAAGGTGCAAGATGGACGCGTCTGGTGTTGTTTGTCATGTCCGTGCAGTGGTGCATGAATGGTTGTGGTGTTGCACCTAAGATTGTCCGGTGAACGAGTGATGTTGTACAGAATAGGCAGCATAGTGTGGAGGTATATCATGCATAGGCCATAGAGGACAGGCAGCCTCGCCTACTGTCACATAGTGTGCCGCAGAGGGTGCAGCAGAACTCACTAGAAGCAAGCGCTCTCACCAGACAGTGCCGCATGCACTCTCGGGGTACATCTTGGAGCATCCCCCCCCCCCTCCATAGCCCATACCATGACCCATGTTGACGTTCTTCCTTCCAGGGCCATTTGCATCTCGCCCAGTGCCACACGTATTTCCAGCGTTGTATTTACGGAAACCCCGAATCACCGAATAAAGCATTATCGATTAGCCAGGTCACGTGACGCCATGTTATTGCGATCGCCCCTCCACCACGCGCGCCGTATAAATACCCTCGACCCATCTCCATTTCTCTTCTCTCCATCACACATCTTTCCAACCTTCTCTCCCTCTCTCTCCCACCCCACCACCCCCCAACAACACACTTATATACAATGTCTGGTCGAGGAAAAGGCGGCAAGGGTCTCGGTAAGGGTGGTGCCAAGCGACACAGGAAGGTCCTTCGTGACAACATCCAGTGAGCATCCTCCCGCTTCTTGCCTCTTACATCGCTGACATCCTGCAGGGGTATCACCAAGCCCGCTATCAGGCGATTGGCGCGAAGGGGTGGTGTCAAGCGAATCAGCGGTCTTATCTACGAGGAGACCCGAGGTGTCCTCAAGATCTTCCTTGAGAACGTCATCCGAGACTCTGTCACCTACACTGAGCACGCCAAGAGAAAGACTGGTGAGTCGACTTGTATCCCAACAATCCACACGCGCTGACTTTGGCACAGTCACCTCTCTCGATGTCGTCTACGCTCTCAAGAGGCAGGGCCGAACCCTCTACGGTTTCGGTGCTTAAACACCTTTTCTTGTAGCTTAATTCTTTTCAGCCTGGTGCGGCGAGTGTTTGGGGATGCTTTCGTTTTCGATATCTTTTACTTTATTTCCGCCTTTGGGCGATGCATCACTTATATCTACATTATGCGGCTGGGTACAGTTTCTCACGTGCATGGGGTGGGTTTTCCGTGGCGAGGCGGCTGGGGTATACCTGAAATCAGCAATGCTGGGTACACGACGGCGTGTTGATCAGTGGCAACACCCTCGAATCATTACGTAAACGTCCCAGACACAAACAACAAAGAAGAGCGAGACTGATTTTGCCCATGAATGCACTTTGTCGTCCACCTTTCCACAAACAAACATGTCCATTTCCCTCCTCATCACCCACCCCGCCTCCGCCTGCTTATCCTCTCTCCCCAAACCCATCTCCCCCTCTCCCCTCCCGACCCAAACACCCCTCCCAATCCCCTCCCGCTTCCCTCCCTCCTCCCTCCCCCACCTCACCCCCTCCCCCTCCGGCCGGCTATTCCTCCACTCCCAAGAATCCCATTTCATCTGGGAATATGACCACAAAGGCCGAAGAGTGGGAGAGATGGTATTCGGAAAGCAAGATCGGGTGAACCGGGTTGTGTGTGGGGATGGATTTGTGGGGGTTTTGCTCGATGGGAGAGAGGGGGTGGAGGTTATGGAGAAGGAGAGTGAGAGGTTGGGAAAGTGGAGGAAAATAAAGAGTGTGGAAGGGCCTGGAGGGGTTGTGACGGCGCTTGCGTCGGATGGGAAACAGCTTTTGGCGATTGGGACGGATGGAGGTGGGCTTGTGGTTTGTAACATCCAGGATGGGACGAGAACGGACGTATCCCTGGAAGGCCATTCAGGGGTAAGTCATACAGTGTGTTCAAGAGTAAAGCTGACAAGCGATAAGTCTATATCACCCCTATTGTCATTCGCCCCCTCCCTCCCAAACACCCTCATCCTCCCCTCCCAAACGTCCTCAACCCTCCTCCGCATAGCCCTAACCCCAACCACCCAAACAATAACCCCCCTCTCCCCCTTCCCCTTCCCCTCCCCCGCCTCAGAGCCTATATCAAGCATCTCCTTCTCCCCTGTGACTGAATCTCCGGACGGGACACGTAAAGGCGGGCTCTGTGCCCTCGCAGCTGGGGGGCAAGTCGTGCTCGTCGGCCTCGATCGCGCTGTCGAAGGGTCGTTGGGGAAAAGTGTGGGATTCGGGGAAGGGGAAGAAGTGGGAGACGTTGTTTTCTTGGACGGCGCTACTTTGGGAGGTAGAGTGAAGAAGGGTGGGAAGGGTGGGTTGCTTGTAAAGGATTTGAGGGCTTTGGATAGATTGCCTTTGGAGTTGGCTTTTGGGGAGGAGGTTGTAAAGGCGCAGGTTGTTCCACAGATCGCAAGTCGACCTCCAGCAAATTGTTGAAAGGAGAGAAAGCTGAGTTGTGGGTATAGGCAAAGTCGAGTCAATCGTCCAAAACGGCCACACACCGGGTATCGAATACGTCGCCCACCTCGGCTTTGGGCGAAATCAACACCAACCTCCCTCCCGCTTCTCGTCCTGCCACCCACGCCGCTCCCGGAAACAAAACCAAACCCAAAACCCCAGCCCCAGCCCCTTCCCGCCCTTCCTCCTCCTTGGCATCAACAAAACCGCGCGCGTCGTCGTCAACTATCGTGCCTTCCCAGACAAACAGAAGTGGCAGGGAGAAGGAGAAGGAAGAGCGACGGTCGACTTCGGGGCCTGTGCTTAGGGATAGAGAGAGGGAGAGGGAGAGGAAGCCGTTGGGGATGAGTACGAGGACGATTGGGGTTATTGAAGAGGAAGAGGCGGAGCAAGAGTCGCCGGGGCCGTCGAGGATTACTTCTTTGGTTGATGGGGTTTTGACGAGCCAAGTGCCAGAGCCGGTGCAACAAGAAGAAGAAGAGGAGTGGCAAGAACCAGGTGTGGACCTCACTTGGGCTCTCCACCCTCCTCGTCCTTCTTCGAGAACCCAAAACCACAGGACCCAAAACCACAGGACCCAAAACCAAACAGGAGCCACACATACAAGTACAAGAGCAGTGGTTGAAGAAGGAGGAATGTCTGAGAAGGAACAGATTGCCCATCTGAGGAGAGAGATGGCGTTCATGCATATGGACATGTTGAGGATGGGCCGGAATCTTAGGGTATGTCCTCTTCTTCTTTGAATGTTCATTGGAAGGAAGAGCTGATGAGAGATGATAGAACGAAATGAAGGCAGCGGTAGATCCTCTGAAAGAGGAAATACAGACAAGTCGGGTGGTTATTGAAAAGCAGAGGAGGGAGATTGAGAGGTTGAGGCGGGGTTATTGAAAGTGCTGTAAGGACGGTTTTGTGTTGTAGGGATAATGGGACAATTGGACATTTGGGATGTAACATGAAATAATGATCATTGCACATGCGATGGAGTCATCTTGACTTGCGCGTCAGCTTGGGTCCAATCGAGGCCGAGACAATTCACACTCTTGGCAATACTATGAGAGGACCACTTTGGAAGCAGGAGTACAAATTTACATGTTTATGGGCCGCATTCATTATACTTGTGATAGTTTCAGCTACTTCTCTAGCACGATCGTAAAGAACCCACATATCGTGAAATCGTCGTTTCCATAACCATAAGGCTTGAAAGGCAAAGCCTCACAGCCCAATCCTCTCATGCCTCTCCCTCCTCTCCTGCTCCCTACTCTTCCCATTCTCGCTCCTCTCCCCCCCTTCCTCCCGTCTCCGTTCGCCTTCGCGCGTCGTTCTTTGGGGGTTGGCACCAGCAGCCTCTTGTTCCTCGCGCTCGGCTTTGCGTTTGTCGATCTCGACCTGGAGGATTTTGAGGTCGGATGCTCGAAGAGGGATAGCGGTGGGGTTGGATCGGATCATCCTGGGTTTTGTGTGGGATACAGGGATGAGACCGGCGGCTGCGACAACAACGTCCTGGTCAAGTCAACAACAATCCCAGACTTACGTAATCACTCAGTTGGTGGTGGTGGTGGTGCGCGTTGCTCCATCTCTCTCTTTACTTACTTTAACACCCAGCAGAGACCCAGCGATGGCAGAAATATACCAGAAGAAGGAGCTCCTCGCCCTCATGAAAGAGGGAGCCAACAACAGTGAGCCCCATCCCCCCAAGCTAGCGCTGCAGACTGACAATCGTACCAAGAGTGCATCGACTGTGACGCTCCCTCGCCCCAGTGGGCTTCTGTATCCTATGGCACATTCATCTGCCTCGAGTGTTCCGGCGTGCATAGAGGGTTTGGTGTGCATATCAGTTTTGTGAGGAGTATCACTATGGATAAGTGGTCTGAGGCGCAGGTTAAGAAGATGAAGGTATGTTTCTGTCTTTGATATGAAGGGTCGTCAAGGGTCTGATATGTGGTTTTGACAGTTGGGCGGGAATCAAAAGTTTAAGGATTTCTTGGAGAGTTATGGACCTGAGGGAGGGTATACGAAGGGTGTGGGAATGTCGGAAAAATACAACTCTTGGGCTGCTGCCCAGTATCGCGACAAGGTGCGGCTCTTGCCCCTTATCCAGGACATGACTGACTCTGTGTCAGCTCGCTGCTGAATGCGCCGACCCTCCCCAAGAATGGTCCCCCTCCGCTCCTCCACCCTCTGCCCCCGCCCGACCCGAATCGGCCCAAGCTACCCGGAAATCCAGAGCCGGCGGCTCCCTGGGCCCCTCACGTACCAACAGCCCCTCCGTCCCCCAAGGCTACTCGGACTACAACCAGCCCGCCAACAACAACATCAACCGTAACGACGCTCAGCGCGCGCAGAATGAAGCCTTCTTTGAGCGTATGGGCAACGCCAACGCCGCGCGACCGGATGACCTTCCTCCGTCTCAAGGCGGACGATATGCAGGGTTCGGATCGACCCCTGCCCCGGACCCGTCGTCAGCCCACGCTTCGTACGGCACGAGCTCGCATGCTGCTCCCACGCTCGACGAATTCCAACGTAACCCTATAGGCGCCCTGAGCAAAGGCTGGGGCCTCTTCTCTTCGGCCGTAGCGCTTGCGGGCAGGGAAGTCAAGACGTCTGTCGTTGACCCCGGGCTTGCCCGAGCTCAGGCGCTGGCGGCTGGAGAAGGGTCGGAAGAGTGGAAGCGGTACTTTAATGATGCTTCCGTACGAGCTCGGGAAGCTGGGGGTTGGATCGGGGCGCAGGCGCAGACGGGGTGGGAGGGGTTCAATGATGTTGCCAAGGCTCGGGGCGGGGTCGACTTGAACGAGCAGTTCAACAAGCTCGGCATCAACAGGCATGACCAGGGTAATCAGGGGTATGAAGGGTACGGCCAAGTTGGGGAGGAGCCGCTGTCGGGGAAGGGCGTAGCGAGCGGTGGGTATGGGCAGAAGAATGGGGGCAAGGTGCAGGAGGAGGAAGACTTTTTCGACTCGTGGGGTGTTGGCGAAAGCACCGGGGATAAGGGGAAGGGCAAGAACGATTAGTTGGTGTGTTTCTCTCTGTGTTGTGATCGCTTGTGATGTTATGGACTCTTGGGATTTTGGACGTCTTGGATGATTAGTCTGTGGCAGTAGAAATAGACATACCACCTAGATGTATCCTCTATGATTGTACGGACACCTCTCGCTTATCAATAGAGGCACAAAGTGCGCCATGGTGGAAAGTGCCATGCCAAACGTAAAAGTATACATCATTACTGCTCGTACAAGTTCTTCTTCAGCCACTTCAACCTTCCATCTTCCCTCCACCCTCTCCATCCCTCACTCCCCTGTTCCCCGAATTTCCCCTCCAACCTCTCCCACACCTGCCTCAGCATATCATCGTCCCCGCCTGTCACCAGCGCAAAGGCACGCATGATGGTCCATACAGCTTTCCGGCTAGGAGCATTGGCGTAATGCGGTGTTTCCCTCGCAGCTTTGACAAGTGTACCGTATTCGGACGATGGTGGAGAAGGCGGGGAAGATGGGCGGAGTGTCATGAAAGATTCGAATATACCTTCGAGCGTTTCCAGGGACCAACCCTCGACTCGTTTCTCTTGTCGGGGTTGGTTTTTGACTGCGCCAAACATTGCTCCCCGTTCCCAGATCCCACTCATTCGTTCTTCGAACGATCCCGTCACATCGCTTGCCTTGAATGAAGTCTCTGAAGAGACACCGAGCATTACTCCCGCTGGTCCGGCATCAATGACGCCAGACGGCGTCTCGCCGTATTGGGCAAACCCTTTGAAGAGCGCGTTGTAGTCGGCAACAGAGGGCGAGCGGTCATCTTCAAAGATGTGTTTCAGGATCGTCAGAGCCCCGGGCATGTTGCCTTGGGCTGCGAGGGCTGCGAGTAGAGGAGAGTATGATCGGTGTCCGAGAGTGATTCCCGACTTGGGCAATGGGATATCCGATGCAGAAGCTGATGAGGAAGGGGAGGTAGCAGATTCGATGGTGACCAAATCGCCTTCTTCCGTCTCTGGTCGAAGTACCCGGTAGACGTCGGTTACGAGATCCCATCGGCCCATCCTGCCAAACCCTGCCAAAGCGTAATTGACCAGCACGGAATGGTCTTCCGTCGCCATGTTGGAAGACTGGAAGGCATGTTCCAGGATGTCGGAGAGCTCTTCGCCTCTTCCCATTCTCTCTGCTAGTATCATACGAGCCAACCAGGTGTAGCCGTCAGGCTCGAGACCTTCCTTCTCCAAGACGTCCCACCAATCCCCGAATCGCGCCTCCTTCCCGGACAGGGCGAGGAGGTACATCGCATAGTTGATCCCAGCTCTGAAGCGTCTCCGTGCAGGTCCATCTTCCACATGAGGCGGCCGAGGGAACAATGATCTGAGAGTCTTTTCGACTTCAAACACGTCCTTGTCTCTCACCTGCCTGTGCTGCATCGTCTTGGAGCTCAGCACGAGCAGTTCCAGACCTCTGAGCCCCTTTTTACCGCCAACCAAATCTTTTATTTCTTCCACCAAGGCTTCTATCTGTTCCTCCGCCCGTTCCTTGTCTGCGCCTTCTCGGAGTTGGAGCATCCTGAGGGCTTTTAGGACTTCGGAGACTTCTCCTACGGAGAACAGCTGAGTGTGAGGGGAAGCCATGTACAAGTCGGTGTATGCTTGAAGAAGGAGAGTGGAGGACGAGGACGAGGTGGAGGAGAGAGATGAGAGGCGGAACAGATGGGAGAGGGAAGCAGATCGGTCTATGGGAGAAAGAGTGTGTTGGGCGATAGGGTTGATCTCGGGATTTGGTTCAGGTTTTGGCGGTGTCAGACTGGGCGCTGACAGATGAGAGATGTGACGGAGGATGGGGTCAGTTGTCTCGGAAACTGCGTCCTTGTCTTTGGTGTCGGGTTGAGAGGAAGAAGAGAAGGGCTGAAACGCGCTGTGGGAATGCTCAAATCCCCAGCCACCCATCGGCAACGGAGGCTGAGGATAACTTGCCAAACCCAAGCTCAGACCAAGAGTAGTCCTGGCTGAAGTAGCAAAGCCTCTCGGCCGCGAGGACAGCACCTTGTAGTATGCTGACTGGGGGATCTCGATATTGCCGGCGAGCTTCTTGAGCTTCTTTTTGCCCTCCTTTTGTTTGTTGAGATGCTTGAGCTTTCGATCATAGTGGCCTATTCACGCGTTAACCATGTGCTAGAAGCTGGGATGGGACACGTACCTCCATAGAGGCCGGCAGTGACATCTTTTCTAAACGCCGACACATTCTCTCGAGCGATGACCTTTGCGCCTATAGCCGCCTGGATGGACAACTCGAACTGCTGTCTCGGCACGACCTCCTCTACGACTCCAGGTCAGCCCTTGTCAACTGATAATGGAGGGTGTACGTACTGAGCTTCTTGACCCACGCCTTTCCTATGGCTTGAGCGGCATACTTGTGCACGATCATCGACAGCGCATCCACTGGTTTGCCGTTGATCAGAATGTTCATCTTTCCAGATAGATCAGCTTCGCCTCACTTCTCAAGGACAACCGGCTCACCTTGACCAGGGGTGACTGCTCATACCCCGCTTCTTCATAATCAAATGACGCAAATCCCGAGCTTTGACTCTTCAGCTCCGAGAAGAACTCTGTCACAATCTCAGACAAGGGGAGGGTGTATCTGAGGACGGCCCGTTCACTATTTTCCAGTATCCGGTACTCTAATTGGATACCCCGATAACGAGCACAGAGATCCATCATAGAGCCGATATACTCTACGACATCCAGTTAGTAGCCATCGCAAGGGGCAGTGAGCCACTCACCATTGGGAACGAAGATGGTGGCATTGATCATAGGCTCTTCGACATGCGCAACGCGGGCTTTAGGGTCGCCTGGTTCGGGAAACTCGACGGGGTTGGATATGAACTGCTCTGTGCCATTTGTAAATACCACTGCATCAGGCGCATAAGCTTCGGGGCAGATGGTGTTCGAACGGCTTCTCACCTTTGTAGGGGACAGTAGGGGCAGTGACAATGACTTCTGAAGAGTACTCGTCTTCCAATCTTTGTCGGCTGCAGTAATTGTCAATCATACAGCGATTCATGGTCAGAGCGGACTCACAAGACATCCATATGCAGTGTGCCCAGGAAACCGAGTCGGAAACCTTGACTCAAAGCGGCCGATGACTCTCTTTGCACAGACACTGAGATAGCATTAACGGCCGTTCACCAAGTTCTTCGCTGCACGTACCACTCCGGTCATTTAGTGTCAGCTAAGAGTCCATGTCAGCATGCGGTCAATGTCGGTACAGAAAGGTTGCCTCACCCTCTCAATAGATTCTTCGAGCTTGGGAAAGTCCCCGCTGTCCATGGGAAAGACACCCGCATAGACCATGGCTTTCATAGGCTGGAATCCCGGTAGGGGATCCACAACCTTGTCCGCCCAACAGATGGTGTCTCCAATGAAAGCCTCTCCTGAATCTTTCATGTTGCATACGATGTACCTGTCCCACATCAGTTTCTGTCATTTAACAAGAGAAAAGCGAGTACTCACCCAACCTGGCCATCGGTCAGTAGCTCGACAGGAACTTCATCGGGATTGTTGAGCCCGACTTCGAGGATTTCGTATTTGCGATCGGCTTGGAGGAAACGGACTTTGTCGCCCTTTTTAAGAGAGCCAGAAAAGATGCGCACAAGAGATACAACTCCTCTGAATTGGTCATAGCTAGGGCGAGTCAGCATATACTCTGCCAATGACATGAAGACTGACAAGGTGTCGAAAATCAGTCCTCGCAACTTCCCATCTTCTCCCCCCTCGTATGGACTCGGCGAGGGCAGTCCCTCGATGATGCTGCCCAGTACAGTGTCCACCCCAAGCCCACTCTTTGCGCTGATCCTGATATGTCTGTCTTTTTCCAAGCCAAGGGAGGAGGCTATCTCTTCAGAGGTTTCGTCGGGATATGCGTGGGGGAGGTCGACCTTGTTGATGACTGCGAGCATGGAGAGATCTGCCTCTAGAGCGTGATGAAATACGGACAATGTTTGAGCTTGGATGCCCTCTGCCTCATATATCAGCAGAGTTTTTATGTGGACACATATCACTCACGCGAACAGTCCACCAGCAGAAGTGCTCCTTCACAAGCTCCCAGACTGCGCGAAACCTCATAACTAAAGTCGACGTGCCCCGGTGTGTCGATTAGATTGATGAGATACTTGTGACCGTCGGTGTGGGTGTGGATGATTGAGACAGTCTGCGCTTTCACGGTGATTCCTCTTTCCTTTTCTACCTTCAGCTTGTCCAAGAATTGGGGCGAGGATTCGGGGGGAACGGTTCCAGTCATCTGTCATACATTTAGTTCGATCACTAAAACGAGGCTTCGGTGACTCACTTGAAGCAGGCGATCTGCTAGGGTAGATTTCCCGTGGTCAATATGTGCAATGATTGATAGATTTCTGAGAGATATTAATCAGCTACGAGCTGCCAAATAGTTCAAGTGCTTACCGTATTCTTTCTGGTGGAAATTGACTCATATCGACTGTCCGCTTCGCTGCTTGTGCCGCTGCCGATACTTTCGGTCCAAGAGCTGCGGGGCTCTTTGAAAAGCTCCTCCCATTTGGTCTGCCCCATGACCGTTTTCCCACTTCTCTTGCCTTCCTGGTACACTCGTTGCTCGTATATGTCGATATGCGCGCAGAAAGAATTGGCTTGGACGGCGAGATGCGAAGCCGGACCAAACATTGCGGGCATACCCTTGATGACCGCACAGCAAGGCTCATCGGCAGGTCGAGTCGGGCACTTGGTGAATTTCGGAAATGTGAGCGTGACAGGTATTCTGATCTCGAATTGTTTTTGTCAGTGGAAGAGGACGGAGAAATTGAAATTGGTCCCGCTCTCTTCGGCGGCCGTTACGGCTTTCCGAAATCATCCTCCTTGATGACGAGCAAGCTGCGAGTAAGCAGACCTGAAGGGAGACTGGAAGCCAAATCAGGTAGCTGTGGATCCGGGAGCACAGTCACAGATCTAATAGATGAGACACCGGAACGGAGTGATACAATTTTGTCTGTCCAGCATCAGCTCTGCAGGTCCGCCACGGAGTTGGGCTTTTCCGGGAGACCGGAACTCGGTAACTCCCGCCCGAGCTCCAGCATCAGGCATGCTCCTTCATCAGTTTCTGCCACTACTTTTACTTGATGTCTCAAGGAAAGCTCCGCTTCTCTTGCAAGGGCACGAGAGCCATCACCATCTTCAGCCGGTCTGCGCCCTGCCCTATACTACGCACACAACGATCTCTTGACCTCTCCCTGCATCATACGTCTTTCTCACCGACCAGACGCACATTTTGCTCTATGTGGAGTACAGTCGCCCCACCGCCACCAATGGTTGAACAAACTGCCCAATTCATTCTCAGCCATTTGAGCTCCCGCAAGAATCACTTTGATAGCCGGCGACTTCCGAGCCCTCCTCTCTTTGTGGGCGTGCAAGGTCCTCAAGGAGCAGGTATGTGGGACAGCCGGGCTTCGAGAGGCTCTTTTTTGACCCATTATCCATAGGAAAGTCATATCTGAGCCAGCTGCTCCCTGCCTACCTCGAACAACAGCATAGTCTGCGCGTCGCCACCTTCTCCCTGGACGACTTCTATCTCTCACACGACGCCCAGCAATCCCTCGCTCTCAACTCCAAACCCCTGAACCCTCTTCTGGCTGGAAGAGGGCCAGCAGGTACCCATGATCTTCCTCTCCTAATTCGCACTCTGGATGGGCTGAAAAACATAAACGAAAAGTCTGCTGCTACCTCCTCCGAGCCAGAGCGTACCGTCACGCTTCCCACGTACGACAAATCACTCTTCCACGGCCAAGGCGATCGCTCAGCCAAAGGCGTCACAGTGAGAGGCCCTGTCGATGTGGCTATCTTTGAGGGCTGGATGAACGGTTTCGGAGCTTTGCCGGATGAAGAGCTAGCTGCTCGATATGCAGCGGCCAGTTCTCCCTCCGCCGATGACACTCCTTCGACCCTTGTCAAATATTCCAAGGCGACACTTGACGATATCAACGAGAGCTTGCGAGACTATGAAGATGTTTGGGACGCGATCGATTGCTTTGTGCAGATCCGACCGCTAGACATGTCATTTGTGTGGGATTGGAGGCTTCAGGTGAGTGTTGTTCACTACTTCCTCTCAGTCAAAGATGCGCCGCTGACCAAGCGCCTAGCAAGAGCACAACATGAAGGCAGGTAATGGAGGTGTGGGAATGTCTGATGAAGAGGTACGGCAATTCATCGATCGGTGTGTTCTTCCTTTCAAAAACTACTGCTATCTGTCGGGCTGATAGTCAAAAAGCTATATGCCCAGCTATGAGCTGTTTCAAGACGGTATTGATAACGAGTCGACAACGTGGCATGGTAAGGGTCTTCGGTTCTGGGTAGACAGTCATCGTAACATCGTCAAGGTCGAAAAGTTTTGATGCCCTGATATGCATGCGTTATACATGAGACTTGTCGAGTATGGTTCAGCCATCATAGCATAGCGCCGATATCCGCTGCTGCAGCCTCGGCTCCTTCGAAAGTCCCCAGCCCCATTGGCAGGGGAGCACCCATATTGAGGTCGAAGCCAAGCATATCGAGAGTATATTGCCAAAGAGGATCCCATTCGGCTGCGCTACAAGATCGGAATGTCAGGCATAGTCTTTCCTGGCCAGCCTGGTCGAAAGACGTACCTGCTGGAGAAACAGTCGCTGGCGCCGAGACCATTTCCGAACGTTACAGGAGCACCCTCCTGGTGACCTGATGATTGTGGACGATCTTGACGGCGGTGCAGGGTGTGTGAAAGACGCTTGAGCTCCTGATGGGACGTCAACTTGTGCACGGCAAGGGTGTTTCATATTGCTCACCTCCAGAACGTTTTCGCGGTCTTTTTTAGTCGACCCCGTAAGCTGGATATGCCCGTCCATCGCCGCCTCTATCATATTCTCGATCTCTGCCCTTCGAGGCGCCTCTTCGTACACCATCAGATATACCAGGAGGACGGTGAGGCTCGCGAAGCAAAAGTAGGCCGAGTTCTGGAATGACGATAGGCGTCAGCATCGTGGCCTCTGTCACCTTCAGACCCGCAATGCTTACCCAAAACGTCCTCTTGGCACCCGGTGTGTCCCTCATCTTTGACACAAGTCTTGCAATGCTGATTGCAGACTCAACGCACACCGTCACCTCGGGTGACATAGCTGCCAGAGGCGATGCAGCGGCACGATTGTTGAATTGGTCTAGAAGATAGGAGCGATATATAAAGAGGTTGATGAAATGGAAAGCTGATTGTACAAGCTGTTGTTGCCTGCGTCAAGTTATCATCAGTATTTGCGATTGTACCACAAGTATCTCAGGACATACCGACAAAAGAACGGCGGCACGCTAGCAAAGGGGTTGATATCGCGGTCATTAGACCCATCGGGGTGGAAGAAGGGAGGTGTATGCGCAATCCATACATTGAGTTCTTGGTTGAGAGCATGTACAGCAAGCGAGCGCTCGGCTTCCGAGAGCGATCCTGGTGATTTGAGTTGGCGCCAAGCATGTCCGAGTATCTGAGACAGTCTGTAGCGAATGTCAGGAAAGACGTAACATTTCATGCACGTCATTTGACTCACTTGATATGCGCTATACAGCCGACCAGACGCCGATCCTCGTCTTGCGATTCCAGGGCGCCTCCTTGCGGACAGCTTGGGAGGAGCTGCGTTATGTCGCGTTCGTCATAGATGACCGGGCAACCAAGAACGAGTGAAAGATATCTTGGAGACCATGTCGTTAGCGAAGACATATGATTTGTCAAAGCTACCGACTCACCTATCCATCATGAAGCTGCTCCAGAAAGCCTGTCGTCGAGGCTCGTCGACCTCAGTGGTGACCCCCTCTGGGCTCTTGGAATGCAGGCGTATTAATCGACCTAATTGGGCGGCTGTTCCCAGAGCAAGCCAAGCCGTACGGAATTCGGACATGCCGAGGTGAAGATGACACTGTGTTAATGACAAAAGTACGTCAGCCAATGCACAGCGAAACCACTTCAGAATCTTACCAGGGCGATATGAATCTGGACCAGTCTCAATTTTGGCCTCGTAAGGTCCAATTTCGCTAACCGTCCCTGCGCGGCTTCAAGCAGCAAGAGACTGTTGTGACATGCATCAGCGCAAGACTTTGACGAAGATGTTGCCCGCACTTACGATTTTTTGGTCGTGATTTGCGGGTCTACTCCTGTCCAGGAAGGAGTCCACAGGCAGCTACAGCACCCTAGTCAACAAGATACCTTCGCTTGAGACGACAACACGTACCCGGTTGCCATCAACAGAAGTAGGAGAACGATATCTTCCTTCTGCATCCCATCTCCCTGGTTGCCATAGAACTCTTCAACCAATCGCTCAGTTTGCTGCCTTTCCAGATACCGATAGGTTGATGTTGCCTGCCTGGGGTGTTAGTTTCGTACGACTGCGCCGATTGACTCACGTGCTCGAAATAGCACTTGATATATGCTTTACCATCTTGGCAAGTCGGAAGAAAGAAGAGACCATCGTCATGTATTCCGTCTAGAGTCCTGTCTCTTTGCCCTTCGACCGAATTGCCTTTGGGGAATGATCTGAGCGAGAATACAACAGTGAGGTGACGATGTAGTTTATCGAGTAGATCTCCTTGACTGGAGGAGCCCGCTTCTACATGATAGTCGTATCAGCGTTGAAACACCCAAGTATCAACATTAGCTCACCTGGTATCGCTGATGGCGGCATTCCACCATCCCCAATGCCCCGTCCCGGGGACGGCAGCCTTGATACACTCCCATTCGCCATGACATGGGCAATGCGCGCCAAGGTCTGTTTGTGACTGCTAGTAGAGGCATCGGCTGTTCCCCTCGTTTCGCGCCCGACTTCTCCTCTCTGTATTCGGCTATCTTCAACTAGCAGGTGGGCGCCAGGCGTTTCAGCAAGAAAGCCTGTCGGCATCATCGACTCCGAGCTGGGGTTGGTCCTGCTTCTTCCAAAAGTGGCTTGGGACCGAGGAGGAGGTATCTGCGACAGAATGGGACCATGACTTGCGTTTAATCTCGTAGTAGAGGGTGACGGTATGCTGGGAGAATGCGGGTGTCTCGATGTAGGAGCTTGATTGGGAGGTTGTGCGACAGTAGTTGTGGTGGTGTACGACGAAGGGAGTGTAGAACGGCGACTATCCGAGTATACACATTCTGGTTTTGAAGTATTAGCTTCGTTTACACCGAGAAGGGAATGAGATTCTTGCCTTTAGGTGGCCGGCATGCGGAGCAAGAGAGGCATGGCTTGCCCAGGCGAGTTAGTGGGAGTGCGGGGTCGTATGATCGTCAGGATTGACTTACTTGTTGACCATTGCACTTCTTTTTGCCTGTTCGACATTGATCACAAGCATGAGGGGTGATGTGGACTCTTTTCCTGGGCCTGGATGACCCTTCAGACTCGGGCAGCGGTGGTCGGCCTACAGAAGCTGAAGGGGAGGCGGACGGGGTGACCATGAAGAACGTGGCTGGTGGCGGATGTCGGGCAGTAGCGAAAGGGTTCCGTCCGGGTGCCAGGAGTATAACCTTAGCGTTTACTAGACCGAAGGAAGAGTATGCAACCAAATCAAAACAAAGGCCATTGTCGTCGGCCTGCCGGCGGAGCTTGAGCGGAGCTCGACGCGACAAGGACCCGGAGCAAAGCTCTTTTACGTAAATAGAGGAGCACAATTCAAGTCAAATAACGCATGCATATGGCTATGATGGTGGCGGCATGGTGGCAGCATGATGGTGCAGTGAAATGAAAACGACCAGATGCAGAGACATTATCTCCTCTGTCAAATCAGGAGAATTCATCATAACGCGTTCCGTCCAGTCCCAGTCTGTCATTTTCTATGTAGCCACAATCAAGACTCAAATATGCGGTCCACGACAGCCTTAGTCACCTCCTTGGTGGTAGCAGAGCCTCCCAGATCCCTCGTCTTGACCCCATCGACGCACACTGCCTCTACAGCAGCCATGAGCTGAACGGCCGCTTCCTTCTCGCCTAGCCACTCGAGCATCTCTGCAGCGGTCCAGAAAGTGGCGACGGGATTGGCGACGCCTTTGCCCGTGATGTCGAAAGCAGACCCATGGATTGGTTCAAACACTAGAAGCACGTCAGACCTTTCCAGCGGAGGGAGCGAACAGAGCATGAATTGTAGACTTACTGGAAGGGTTTTGGCGGGAAGGGTCGAGGTTGGCAGTGGGCGCAATACCGATCGATCCAGCGAGAGCAGCTGCAAGGTCGGAGAGAATGTCGGCATGGAGATTGGTGGCTACGATGGTATCCAGCGATTGGGGATGAAGGACCATTCGGACAGTCATTGCGTCAACTATTCCAGATCAGCATTGGACAGTATCGAGACATCACTAAGACCTACCGAGCATATGGTCAAGCTCAACATCGGGGAACTCTTGGGCAACCTCGTTGACGACCTCGTCCCACATGACCATTCCATTGCGCTGAGCGTTGGATTTAGTGACGTAGGTGAGCTTCTTGCGGGGTCTTGACTCGGCGAGCTGGAAGGCAAAGCGAGCGATACGCTCTACACCCACGCGGGTGAAGATGGAGATCTCTGAGAATAGTCAGTCCTCTTATTCCAAAACTGATAGGATGTCACGTGCCCGTGGCGACTTCATGTCCATACCCATTGTGAGAGCGCCCACCGTGTCCAGCGTATTCACCCTCCGAGTTCTCGCGGACGATGACCCAGTCGAGCTGGCCCGTTCCGCAGTTGCGAAGAGGCGACTCGGTACCAGGAAGGATACGAGTTCGTCTAGCAACAACGTATAAGCATAGTCCGAAGCTGGCGGGATGGGTTAACTTACCGAACGTTAGCATATTGTTGAAGAGGCTGACAGATGGCCAATCGAAGACCCCAAAGAGATATATGATCAGGTACGTCGGGGGCGCCCACTGCCCCGAATCTAGCCAGCTATCAGCACAAGACCTGGACCGTCATTTGGGGTGACTCACAGGATAGCATCAAACTGGCGCAGGATCTTCAGGTGATCTTTCGGGACGTACTTTCCAGTCTTCTTGTAGGTCTCCGAAGACCAGTCAAAGTTGGTAAAGTCTAGGTGGAAAGTGCCGCGTTTCTTGGCAATAGCTTGAAGAACGGTGATGGCAGCCTCGACGACTTCGGGTCCGATTCCATCGGCTGGGATGGAGGCGATAGAGTAGACCTGCTTGGTCTGGGGAGGAGAAGCCCAGCCGTCGCCGTGGGAAGGAACTCGAACTGGGGACATGGTATTGGTATGGCGGTCAAGAGGGTAAGGTTGTTGGGAGATGTTGTGGATGACATGGCTCGTCTGCGGCGTCAGTTATATATACCAGACCGGAAGCCCTCAGGGTGACCTGGCGCATATCTGAACGAATCGGAGGCGCGCAAGCATGTTTCAGAGTCAGATGACGAGCTCTGACTCTCGGTGCTCTATCATCACAACCGCCGTACCGTCGGTCTACTCCGAGGCGGTTACAGCCGCTCCGGGCCCACTCCGTCCTCCGCTCAGCCTCCGTTTCCTGCTCCGGAGCTGCCAGGGCTGCTTTGGCAAGACTCTTGGAACAATGGTCTTTCCCCGATGCCCCAATTGGCTACATCGTGATCGGGCCGCGGTAAACAGCTCTACGGCCTACGGAGCAGTGCATCACCTGACATCGAGACGATAAATTTGTCATATCCCGACTTGCCTTTGTTGTACCGGCGCGCAATCTGCTCATACGCATCTACCATGAGAGTGAGTGCATGTCCTGAGGACTTATATAAAGGGCAGCTTCTGATCCATTGCTGCTTGACCTTCCAGTCGATCCTTTCTAGCATTGAAACCCCGATCAGAAGACAACGATGCCGAATCGACATATTACCGGGCTCCCTGCCTCCTCAGTCATACCTCCCCCTCCGGTCAACGGCAGCTCAGACAATAAGGCCCTCACAGACATCGATATCAAGGAAGCCATTGAGCACATCGAGGACAACGCCAAACCCAGTGTCAACCCTGCCTTACTTGACATTGTGGCGGCCGAGATCCAGGTTCTGCGTACGCTTTCTCCTGACGAATTAGCCGCTGAAGAAAAGAAACTGCTGCGCAAGGTATGTACTCTCACCGCAAGTACAGATACCATTAACTGTTATACTGATCATGGCGCAGATCGACTTTACTCTCCTCCCGACCCTGTTTGTCCTCCTTGTGCTGAACTACCTCGATCGCAATGCCCTAGCCTCCGCCCGGGTCCAAGGGATCGAGGAGAGTTTGGGCATGGAAGGGACACAGTTCAACACTGCCATCAGTCTGTTGTTTGTTGGTCCAACATGATCCTGAGTAGGAGCAGGCCGTCTATCTACTTGTCTACCTGCGTCATGGTTTGGTGAGTCGCTGCCATACCTGTGGTGTATCATTGGCTGACACGGAACGTAGGGCGGTAGTATCTCTGTGCACAGGGTTCGTCAAGACCTACAATCAGCTCCTCGCAGTCCGTATCCTGCTCGGCTTCACCGAGAGTCCTTACTTTCCTGGCGCCTTGTTCCTGCTGTCAGCTTGGTACACCAAGAGGGAACTCGCGTATCGCACCGCCTCTGTGAGTCCTCCAGAACATCACCATACTGACCTTTGCTGATGAACATCAAGCTGTATTGTGGCTCTCTCCTTTCTGGGGCGTTCTCGGGGCTCATCGCCGCGGGAATTGAATCCGGTTTGGATGGAGCGAAAGGGATGGAGTCTTGGCGATGGCTCTTCATCATTGAAGTAGGTTCTCCCTCCGACGTTGTGTCAAAATCTCATAAAGCTTCAGGGTGCGATCACCGGTTTGGCCGCTCTCATAGCTGCCTTCGTCCTTCCGGACTACCCGGCCACAACAAAGTGGCTCAGCACGAGGGAGAAGGCCATTGCTGTTTGGAGGATGGAGAAAGATGGTGGGAGTCGCGATGAAGACGACGAGGGGCTACTCAAGAGTCTCAAGATGGCTCTTTGCGACTATAGGGTGGGTCTGCTCGAGAGCGAGTGGTGATAATGGCCAATCGTGTCTGCAGCTCTACTTACTTGCGATCATCATCATCACAAAAACAACAGCCGGCGCTGTGACGCAGTTCTTCCCCACGGTCATTGTAACATTCAAGTTTAGCAAAGTCATCACGTACGCCTCTTACAAAAACCCTGTGCTACCATACTAATCCTCGATTCCAGTCTGGTACTCCTCGCGCCTCCATACCTTGTCACGACTGCACTTTCGCTCCTCATCTCAAGGTTGTCGGACCGCAAACCGGAAAGATGCTTCCATCTAGCCATACCTCTTGCTGTTGGGATGATTGGATACATCATCGCTGCTTCCACTCTCCAGACCGGACCTCGTTATTTCTCTCTTTTCCTGATGCTTGGTGGTCTGTTTGGATCTTATAATGTTGCTCTTGCTGTGAGTGACATCCCCCTGTCCCTGTCATATGCGCAGACTATGTGTATACTGACGACTTTGTCAACTCTCAGTGGATTTCGTCAACCTTTCCACGACCTCGTGCCAAGCGCGCTTCTGCGTATGCCATCATCAACAGTTTGGGGTAAGTGATCTAGAGGTGGTACATGTGGGATGTCGTCGCTGACCATATATAATCAGTAACATCGCCCAAATCTGGTCACCTTACCTCTATCCTTCCTCTGACGCGCCGAGGTATACAGTAAGTCCATTTCATACCAACTTTTGCGCGGGCACTGACGAACAGCAGACGGCTTTCGCGACAAATTCGGCTATGGCAGCGATCGCCATCTGCTTCTGCTTCATTCTTCGAGCTGTCTTGAAGAGAGACAATTCCAGAATGGATCGTGAAGATGGTGGGATTGAAGCTAGGGATGAAAGTGTGCCGGATCGTGTGAGATATGTCACATGAGGGATGACCTTATGCGCGGGGTTTCACTTGTACAAGTACTTTGATGTCGTTTTTCTTCGGACGTTCAGAATCGAGGGTTATGCAGAATCAATATTTAGTGTCTACAGTAATGCTTATTCTAGCTCATGCGCATCTTGGCAACTATACAAGCGTTACTTGTCTTCCAAAAGCAAAGATAAGTCACGCTTCCGTCGCCCCTTCGGCCGCCGCGAAATCGCGTGGCTCCAGGAACGACATCGAGCCACCGCGCTCGTTCTTTCTTTGGCAGAAAGTGGTTTTCTCCTTTGCAACTCCGTCCGACCTTTCCATCTTTACAACCCCCCCGGGAGACAACGTCCCAGATTTCATCATGCTGGACTCCATATCCTCCCTCCCGGACGCTTTCCAGCCCTTCTTCAGCTGGCTCTCTACCCTTACCCTCGGCCAGATCTGGCTCGCCATCTACAACCCGCCTAACCGCGTCACCCTCACCATCGTACTCATCGCCATCTCCTTCAAAGCTCCCATATGGATCAAAAAGTGGTCAGAGTCGAGAGCAGAGAAAAAGGCGGTTCGCTTTCTGTATATCGAGCCCAAGGTGCGTTCGGGTCGGTTAGCCGATGACACGCTTTCAGCGTACTGACATGCGATGACAGGAAGGCGACAGGAAATGGGAGGGCAAAGTCATCAACAAGCCGAGCCTTTCATCTCATCTCCAAGACTCAGACCTGCTACCTCCAGAGACGGGTCATTCGGGTGTCAAGCGAGACCACATCACTTGCTACGATCCTTCCACCGGCGTACGCCTATCTTTACTTGAAATCCACACCAAGCTCATCTTTGGATAGTACCACCTCACAACCCTACCCCTCCTGAGCGCTGAAGAGGTCGCGCAACAAATCTCTTCCGCCCACAAGGCCTCCCCTGCTCTGCGGGCGACGCCGTTCTCCACCCGCCGACGTTTCCTCCGTGGCATCCGCGACTGGGTCCTCCGGGATATGGATGTCATCGTCCGCGTAGCTTGTCGGGACACTGGCAAGACTGATGTCGACGCCGTATTCGGTGAAATCCTTACAACCTTGAGCAAGATCGACTGGTTGGTGACTTACGGAGAGAAGACTCTGAGCCCCCAAAAGAGGGCTGGAAACTTGCTTCTGGCGCACAAAGTGTCGAAAGTGCACTACCAGCCTCTTGGTACGGTACTCGCGCTTGTATCGTGGAACTATTCTTTCCACAATTTGCTCTCCCCCATCCTTGCTGCCATCTTCTCAGGCAACACTATCGTCGTCAAATGTTCCGAGCAGGTGGCTTGGAGTTCAATGTGGTATATTGGTGGTGTCAAAGCTTGTCTGAGAGCTTGCGGATTGGATGAAGATATGGTACAGCTAGTCATCTGTCTCCCAGATGTCGCAGAGACAGTCACTCGAAACCCTTTGATCAAGCATATCACTTGTAAGTACATTAATATTGACGCGAGCTTCAGCTGATTCCGCTTAGTTATCGGCAGTGAGCCCGTTGGCAAGAAAGTCGCTCAAGCCGCCGCCGAGATCATGGTCCCCACTTGCATCGAACTCGGCGGTAAAGATCCCGCTCTCATTCTCCCCGGTACAGACCTTGATTTTTTCGCTAGCACCTGGATGCGTGGCGCCTTGTACGTTTCATCTCTCTCGGTGCTTCTAATCTCAGACCAACGATTCGCAGCCAATCCTCGGGCCAAAACTGTATCGGTATCGAACTCTTCTTCGTCCACCGTTCGCAATACCCCAAATTCCTCGACATTCTCACCCCCCGCGTTCGCGCGCTCCGACCAGGTAAAGACGTCGGCTCCCTCATCTCCCACGTCCCCATCCCCAAACTCGAATCTCTCCTCTCCTCTGCCACATCTTCCGGCGCTCGCGTCCTCGCTGGCGGCAAGCAGTTCATCCACCCCGATCATCCCGAGGGAGCCTACTTTGAGCCGACGTTGGTGGTGGATGTCAAGATGAATATGGAAATCGCAAAGGAAGAGCTTTTCGCCCCGGTGATGACTGTGGTACCCTACGACGACGTCGACGAGGCTGTTTCGTGGCTTAGCAACTCGCGTTTCGGACTCGGTGGTGGTGTTTATGGCAAAGACCGTGCCCAATGCCGTTCCGTTGCCGAGCGCCTCGAGTGCGGTATGGTAGCCATCAACGACTTTGGCGTATTCTACCTGAATCAAGCTATGCCTTTTGGCGGGGTCAAGGCTTCTGGCCATGGACGCTTCGGCGGAGAAGAAGGTCTGAGGGGATTGTGCTCTGTCAAGTCGATTACGGAGGACCGATGGTTTAGCTGGATTCGAACGACGATACCGGGGCCGGTGGATTTTCCGTTACCGGAGAATGGCAGGCCTTGGGCGTTTTTGACAGGGTTGGTGCAGATGGCGTATGGCGTTGAGTTGTGGACGAGGGCAAAGGGGTTGGCGGGATTGATTGGTGCGGCTTTGTGATAGAGCATGGATAGAGATTCTGTCAAGTCAATATGATGGGTACATGCGTGTCGTAAAAAAGTGCAACTAGGCCAAGACAATGTACTTTTGGAGGTGTTCGGGGATATGGGAGATGAGACCCTTGGATTCAAGCCACACTCGGGAGAAGAGACGAGCCTGGTACCTGCCGCGTTGTCAGCCATGCACAATCAGCAAATCCAGCCGACTCACCTGTAAGCACCATCACAAAGAACGGTAACAACAGTGCTTCCCTTTCCTTTACGCTTGGCAAGCTCCGTGGCCGCCCAGACGTTCAAAGCACTGGAAGCACCAACGTAAAGACCCTCCTCATCCAGCAAACGGTAGATCATGTTGATGGAAGCCGAGTCCGGGACGTGGATAGCTCCAGACAGGAGCTTGAGGTCGGGGGCCAAGTTGTTGGTCACTCGGCCCTGTCCGATACCCTCAGTGATGGATCCATTTCCTTCCCTTTTGATCTCTCCAGTCTCGACGAGGTTGTAAAGCACACTTCCAGGAGGGTCCGCCAACCAGCTCTCCACCTTTCCTTCGCTCTTCTCTGTCAAGTACCGCGTGATACCGGCCAGGGTTCCACCAGTACCGGTGGAGCAGATGAAAGCGTCGAGCTTGCCGCCGGTTTGTTCCCAAATTTCGGGGCCAGTGGTTACGATGTGGGCGTTACGGTTGGCAATGTTGTCGAACTGGTTGGTCCAGACGGCATTGTCGAGCGAGTCAGCGTAACGCTTGGCCTGGTGGTTGTAGTTTTGAGGGTTGTCAAAGGCGACAGCTAGGTCCTTTGTCAGCGGGTTTCGAATATGAGGATGGGCAAGTACGTACCAGGGACAGGCCTGACGTCGGCGCCGAGCATCCTCAGCAGGTCAATCTTCTCCTGACTCTGGGTATCAGGCATGTAGATGACACACTTGTATCCCTTGCTCCTGCAGACGTGGGCAAGACCAATACCAGTGTTACCGGCAGTACCCTCCACGACTGTTCCTCCGGGGCTGATCAAGCCCTTCTCTTCAGCGTCCTGGACAAGGTAAAGCGCAGCTCTGTCCTTGATGGAACCACCGGGAGACATGAACTCGGCCTTGGCGAGGATGTTGGCGCCGACTTCTTCGGAAAGCCTGTTCAAACGGATCTACATGTGTGTGTCAGCTGGGCCACGCTTAAAGTATAAAGACGGACAAGGGGAGTGTTGCCGACGGCGCCAGTGAAGCCGCCGACGGGCTTGCCAAAGTGGGGGATGGCGGTGGCATATGTCCGGGCGCAGAAGGACGCTGGGCGGAGGGCGGACCGGAGGACGGAGGCTGATTTTTGTGGGAGCATGCTGTTTGAGGAGACAGAGAATGGAAAAAGTCGGCCAACTCGACGTCGTCGACGGCAATTTCGGAATCGCGTGACGTGCTAGGCACCATCTGGAATGGTAGGCGGCGACCGCCGAAGTGGATCTTTCCGCTCTCGTTCCTGGCAGGAGATTATCGCTGCATCCAGCTGCAGGCATCAGCTGGATCTTGGCTGGATCAGCTGCCCCCCTTGCGACTAGTCCACTTTAGTCCCGGCATCTGACGGCATAGAGGCGACGATAAGACATCCAATGTAGATTGGCTGCTTCTCCTCCTGGGCTCCCTGAGCTGTTTGCATCGAAATCCTTTGTTCCTGCTAAATTGTTATTAGCTCATCGAGTGATGTCTTATGTACCCACCGCAAAGTGGATACCCTGCTGACATGGAGGATACCCGGGAAACAGCCAGCCCCATGTATATCATCCCCCCTCCTCACATTTCGTTATCTCCCTACGCACTCATACCGCAAGAAGATGACTTCACCCGGCCAGCTGTCCTCGCCCATGGACGAAAAAAAGCCAGAGATCGACCATGTCGAACACAAAGCCGAACCCGTCGAGCATGTCGAAGACCTCAAGAAGCCGGTCGATACTACGGTTGATAGTGCAGTTTCCCACGAGATTGAAGTGCTGAGGTCGATGTCTGATGAGGAGCTGGCCGCGGAGGAGAAGAAGCTGGTCCGAAAAGTAGGTTTCTTTTTCAGTTGGGAATAGACAACAGCTCACGTTGGCAGATCGACATCGCCCTCATGCCAACACTCTTCGTCCTACTGATCCTCAACTATCTCGACAGAAACGCCCTGTCCTCGGCTCGAGTGCAGGGTATCGAGAAAAGTCTCGGAATGGTGGGCAACCAATTCAACACTGCAATCAGTCTCTTGTTTGTCGGCTATATTCTTGGTCAAATCCCGTCCAACATGATTCTATCCAAGACGCGTCCTTCCATCTATCTCGGTACTTGCGTCATGATTTGGTAAGCTGGTATCGCCGCTTTGTAGAGGCGAAGGCTGATGCTGTTGGAAGGTCACTGGTCTCGCTGTCTACTGGTTTCGTCAAGAACTACCACCAGCTCCTCGCCGTCCGAATCCTTCTCGGCTTTACTGAATCACCTTACTTTCCGGGCGCTCTCTTCCTCCTTTCGACTTGGTACACGAAACAAGAGCTCGCATTCCGAACCGCCTTCGTACGTATCACCTCTACTTCAAAATATCCCGAGCTGATATAGAGCTAGCTGTACTGCGGGTCGTTGCTGGCTGGTGCTTTCTCAGGACTGATCGCAGCCGGTGTCGAAAATGGTCTGGACGGCGCAAAAGGTATGGAATCCTGGCGATGGCTGTTCATCGTTGATGTACGTCGTCCCTCCCTCCTTCCTCTCCTCTTATAGAGACACTGACCGATTGAAACAGGGATCCGTCTCGGGCTTCTTTGCCATAGTCTCTATATTCATCCTCCCCGACTATCCTGCCACCACCCGCTGGCTCAGCACACGTGAAAAGGCCATCGCAGTATGGCGAATGGAGCGAGACGGTGGGCAGAGGGATGAAGATGATGAAGGGATGTTCAAGGGATTGATGATGGCCTTGACTGATTATCGAGTGAGTTTATTTCATCTTTTGTTCATGGTTTGTTAGGAGAAGCGGAAGGTTGACCATAGAATGATAGCTGTACCTTCTTGCGATCATCATCATCACCAAGACGACTGCTGCGGCTGTCACCCAGTTCATCCCTACCGTCATCCAGACTTTCAAGTTTAACAAGGTCATAACGTACGTCTCTCCCCACCTTCCTGAGCTTTTCTGGAAAGCTAACGAACGGCAACAGCCTCTTACTTTCTGCCCCACCATACCTTGTGGCTTCCGTCATCTCGCTTCTCGTCTCAAGGCTATCCGACCGTCGACCAGAGAGGTGCTGGCATATCGCTATCCCTGTCGCAGTCGGCATGATTGGGTTCGTCTCCTCCTTCTCATCTCTTACACTCGTACTTGATCAAGCTGACTGGCGCGCGAAGTAACATTATCGCAGTTTCATCACTCAATACGGGCGCACGATACTTTTCCATTTTCCTCATGTTGGGAGGTCTTTATGGGTGTTACACTGTATCCCTTTCTGTCAGTATTCCGCTTCATCTTGGAGGTTCAGAGAGAGTGTGCTGATGAAAGTGTGCTGTAGTGGATCTCAACTACGTTCCCCAGACCTCGTACGAAGCGTGCATCCGCATATGCCGTCATCAATGCCCTAGGGTACGTCCACCTCTCTCCAGTGCCCGTATATGCAATGAAGCTGACACCTCCCCAGAAACATCGCCCAAGTCTACTCCCCATACCTCTACCCCTCCACCGACTCGCCACGCTACACTACTGCATTCGCTACCAACTCTGCCATAACGGCTTTGGCTGTCGTGTTTTGTTTCGTATTGAGGGCGATTCTGAAGAGGGACAATAAGAGGATGGATAGGGAGGAAATGGAGGCGGAGGAAAGGGGGTTGGAGGTGGAGGGAAGGGCGAGATATGTTTTGTAGACTCGTCTTGCTGGAGTGATTGTTGCTTTTGTAGTATTGTATGCCGCTGTATGCTGTGGATCTTTTTGTATTGCCTTGAGACTTTATTCTGATGATGGGTGAATGGATTAGATTCGAAAAACCATAGTGAATGTTTGTCGCCGCCTCTGGCCTGGCATTGCACTGTCAAAATGTCTGCCAACGTTCATGGAACACAGCTGTGCTCTGAATTTCAAGAAGATAAAATACGATCGCTCTTTGCCCAATTTTAGTTACATTACTCATTTTATTTGCGCTTATGGGCTGAATCTGCGCACAATGGGCCGCGTAACTGGGGTAGTAACCCAATCTTTTGTTGACATACTCTCCGTTCCTCGGGTCACCGCTTTTGGTTACGCTAGGGAAAGTTAGTGCAACGGATCCCTGCTGCGATCTCATCTGTCCAAATATCTAATGCCGATCAAAAGGTTATTCGCGTTGCCAGGAGAGGATAAAACGCATGCATCTTGATTTCATTCTTCTCTTGCATTCATACCATTACTCACTGAGCGTGTCTCATACCCAAGGTGAGTGCCCCTTCCCGGGAGCAGCGATGTGAGACATGCCTCCCGCGCGCTGGCTAGAACAATAGAAAGCCGAGTGACTGACGACTACCACAGAGAAACCACAGATTTTCACTCCAGTCACTCTTTCACCCCACGCCAAATCACTCTCTCACATCTACATCCCTCGCCACCTCTCAAGGACCTACAGCCATGATCGTCCTGGCTTCGTTGGTGTTTGCCGTCGCCTTCTCCGCCCTCCCCTCCACAGAGCCATCAGATGACGAGGAATACGCCCAATACCAGGCTTACATGGAGAGGCGCCGGGCCAAAGCCGCCAAAGCGAAGAAGGCAGCAATCAGCTCCGACTCCAAGCGCAAGCTCGTGCTCGAGAACAAGGAGGGCATAAACGCGAAGAGGAGCTGGAAAGGCGGTGGAATGCGGGGATGTGACTTTGGTATCCAAGTGAGTCTTCTATCTTGGGTCTGTCTTTGGGGTTGCGGGCGGGTTGTGCTGCGGTGGGGCGGGAGTCTGTGCATGCGCATGAGATTAAGAGCTGACAGAACGACCAGGTCCCCAGCACAGACTCCGTCGACCCTCTTGCCCCTTCTCCCACAATAACCTCCGCTTCTCGAACGTCCCGGGCACTGTCGCATTCATTCTCTTTCCCCTCTTTCGCGCCTTCAACTTCACCCTTCCCCTCGAGCCCCGTCTTTGAGGGGGGGGACAAGTGCGGTTTCAGGCATTTGAGGCGAGTGTCGTCCGTGCCGAGTTTGAGCATGTCTGCTACGAGCTCTAGGCAGGGATCCATCATCAGCTCGCCAGAGACGACTACTGTCACTCTTCATTGAGACCTAGATGGTCTCTATGCTTTTTGTGTATCCTTATAGAAACGTGTACCCTATAGACAATTCTTCACCAGGCGCAGGCCGTCCGTCATTGTGTATCTTTCTCGACGACCTACTTTAGACATCATAATTCTTCTCCATCAATGTACCAATCCCTGTCAGTACCATGTTATACACCCTAGAGCAATCAACGTCATGTAGCACGTCCTTTCATACTCATCTACACATGATGTGGACTCGCGCTCTTCCAGCTAGCAGAGAAGACAAAGAGATCACTTGAGGAAGGTCTGCAATTTGCTCTTGTCCAGGATCTCATCTTCCACCAACCTTGCCGTTTCCTTGCCCTGCCATCATATGTCAGCTGGGTGCTCAGTGGAAAGGTGACACTGACGTTGTCGAACCGGACGATAGTAGGGATATTGTTGACATTCCAGTCGACACGAGCTTTGTTGTTCGCTGTCCTCCAACTATCGGATGTAGTCAGTCATGGACCACATAACTACTGAAGAACAGTGGAGGAGCCGCTTACTCTTGGATCTTGCCGACCCAGTACACGGCGGCGTCTGAATAGCCAGTCAGTACGAATGACATAAGTTGTGCAAGGTTGGCGACTTACTAGGCTTCTCAGGCCCGTCGAAAGCATCTTTGACGGTGGATTCTACAGCTACGCAATCCTACAAACGAGCAATGCGTATCAGCCGATTACCCTTGCAATGACGCCTCATTGCAGAACCCAACAACGGCTCGAGTGTTCCAAAGGAACAAAGGCCAAGATGGATAGTTTATACTGACAGGACACCACATCCGACCGTTCACGACATCGGAATAGAAGACAAGGTAGTGCGTGGGAGGGGCAGTGGGACCGTTGAGAGCGCTCAGGACGTGAGGCAGGCTTCGAGTAGTTTGAGGAGTCATCAGTGATTGTAGCAAGGTGGCAAGACATATTGTCAGTATTGGAAACGAGTGAGATGCCCATATGAATGCTGGGCTTACGGAGAGGTCTGGAGAGGCATTTCGATAGATGTAATTGAGCAATAGGAAGATAGAGGAAAGAACAAACATGGAACTGACTTTTTGGCCGAATGCCGCTCCGAACTCGCGGTCTCGTGTTTTTTCGGCGAGCGGCCTTCTTGCCCTTTGTTTTGACACCTTCCCTCCCAAAAACCTCCATTCACCGCGTCTCCCCATACCCCCCCGTCACCCCCACCCCACTTTGGCCAATGTCCCCCCAGAAACCCGCCCATCCTGCCCCCTCCACACAAACCCCATCTGCCCACCCCCGACGCGCTCCGACGCCAGACAGTGTCCGCCGAGGAACTGTGATCCTTCCTGTCTCCGCGAGGCTTGGGCTGGGGGACGATGTAGGGAGCAGTCCGGATCCGTTGGCGGGGAGTGGGAGTGATTTGGATGATTGGAAAGGGGTGGATGGGGGTAAGAGGGGAGGGAGAGGGGAGACGCGTTTGGCGCGTGAGCTGGGGAAGGGCGATGGTGTTTCGAAGGGATTGGGAGGGTTTCAACAAGAGGTGTTGACAGATACAACAACTGGAGATGAGCTTGGAACAGAACCCTCTTCTCGATATACATTCGACATATCTCTAAACGGGGTGGCATCACCACAAAAACAACAACCTCAATCCAACAAACTTCAAACTCCTAACAAACTTCAAACTCCTTCCACGCCTTTGGCCACTGTGCCATCAGCTCTTGTCGGCACTCCCACCCGCCAGTCACAACAGCCAAGAGGCCGGGGTGGAAAGTTCATGAAGAAACCGCCAGGAGAGAAGAAGGCGAAGAATAGGACACCGAAAGTCAAAGTACCGGCTGCTCCCAAGCCTGTGGCTATCCCTGCTACCGCAACTGGTGTGGGTGCAGGACAAGCGGTCACACCAGGTCCTTCCCGTCCTACTAGAGCTACTGCCGCTGCCCAAACACCCAAAGGGACGCCAAGCGCGTCCGCGTCAAAGCCGCCACAAACCCCAACCACCCCCAGTACGCCTCCCGACCCGAAAGGCAAAGGCAAAGCCGTCGAGCGCCGGGTGCTCCCAGCACGTATCAGACGTGCGACAGGAGGGGGCGCGGAGGGTATGCGGGATGTGGAGGAGATGATTATTGATTGGGTGCAGCGGTGGGGTGAGTCAACGAAGATGATGTGGGGTGAGAAGCTGATGGGATTGTAGGCGAACCCGTGACGACACCGCCGGATGATATGCCTATACTGGTAACTACGATATCACTAGACCTACTCCAACCACCAGTCACGACCCTCTCCCCGTCAAACCCCAATGTGCCGTCTATAACCCTCACCCCTTCACGCCCTTCCATCTCGAACCACCCCTTTCCCCCTGCCGATACTGCTTCCACAACAACAGGCATTGTTGACCATGGTGGCGAGCAGAGGTTGAAGAAGGAAGAGATGATCGAGACGCCGGGGTGGGTGATGGTCAAACCAGGCGACGATGATATGGAAGAAGCGCGCGAGGAGCTGGAGGGCGGTATCGGGAAAGCCAAGGTGCACACGAGCCCTGTCAAGAGGCTGAGAAAGGTGCATGATGAGCCGGAAGAAGATACTTCCGATGCGCATTATGCGGGGCTGCATCGCAAGTTTGAGGCTTTCGAGCGGCGGCAACGGTTGAGGGAGAAGGAGAAATTGCAGTTTGAACGGTACAAGATGGGTAACAGGATTGAGCTACTGAAGCAAGTGGCGAAGCCGTCTTGGGCTTCTGTTGTCTCGACGACTTTGGCTAGAGGGACGTCAGAGTGGGATGCAGGGAGGAAGAAGGTGGAGAAGGAAGGGGAGGAGTGGTTGAGGGAGAGATTGGTGAAGGAGGGACGGGAGGTTATGAAGCGGTATGACGAGCTTTTACCGGCCGAGTCGCGCAAGTAAGTGCAACCATTATTAGGAAGGCCTTGTACTGATGAGAATTAGACAAAAAGGCGACCGCCACTCCTCACCCTCCCAAACGCCCGAACCATCCGTCCTGCCCGCACGCGTAGCCGCCCTTCGCGACCCCGCCTCTACATCATCCAAGCGCAAACGCTCCTCTATTGGCCTATCCGCCGAAACAGCCAAAGAAGACGAGACGCCCCAAAAGGCGGCAAAAGCTTCAAAAGGACAGAGAAGGAGCCAGATTTTTGAAGCGGGGGGATACGAGGAGGTGACGCCGAGTCGACGGAAGAACTCCATTAGGACGCACCAGCCACCCAATATCTCTGATGCCCCCGCGCTCTCTGTTCTTCCGACTGCCGAGCCCCTTTTTGTGCCCCCGCTCACGGCCTCTGGGATGCCTGTCCTAGTAGAAGCTGCCTCGCGTCGCGAGCTCGCTATCAAAGAGCAAGAGGAGAGCAAGTCTAGGTCCGGGGCACCGAGAGAGGGCAGGTTGATCAAGTATGAAAAGACGAGGACCAGTCGACGATTGGACCTTGTCAGCCCATTTGGGATGCCTGTTCCAGGGGTTGTAGAGTACAAATCGGAGGTACGTTTGATCGCGAACCGTGAGATGAGCTAGGCTGACTTGGATGCAGTTTACGTTGACGGACGAAGAGGACTTTTGGCCGATAATAGCAGAGAGAGAAGAAAAGGCCAATCAGCATCGGAGGCAAAGCCTTCTGAATACGCCTGGTACACCAGGTCCAGGGTTGGGTCTCATGGCAAGCTCGTCTAATACTACTGAGAGTGGAAGCAGTGGCGCAGGTGGGGGAAGCGCGCAATTGCAGATGAGTGGGATGGTTGGCCTTGTGGGAGTGGCAGACGCCAAGGCTGGAGACGCTGTTGTACTTTAGGGTTTGCGTCGTGTAACGGAATGTCGGACCATGTATGTTGGGATAGCTGCAACGAGAAGGAAAGAGGGTCAGATGATGTCATGCAGTGGATGGCGGTAGAAGTTGAGTGACGGGAGGGAGTGTTTCGTTACGTGTCCTCAAGTATGAAACCTTGCTTTCCTACCATTCTAGCCGCTGATATCAATCGCTCATTCAAACAATGGAGTCGCCATCTCCATTCGAGAGCCTCGTCTTGTCCGTCCGATCCATATCGTCGATGAGTAGTTCAAGTTCAACTAGAAGTCTTTCAAGACCTGTCTACCGATACCCTACCATTCATATGCATTCATCTTTGATGTAAGTACTACCACGTTTATCCCACAGATAGTCAATCCAGTGAGCATTGCATGCATAGCCACGAGCAGAAGATATCCACAGCCGAGGCAGTATTGTATGGCACAAACGCGATTGGACCGCGCGGGTGCCACGAATAAAACGCCGAGTGTAGAGTTACGTAATTGCAATAATGGCTTCTTTCTGGTTGGTGGACGGATTGTGGATGAGCTGACTGGCGCTCACCAACTCTTCCTCATCCACATCTCACCATGCGTTCGTTATCCCTCCTCAGACCAGGAATCGCACCCCTCCTCGCCCGCCCCATCGCCCCCATCGCCCCCCTCGCAGTCCGCCACATCTCCACATCCCCTATCGCCCGCCTGGCCACCCCCTCCAACTACACCGGCCCGACCCACGTTCCCGCAGGACAGCCCAAATCCCCCAACCCCCTCGAGACCGGCACCGCCGATGCCGTCTCTGCCTCCCCCTACCCCGACTACTCGAAGGGACCATCAGCGCTCGACAAGGCGAGTCAGCTGTTGTTCTTGACCGAGATTGTCAGGGGTATGTGGATCGTGTTGGAGCAGTTCTTCAGACCGCCCTACACTATCATGTACCCGTTCGAAAAGGGGCCTTTGAGTGCACGATTCAGGGGCGAACACGCGCTGAGACGGTACCCTAATGGTGAAGAGAGGTGTATTGGTGAGTAGCTCTCTTTGCTGTAGAGTGTAGGGCTAACGAGGATCAAGCGTGCAAGCTGTGTGAAGCCATTTGCCCTGCTCAGGCTATCACTATCGAATCTGAGGCTCGTGAGGATGGATCTAGGAGGACTACTCGATACGGTGAGCATGCTTCGATACACTGCGAGCGCCTCCACTGACAGTGATTTAGACATTGACATGACAAAGTGCATCTACTGTGGTTTCTGCCAAGAAGCTTGCCCTGTCGACGCCATCGTCGAGACTCAGAACCAAGAGTTCTCTACCGAGACCCGAGAAGAATTGTTGTACAACAAGGAGAAACTTTTGATGAACGGTGACCGAGCTGAGCCTGAGATCCAGGCCAACTTGCAATCTGAACACGTACGTTCATCAGATTCTCATGGGCTCTCTTACGGGTCTATCCCATATGAGATCTGTGCTGACCCCTCTGCAGTTCTACCGATAGATTAATCAAACATACCCTGCATCAGCAAAATGTTTATGTAGCCCGTCACGACCCGATGGAGCACGCCAGAGAGGGAACGATGCGCATGTGGTGGAGATTTGTACATGCAGACACCATGGATTTCACGCCCAACCCGCTCGCTACTCATGACGTATCTTCAGAGAACCATTACAACAATACATTCCAACAACCCTCAGAGATCACTCATCACCGACATTCTCCTACGTATCAACATGCTGGACGATGTCGGAGGCGGGTGCACATGGGAAAACCGCCACCCCGCGGAGGGCCTGCGGAGGCCCTTGGAGTCTCCTGACGGGGCGATTCTATGTGCAAACGCGGCAAGTGATCCTATAGGCTGGCGTCAACGGCGCCCAATGATATGACTCGTTTTATCTCATTGGTGGACGGTCGACGCGAAGCTTTCGAAAGTCCGACACTCACCAATCCAGCAAAGACGGTTGGGGAGGTCGATTGTTCTGCGATACAGAGTTCCTGCCTGGATGATCGTCAGAAACGTCTCTACTGTTTGTGTGACCTGCTTACTTCTAACACTCTCAGCGTACACTCTTGTCTCCTTCATGACCGGTCGTCCCCTCCCTCGCTCAGTCAGATCCTTCTTTACCACCATTTCCCCTGGTATACCTGCCTGCGGCAACCTGATCCAACCCGGAAACGCCTTCTTCAACTTGTTCCCACCCTCTTGCCTACTCGACATCACGCGCGGATCGGCTTCAGAATAAGACGGCGGCACGCCATGAAATTTACCGACATTGGGACGACCTGTATTGGCTACTTGCCCGGGTCTTTGGGGCGATTCTGGAGGGCTGGAGTAAGCGGGGAGGGAGGGGAGGTTGGAGGAGATGGAGGAGCCCAGGAATTCGGCTTGTTTTTGGAGTTCGCCGAGGGAGGGGATGTTGGATAGGGCTCGGGGCGCTGCCCCGAGGGACGAGGTCATGGAAAAGATGTTGGGCATGGTGTCGTTTGCTGGGATCAGTCGTGAGACGGAAGTGCCTTTCTACAAGTTGAAGAGTCTGGTGGGTGTTGAGATGAGATGGTTGCTGATCTCGACTATACCTTACGAGAGTCTCATGGCTTCCATTCGCTCTGTGAAACTATCGTAGCTGGAGCGAGGGTACTGACGAGAAAGGGTTGCAAGGGTTGATGTGGCTGTCACATGCTGCGAGCTCGATCTTTGAAAGGACGGAGATGTCAAAGGATGCAGCTATAGGGCAGCCGGCGTGCCGAGTTTCCTTCCTCGAGGGGCAGTCGATGTTCATATTTGCTTTGGCGAGCGTACAATAATGTTTCCCTTGTGAGCAAAGCATTTCTGTAATGGTCTTCATGCATACGATGGACGGGATCAAAACAAAAGGATGGCGTTATCGATAACGGTCGACAATTTCAGGTCCCATCGCTTTCAGCCGAAATCCGACTTGCGCAATCCATCATTCTGTCATTTTGGCATTCATAAAGCCTCACTCATCCCCACCCTCAGCCAAGGACCCAGTCCATCTTTCCGACAGATACCAGAAGAAACAACATGCCCCTTACAGAAACTACATATCCTCCACCCGACTCGGCCATCGATTCTTCTTCGTCGCCGGTCTTTCTCATCTTCTACTCGAACGTGGAAGGAGGGAGTATGTGGTGTCCCGTGAGTGTCTGAGATCCATACATGGTGTAGTATTGCTTCACGCGAAGCTGCCAAAGCTGATAAGGCCATCTTCAGCATTGTAGAGACGTGCAGGGTGTTGTCAAAGCCGCATTCACTGGTGGCTCGAAACCTCGTACGTTTCTCCTGCTGCAATCTTCAAGCTCTGAGCTAACGAGCATGCTTTGTAGGAGGAGTAATCACATATGTGGGTAACTACACGCAGTACGTCCAACAGGCTGAAAGCAACTCGATGTGCGGCTTACTAATATGACCTTGTCTGATCGCAGATGGAAGACCCCTTCGCACCCCGCTCGAGGCAAGTATGGCGTCAAGAGCGTACCTACGATCATCAAATTCCAGAACGTAAGCAACCTTGCATCACATGCTTCCCAACGCCTTGCTGATGAATGGACAGGGGAAAGAGACTGGTCGGGCGACAAAGGCAGATATCCTCGATTCTGGAAAGTTTGAAGCCTTTTTGGGCGTATAAGACATGTCAATATGATATCCATAATACTTCAAGAACCGATGTCCCAGACGCTAGCTACTATACAAGAATACAAGTCGACGATGCGAAGACTAGTCGTCAATGGTGACGAGCCCGTCCCCGCCCAAAGCGATCGCTACGTCAACACCAATGTTTTGGTATGGGGTGGTACTGTAGTAAAGGTAGATCTGTGGGGAGAGATCAGCTTGTTTCAAGATAAGATAGGAGAAACGTACACAGCTGACAGTGGCAATATCTTGTGAGAGTGGGTGAATCAGCATACGCCATGCGCGAGGAGATGCGATCAGCGTGCGACTCACCATCAGGGTCAATGTCCCTCTTCTTCTCTGCGGCATCATCGCTCAAGCTGTCCGCCTCGAATGACTGGGAGACGAAGATAGGCTGGTCGGTCTGTCCGTGGTCTTGGGGAGCGTAGTACCTGGGGCAGAGGTCTTCAAAGCTATGCTTCTTGGTCAGCAGCCGGACACGGGGATGGTAGAGGGGGCATACTCTGCCTTGAACTGCTCCATGGTGGAGTTTGCGGGTTTGATGACCTTTGCGGTAGGGGGGAGGTCGGTGGCGTCTTGCCTGGTGCCGAGGAGGGAGAGCAGGGTGAGGGTGTTGACGAGCATTGCGTGAGGGTTGATCTGGTATGACAGGAATGCGAGGTCCAGCTTTGTCCTTTATGTAGATGTTCGGGCAAAGCTTGGAACCAGCAGACAAAGCAGCGTCAACGGGCAGAAGCAATATCGAGAGCCAAGGCAATGCAAAAGATGTCCCTGGTGAGGTATGCCTGACCATGCTAGTACATCATCTAGCTTTCATCAACACCATGCGATGTTTGCTTGGCAAAGATGGACAGCATGGTCGCATATTGTGGCGGTGAGTTGGGCTGGAGAAAAGGAAAGATCGCCATGCAAGTCACACCCTGTGCTGTACGGGCTGTCCTCTCGGATCAGATCAAAGTCAAAAAGCATGCGCGTCGGAAGCAACAACGTTCAAATTGGCGCGTCCATCTCGTCGCACATGTGTCATGACACTGGGTCCCCGGCGCCTATAACAGAATACATGAAGGTCTACCACTCTTACAACACACCAACACTATTCGTAATCTTCTGCCCATGCAAAGACGCACGCTTCACAATTTCGCCTTTCCCGCCACACCCTCACAAAGCTCCCTCATATCCCTCAACGCCTGCACAATATTGTGCTTGAACCTCTGCGTCGACGTCTTATCACACGAAAATTTGGACTCGATCCCGAATTTGATCAGGTGTGGGCCCGCGAGGTCTTACACACAATCATCAGCTGACACTCAGTCGCCAAAGGGCGCAGACGGAACTCACAGTTGATACCATACCCATCCGGCCAAGCCGCCCCAAACCCAGTCCCCATAAACTTTTTCCCAGCACTCAGCCCCGACGTCGACAGCTTCCACTCCTGACTCTTCGCATACAGCTCATCTTCAAAGATCTGATGCGTCTCCCCGGCTCTCAGCTGCACTTTCAGCCCCATCAGATGCCGGTCATACCCTTTTCCGAAGGAGGCGTTTTTGGTGAGCGTGTTGTGGGTGGTGCATGCTTTGGAGAGGAGGGCGTAGCGCTCTTGGGGGGAGGAGGTGGGGGATGTCATGGAGAGGACGAAAGCGCGAGAGTCGGAGGAGAGGGAGCGGATGACGTCGGTGCGGCCGTGTAGCATTGTACGGGTCGAGGCAGTTTCGTAAGTAGCGGTGGGGTAGCCTTGGTCGAGGAACCAAGCGAGCTGAAGGGCTTGTTGGATGTATGCGTCGGGGGATTGCTTGGCTAGCAGAGAGGTGAGCTGGGAAATGGGACGTTGGGTGGGAGGAAGACGTACCAGACTTTTTGATCCATTCGGCAGCATATTCACCCCACCAGAGCTGACTCGCATCAGAATCTTCAATCAGCTTGTTCGTCTTGCCTCTAACATCCTCGATCTGGCCCAGAGTCTCATTATCAATCACCCAGTCATGCCTCTGCCAGCCAGCAGCCCCGGCCGTCGCGGGCGCAGGCCCAAACTGCGACTCATCCACATCCTCCGCCAACGCATACTCCGCCACAATACTCGGTATAAGCGCATCCACCGGCGAATGTTCCCCCATAATCCCTGCCCTGCCATTCGTCTCCACCAGCACGCTCACAGCTTTGTCGAACCACCTATTGCTCCCGCCCCTGATGCCTGTAGCGTTATTGCGCATTTGGGCGTCGACGGATGGTAGGCGGAGAGGATCGCCGGAAGGGGGTGGGACGGAGGGGAGGGTGTAGGGGTCGAGGGAGAGGGAGAGGAGGGAGGAGGAGAGGGAGTTGAATGTGGAGCGGTTGGAAGGAGAGAGGAGGATGAGGCGTTCGCGCGTCTAGGTTGATGTTAGCTTGCTCCGGGTCTCATGTGAGAGACGCACCTTGGCCCAGTTGTCTCTTTCATCCCCACTCAGGATCCCGACTTCTGGGGCCGCTTCTCCAGCATCCTTGCGTTTCTTGGCATCAGCTACAGCAGCTTTGAACCGGCTTTCAATCTCTGCCACAGGTAACGGTTCTGGAACACCGTCCGTGGAAGGGGCAAAGATGTCTACAGAGTAGTATTGGTTGTCAATGAGTAGAGAGACGTGGGTAGCTTTGGGTTGGGGGGTGGAGAAAGCGTCGCATTGCGGGAGTGGTACACGTGTCAAGTTGAACATGCTACATTTCGTCAGCTCGACCATTTTTTAGAAAGTGAGACTGACTTGAGATACTGGCTCATGCAGAACGGTGTCCCATTCCTCGCAGCATCAGGCGCCACCTCCTCCTTATGCAGTTTCGCCCTAAACTCTGCGAATCGCCGGACCAGCCAAGCTGCTCGGCGGATCTGATGCGGGGTGATCCATTCTTCGCTCGTTACTTGATCCCACGCCACGGCAGGGTCGATAGAGTTGGATTGAATCCATTCGGCACCTCCGCCTTGACTGCCTTTCGCTGCACCCCCCAGAGGGTTCGGTTCGGGCAGACTGACAGTTGAGGAGTCGAGGGACTTGCCCCCGAGCGAGGTGACGGGCGGAACAGTGTCGGTAGGGTCTGGCGCAAAGCAGAGCCACCAATTAGAGTTGACTGGGAGGGGCGCTCGCCAGGTGTGGTACGCCAGAGCGAGCCAGAGTGTGTCGTTGAGCCAGTTGTTTGGCGAGACATGATCCAAGTCTACGTCGACCCAAGTTAGTCAAGAAGTCATGTGACAGAGGGATATACTGGCCTTTTAGACGCTCCTGGAGAGCTCTTCCCAGACCGTCTTTGCTAGCAAAGTCTTTGATGTAAAGTTTGCGCTTCTCGAGCTCGTTGGGCAGAGCTGCTTTGCCATACTGATAGGTATATGAGCGTGAAGTCGCGTCATCAGATCCACCACGCACCTTGTCTTCGAGCAGCGGCAATAAACTGGTGAGGTAGCCATCTAAGCTCTCTTGGAGACCTGGCACGGGCAGCCTGGGAAGCTTGTGCTGGTTTGCAAGTGTCTTTGCCTGGGCGTTCCGATGGGCTTGAGCAGCGAACATCCTGGTGCTGGGTCGGGGATTGTAGGTGGAGAGTCTGTTGATGGAGGTGAGTGGGCGATTTTTGAGTACGGATTTGAGGGACATGGCCGTCAGTGGTAAGCCGTCATCTGTATAGCTGAATTGTAATGGGAATTGAAAAGATAGTTGAGATATATCGATGTTGGCGGTGGATGCTTGACTTTTCGCTTATTGCGCATCCGGGGGCGGGGAGGGCCGCTATGTGGGGGGAGCGTTATTCCGCCGGCGGCCAGGCGGGGTTCCCTTCTTTTGTTTCAACGTGAACCGTGATTTATAGTCCATCGTAATCCTATATCCATTTCAAAGTGCCCCTGCTTGCCCTCAAGAAACTACCCCCGGACATATCATAAGTCTTACTTCTAGACCAAGGCTGCAACGACAACGACCATGTCGGACGCCGCCCTCGTGCAGCTCCTCGACATGGGCATTCCCCTCGGAAGGGCGAAGGCCGCGCTCAAACGCACCAAGGGCGATAGCATGAGTGCTGCTGTGCGTCAACTCATCAATGCAGTATATGAAAGAATGCTAACAATGCATAGGAACGAGTGTTCGCGGGAGAGTTTGACGAGATACCATCTGACGACGAGGGAGACGATGCGGAAGCGAATGCCTCGGGTTCCGCTCAGAAGGTATGATCGAGTCCAAATCAAGTCTGTCTTCTCTGACTGTATGCAGATCACTGAGCAAGTCAAACAAGTCGTCACAATAAGCAACTCGGACGAGGACATGGTGGAAGACGATGAAGATGCTGAGATGATCTATGGCGAGGAAGATGATGACGGCTATGATGATATGGACGATGGGTTTGGATATGATGGTGCGCTTCATCTACCCATCCCTTATCTGTTCAACTGACAATATCCAGGTATGTCGGACGACCAGCCGCATGCTTCAGACCCTTATGCCGGCATCTTCTTCTCAAAGGACCGAGTAGAAGAGGTTATCGAACCGATTGACGACGACGAGTTCGAGACTGTCCCTACGCCGAGCGGAAACACCAAGATCAAAATTCTGGGGCGAGGAGCGTGGATGAGTGGATGTCCTGAAGGAGGTGAGCTTTGGGAGACGCTAGTCTTGTCTTGGGACTGACGCGAAGATGTATAGGCGAACAGAGCTTCCTCTTCCAGCTGTATAACACTCTGGAAGAAGGCCAGATGGCATGTTCTAACAACTGTGGTCATTCCTTCACCCGGAAGAATCAAGACTTTTTTGGTCTCTTCGTATGTCACTCTCCCCTCGACATACCGTGCTGACTCTCCATAGCCAACCTTTCCACAATACACCGAATACCTCGCCAACAGCATCCGTCCCAAATGTCCCAAATGTGCCCAAATCACCTGCCTCGCATGCGGCGAGCGAGTCGATCGTCCATCTGCCCTTCGGTCCCACTCCCACTCTCTCGACTCTGTCAAAGGCAAAGACCGATCTTCCGCCACCCCTACTACTAACGCTGAGAGCTTTGCTCCGGCCGAGTCTCTGTTCCACTGTGCCAACCTGCAAGGTGCCGTCCTCGGCATCGGCTTGCACATGATTGACCAAAACTTTAAAATTGGAAAAGACCAGACTCGGAAAGCCGCTCTAGCCGGTGGGAAGGTGACTCCGCCTACCAAGAAGAGAAAGACTGGTAGCGCAGGGGAGGAAGACGATGATGCGGACACGACTTTTCAGTATTTTGGGAAGGGCAAGTCGGCTGTGAAAGGGACTGGATATGCTGGAGAACTTGCAGAAGACAGGACGGGGCAGATTGCAGCTGAAAAGGCTCAAGCCGCCGCCGACGCTCTTGTCGCTTCTCTCCTGCAACAAGTATCCGTCTTTCTTCCGAACCCTAATCGAGCAGGTGGCGGTCTTGCATCAGACTATCACGTCCACCCAACTGTACTCGCTCACCTCCGACGCCGGAGCACGTTCGTCAACGACCTGCTTCGTAATGACTCTCTCCTTGATATGAGCAAGCGCGGCGATCTCTACCGCACCCTCTTCGACTGGCTCGAGATTGTTAGTGATAACGAAAGTCTGTCGAGTATGCTCGGTATGCCATCCATGCGGCCCGCTCGATCAGTCCAAACGCCCAACGACCCCACTTCTTCAACAATCACCTACGAAGGCGCGCCTTCACCTCGGGAACTGCTAGAGAATGTTGTGATTCAGGCGCAAGCGGCTCTGAGGGGTTTGCAGGGTGTTCAGTCGGCGGATGAAGAAGAGAAGGATAGGAAGTTGACGGAGGAAGAGTTGAGGGCGAGTAAGGCGGAGGTTGATAGGTTGGCGCAGAAGAGGGTGGAGCAGGAGAAGAATGATGAGAATAGTGTGCTCAAGGCTTTCTGGTGCGTGACCACTCGTAGCCGTGACGCAGGGAAGCTAACATGGTGATAGTTTGCGGATCGTCAGGAGCGCGGAAACGATCGACAAGCGGCTGGTTGATACCAAGGGCAAAGCGTTTGTAGAACGGATGAAGGCGCAATTGCCAAGGATCGAAGAAGGCGGCAACGTCGAGGAAGCTGTCGCAGCGGAAGATGAAACGGACGAAAACATCATCAAGATCTGTGGGTCCGACCTGCATATATCGGAGTTTATGGCTTATGAGTGTACAGACGAGGAATGGGCCACAAAAGCAAGATTCCAGTACATCGATCTCAGCACCGGCAGCACTACCGTCGGGACACCGGCTTTCAAACATGCGTATAGCGCATCCGCCTCCGGCATCGAAAACAACGTACGTACTGCAGCGTGACTCGTCATCAACCTGCTGACGGGCCTCTGCAGAGCGCCCCCAAACGGTCTCTTGCTATCGCCAAAGAGCTGGCCATCCTCACGACCAACCTTCCCGTCGCTTACCATTCCACCATATTTCTGCGCGTGGACGAAACCCGAGTCGATGTACTCAAAGCCATGATCACTGGTCCCGAGGGGACACCATACGAAAACGGGTGCTATCTCTTTGACATCTTCTTGCCACTAGAGTACAACGTGAAAAGTCCGATGGTCAAGTATATGACGACGAATGGAGGTAAATTTAGGTATAACCCGAATTTGTACTCGGATGGCGTAAGTGGCACCCCCCTTATTTCTTTGTGTATACTGACGGGCGCGAGTAGAAAGTCTGTCTGAGTTTACTCGGTACTTGGGCGGGTCCAGGTTGGATCGCCGGTCAATCGACCCTTCTTCAAGTTCTCATCTCGATACAAAGTCTGATTCTCTGCGACGAACCATATTGCAACGAGCCTGGCTGGGCGAATGATGGTGGTGTACGTTCATCGTTTGTTTCGGGTCTTCTTGATTAGCTGATACCTGAGACAGAGTCCACAAAGCAAAGCTTACAACGCAAATGTGAGACGGATGGTCCTTCTTGATGCCATGGCCAACAATATCAAAAGACCTCCTCATCCTTGTACGTATATCTTGGAACACTTTGTGAAACTGTACTGACTTTTGTTGCCAGTCGAGAATGAAATCAAGACTCATTTCAGACTGAAAGCCAAGACTATCCGTCAACAAATCGAAAAGTACGTTGTATCACAGCTTTTTCAATGACGGGACCTCCGCTGACGATTGATCCAGATGGAGAGCGCTGGACGACAAGCAAGAAATCCTCGGCGACAACTGGCGCGACAAGAACGACCCTGAAAACACCAACCCCGAATCTAAACGAGGCTTTGCGCACTGTGCTAGGGAAGTCTTGAGGTTGTTGGATGAACTTGAAGGGAAGCCGCCCGGGGAATACGCTGTCGAACCTAGTGGGGAAGGGAATGATGGGAAGGCGGGCGGGGCGAAAGAGAAGAAGGAGAAGAAGACGGTGTCAAAGCTGAAAGCTGCTATAGGGAAGAGCAAATAGAGGTGCTCGGGGGGTACTGCTATCTTGGATGATCTCATGTATTAATTATACGCCAGCACCGTTTGCAGTATTCGATGAAGAGCGTGCTGATAAGGTCAGGGGTTCTAATTGTCAAGAATTTGTCATGTACTCGCAACAAGGTATGTATGCTGGGTGTATAAGATATCTATCATCCCTCAAGGCGAGAACCGTGACCAAATCTAAACATCCGGCATCTCTCTCAACACCAATCTCTCAAAGTCCTTCTCGCTCCACCCGTCCTCTTCAAGCGCCGCAAACAGCTGCCCCTCATTTAACCCAAACGACGTCAAAGTCCCGTCCACGCCTTCACTCCATACCTCGCCTCTCATACTCGCCCTTTCCTTCTCCCGCCGCATAATCGCCAATGAAGCAGGATTATGCCCCTCCAAAACCGAGAGCACCTCATCTTTATCAGGAAAATACAATCTCGGCTCCAAGAACCCAAAGATCGCCAACGCCGCTCTAAAGATATATCCTTCTCCATCCAAAAAGACTTGATCCCAGACCCTACAGCTCGCTTCGAACCCGAGCTGCTCCACGAGCAAACTCTGGAACCAACTTTGCGGTACACCGACGCCGAGGGACTTGCAGTTTGCGTAGATCTTTGGATATCGATCGGCTTGGAGGTTTTCGAGGACGCGGTAGTAGGCTGCGATCTCGGAAGGGAGGGGGGTGAAGAAGGCGCGGAGGACGGGGCCTGCAAGGATGTTGAGTAGGGTATGGAAAGCTGTGGCGGGTGGAGAAGCGAGGAGGAGGATACCAGCAATGAGGGTGATATATGGTGCCTATGTATCGTCAGCGATGTCTCAGCTTGAGTCTTGCAGACTTGCATATCCCAGACCCTCGTCGCTTCTGTATACCAGCCAGGCACAGATCAACTCTTTTAGATCATCTCTCAAAGGACTGCCCCGGTAAAAGACGTTGAGAGTGACGAGTGTGTTGTCGAGATCTCTTTCTATTGTTTCCAACAGGTCCGCGGGGAAGCGCTCGTTGGCCAGACCCTTCCGAGCTCGGCTCAGGTATGGTTTGTACACATCTGGAATGCGGTCAGCCGGACACGATCCATAGCGATGATACTTACCCTTGGACAGTGCAAGAGGATTTCCGACCGCCAAACTCCACGCTCTACCCCTCAGATGACTCGGTATTCCTTCAAACCACAATCTTCTTATTTCTGGGTCATTTCTAACCCTCTGCGCCGAAAAGTCTTTCTCATCCAGCAGTTTCTCCCATTTCGGCGCTTCCGCCGCCAGCCTCTTTTCCTTCTCTAGCTTCTGCTTCTCATGCTGCTTCGACACAACCTTCTCGTGCTCCCTCGCATGTTTCATCATATCCTCCCATTGATGCAGATGCCCCACATCTTCCGTCTTGTCTTTTGGTGGTAGCCACGCGGGCCTGGTATGCGAGATGACCTTCTCAAATGTGCTTGAGCCTTTCACTCCCAAAGCAGGCATCGCTTGAGGCTGTGATGTGGAGGTAGATGCCTGGGAGACGTGGGTCGCGTTCGAAGTCGTAGACATGGCTGATAACCGCTTCGGGTTTGGAGGGGGAGGAGAGGTAGGGATCGGCCATGGGAAAGGATGGGGAGGTGGAGCAGCTCGGCGAGGGGCAGGGGTAGGGGTAGAGGCAGACGTTTTTACGCTATCTGGAGGTTCATCCCCGTCTTCTTGGGGAACATCCCCCGCACTCTTCGCCCTTTGGACTTCTAACGGAGGAGGGGGTAAAGGCGGGTGTTCTGGTAGTTGACCATGTGCCACTCTCTCTCCGTTTGATATCCCAAATCCACTCCATGACCGCCGCTTATCTGGGGTGTTTTGTGGAGATAGTTTGTCGCGGGGCGAGGAGGGCAGAGGCGCAGCAGGCGCAGTAGGGGCGGGAGGGGTCGTGCTCAGGGGTATAGATTCGAAAGGTGCCGAAAGATCCCCATCTCCCTCCTCGAGCTGCTCCGGATGTGACTGGAATGTCTGGTCTTCTAGTGATGCAGAAGACGAATATTCTCTAAAAGCGAGAGTATGCGAGGGCGCCGAGCGGGGTGGAGACAGGGTCAAGCTCAAACTCGACGTGGATCCTGGAAGAGGAACTCTTGTTGGGGATGCCGGTAGCTCCAAGTCTTCTCTGCTATCCTCTCTGCCGTGCCCATTTGAAAGGTTAAATGACCGATAGCTTGGCGAAGGTGAACGCGTCAGGACGCGACTGAGCCGAGGATCGCTGTTGTGATGCGCAGAGCTGAGCGATAGAGGGGAGAGGGGATGAGCACCTTTGGGTTTCGGAGGCGTTTCGGGTGGTATTGAAGGGAGGCCACCGCCGATGTCTCCATCTTCATCCGCCAATTCAGGAGACTGGGCGGGGTGCGGGTGCTCTAGTGATGTGCTGGACGCGTCTTTCGCCAGCGAGAGTGTGTCGGGTTTTTCTGTGGGTGGTGGAGAGAGTGTGAAGCTGAGATCCGAGGTTGAGCTCGAGATGGGGATCTTTGTTGGCGAGACTGGCAGCTCGGCGCCGATGTCCCCTGCGTCGTCCTGTGCGTGTGTCGGAGACGCGGGAGGGGAGTCGAGCGAGAGGTCCTCGAAGTTCTCTTGTGGGGTCTCGGGGGACATGGGGGACTTGAGGACAGCTCGGTGGACAGAGAATTGCAAGAGGTGACACGCTCCGTCGGCAAGCCGGCCGCTCGAAGGCGGCGATGACCGCTTTGCTGAGTTGAACGAACAGGCATAAGTCTTGAGCAGGCCGTGAGCGAGCTTGTGGCAGTGCATCTGCCTGATGAAGAGGAGATTGCACTCATGGACAGAATATGGTTTTCAATCTTATAGCATGATGGGATGTTACAGGCTGTGCACGGGTGAACAGGCGATTTACGATTTCAAGTCAACTTTTCCCAGCGGCCGGGGCCCAGTCTCTCGGAGCTATGCTGCTGCATCGATAAGGAAAGAGTGCGATGACAGACAGCCACCTAGTGTAGCTTCAGTGATGCCAGTAACGGAATACAGAGTGAGATGTGTCCCAGAACCACGGGTTTTCGTCAAAGCAATGCGCGAACTACTGTTGGCGAAATGTCGCGGAGGGCCGACTGACATCATCATCATGGTCTTCACTTCTTCACTTCTTCACTTCTTACTGAATAAGTTTGGACTGACTATTGAATCTCAGCAGCCACTACCCAACATAGAGATGCATGTATCACTCATCCTCACTACTTTCAGAATCTGTACTATCAACAAAATAGTCGTAGTGCGGAGCTAGCGCAAGATTGCGGAACGTCTTCAGCTCCTTCGTGACCTTCTCCACGACCTCATCTCGCAGAGCTTCACCGGCATCGGAGAATTTACTTTCTACAGCCTCGCCTAGATCTGGGTACTTTTCGGTCTCGTTCTTCATCACATTTGAGCGCGCCAACTCGAGCCACTGGGCTTCAGTGACTCCGTCATGCCCTCGCCCAACCGCAAAATCCAAAGTGTGCTGTTGGTCACCGGCTTTGGTGGGGATCTCAATGTTCCAGGCGGCATCGTCATCACACCTGTAGCGCGAGGTCACGCCATCGGCGGCCGTAGCAATGTTTTGCCATCCGTCTTCTCCACCGGCTAGATGGGCTTTGTAGGGCTTGTAGGATGGCGGCAGTTCAAACCGAGAGCCATCCAGGGTGGGATTCGGGACACTTATGAAGGCTGGTGGTTGTTCATCGTCGTCAGACGAGGAGTAATCTGAGGAGCATGAGACGGTATCCCAGCTTTTTACGCTTGCTGTCATGTTTGATGTTGATATACTGAACTTTCAAAAAAAAAAAAAAATCTCAGAAACGCGAGACTGTGTCTGGTATATGAGTAAAGTCTCACCAACGGCCTCGCCAATATAAGCGCCATACTGTCAGGAATAAACATCGGGATCGAGAATAGATATCTGGTGTCTATGGGCGGGGGATGATGGGTGATGAAGGGGATATATCAAGGGAGCTGAGCACGCAAATGAGGCGGCGATCGCGACAAAGTCTGACGGTGAAATGATCAGAAAGGCCTATCATTACGTGCACAATCTCCTCATGAGAACGGCGAATGCACAATGGGAAGAAGTTGTATGTCTCTTGGCATTTGGAGAATCCGGATATCATCGCCTCTGATATGGTATAGATGAAAGGAAAAGGAGTCCGCTCTCACTAGACTGTGGTGAGTGTGCACATTGCTAGCTGGATGCAATGATCGGTGGACATCTAAGCAGAAGAAGGCGCTTCACTAGGCTGTAATATGCACGCGTACTCTGCTTCGTACTCTTTGTAAGGACCCATCTACCTTGATTCTGTTATCAGACTATGAGGTCTCATGGGACTTGCTGTCTCTCTCCGACAACGGCTCTGCATGATATCAGATCGCGAAGTAGTGAGCATCTCGTCATCAGCTCGGTGACCGACGGCCAGCGTGATATACGCGCATATCTTCGTTGTGGCTTCCGGCTCTTCTTCTTCACTGGACCTCGATCAACATCTAGGAAGACCAAAGGGCCTCGCTGAGAATCATACCAATGCATACCAGTAGACTCATTTTCAACTCATCGCTACGGGTATACCCTATCTTGTCATTGATTCACTGATCCCATGTTCCGCTCCACTCCTTTCATTCAGAAGACTCCCCGCTTTCAAAGTCAAGTAGAGGAAGTACGTATCTCATAATAATTAGCCTTCCATGTCAATGTCTTCTTCTTCTGGGGAGGCAGCTACCGAAGAAGCTCCCGATTGGTTGGATTCGACAATCATCTTGTAGATGGTGGCCAACTCTTCCCTGATGAATTTCCGATGAGATCTTTTATCTTTCTCTGAGGCGTAGTAGTATGTCCGCTTGACAGCATCGGTAAGATTGGCATAGCGTTCACCCTCGCCCGGCTGTATGAGACGAGACAACGCCACCTTCGTCCAGTCTTTTTCGTTGTCAAGGTCATCCTCAAGATCAATTTCGGCAATTTCAATGTTGAGAACTCCCTCAAACCCGTCAATCGAGCCAAAAAGTTGAATAGCAGTACTAAGCTCGGTGCCGTCGTTCTTGGATATTCGGCATTGAGAGGTCAGGTCATCTCCACGATATATGCCTTTCCAGCCATATTCCATGGACTCGACGCGTGGCTCGTCGTTGCTGACGGTGATGTCCATTGCGCTATCTTCGGCAGACATGTTGCTGTTACTTTGTGTCTTTGGTAAATTTGAGGTAGCTTCGACGTGACGTTGCAAGTGTCGTTTATATATTTTGACGAACATCTATATATGGCGGAGAATCATGATCGATCTGTACATAGAATCAGAAGCGAATGAAAATAGCGCACCAAGACTCTTCTATGATTGCTCAAGTAGCCTTTATTGGTTTCTGAGTACAGGCGATGAAGTGGTGATCATGATGAAGGAGGGTGACAGGAGACATACCATGCTTCTCTTTATCCACAGTGTATCTGTTTTTAGACCTTCAGAAAATGACAGATCCTCAAATAGGTTGATAAAAGCGCATCCCGCCTCGTCATGGAGGTCTGTCCTTTCATGTTCATATTCGTGGAACCCGAAAAGGGGATGATTGCAAGCAGACTGAGTCAGCTTTCTTTATCCCACGGACCTTGGGAGACTATCTGCGAGGTCGTATGAAGCTGTGTCATGCTTCGTGCTGCGTGTCGCTCGCAGATCACATGTAGCGGACCTACGAAAAACTCTTGTCGGTTACTACAGTATCATACCAAAGAATGACACCTGCAGATTGATTTTGAACTGTATGTACACCCTCAAAGATACGTCTCGACTCCATGTCACAGGCACTCCTTTCCCAACCTCGATATCATACAGACCGCTCGCATTCCAAGGCCTATGAGAACGACAGTACTATTGGATCGACGCGTCCTCGTAGTCCTTGTCCTCCATGTTTACCATGTCTTCCGGGGAGGATGCCGCTGAGGATCCCGACTGATTGGGCGCGATCAAGAGCTGGTGAATGGTGGACAACTCGTCCTCTACCATGTTTGGATGCTCTCTTCGACCTTCTTTGAGGCGTGTGGTATGTCTCGCGTCCCAATATCTTGAGGCTGATGAGATCATTTCCAAACAGGGAAACATCAATGCAGGAGGCTAATGAGATCATTCACAAGAAGGGAGACAGTATAGCAAGAGAGAAGGACAGGAAGAGGGGAGCCGTCGTACTTCTCCTGACATACAGGATCTGAATCTCTAGCCATCTCATACGGGCAATCATTATTGGCCAAGTAAAGGAAAGTCCTCAGACTGCTCAGAAAAGTAGCGTATAGCCCATGTCAATGGTCCCAAGAGTCAATCAATGGCACATTGGTCTAGCTGGCTCTCTCTATTAGGGCTTCGTTGAGACTACGCCAGCGTAGTAGGGATCACGGCACGGCACGTGAAATCCCATACTGCTGCCATAACTTCTTTCCAGAATACATTACTTCTATTCTGTCATTGACGGATACTTGTATAATTTCACATCTGACCTATCCTTCCCTTGCATGCCTGCTCCCACCATCCACCGTGATCCAAGCCGTATCCCTACTGTCCGTCCCTGCCGCCCTGGGTCGTAGCCTTCAACATCATTCCCGTTACATCCAGCCTCATTTTCATTCAGCCTCCTCGCTTTCAGAAGTCTCGCTCAGCGCATATTTTTAACTCGTCCAAGCTGATGGTGGTATGTGCCGCAGCGGTAGATGAAGGCTGGATGGACAATTCGCGAATGGTGGCCAGCTCGTCTTCGACGTCATCCTTGTAGCTGTCTCGAGCTGCTTCGTCGACCGGAAAGTATACCTCATCGATGGCTTCTTGTAAATTATCATATTTGCGGGAGTTTCTGTCTGCTGGTACCCTTATGTTTAGCTCCGCCTCGTCTAACCAATCATTTTCGTCACGTTGAAGACTGGTTTCGTAATGCGGGATTTCGAAGATCAGCACCCCTAAGTGTCCTTCAAGCGTACGAGGGATCTGAATAGTGAGATCAGAGCCGCTGTTGGTGCTTCGGAATGATGAGGTAATGGTCGTCCCCCGAGCTATTGCCTGTCAGTCATATGGTAAGGTTACAATACGGGGGTCGTTGCTGACAATGTCTGACGTTGAGATGTCAGAGAATGATCCGGTGGTGCTGGCGGACGGCATGTTACTGTATAGTCGCTTCTTGATAACTTTTGGTGTCCTGAAACTGAGAGTGACGTTGTTCTGATGTTGAACGATGCTAATATATGCTGACCGGCGGCTGTTGTTTACCATAGCTGACCATTTATGTTCCGGATCATCTCCGAGACTCCGACGAGGAAGGGAGACAGAGTAGAAGCAGGATGACAGGAAGAGATCTGTGGCCGACAGAAAGGAGGGCAACTGTCTATGGATATCGATATCCGTACTCCTTTGATGGTTCCGAATGGGCCCGAAAGTAAGAAGGCACATTAGGCGGCTGCTGGCTCCTGAATCTCAATGCAATGAACAAGGGAAGGGGTGGTATTTTGAGCCATATCCATTTGATGTCGCCAAAATAGCAGCATAGAAAGGTCCAGCTGTATACATCGTGGCGGCGAGTACCATGATGCTGCTGTCATACAACTGCCATACCATCTTCATCCCAGAATACGTTTCTTCCTTCCTGTCATTGATGCATACCCGTTTGACTCTACCTCTCAGCTAACCTTCTCTTCTTGCATACCTGGCCCCGCCTCATCCCACGGCCTTCATTCTTCCCTGCAACGCAGGAACCCGTCCGCCACACCCAGCCCCAGTTTCATGCAGACCCCTCCCCTGCATCAGTCATGGGAGCATCCATGTCTGCCTCGTCCGGGCTCATGGCTGCATCTGCCGAGGCCTGAGACTGGTTGGGTGCGATCACCAATTGGTGGATAGTGGCTAGTTCGTCAAGGACTATATCTTCGTACTCGATTCGATCTTGTTCGCTGGGGCAAAAGTACACGTCCTTGAGTGCTGTATCCAGATCCTCATAGTTGTGGGCTTCGCTGTATAGAATTCTCACGCTTTGCTTCGCTCTTTCCACCCACTCCTCTGTATTATAATCCCGTGACTCGCCATGGAACATGTCAATAGTCAAAACTCCTTGGCACCCACGGATCGAACTAGCTATCTGGATACGGATATCGTGATATCATCTAATGCTCTTGAACTGAGAGGACAGCCGACTTCCACGAGCAATTCCCTGCCAACCATATGGCCGAAACACGAGACGGGGCTCGTTGCTGGTAGCGTCGGTCGCTGCTGAGGCTTCATAAGCTGCCTGGCTGCTACTGGCGGACATGTTGTTGGTCTTTCGTTTGGAAATGTGCGTTGAGGCTTGGAGTGACTTTAATGTGATGTCGGAAAACGGCATGGTGGGTTGTTGACTGACCGCTGGGTGTTGGCATTTATACCAGGAAGAGCATGATCCTTCATACACAAATAGACCATGCGGAGTGAAATAGAGAGCCGAAAAAAGCCTCACAACGACGATATTTTGACAAGTCTGATCTATAGGTCATTACCAATAAAGCAGTCATCATTATAGTATATCTGTTTATGATGGCCCCGAAATTGAGGCACAATGATCGAGATGATGATGTCTTCTCAGTCAACAAGGGAGTAAGAGGATCTATATCTGGCCCAACTGGAGCTAATGACACTCTGAGCAATGTCGCGCCACAGTAGCAGCATAGAAGAATCATCCAGAAGGAGGCATAGCCAAAATAGTTATGAAGTTTTGCATAGAAGACCTCAAGCACAAAACAAGAAGAAGGCTTGTCTGCGGAGACTCTGAAAGAAACTACTTGATGATGTTCGCTGTCTACAAAGTTAGATTATGCTATATACAAAGGTGCACTATGTAGACACGACAGACAACTTTCCCTGCCCCCTTCGTCCCACTACAGCCTCTCGGCACCCTTCATCCTCTTGACTCTCCCTTCTTCGCCTCCCTCACGATCCCTCTTCATCCCCGCCCCAGCGCCAAACAGCAAACCTCTCCTCACAGGCAGTTCCTCCTCCTCCTCCTCCCCTCGCTTCCCAAGTTCTGCCAGCTTCGCCCCCGCCGACTTTAGCGGCTTGAACGGCTCATCATCATCATCACTCTCTTCCTCTTCCCCCTCTGCATCCTGCTCAAGCTCCTCGTCCGTGAATGCCGAGCTTCCACCACCAAAATTTGGGCTATCCCTGGTCACGTTGGCGAATCGCCTGGCTTTGGAGGTAGTCGGTGTCAAGAGAGAGGCGGATGTGGAATGTGAGCGAAGTCGACTGGAAGGCCCTGGTGAGGGCGTACGAGCCCCACGCCGGCGAATCTCCTGCACATTGATCCTCTTACTCGAATCTTTCGGCCCCTCTGGCCAAAGGAGCCGCGGCTTCGGCAGAGGATGGGGCTCATACTCTTCATCTTCCGGCAGCAGATCCGCCTGAGGGAACGGTGCTGCAGAGGGGTAGAGAGGGTTGGCAAACACGCGTTTGGCGCCGCGAAAGATGTAGGTGATCGTAGCTTGGTCTTCGTCGACGCTCGGGCCTGGACGGCGGCGGGCGGGCTCGGACGGGCCTTCGAGGAAAGGGTTGTGTTCGGGGTCGAGCATGTCGAGAGGGATAGATTGGAGGGCATGTTTGGATGATGAGGCCTGCTCGGCACGGGTGCGGACAGTCTGGGAAGAGGGGTCGGATATGCGTGGAGCATGTTTGGTGGGTGGGGGAGAGAGAAGACCGGTGGCTGGAGATTGTAGAGAGAGGCGTGAAGGTGCAGGTTCATCATCCACATCCGAATGTGAATCCTCGTCGTCGCTGTGGGGTTGTATCGCACCAGGCGATGCCAAACCCATCGCCGCTCCCAGTGAGGCACCTTTGGCGGGTGGCGCATCCGACGATACCAAAAACGGATTCTCCTCCTCCTTTACCGCCTTCAGCGCCCCTTTCGCATGTCCCAATCTATGCCCGCCCATCCCTACACCGACTCCTCTTGAATCGACCAACCCCATCTGTTGCGCAAACATCAGGCCCGGCCGGCGCCGTGACGTCTTTTCAGGGCGGGTGGCTGTTTGGTAGGTTGAAGGATCGGATGTGGCTTGATTCGAGGGAGAAGTATGGTGCGAATCGGCAGCCAAATTTGGGGATGGCGCGCGGCGGATATGGCGCTGGGTCTGAGGAGTAGGGGGGTGGGCGGGTTGGGATGCAGGTTTTGACTTGTGCGGCCTGCGTACAGTCTCTGGTGTGGGAAGCGGGTTATAATACGCAGGTCTATACCGAGTAAGCATGCATCCTTTCCGCGCCGACACTGCCACATACGATGCAATCACATCGACGTTTCTTCCTCTTCTCCTCTTTGCGCGATGCTCATCGCCAGAGTGTCTGAAACCGGTCCTGCCGGGGTTGCCCATCGAGGGGGGAGACTCCATGGTGTCTGTTGATGCTGAGTTGGATGCTGGAGGAGAGAGTCGAAGGGGCACCAGTACCCGGGGTGTCGATGGGGAGAATGCAGAATTGTGGGAAAGAAAGAGAGGAATGGCGCATCCGATGGGACAAGTCACACGCGAACGCTTACGTAAATAAATGACAGACACGGATCAAAGAAGCAACGCGTCGTGGTTTCCTTTTGTTTGGCTCTGCGCCTATCACCTCTGACTTTTTGGAAGCGTGTAAAACCCTGGCTATTATGCGCAAGTAGCATATATATACTTTCATCAAGACGACTTCAAATCATCCTCGCTATGGGCAACATTTCGTCTGCTTTGGATTCGTCTGGCGGCAAGGGTGTACGTATCCGTTCTTCTGCCCAAAGACAGCGCTCAGAGAAATCAGGTTGTATCTGTCCCGGACGGATACACTGCACCGCAATGGCCGTCGCTTTACATTCCAACACTAGACTCCACAAACGATCAGCGTGGTATCTTTCTCTATGAGGCTGAGGGCAAGTCGTCTATCGCTTGCAGCAGGCATGAAACTGACTCCGTCCGCAGCCATCTGGAGGTTCACACTGTACTGGACACTTCTTCTCCTGTGTTCACTGTTTCTACTTTGCTCGACTCTCGCATCCTTCACCCTGCTCCTCTCCCTCACAGTCTTTCGCCCATCCTCTTCAAAACCGCTGAATCCTCCGCCGAGCGACAACCCCGCCCAGCCAGCCGAAGCCAAACTACATTCCTCTTCCTCGACAACGTCTGACAATCCGGTATCGGATCCGAACAACGCTACGCCACTACGCTCAAGAGACTCTGCCCATCCTGCACCGCCCAAACCCAAGATACTTGAAAGAGCAAAGCGAAAGAGGCCTCCTCTGTGGCCAGTCCTGATTCTGCCACTGGTAGCCACTGCCTTGGCAGCGGGAGTGGCGCTTGTCACGGGGACGGTAGTAGGCTTTGCATTGGCGGCGGTATACTCGGCCGCGGGATTTAGCATGTCGACGTGAGTGAAGTCTTACTGTCAAATGTCGATGCGCTAATGCGAACCGACAGCTGGGTACCATTCCTGTGGGCCCTGGTCATAGCTCTGGTTCTCATCATATCGTACGTCAGCATCGGTGTCATGCTGTACAGCGAAAGACGTGACTGACCTTGACAACAGGAGCTACTCGACCCTCACCTCCATCCTCTAGACGCGAAACGACAAATCAGTGTCGAATCTCCTTCTGTTGTACTCGTACGATCTATGCATGTCCCTTTAGTATGTCACTACCGAGCGGCTATCGAAAGACTAAGAACCGTAGCTCTTCTCGAATCTACAACCCTTCCAGACATATAGGGTTCGTCAACCTGTCGTCGGCGACGGTCGCCACGCGCCCTCCATCACCGAACGCGTCGCATAGCCGACCAAATGACATAGCTCCTCAGCTACAACGATCGCTCTTCACAACTCGCGCGTCCCCCCCGGCCTCTCTCTATGCTGCCACCCATAGCACGGCTGTGCCCGCTGGTCAAGATGGTTAAGCTTGACGACAGATTCAACATACCGTCGCTTAACCACCACGACGTTCCTTCCCCGCCTCTCCGAAAATACCCATATGGTATTCTAGCAAGGGTCCGCAACTCTTCTTGATTTTCCCATTTCTTTCGATTTCGCTCTTTTCGATTCACTCCCCTCACTCCCTTAATCCACCCTTCTCCCCTGCTGCTGGTCAGTCTCCCCCCGGCCTGGCGCCTGACTCAATTAGAAGAAACTGGTCTTCGACACCTTCAACTTCTACAGGACAATAATCACAATCAACCGAGCCGGCTCTCGGTCCTTCACACCACCTTATATTACCGTCACTCCCCGCGCAGCGCGCCTATTACCACTTGCAAGAACAAGGACCATCAGAAGAAGGGCAGATATGGGGGCTTTGATTTGGCATGTTTGGGGAAGGCTGTTGGGCTTGACTGCGGGAGTCTATATCGTCTGGGGTCCGTCTTCTCCCTCTATCCATGCTATCGCCTATTGACACTCAGTCAGCTTCCTTCTGGGCATTCTTATTCCGAAAATTCTTCTGGGATATGATGTAAGTGCCTCTTCGTATCTACCATGGCCTCTCCCGGCAAGTTCTGAACGCTGACGGTCGTTCGGGTCGTAGTGGTGGCACGTTGGGTCCTGCTGGTATCATGTACGTCACCTTCAAAGTGTAAACAAAGCTCAACGCTGACTCTTGCGTCAGTCCGGGCAAGAATACCGAGCCCCTGGTCAACCTCGTGGTCAACATTCCTCTTCTTCAATCATTCTCGCTCGTCTTGGGCATCTTTGCTTTAGTTCTGGAGTATCCGCTGCCCTTCGTATGTCCTCCCACGAGGGTCTGCATCCCCCCAGCTGACATTGTTGATAGATCGAGGGCACAGCAATCCACCGATCATTCATCCTCCGCGCCGTACTCTACTTTCTCACCGGATTTGTAGGCATCATGATCTACCAGGTACGCGCACCTCACTTTATACAAGTCTTGAGCTGACCGCTGGTCCCCAGTGTGTGGATCCAGCAGTGTATTTTGTAATAGTCTCGGGCGTATACGTGATGGCCATGTCCAAGGGTGAGCAGATCGGCTCCGGGCCTTGCGGTGATGATAGAGGCAAAGTATGATGGCTCGCCTACCTCATTCGGTCGTTTCCATCTCGTCTCGTATGTACTTCCGGCGCGGTCGTACGGGTCACTGATATCGTATAGATCATTGTACATTCAACAAGAGGTAAACCTTTGTGACATCATGCATGACGTCGAGATTGAAGATCATTAGACTAGAAGGTACATGTATCCATTGGCTATGATGAACACTGTCACGCCGCCGCTTCGCCAGAGCCTCCAGCGCCATCCTTCGTCTCATCTTTGACAGCCTCCTTACTCTTTGCAGCTTCCTCCTTCCTCTTCTTGATCTTTGTCACTGCACATCTGTCAGCTTTGGCCTCGAACCGTAGCACGATTCACAACTCACTTTCTCTCGAAACGACATTATTGTTACTGTACCCTTCCGGGAAACAATCTACAACCCTCTTATACAACCTCAACCTGATCGACTGCTCTGACCATTCCTTGCCTTGCTTGTGGTTGGCGATATTCCAATCCGCTCTGTCACCCAATCAGCCTTCTGCCTCTTTCCCTTTCTCATAAAGTCAAAAGGGGGGAGGGAGGAGACGTACCCAATCTTGACTATATCAGCCATATCCATCACATTCTCAAGCAACTGCCAATAAACCTCCCTCATCTCCCCCGTCCACAAGAAACGCTTCGTAGGCTCAGCCGGGCGCACGTCGGGTTTCTCCTTGTTCTCAACGGACGAAGAAGGGGCGTTTGTAGGGGTTGCGGTCGATGGCAGGGCGGGGGATTCTTGGGGTGATGAGGGAGGGGGCGGTGACTACGTCAAGCCATGTCAACGACCATCGCTACAAATACTCACGATAGGTACTCACAAGTGCGCTCCCTTCCCTAGCCTGCGTCGCATGCTGATGCTTCGCATCCCACCCCGCCACCTCCTGCTCCCATTCCGCCCTGCTCGCCTCATACTTTTCGATCCACTCATTCGAATCTTTATCCACGATACTCCTAAACTGCCGGAGCCCTTCGTCTTCGCAGTCTTGCATCCATTGGAGGTAGTCGTGATAAGCCAATTTGACTGATAGTTTCTGTATACAGGGGTTAGTTACAAGTCTCGGTGCTATGGGGGAGACGTACTGTCAGAGTGAAGAGGTTGTAAGGGAAAACACTGGTCAAACTTATAACGAAGCTCTGGTCGCCTCTTCTAGCAGGATTGTTTGACGTGCTGATCCCGGTGAAAACGTCATTCTGGTACGCGATCTGGCACGCCTTTTGCAGCTCAGGCTTCAGGTGGTCTGGGAATTTGCCACGATTGGTGTGATCCCAGTCGTCTACGAGTCGTTCATCAGATGGGGTTCAAAGGGGGGAGAAGAGGTTGACTGACGTTGGAGGGATTTGAGGCGGAGCGCCATCAAGACTTGAGCAACTGGCTCGGGGAGAGACGTATATGGCGGGAGATACTGCGCTCTGATCAGCAACCCTCCCTTCCATCTGACCCCGATACCACTCACTTGATCTTCGCGAGAGGCATTCTTGAACATGATACGATCAACAGGCGGTTGATCCTCCGCTCTGACAACAGGCGTCGACTCTAATTGACCACTTTGCGACTCTTTCCTCTGCGCAACCAGCGCGCTCGACAACGACGGCCTCGCTTCCGACCCACCCCCAAGCCCGGGTGTAGTCTTTGCTTTCGCCTGTGTAGACTTGTTCTGCGCTGACTTGGGCTTCCCATTAGCCTGGCGCTTCTTCCCCGGGGATTCTTCCATGAGCTCGAGTTGGCCGGCATGGACGAAGAAGCCTTCTTTTTTGGGCCGCTGGTAGTGGGTGGGGGCGTCGATGAGAATGTCGGCATCGTCGATGAAGGGGTCTTCGAGGTCATAGTCTGTTGGTCTCTTCTGCAAAGTATGTTAACGCCAGAGGCATGATCAAGATGGGGCACGCACCTTCTTCTTGGTCTTCTTCTTCTCGCCATACTTTTCTTCCAGCCTACGCGCAATCTCCTCAGGATCATCCTCCCCCCCACCAAAGATCGCCCCAGGCGCCGTCACCCCCTCTCCCTGTCCATCCACATCCATCCCAACTCCTAGCGATACATCCCCCGTCACCTCCACCGCAGGAATCTTGACCCCCGCCGGTAGGTCTTCCAACACCCCCACGCCCCAGGCGATACAGAGCCCCTTCTCCCGCGCTTCATCGAGGATATTCCATTCGAGCGTCTCCCCGGGGGGAAGCATAGTCCTCTCCAGGCGGATGGTCTTCATAGGAGGCGGGGGCGGGGCGAAATCATCATCATCATCCGGCGTGCGTAGGCGGGCGCGTTTCTTCTTTTTGGGTACGAGTACGTTGGCTTCGCCTTCTACAGCAGTGGCAATGGGGGCGTCGGTGTCGGCGGGGGTGGTGGTGGTTGTCGTAAGGGGCGCTTCGGAAGTAGGCTGGGCGCCGGGGGATTGAGGTTCGGCTTTGATAGCGGGGGGGAGTGATAATGGACGGGGTGGTCCGTTGGGACCATCTATGGCGATAATTTCCTGTCAAAACGTGAGCGCATGTACGAAAGAGCAGTCTAAAGACATACCGGAGACTCTTCCAGATCCTCACTCTCGTCCCCATCACTCTCCTCATCTTCCTCTTCTTCGTCCTCTTCCTCTTCGGAGTCTTCTCCATCCTCCCCGTCCTCGCCCTCGACATCAATCTCTCCTTCATCATTTTCTTCTTCCTCATGGTCTCCACCGTCGTCTTCGGTTTCTCCAGCTGGGATCTCGGGTGTCTGATCCACCTCTTCGGCCAGAGCCATATCGATATCTGCCGACGAATTCGGCGCGACTTGGGCAGGGGTCACAGTCGGCTGAGGCGGAGGAGTATTTGGTGTGGCGTTGGTGGGCGTCTTGTCTCCAGCCTCATCGTTCACGACGGGTCCGGCATCTATTCCAATGATGGTCTGATCGGTGGTCACTGGAGCGACTACCTCGACCAGCGTTGACGGCGTCTTGTCGGGCGTCGCGAGCAGTGTTTGTGGTGGCTGCACCGGGGATTGTTGGGGCTGACTCATTCCAACGCTGTCCCAAAAAAACAAACTGAAATGAAAGAGAAGAATAGGAACCCTCTCATACTACTTCTTCTTGTTGCAATAACAACGCGCCTGTTACGTAACCACTTTTAGGCTGTGCTTCTTCTTGTCCCGCCGCCCCTATTTCCTCTTTCTTTTCTGTCTTTCTCTTCTTTCTCCCTATCCCCCATGTCCCGCCTCGCCCTCCTCGCCCTCGCCTCCCTCGCCGCCGTCGCATCCGCCAAGTCCGGATGGGGGGGATCCTGCTCGTCAGTGCTACTTACACCCCCGCTAGACCCTTCGCACTAACGCGTACCAAACAGTCAAGCCAACACCCATCTCGACCAGGCCAACTACCAGCTCGTCACCGACTGTGACGCCACCACCTACTGCAACAGCAACAACACTTGCGCGTGGAAGGGATGCAGGAGGAATACCGTGGGTTTTTGGCTAATGCTGGGTAGGGTCTGAACGAGCTGATGTGCGTAATGGTAGTATCCTTACGGCTACAACGACTATTCTTTCGACCAACTACCGCCTTTGTGTCCTACTGGAGAATTGTATGCGGTTTTGTGTCGGTGTAGAGGACAAGACTGATTTTACGGCAGCTGCCCTGACGAGTCTGACCAGTGTTTGACCCAAGTCCCTGTTGGAAGCAGTTGTCAGAAGGATCGAGACGGTGGGGATGGCCTTTATCAAGTGGATTGTGCTGACTGGTTGCAGACGAGTGTGCCCAGCCAGACAACTGGAAGGACCTCGCCGGCTACCTCAACACCAACGGTAGCATCTGCCTCCAATATACCTGCTAGTGAGCCTTTTTCATTCCATGACACGCCTGAGCTCATTCTCGACCAGCTACGCCAACGTGACTGTCGGCCAAACATGTGTCAACGACAACACTGCCTATACCGCTTACAAGGAGGACGGTTCAGCCTACGCTTTCATCGTTTCGCGAGACAAGTGCGCCCATTGAACCTTGAGCCAATAGATTCAGACTGACTTTTCTAACAGCTGTGCCAATGGCCACTACTGTGATGCTTCCGACTCGTTGTGCTACAAGGGCAAGGCACAGGGTGTTACTTGCAGCGGCAACAAAGAGTGAGGTTCCTCGCAAAGTCAACTGAACGCTTGTTAACAGAGTTCAGGTGCCTGTCCTACAATTGCGCGGACGATGGAAAGTGTGGTAAAGCGGCCGACGATGTTATCCACCCCCCTGTCTGGCAATATGTCCTTATTGGTCTCGGTATCTTCATCTGTAAGCCCACTTTGCTCGTTCTCTCCACCTACTGACACACTTTCTAGTGATCGGTGCCGTCATGACCACCCTCTGGTTCGTCCACCGCCGCGTCCGTAACCGCAACCAAGCCATGCTCGAACAATACTACAACGAGCAAATCGCCTACCGACAATCCATCATGTCCATGACCCACGCCAAACAAACCCTCGCCAACCTGCCCCCTGGCCACTCGGTTAACGACGCCCGGGCGTCCTTGTACGGCGATATGCCCCCTGTCGGCTGGACGTCTGGTGCCGAGATCCCCTTGCCTCCCAATATGAGGCGCGACAGCGCGAGTATCTATAGGGAGGGCTCAGGGCAAGGACAGAGTGAGGTGCAGTTGATGCCTCATCAGAGATACCAGGACGCGCCCGAGTCTTCTTCCCGGTTTAGGGGCGGCGCGTTGTAAGGTGAGATGTGGCTCAGGACGATGTTTTACGACTCTTTTATTCATTCGCGTTTGACCATATATACGCACGTAACCTATGGACACTTACCCCACCCCCACCCCCCTTCCCCCCTGATTATATGTATCTTCTACATACATAGCTTGATGGCTTTCTTTTTATAACGCCATTATTTTTATCTGTTATCCTTCTATTCTTTCAGTCAAACCACGCTTTAAAGAGCGCAGACTGAGCGTGTTGTTATTTCTCCCATGACTGGTATGATACATGAGCATGAACCTATCCTTCATATACGAATCTGGCCCAGTTGTCGCAGTGAACCATCGTCTATCCTTCAGCGCTACACTCCCGTACGAATACTCTATGAATAGCCGCGGTCTGATCCTAGTTATGCATGTATGACCGTATCATCTATGACCAACATGAAGAGTGAAGAACCGAGCGATATCAAGACTAAGCCAGCACGCTCAACATCTCCTCCACCCTCCTAAACTTTTCCCTCTCCTTCCCACTCCCCGCCAACTTTGCCCTCTCCCTCTCAGCCTGGTCTATCCGTCCCCAACCATCCAAGTCTACTACCACCTTGCCTTCATTTGCAGCGTTTATGATACGCTCTGGGAGACCGGGGAGCGGGGAGGTGTTCAGGGGGGTGTATGGGGGTTTGGTAGATGATGGGGATGTCGATGGAGAGGAGGAGGGAGAAGGGGAGGGGGAGGGGGAGAGATGGTCGTCGAGGATGACGCTGGAGAGAGAGTAGGCGTCATGCATGGTCGATGCGATAACGCCGACTGGACCTCTAGCCGCCCAACCTGCAGCATACACCCCATTCACCTGCTCCACATCAGCTTTAGTTCTTCACTTCTTGATTGTAATTGTAAGAAAAACTCACAGGAACACCTTCATGATCCACAACCCTCCCACCAACATTGTGAACTCTTCCCTTGACGACATCAAAAGGCAAATCCCACTCGTGCCCAGGGCCCGTGAGGGGTTCAGAGCGGTAACCGACAGATTCGACTACCATGTCTGCTGGCGTCTTGCTAGTCTGGCCGGTAGCTTTAGCGACGAGGGATGAAGCGGCGGGAGAGTCGCCGGGGGAGTTTGGCGCAAGGGTTGGAGTTGATAGAAGGGCGTTGATGTTCCATTCTACCTCGCCGACTCTGCCTCCCTGAGGATTAGGCAAGAATGCTTTCGGACCCTTCATAAAGTCCAGCTCTAAAACTTTCTTGCCGTCTTGCTGCTTATCCATAAGCTGCAATAGCCTCTTCCGCATACGCTCTCCGTTACCAGGCGGAACGCCTGCTTTGGCCTCGTCCATCAAGTCAGGGTCGATCCCGGGGTAGCCTACACCAGGGATAGCGAGGATTTCACGAAACTCTTTGGTGGTGAAGGCGACTTGTCCTGGACCTCGGCGGCCCACCACACGTACCTTATCCACGCTCGACTTGGAGAACACATCGAGCACGTCGTCCGACAAGTCGGTCTTGGCCAGATCCTCAACAGGTTTGAGCAGCAACCTCGCCACATCCAGCGCAACATTTCCCTGCCCCACCACGCTCACATCCTTCACCCCCCTCAGGTCCACCGGCAGATCCGCATATGCCGGATGCGAGTTGTACCAGCTCACAAGCGCCAACGCCGGATAAACCCCTTCCAGCGGGTTATCGCTCGAAGACGAGCCGGGGACAGAGTTGAGAGGGTTGGATAGGGAGGCGCCGTAGGTGAGGACGAGGGTGGTGTAGTAGGGTATTATATCTTGGAAAGAGAGGCGGAGGGCGTGGGGGTATGTGTAGGAGGAGAGGGCGGTGGAGGGGGATGGGGCGGAGGGGGAGGAGGAGGATTGGGAGGATATCAGGACGTTGCCAAAGTATTTGAAGCGAGGGTCGGGGGCAAGCTCGTCGAACTTGTGCTGGCAATTCTAAAGGAGATATCAGCGGGTATCCAATATAGCAGAGCTTCTCCTTCTCCAAGAGCAGAGTGGCTTTGAGCTGGGAGTTGCGAAATGGCCGGTCTAAATCAAACGACTGTTCTACGTACCTTGACCTCGGGATGATCCGGTGCTACACCATACCTGGCTAGTCCATACGGCGTGGGCAGCCTCTCATACATGTGCACTTCCACACCATTTCCCTCTGGCGAATTGGCCGGGAGCAGAGAGAGGATACGCGAGGCAGTATAGAACCCTGATGGTCCAGCACCGATGATGGCGACCTTGAGGGGTGCGCGAGAGGATGTAGAGAGGCATCGAGAGAGGCGGGAGGAAAGATGGGGGTGGGGGAGAGAGCGGGGGAGGAGCATGGCGGAACGAAAGGCGAACCAAACAACAGGAAGACGGGTTTTTGTGAGCCAAAGACGGACTGACTCGTCGCAAGAAGACACGGGAGGCAGCCGGCGGCCGTATATAGTCGGCGAGTTCCGCACATGCAGTCGGGACCAGCTGGCATACATCGACCAGTTCATTCGTCGTTTCTCACAACTTACCGAATTCCGTCCACTTACGGTGCAATCCCTGGGTCAAGGAGCAACGAAGCGGATCTCGGCGACGCTGCGCCACTCACCACCTTCCAACAGATCGTGGGCTGCCTAATGTGGATTTCATCCGCAATCAGACCAGACACAAAGTTCCTCTCCCGGTACGCCTCAAATTCTCGAGGTATGCAACAACTCTGAGGGCTAGATTGTAGTGTTTTTCTCAAGGGCTTGAGGCGTACCGGGAGAGATACTGCGTAGCGAATTTATGTCTGGTCTGGTTGCGGATGAAATCCACATTAGGCAGCCCACAATCTGTTGGAAGGTGGTGATGTTGTTGTTGGGGTAAAGCGGGGTTGGCTCATCTCGTCTTCTACACTACTCCCCGCGCCTTATGTACCCTTGCCCCCCCCGCTATGGAAAGTACTAGGATACCTATCCAGTCCCCTGTGCTTAGTAAGCACGCCCCTTGTAGTATATACTGGAAGTATCTACTGTCTTCCCCCGCTTACTAATACCACTACAAGGACTACCTTACTCTCATATACTAGAATGTACTAGAACTATGAAGTGTCGTCACCGAATGACAATCGTGCTCTGGTGGTCTTTCCAGACTCTGTATCAGCATTTCTTTCTTTTGTCATGGTCTCTTGATGTGGCGTGATGACCCAATGTCGATAATCGATGTGCCCCAGGAAGCTGCATTACGCCTGACCTCATGCCACTAGCTCGTGCTCCTCATTGTCTCCTGATCCGGCCTTTAAGATACTGCCAGCTTGAGACTAGCTCTTTTCAGACTTTGATAGTAAAGCAACATTGAGCTATGGGCTCCACGGTGTACAGGACCATGCGTAAGTTGCATTATACACATCAAGCGCCGTTGGCTTTCCCCTTGCCCTTTGCATTCGCCCTCGCTTCTCGCTTCTTCTTCATCAGCTCCATTCTCTGTTTCAAAGCCGCAACTCTCGAGTCCGCGTCCTCTCTGGGCGCAAAGTCAGCTCGACTCTCCCCAAAAGTCTGATCACTCACTGAGCCCGCTCCTCATCCTCTAACCGTTGCACAATCTCCTCCCTCTCCTCCCTTTCCAGCCTCTCCTTCCTCTCCCCTTCCGTCTCTTCCTCTTCCGGTTCCTGCGCCGCCTCTTCCTCCTTCGGAACATTCCTCACCGGCGCCGCCTCATAGCTCGCCTGGCCGGGAATGAGGTCTTCCTTATACGTCTTCCTTCTAGCCGCTTGTGTAGCCGCTGTAGGCGGCGCAGCAGTAGAGGATACAGGAGCAGGGGTATCATCCGCTAGGGAAGCGAAAAAGTCGTCCAGATCGGCGTCTCCTGTCTTTGGAGGCGGTACCACCGGCGCTGACATTTCGACTTCGGGTTCAGGTTCAGGTTCTTGAGGCGGGGGAGCGTTGCCAGCTGAGAAGAATCCCGCTGGTAGATTCGATGGACCTGCAGAAGGTTGTGGCTGGACTTTCGCCCGCTTGGAGGAAGGCTCAGCTTCATCCCCTCTCGGCCGCTTGACCCTCTCAGCCTTCTCCTTCTCTGCCTTTTCACGGGCTACCGATGTTCGGTGTTGTTTCGTCAACAGATGCGCGTCCCATTGCTTCACTGCTCATCATCAGTATGTTGTGTTGTAGGAAGGATAAGGAGGGGGGGACGGACCTGGTACGGCACAGATGGAACAGCGCAAGACGCCAGAAGCGTTATATGTCGCGTAGGGGTGGGTGATGCGGGCTTCGGCCTTTTTGGCTCGCAAGAGGGATTTGGCGTCCATGGTTATGGTGATCAGGGGGTTGCTTGGAGAGTTGAAGCTGAAACGCCTGCTGAGGGGAGCAAGAGTGATTGGCAGGCGAAAACAAAAACAACGAAGATGATCAAGGGCAATGGTCGATTAGGACTTGTTTGATTCCGCTAAGCAGTCTTTGAACGATTTGATCCCGGTTGTAATCAGCTGTCATCGGTCGGGGACGCCGAGCACGACGAACGAACGGGGTGTTGCATCTCCACCATCTACCTCCTTTTCCCATTTTGCCATTTATATCAATCAAACCGCCATTGCAAGATGCTCTCCACTTCCGATATCGGTAAGACCTTTTCCCGAGCCGCCATGATCATGCTAATAGACCCCCAAGGTCCTATATCACAGCAATACTCGGCAGCTGCTACTGTACCCCTCATCAAATCACCTTCCTTATGGCTTCCCAAACCTGTACACCGATCTCCTTATACTAATGTGTGATAATTCTGACTGCGAAATAGGTAGAACTGCCAACCGATATCCACCCCCTGCCTGAAGACATCACCGCCTATGTAAGTCCCGCCTGCCTCATTCGCCCCCGCCGATCTTGGCAAATGGCTGACTGGGTAATGGTAGTTTGTGTACCCGTTCACACTGGAGGAGCACGTCCGGCAGCAACATCCTTCGCCGCACGAAGCCATCGCCCAAAGACGTGCGCGCTTGGCGGAAGTGTTGCATCAGAGAGAAGAAGAGGAGGAGCGTAAAGAGTAAGCTTCACTTTTTGTCTATCATTATGGGCGCAGAGCGAATGACAGAGGGTGGAGCTGATGATCAATGTAATGTAGGAAAGATGAATTGAGAAGAATAGCCCCAGGGTACAACCCTTCTTCCCTGCTCGTACCGACTTCCACAAACCATACGCCCAGCACATCTATACCCCAATCTCACGGCGGCCAACCAGCACTATCATCCTTATCCAGGGCTGTATCTGGATCCGAAGGGGGAGATGCGAGGGAAGGGGCAGGAGGGGATCCGATGGATGATCTGGTAGCGCGGTTGGAAGAGATGGAGGCGAAGAGATGATCATTCGTCATGACGCGTGGAGGTCTGGCGGGCAGGTGCCAGCAGTTTGTAGCTATGAAGGTTGTACAGTACGAGTATGGTGTATGCATATGTGAGTCAATCTTCGATGAGGGTGGGAGGGCACTAGCTGATGACGCCTCAGTCTTTTCTAATGCTGCGCGCCAGGCGGTGTCTCTCTTCATGACTGCTCAACATTGTTGCATTTTACTCAGCCCGGCCCTTCAAGCAGATATTGTCAGAGGTATGACCAAATGCCCACCAGACACACACAAGATCCCAGCAAAAAGCGGATCATCAGTCCACGGCCCACGGCACGGAACGCTACTCCGCCTCATGCTCGTCCGACTGTCCGAGACGACCGAGACTATGTGCCGAATTGCCATGGTATGTGTACCTCAGCTTTGCGTTGACGAGACGGAGACGAGGAAGCCGAGTAAAGCGTCGTAACTGTATTTACCCAAATTATGGTGTCTTGACGCGCTTGACGCTGAACGCTGACAAGGCTGAGAAAGAAGGGAACAATTGCAACATGGACTGGAGATCGCCGGTTCCGCCAATCCGACGTATGGCGAATGGCGTATGCGGCTGGTGGCGTATGATTGAAGATCAGATGGATCAGAGGATCTTCCTTCATACTCTAGGCAGCGTAGAGCGAGGCGGTGGCTGGCGGCAGGGTGGAGGCATCCGTTGAAAGCGGAGGGGGATTGATTGAAGCGTGTTCAGTGTTGCGGGCCGTTGGACTGGAATCTGTGGCTTGCCGCTTGGGGTCGTATACGCGCGTTCCTCGGTGATCAATCACTTGAAAAGAGGATACTGATACGCGGAGAGAGAAATCGAGCTGAGGAAAGGAGGTGGGGTGTGGGATACTGGTGCAGGAACATGTAGCGGCCGACTGCCGAATTGGGTGGGTGAGATTGATTTGATGAGATGTTGGACCAGGGCCGGTCGACTCAAATACCGAGAGCGGCGAATGGTCCATATGGGCAATTACGATTAGATTGGAGAGATACCGAAGATACATTGTTCGCTTCAGATAGGACATTGAAGATACAGACGGAGAATATCACTGTCAACATGCACAGCGCCACACAGACAGCAGACAACACGCATCAGCCTACGCTCTGTGTCCACTGTTCTAGACACGCCTAGACTCGAGCCCAGGTTATGAATACAAGGACAAGGACAGCCCCAAAGCAAGAGCCTCAATAAACCCCGTACAGTCCTTTTGTCAATGTCACGTCGTCGAGCTTGTCGCTTGACGACAATAGGGTAAAACCTTGTGCTTGGTAGTGTTGATACCAATCAATGATAGATGAGAAGCATGCTGTGTATGTGCCCTCGGATGAGCAAACATGCCAGCCGGTGCTTGATTGATCTGGCGAGGTACATATTGGGTAATGCTCTGCATCTGGCCCGTGGAATACTGATCGAATGAGTGGCCAATCGGTGCCACGGTCCTCTAGGTCCCAGGCCGGCGGCAATCTGTGCTGTGTCTGCGGAAATTGCACGTAAAGTAGGGAGAAAAACGAGAGGAAGCGGGAGGAAGCCCTTTCATCAGCCGGCATGTCACTGAGACTGAATCAACCGGAATCGTATCCTGATCGCGGAGGATAACGCGAGCATCCATCAACGACTTGTGGCTTGTGGGGAGGAGCCAGATTGATCCTCAGGAGGATAGAAGTGCACCTTGAACCATATCCTCCGCCATCATCCCGCGGTCTGTGGCATATAGCCTGCACGGTTGCTCCCTGTGCGCGACATGGCAAGTTCCGGGCGTACGGGGTGAGCTGTGGCACCTGATTGAGGGAGATGAGGGGGTGTTTGTTTATGGTGTGCCCTGGGAGTACGGTGACAGTGGCCATGCACCCACGGCGTTCTGTACCTGGGGGGAAAGGAGTGTCACCCACAGCCTGGCCAATCGCTTTCACAGCTTACTTTATATCTACAGTAAGCAGAAAGTATGGTTTACATCATCCACCTCCAAAATGTCCTACGACGCAGCCCTGCCACAGATATCCTCGTCGTCCACCACCCGCTTCGTGCCCCCCCGCATCCCGCCCACCGACCACCGCCAACAGTCCTGGGACCCGGCAGAGTCCAGCCAGAGCTGGGGCGGATACGACTGGTGCGACCCCCAGCAACCGCATCTCGAGCCCCAGCTCAGCAACCTCCCCGCATTCAACCCCCCGCCGCCACCTGTCTCTTCTGCCCAGACTTACCAGTACCCCGGTATGCTCCAGCCTACGGCGACGATGGCCAATACAGCGTTTCAAGACACAGGCTCGTTCTACGGCACACCATATCCAATCCAAAATGTTGACCGCCACCAACCCATCCCCTCTCTCGTCGACTCGCGTTCATCCTCTGGCTCGTCGGTGTCTCTCCCCAACATGCCCCGATACCCCCAAGCCATCATAACCTACCCCCACGCTCCTCCCGATGGTACCTCTCTCATCAGCCCCTCTCCCATCCCGCTGTTGAACCTAAACGCCACCCTTCCGTATTTGATACACAAAACACCTCCCGTCATCCCGTCACCGCTGCCGCCAGCGCCAGTGTTGTTCGATACGGTACCCCACTTGCAGAGACCGGTGCCCCCGAGGGATGGGCAGGACGGGTATGCCGTAGGGATGCCCGAGGGGACGTTTTCGGTGGGGGGCGGTGGCGAGGGGATGTGGCGGGGGATGATGCCAGAGTCGGGGATGGGGATGGTATCGCCTGTGGAGGATCGTCGTTTCAGCGCGGGCTCGCAGGCTCAAGTGCCGACGCCTTCCTCAGATCCCATTCAACACTTTGGAGGTATCTACTTTACCGACCCTTTCCCACCATCCTCTGCCCCTGCTCCAGCCCCTCTTTTCTCCTCGGCCCCAGGCCCTGCCCCTGCCCCTGCACCGTCAACGCAGATAGTCTCAAACCCAAGCCCCATTTCACCCTCATCTTTCCTTCCCCCGCCTCCCAAGCACAGCTACAGACCCCGAGACTACACCCCTCCTACCCCGCCTCCTGGTAAACTCTCAACCCCCCGTCCTCGGCCTCTTCCAACGCCCTTCAGGACATTCAAATCGTATCAAGAGATGCTGCATGACAGGATCGACGAGTATGGCGCTCGGGCGATGAGTATGCCTCTGACCCACCGTTTGATGCTGGAGACGGAGAGGAAGAAACGCCTGGGACTGGTAGTGGCTGTCGGAGGGGGTATGCGTGAGGACGAGGGAGCAAGGTTGTTAAGGACGTGTTTGGAGAAGGAAGAAGCGTGGGATAAGAACGAGGAGGAGAGGCTGTTGAGGAAGGAAGGGCTGCTGTCGCCCTTTCACGTGGCTGAGGAAGATGAGGATGAGGATGAGGTGATGCCGCTCCTGACCACAGAAGCTATGTCGAGTCCGCGGGAAGACGACGACTTGGATGACAGTTTCAACGGACGGCCTTCTGGCGGGGGTCGACGGGCGAGGAGGGCGAAGAGAGTCAAAAAGGCGGTCAATGCGGCTGCTAGAAGAGTCGTAAGCTTCCCCTTTTTTTGTGTACTGAAGAGATGCTGATGGGAGGCCACAGAAAAAGTTTCTTTGTACTGAATGTAATGAGGGGTTCACTCGGAAAAATGACATGGACGTGAGTTTCTTCTTCGTCTTCTCCATGGCGCCTCAGGCGTTTACGTAGAGAAAGATGCTAACAGGATGTCGTCAGCGCCATATGCAATGTAAACACTGTCAGTATCGCCTTTTGCCAACAACCCCCGGCCCCTTGTCCCTGTCCGACCGAGCTGACAATGTTCCCAGCTCAAGAGCTCCCCTGGGCTTGCCCCTCATGCTCCCGCCGATTCGTGGGTCTATCCCACCCTCTTGCCTTTCCGCTTCTACAGACAAGAGCAGAGCTGACGTAGAAACTGCAGGGACGGAAAGACAAGATGGAACTGCATATCGAAAAAGACGCAACGTGCAGACAACGCGCGCCACCAAAAGAAGGTCAGTCCCGTCCCACCTCCTCTTTCAATCAACCTTTTTGCTTGCTGGTGTCTGCGTCTCGCTCTTCTCCTCTTTCTCGCCGCCCACGTTTCTCATCAATCTAATACAACCTCACCCCCCGTCTCAAGATGTGCCTCTGTATGGAAGGAATCAAGACTGATGAAAATACGCAGATCGAGCTATCCGAAGACGCAAGTCGTCTGCCAACAAGGAGAATGCTGTCCCTGGATCAAGTGCTATTCGTCTTCACTAGACTATCTCTTACAGCGGTCACCCACTCGAGCTTCCTATCACCAACACTACATCATCACCCTCGCCGCTTGGGAGGAGTACTTACTCATTATACAAAAACAGTTCTTCGTCTTCTACACACGCGAAGAGCTGATAGTCGTTCTCGCTTCCACTTTATCGTTGAGCTAGTCTATACCATATCGTACAAGCCGATTTGCTTTGTTCTCGTTTCATACACGCTATTTCCAGAATTGCTCGTAGTCCTTACCCGCGCCGAAAGCGTGCGTTGTATCTAGACGGTCATCATCCTTCATCTTGGCGTCTTTGCTGTATCGTTTATGCATCTATGCGAGTAGCGTTCTATCGATTAGCTTTCCGTATCCCACATGAGCCGTTTGTGTCCACCATGAATCGTCGCTTATCGGTGACATGGGGGGCTCTGGACAGCGTTCATGGTGTATGCACACGCATCTCATCTCTTATCATGACTTCCACCCCTCACTTCATCCCCACCCCCTCCCACCCCTCCGGCCCCTCCACCTCCTTCAAAATCCCCCTCAACTCCCTCTCCACAATCCCTCCCAACCTCTCCCCATCCCTACAGCTCACCCAAACGCCCTCCCAGACACCCTCTTCTTCTTCTTCCACGGACGCTGGTTGGAACTCGAATCGATTAGGACCGGAGAGGGGGGAGGAGAGCCAGATTTGGAGGTTGGGGGGTTGTTTGTTGAGGACGTAGGTGCCGTATGGGGGGAGGGTGAGGTTGAGGACGCCGGACTGTGGGACATTAGTCAGCTTTGCCGCTTTTTAAGCAAAGGGCAAGAGGAAGGGTAAGAGGCGTACGCTATATTCGACCTCCCAATCATCTTTGCCGTACTGTTCGCAAAAGATCTCGAGGTTCTCATGGAGAGTCTCCATGTCGCGATCGGCAACTTCGTCGTAAAGATCTTGAGAGATGGTGGGTGTGGATTGGCTGGGATGTGATTGGTGAGCTTTGGTTCTCTGTGCGGCGCGAGCGCCCAGAGGGGCTTACGGAGCGTGAGGCTGCTGTCTACACAAGGGAGTCGAAGAGAACGACCTTGGAAGCGAAGACAGATGGGAGAAAGCAGGTGTACGCAGGGCGTGGGCCGAGCTCGTAGGGTGGAGAGCAGCGGCGGGGCGAGAGAGCGCTCTCGAGAGGGAGCGGAGAGGTCCAAGGGCGTGGGAAGTTCTTGAGAGCATGGCTGTTAGCGACGAGTGGTAGGGGCGTACGAATGAGAAAAGACGTGAAAGTCAGCGATGAGCAGCGAAGATGTCATAGCGCCGGATATTCCAGCGTCATCACTTGTTGTGTTGAGTCATGAGTGGCAGCTGTCTACGGGGTATGTGTTGGGGTGTTGGGTATGCAGAGCGGGGATTCGAGTATGGATCAGGGCACTTGATATATGATGCATGGAAGTGACTGGGTCGAGTTCCGCATTCCAGGACATATGCGGCGCCCTCTGCAGCCCGTGTATCTAACGCGAACAGTCGCACGCAGAGACCCTTTGAAGCCTCATGTCATCCATCGCGATTGACGGACACTCATAGACGATACCGGTACAGATAGCAAAGCTTGCGCCTAGCACCGACCTTCTACTCGACCACCTTCCGTCATCAGTACGCCCCGTAATCCGTATCATTCAAACTGCCCTCCATAAAATATGCACTCGTACTCTGCTTGGTACTGTTTGTGAGGATCCATCTACCTTGCTTCTGTTCTCAGACTATGAGGCCTCATGGTACTTGCTAGTGTCTCTTAGACAACGGCTCTGGCAACGGCTCTGACAACGGCTCTGACAACGGCTCTGCATGATATCAGATCGCGAAGTAGTGAGCATCTCGTCATCAGCTCGGTGACCGAGGGCCAGCGCGACATACGCGTATATCTTCGTTGTGGCTTTCCGCTCTTCCTCTTCACTGGACCTAAATCAATATCCAAACAGACCAAAGAGGCTCGCTGAGAATCATACCAGTGCATACCAGTAGACTCGTTTTCGACTCATCGCTACGGATATACCCCATCTTGACATAGATTCACTGATCCCATCATGTCGCCCTGTTCCGCTCCACTCCTTTCATTTAGAAGACTACCCGTTTTCAAAGTCAAGTAGAGGAAGTACGTATCTCATAATATTTAGCCTTCCATGTCAATGTCTTCTTCTTCTGGGGAGGCAGCTGCCGAAGAAGCTCCCGATTGGTTGGGTTCGACAATCATCTTGTAAATGGTGGACAACTCTTTCCCGATGAATATCCGATGAGATTTTTGATCTTCATCTGAGGCGTAGTAGTATGTCTCCTCGACAGCTTCGTTGATATCCTCATAGAGTTTAGCAGCCTTGCCCGGCTTTCTGAAACTAGACAACGCCTTCTCCTTCCAGTCACATTGGTCGTCAAGGTCATCCTCAAGATCAAAATCGGCAATTTCAATGTTGAGAACTCCCCCGAATCCGTGAATTGTGCCAAATAGTTGGATGGCAGTACTAAGCTCGGTGCCGTTGTTGTTGGATTTCCGGTATCGGGAGGTCAGGTCACCTCCACGTTTTATGCCTTGCCAGCCCTCTGCCAAGGACACGGCGTGAGGTCCGTGGTTGCTGACGGTGGTGTCCATTGCGCTATCACTGGCAGACATGTTGCTGTTATGCTATGTCTTTGGGAAGTTTCAGGTAGCTTCGAAGTGATGTTGCAAGTGTTGTTTATATATGTTGACGAACATCTATGTATGGCGGAGAATCATGATCGATCTGTACATAGAATCAGAAGCGAATGAAAATAGCGCACCAAGACTCTTCTATGATTTCTCAAATAGCCTTTGTTGAATTTGGAGCACAGGCGAAGAAAGGGGCAATCATAGAGAAGGAGGATGACAGGAGGCAGACCATGCTTCTCTTTATTCACAGAGTATCTGTTCTTAGACGGTCGGAAGATAACTGATCTTCAAATAGGTTGAAGAAAGCGCATCCCGCCTCGTCATGGAGGTCTGTCCTTTCATTCTCATATGTGTTGAGCCCGAAAAAGAAGGGTTGATTGCAAGCAGACCGAGTCAGCTTTCTTTATCCCACGGACCTTGGGAGACTATCTGCGAGGTCGTATGAAGCTGTGTTATGCTTCGTGCTGCGTGTCGCTCGCAGATCACATGTAGCGGACCTACGAAAAACTCTTTGGAGATTGTCACCTGCAGATTCATTTTGAACTGTACGTAGACCTCTTAAGATACGTCTCGGTTCTATGTCACAGGCACTCACTCTGTTCCAACCTCAATGTCATACAGACCACTCGCATTTCAAGGCCCATGAGAACGATAGTACTATTGGATCGACGCGTCCTCATAGTCCTAGTCCTCCATGCCCACCATGTCTTCCGGGAGGATACCGCTGAGGATCCCGACTGATTGGGTGCGACCAAGAGCTGGTGAATGGTGGACAACTCGTCCTCCACCATATATCGATGCTCACTTCGACCTTCTTTTGAGGCGTACACTGTGTTACTTTTCTTTATTGGAACGATATTTGTTTTCACACCAAACAAGAGGCATGCCGATGCGCGCATAGCCTGTCTCACATGTACACTCGCCGTCAATCAGGCTTCTTCCTCGCTTCCAGAAGAGATCAGGCTGGGAACATCCTCCATGTCTGACGCGTCCAAGCTTATCATCACGGTATCTTCCGCCGGGGAGGTAGTAGCTAGAGGTGGAGATTGGCTGGGTGCGATGACCAATCTGTAAAAGGCCGCCAGCTCGTCTTTTACTGTTCCCTGGTAGTCGTCTCGAGCGTCTTGGTTGACTTTGTAATGTACATGCATCAGTGCTTGTATCAGACTTCCGTAGTTGGGTTCAGTATTGAACAGTGGGATCCTCCTCACATTTTTCTCAGCATCTTCTATCCATTTATCTTGATCGAGATGTCTGGTTTCTAGATCGGGTATGTCAAAGGTCAAGACTCCTTTGAATCCACCAATTGCGCCTGATATCTGAATCCAGAAATCGACACCCCGATTCAGCCTCCGGAATGTAGAGGTTGGTGAGATATCTCTGTCCCGGCTGATTCCCTGCCAGCCATATGGTAGAGAAACAATCCTGGGGTCTTTGCTGATAGTGTCAGATGTCTCAGCAGTAGTAATACCAAGGGACATGTTGCTTCTAGTTATTGGCAAGATGCTGTGCGCTGGGCTGCGCCTTGGCTGGGATTGCTTCTTGAACGGACGTGACGTTGGGTGAGAATTATATTCTGACGCGGCCTGCCGTTGTGGGTGACACTATGAGACGCACAAGACGCACATGGTCTCATATACAAATACGTTGATCAAAAGAGCAAAATTAGGACCCCGAGAGTAGCTCAGCAATCTCAATCACCTACATGAAGGGATACCGCATAGGGGAGCTACAGATGATGAAAGACCGCAGCGCAGCAGGAAGAACCAACGCCGGGGTTTGTTTAAGGACAAATGTGTAAGAGATTGGTACGCATTGGTCAGTAGGAGAAGATTCAGTGGCGTGGACATTGGAACGCAGAGTCTGGTATCAGGGTTGCCGCTATGTTCTCCGTATATACTGTACATCGTGCCGCGTTTCCGTATCCTTTCTCCACCGATGTATTCTCGTACAAACCACCTCACCTATATCCGTCCTCCTTCCATCCAGCCTATCCAAAGTCGACATCCGGCACCCCTAGCCAGACCTAGCCAGATTTCTCACGTGACTGCTCCAAGGTTATGATGAGCCAGAGCTCTCTGGGTATATCATGACTGAAGAGCTAACCCCGGGTGTTTTGGGGTATATCGAAGAGTTTGAGAGCTTTCCGTTGGAGCAAGATACGGATGATGATGATTTATTGATGGCTGGTGGGATTTGAGGGAATGTTTGCTGTTTAGGTATACGTACAATGATGCTTCAATGTACATCTAGAACCAATCGTACCTCAAGGCGAGATTGTTCAACTCTCCAAGACTCTTTCCTCCGCGAAACAAGCTAAACAGGTCGTAAAGATCGTAGTATACATGATTCACATTGAAAACCAGAAATAAAACACAGAATGCCGCATGGGTATCTATATCAGTCATCGACCTGATACAAGTCGACGACGACAGCGTATGGAGTTTGAGGTCAATTGAGATAATCAAAAAGCCGTGATCATCACACCCCAGAAACCCGGCCTAGTGGGAGTCGGGTTGATCTAAGCATTGTCTTGTCCAAACATGAGGGGACGATGAGACAAGTCGCTGCTATCCCTGTGCCCAACATTCTCGCGGTTGATGACAGAGTCGAACTGGACCTTGTCCATCGGCCTTTCCGTCCTGCCCATATCATCAGCACCCGAAAAGAAAGATAAAGAAAGAAAAGAAAAGAAGGACTCACCTAAGAAGCCAAAAGAACCATTCCTCCAAAGGCCTCAAATTCAACGTCAACCTATTCACCCTATGCGCCAGAACCGTGACAAAGAACCCGCCCACCGCATCGAGCAAGTAGTGGTTGGCGGTCGCCATGATCACGAGCAGGATGAGCACGGGGTAGCCGAGTGCGACGGCGCGGATGGGGCGGTGGGGAGAGTAGAGGAAGAGGGAGAGGCCGATGACGAAAGAGTAGCCAAAGTGGAGGGAGGGGAAGGCGGCGAGTTGGTTTTGGAACTTGTTTGTGGTCCAGACTGAAAAATAAAAATAAAAAATAAAAACAAGATAATTAGGTTGGGTGAAAGGAAGCAAGGTAGAGGGGACGTACTACTGGCGGCTTTACCAGTGTGCAAAGTGTCGACATAGCCGAATTCTTCATAAGGCAATAGTCTTGGGGGCATGCATGGCCAGCTGGAGAAGACGACAAAGGCGATGCAGTTACACAGGACCAGGGTTCGTCGGGTAGATTGGAAGACGAGGGGGGAAAAGTAGCGGTAAGAGTAGGCCATGAAGGCGATAGTGGCGGGAATGTGGACCATCGCATAGGTCCTATGTATGATGGTTAGTCGAGATTCTTGCAGGATCGTCGCTCGGCGTTCATTCAAAAACCCAAGACACGACTTTCTTTTGGCCGCAACACCATCCCGCGTCGCGCCGACCGATATCACTCGGTGATCCGGGGACGGACCCACCCCGGAGACATTCGCCGCCAGCACGCCCCCACCTTCAGAAGCACCCACTCACTTGTTGAAAAACACCAGCAGCCACTCCCTCTCCATGACAAACTTTTGCAGCGCGAGCTCACAGTCAATCGCTAACCACCGCTGAATGGCAATAATCTGTCGCGCGTGCTGCTCTGCCAACGCCCTAAAGTCGGCGCCCATCGTGAGCGCTTGCATCGCTCGGGCGATCTGGTATATCCAGTACCTATGCGCAACATCAGCACGAGCTACAGACCGGGGTCTAAAACACTCACGTCAAGAGCCAGTACCAGACCTCCATCAAGAACGGAAACATGCCCAGCAGCCGGCTGGACCACCTCGACCTGAATCGCTCATTACCAGGGACCCTGACGGTCCACTTGAAGGAGCGCATGTTCTTCCAGTGCCAGGCGTTGTCGCCGGGGGGCGGGGGCACGTCGTTGACTGCGTTGTGGGCCTGGAGGATGAGGGGCGGGGGGCGGCGGTTGAAGAGGCATCCCGCTGTGAGGAGGGAGACGACGATGGCGGGCTCGAGGATGAAGGAGAGGGCGGGGATCTCGTCTGGCTTGGACATGGCGTGGTGGAGAAAAAGAAAACTGCGCGAAAACAAAGACCGAGGATGCCAGTGCTGCGTGCGGGCCTCGTGTCCGCCGTGTCCGTCCCTGCCCGCCCCTGTCCGGATCCTTTGCGCCTATTCCCTCTTGCATGCACCTGCCCCGTCCCCTGGGGACAGCCAGGGGTGTCCACGTCGTCCCCGAGTTTGCCACAACGACGCCAAGAAGCTTATTTCAGGTTTCGGCAAGGGTTGTTGTTCTGCTCGCGTGCCGTCCTCGGGCAGCCTGCACTCGCCGTGTTTACTACTCTGCGTACTCGTACTCTCCCCTGCTCCCACCCACCTACACCTCCCTCCATTGCCCCTCGCGCAGTCTCCCCATCGTACTCGCCTCCCTCAGCCACCAAAATTTGGACTGCGAAATCGAACCTTCGGTGCCGGGGGCCGATGACCGCGCCGGGCTTTGTCCTCTTGGTAATCGGATCCCTTCTTGCCATTTGTCTACGTTGAATGAGCAGCACGCGTAAACCAATCAGTACTCGGCCTGCTCCTCCCTTCGCAAACAACCTCCTATATGACAGTTTCCCTTCACTATCACCACCTCCATACGAGATGTATTCTTCTTTTTGGCATGCCAATTAGCCGTCGGAGGTTTGATGAAGCATGCACGCGGGAATAGGTACGGCCGGAATACCCTTCTGTGCCGTGTTCTGTGGGAATCACAAGCTTTACTGTCTTTTTCGCGACATGGATGGCTAGCAATCACGATCAGAGGTTAGAGGCGGGCTCGCATATTTCCTCGAGATACCAACTGGCGAAAAGCTGCAGGAAAGCATAACGATCGATTACCGAAAAGCGCCCTGCCCGAGCTTGAATGCGGGATCCACCGCCGAGCACCATCAGATATCTATTTGGTTCCCATCGCGTTCTTCCAGCCGCTGGCCCTGGGCTCCCTCACATCACATGGTACATCACGCCAGCAAGTAGAGCACAAAGAGCAAAGCAAAAAGCGCATACGATTACAAATAATTAATTGTCGAAATACTTCTCAAGATCCATCATTCTGCAAATCTCACACCTTGCTCTCATCCCCCTCCCGCCGCACCACCCAACCCTTTCACAAACTCCAAAATCTTGCCCAAATTGCTCTCTTCAAATACCGCATTGATGTCCCTCATCTCCAGCGTGCGCGTGGCCCCCTGTTCGGGAACTGGGGAGCTGGGGTCGGGCACGCGGACGAGAGTGTCAAGGTGGAGGAGGATTTCGATAGATTTATTGGCCGTCTGCAAGGCATGTCAGCCTATCTCACATCTGAAAGCGCCAAAGGATGAAAAAACTCACCCTGACATACGACTCGGGCACTTGCATCATCCTCTCCTCCCCCTGCCCCTGCTTCTGCTCTCTTTCAGTTTCCCCTTTCCTCACCCCCTCCCCCGGGTCCTCCCTCTCAATAGCAGCAACCTCCACAGCATACTCCGCCCTCATCCCATCCGCCAACCCCCCCACCACACTCCTCAACCGCATAATCTCTTCCCTCAGATCCGTGATCTCTTCCCTCACATTTGGAACGCCGAACGACCCTCGTCCTCGGGTAACCTGACGCTGGCTCCGGTGCAGGGGCATGGAGGAGGAGAAGGAGCGCGGGAGACCGGTGGGGGGCGGCGTTTGGAGGTTGAGAGAGGGAGAGGTGGTGGCTGATGCGGAGGTCGTAAAGCTCGTCTCTTCGGCTTGATCCTCTTCCCCCTCTCCATCCCCTTCTCCTTCTCCTTCCACCTCGTCATCGACCGACCTCACACGCACGCTCCCAACACTCTTATCCCCTTCTCCCTCCTCTTCTTCATCACCCTCTTCCTCCTGGAAGCGCCCAGCCATATCCTCCCCCAACCCAGCAAGATCCCCCAAATCCCCGGGCTCGGCCGCAAAAAAGTCCGGAAAGAGGGTATTGAGCTGTTCCCGGACATGCGCCATCCAGAGCTCGTCTTGTTCTTGAGCGGTGGATACTTGGTATCGTATGCTTTCTGCTTCTTCTTCTCCCAAGTCTTCGTCTTCGTCTTCGTCCTCCTCCCTCTCGTTGAGGATGGGAGAATCGGCGGACGCTGCGGCGAGGTCGAATTGGTGTTGGGAGAGGTCGAATTCCCGGGCTGACGTCGTCGAGACAATCCGACCCCCTCCTCCTCCGCCCACTCTAGGCTCTCTGGATTCGCCCGATTGAAGCGCATACTTCATAGCCCCACTCACTCTCCTCCCTTCCACCCCGCCAAAAGCGACACCTGAGACTCTCGCTTTCACCCCCTTCCCCTGGCTATGGCCGTGGCCGTGGCCATGGCTTTGGGATATACCCGACGTTGCGCGCTGTTTTGAGCTAGGGATGGCGTTGTCGGACACACCCCTAGACTTAGGCCCTGCCCCACCGAGGGACGATATCCACCCCACAGGTCTGCGGGACGTGAGACCATCGTACCTCGGCGTCTGCTGCTGCTGCCCCGGAAGAGGACGTTGGGGCGTAGAATGAGAGAAACGAAAAGATACTGGCGTCGAAGGCGTCGACGGCGGAGACACTTGCTCCTGCTCCTGCTCCTGCTCTGGCGCTGGCGCTGGTCCGTGAGGCAAAGGGACGAAACGGGGAGAAGAGAGCGGTGTGGTAGGCGCCGTGGAGATGGTAAGACGGGTACTGGCTGTAGGCGGGGACGAAGGAGGGGCTGCTGGGGGGTTTTCGTCTTGCTCTTGCTCGTGCTCTTGGGGATCGTCAGGGTCGGTGGGGAGGAGGTTTTCGACGGCTTGTTCGTCGGTGTGCTCGTGCTCGTGCTCGACGTCTGCTGCGTTGGGGGTGGGGAGGGGTGGGGTGGGTGTACCGGGGACGGTTTGGATGGGAGGCATGGTGATAGGTGAGGAGGAAATAGAAGAGAAAGGGAAATGAAAGTGGAGAATGGAATTGTTTACATCAAACGCTCGGACACTCGTTGTATACACACACAGTTATACACAGGACGCGTCGTGCTGTTGTGGCGCGACACCGCTCATCTCCTCTGACTTTTCATCAACATGCTCTTGGACATTGTGCGTAGCAGATGAAGAGCTTCTGAACGTAATGCGATCGATATGGAGAAAAATAGCACAAACCGGCATGGTATAGTGGTACTTTCAGACTAAGCAGGAAGAGCCACTGGAGTATCAGTTATGTTCGGTTGTATTACACTAGGCCTTAAACTGCCGCTCCTCCCCCAAAAGCTCCTAGATACCGCTCCTGAGCCCCAGCGGCATATAATGGCTTCTCTCCCATCTGTGCAAGGTATCGATGGACCATGAGCACAAGAAAAGGCTGCGGCAGCAGGAGAGTTGCAGGAGAGAGTAGTGCTTTGATAACGGTCGACTTCCTCATGACCTGCACGTTACGCACATAACCTCAACATTTAATAACTTACCATCGACGGCCATAGCCTCCTCAAAGTACCGCGTCCCGTCTGATCCGCGAAGTCAACTAGGAGAGCGCTCGGTTAGTACCAGGGTGGGGGACCACCTGGGAATCCCGGGTGCCGTCGTTTTTCCTTTTTTTTTTGTCGTCTTGCCAGTTCCGCCGGTCGGGTTCAGGTGGAGAGAGAGAGGAAGAGAGGGCATGAAGGGTAGAGTCTAGGGGTGGAATTTTGGAGAGAAAACGCTACATTCTATTCTTCATGCTGGGCTGGAAGATTGCGGGGCATGTTGGGTGAATTTATTTACAGCAAGTGATTGTTAAGAGGTCTTGTTCGCCCCCCATGAGCTAGCTGAATTACAGAGGGGCAACATCTGCGGAAGACGATCTTAAGAGTATGCAAGTGATGAAGAGGAAATGAGAATGTAGTATGTATCACGTGGGTTTCTTCCCGCTTGTTATCGTTGCCGCCGCGCATGATCAGTACCTATAGTATGCGTAGCAACGATAGTCCATTCATAGCGCCTTTCCAGACAAATCTATATACACAACCCGCGATGCTCTTGACCATCTAGACTTGAACAGCGTGATCATGGCCCCCAGTGGGCGTCTGCCAGCCCGAAGCTGTCGGGGTTGGGACCTTGCCATTATCGACTTCATGCGTAAACATGACGAGGTCGAGCAAACGACAGGCATAGCCATACTCATTATCTACAGATGACATCAGCTCGACGAATCATTCGCATCCGGGATATCTCAACCCACCATACCAAGCAATGATCTTGAACACCCTCTCATTCAACATCACCGTCGCAGCCGAATCCACAATACAACTATACTGCCACCCCAAGAAATCATGCGACACCAGCTCCTCGTCATTCACGCACAACACATTCGCCAGCGGGCCCAGCGTCGAGAGCCCTGTGGAAGCTTCACGGATCGGCAAGAGGAGGTCGTGTACGGACTGGACGGGGGTGGAGAGGTGCACGGTGAGGTCGACCATGGAGACGTTGTTGACGGGGACGCGGACGGAGACGCCGGTGAATTTGCCGGCGAGTTCGGGGAGGACGAGTTGGACGGCGGTGGCGGCGCCGGTGGTGGTGGGGATGATGTTTGAGCCGACTCCGCGGCCTGGAATAAAGGTTAGCAGAGGCGGGGGGTCAGTGGAGGGGACGTACCGAGTCGACGATTTTTCTTGCTATAGCCATCGAGGATAGGCTGCGAGGACGTTGACGCGTGAACCTGGGCAAGATCAGTACTCTTTCTTCTAGAAGAGGAGTGAACTTGCGGTGGTCATCATTCCATAGTCGATACCAAACGATCTATTGAGTACCTTTGCAAGAGGCGCAAGACAATTCGTCTAGTGGTGGATCAGCAAAGGCAATCACTAGTCACGAACGTCACATACAGTGCAGCTAGCGTTCGAGAGCACGTTCATGGAGGGATTGTACTCTTTCCTGTTGACCCCAACCACGATGGTCTTTGCGTCTCTACCTCTATATCAGCGCCCATACCAGGCATATATTGCAAAAGACTCACTTGGAAGGCGCCGAAATCACAACCTTCTTCGCCCCACTCTTCAAATGCGCCCCCGCAGTCTCCACAGTAGTCATCTTTCCCGTCGACTCGATCACATACTCTGCCCCCGCCGCTTTCCAATCCAACTTCAACGGGTCTCTCTGGCTGAACAGCTCGATACGCCTGTCCTTAAAGTAGAGGGCGTCGTCTTTGATGGACAGGTCGGCAGCGTGGCGGGAGGTGCCGTGGGTGGAGTCGTATTTGATGGCGTGGAGGAGGTAGTCGATGGAGGGTGCGGTGTGGTTGATGGCGACCACTGGAGAGGGGTTAGTAGGGATCAAGTTGAAGACGGGCGACTTGCCGATGAGGTCTGTCCTCTCGAGCGAGGCTCGGAAGGCCGCTCGGCCGATACGGCCAAAGCCATTGATGCCTACACGACATTGAGGGAAGAGTGAGTCTTGCAGATGTGCCAGGAGGGGATTGGTCATGTTGAATAGTGTAGTCTATCTTTAATGGATGGGGAAAAGTAGCACGATGAGGGCTGTATATATAGCAGTGGCCTCGCCATAGTCATTGCAAAGAGACGGCTATGGGAGCGGAAGAGGTTGGCACTTTCCCGATAGTTGTTTGAGCTGGACTGGCTTCCCCGTATTGTGATCGTCGGAGATGGAGGTGCAAATGTGGGGCTAGGAGAGAGGACGGAGCAGGAGCGGAGGGATCGATGAGGGGCAGAGATGGACCCCGCAGAGTGCCTTCGGCTTTCGGCGGATCTACAAGTGCATTCTGGTAGTCTTTGCCAGAGTTCGATTATGAGTACGGTCTATTCTTTTTGCTTTTGCTTCTTGGCACGCATTCCGCAACTTGAACCTTCATGGAATTGTCAATCGTCATTTAAGGGGGTAAGAGTGTTGTGGGAAATCTGTGCTCCACTCTACCCTACCTCTGCTTGCGGTGGAATGCCTCAGGCCCGTTCGGCCGCGCAATTACTCTCTGTTTGGCGGGGCGACGTCTCCGTCTCTTGGCCTGCCAGCATCGGTCGGTCGAATTTGGTAAAGGGTGCGGGCCATTGTGCAGAGCTATCTTGTATCGCATCGCAAACATGCATGGGACTCTGGATGAAAAATGAAGCAGCAAGGCAGCGCGGAGATAAAGGGACTCCAGGAACGGCGGGATATGAACGTGGTTCGATAAGATGGCGAGTTGAAAACAAACGTTGTTTTGCTTCATTTTTTCCCTGGACCACGCCTGCTCGCTCGATTTTTCAGCATCATGGCACACGGCATACACCGCCAACGTAGACATTAGAGTCACAGTACATATATAGAGACGCAGCCCTCCTCAGCGACAGCGACGACACAAACAACAACAAGGGAACCCAGCCATCGGAATCCCATCGATGCTCGAGACACGCCAGACCGCCCTCCCCTCGCTCGTCCTCGCCTCCCCCTCCACTTCCTCTGCCTCTCTCCTGATACCAGAGACCCACAGAACATACGGCTCCATCCCCCATATCCCCTCCCTCCTCCAAACCCAATCCCCTCACTACGCCTCGCCTCGCTCCTCTTCAGATCCTCGTGGGGAGCGACCGCCTTTACCCCGCATCAACTCTGCCACCCCTCTCATCCCGCGTTCCTCTGGCTTGTGTAGAGATTTGAGAAGGGGACATTGGCATTTCCCGTGGCACGGGCATCGGAATTGTAGGAAACACCGATCGTGCGGTGCTAGCGGATTGACAGGGAGTATTGTGATAATGACTGGTATGGTCTTGGGATTGGTGTTGGGGGTGATGTTGTGGGTGTATGGGTGGATGGGCCGGGAAGAGCGATTGAGCGTGGTAGGCCTTGCGAGTACCTTTCAAATGAAGCGCTGCTGACTGGGCTATATAGCTTCCACCTCTGGGAAAAGACATTGCGAGTAAGCCTCCCCTCTACCAACAAAAGTTTGATCTAATGTCATTCATAGATGGCAACTTTTCGACCAAGGGCATCAAAAAGATGTGGGCATGCAGCCATAACGACGAAATGCAAGGTCAGAATGCCCTGGTGCGTCTCCCTCACCTTCATCTACACCCCCGTCCCTGACACTCGCATAGTCCCTCGCATTGAGCCTAGGTTACGGCTGGATTGAAGTCGATACCCACCTCACTGCCACGCCCTCCAAACACCACTCGGACAATGTTACATGGACGTTACTGGCGGGGCATGATCTTGCGGACCTCGATCCCAGGAAGAGTCTCAAGACGCTCTATCTCGATCCGCTCTTGGCTATTTTGGATAAAAACAATGAGGGGCGGGATAAGGACGGTGAGGAGGAATGGAATGGGGTGTATGAAGATGATCCGAGGGAGGAGATCGTGCTCATGATAGACATGGTGAGTCCAACGTCACTCGAGTGATCCAAACTGACATGGGCCAGAAATCGGACGGCGACGAGACCTGGCCCCACCTCCAAAAAGCTCTCGAACCATTCCTCGCAAAAGGCTATCTCACAACCTACAACACCACCTCCCGAACCCTCTCCCCCGGCCCTCTCACAATCGTCGGCACCGGCAACACCCCACTGCACCAAGTCTTCTACGCCCCCCTCCGCTACATCTTTTTCGACGCCCCCCTCGTCGACCTGCACAAACCCCACCACCTGCCCGCGACCCCTTCCGGCCCTGCAGTCACAATCGAATGGTCCCCCTCCCTCTCCCCCATCGCTTCCTCCAAATTCCCCCTTCAATACTACCTCGCGGCACCGCCCACGCCTTTTCCAGCGTACAATCCGTTCTTGTGCAACCTCCAGCTCACGGCGGCGGTAGCGCATGAGAAGGGGATACAATCGAGGTGGTGGGGGGTGCTGCATAAGCCGGGGTGGGCGAGGAGGAGGATGTGGGAGGTGGTTTGGCAGAGTGGGGTGGGGGTCGTTAATGCGGATGAGCTGGAAGAGTTGAAGAGCTGGTTGGAGGGGAAGGAGGGGGTGGAGAGGGAGGGGTTCTGTTGAATTTTCCTTGTTGCATTGCATTGTATCCATTTTTGATTATAACAACTTCTTGTTGATTCCATAATTGTCACGTATAGAGAGTGAGCCATCCTATCAAAGCGGGGGACGCAGTATCAAATATGTGACAAGACTGCATAGGATGATCTATCATCGTCTAGAGCTCGACATCCTCGTCATCGTACGCCTCCTTCATCAACCGGTAGATGTAAGACGGCGGATGGTCACCCCTATACCAACATCAGCTTGACCCCATCTCGATTACTCGAAACTCACTCATTGGTAACAAACAAGTTGATCAGCTCCGGCCTGATATAATCATAATAAGGATTGACAACCTCCACACCCTCCGTACCACCACCACCGCCCTTCCCGAGCTCCCCAATCACAGCCCCCGGCCCCTGGAAATCTACAGCCCCATACTCGTGGTACAAATTCCAAGCCGGCGCGAACTTGAACTGCCCCGTGGGTACCACCACCGGCTTTGCATGTTCCTTTGCCGCCAGCGCACATCCAAGGGAACCAGAGAGCGCAAACAGCCCGCCATTGGCGAGTACAGAGTGCGCGCCAAGGATGACTTTGGTGACTCGAGGGAGGAGGGCATGGATGGAGGAATCCGGGATGAGGAGAGTGGGGATACCGGAGGAAGAGAGGGAGGAGGCGAGAGAGTGGCCGAGGTAGGAGGGGGCGGATTCGGCGACGACGACGGTGAATTTGCGGTCTTTGTAGGCTTGTTTGAGGAAGAATTCGACTGTTCTTGAGTGGCCCATGGTCAAGATGATCTCACTGTATCAAGTTAGACATGGGGGCTGGGAATGGAGTTGGGGACGTACGAAGAGTGGATGTGCTCCCTGGCGCCTTTGGCAACGTCTTCATGGGTCGTCTCCAGTTCCCCGACAACTTCGTCGATAGCCTGCACAAGCAACGGCTTGAGCTTGGCACTGTGTTTCATAAACTCGTCACTGTCCACCCTTGACGCCTGCGCCGGTGACCCAGAGCCAGAAGACGACCTCACAGGACCCCCAGGGCTCGCAAACAGGTTCACAGTATTCGCCGAATACCCCTCCGCTCCGCTTTTCTCCATCTGCGCTCTCGAATGGCGCATGGCGACAAAGTTGGATAGAGACGTTTGACGGGAGGCTTGAGTGCTGGGAAAGTATTGCCCGCCATTGGAAGCGTTGAGGTAGTGGTCGAGGGGAGCGTTGAGGCCCGGGGTGGAAGGGCCCATGAAAGGGGTGGAGGGGATAGAGTTGGGGGCAGAGTCGATTTGGCGGGCGGCGGCGGCACGGTACTCTTCGCGGATGAGACGAAGGATACGGCGGATAATGTTTGCAGCGGCGAGTTCTAAAGTCATCGTCAGTATACACCCTCATCCAGATGGTATAAGGCGCACCTTTCGGGTTGGCTTCGATGAGCTTTCTACCGACCGACTTGATCAACGCCAAAAGCTCATCAATGGTGCTGTATTTCGCGCTTCGCACGATGCTCTGGACGAGAGCAGCGGTGGCAAGCGCGACATTGAGAGACCCCACAATTTGCCTGGAATTACTGTAAGCATACAATAACCTTGCGTCCACAAGACTCACCGCCGGCGCAGACTGGTACAGAGAGTGTCAGTAAGGCGCGTGTTGGGGTCAGTCTGTGTCTGTCTCTTGTCAGCCTCGATCCCTTGTCTGGTTACTCGTACGCACTGTTGTAACGTCTGCGGCCATGTTGAATGATTTGGACTGATTGTGGTATCCTCTCCAGACAATGCACGAAATCGCGGACTCCTTTTCGACGACTCGGCCAGTTACGTAAACGGGGCAAGAGTGGAGGTCGGTCGCCGTTCGACGAGGTATCACGTCTCTCTTCTGCACTTTCTGTTGATTGCATACAAGATTGGGAGCTCGACAAGAGTGAACGCAGCATTTGGCACGATGTTCAAGTTTCTGTATTTGGTCCTACTTGCCTCGCTAGCTGCGATCATTGCTCGCGCCGATACCGAAATCGTCAACTTCCATCTACCCTTGTCAAAGGATACGACCGTCTATCCTCCTCTCGATAATGTGATTCATACGTAAGTACCATCTTCTACCAATCTTATGTAGGCATTCAAAGTCTAATCAGGATCTCAGGATATCACCTTTCGAGACAGTAAATCTCAATCTCACAGACATCTCTCCCGAACAATGGTTTTCGCTCGATTGGAAAGATCAGCAAGACAAGTACATAAGCTGGACTCTGCGTGCCTCTTGGCCTGCATCTGTAAGCCCTCCTTTTTCGTTCAAACGGGAGCTCATATATGACAGTCCCCAACCCGCATCCAAATCCTCCCACCCCACTCCCCCGGCTTTCTCCTCATCCACGCCTCCCCCCTCTCCCCTCGCTTTCCTTACCACCCTCCTCTCTCTCGATACCTCCCCTCCTTCCTCCGGCCCCTCTTTAACTTCCTCCTCCGGACCACCCAGCCGGTACCTGCGGAGAGAAAACTCGATACTGAATTCGAGACACCCCTTCACCTGACGCTGGAACCGCTCCTCTTGGGTGTTCTGCCGTATACGGCGTTACCGGCGGTGAAGTTGATATTGGTGGTCGTGGTGGTGGCTGGTTTTGGGGTTCCTTATGTTATTAAGGGGTTAGAGGGGGCTGGGAATCGGGTAGATGGGAGACGGCGGAAAGAGGGCGTCAAGGAAGAGTAGAATACTTTAGAGAGTTGTACAATACCACATGTTAATATCTACTGAAATACTGGTAGCGTACTCTACCGTTTGAGCCTTCGAGTTTCTTTACGTCGTCTACCTCAAGTGGCTCGCTCTGGATGGCCTTGTTAGTAGCTGGAAAATCAATGCAAAAGTCAGTTCGCATTGGAGATGTATGTTCAGTTGGTTGGAAAGGAGGTGCGCAGGGATGCCAATGTAAAGTTTTATTCATCATATCAAGATAAAGAGCGAAAAGAAACTACGAAAGATCACACTACGTGTATATACATTTATTTGCCAAGCTAAAGACAAGACCATTCGCAAACTCGAAAACCACCCACCTCTACGTCTCCCACCATCACTCAAGAGTCAAAGATGAAAGTTGATGTCGAAGCACAAACCTTGCGTGTATATATGCGAAACTCCAAAACAAAGCATTGACAGAAGGTCGATCAAGCACGGACAAAGAAAGCAGGCCCTCTTGCGTAAAACTCTCGGTCGGCACGAGGATCGCCGTGGTGGTGATGTCGGCGGTCTCGAACGTCATGACCAGAGGAAGGGTAATCGTCGTAATCAGAGTCGGAATAGTCGTTCATCCATCGAAGAGGGGAAGAAGGTCGGCGGTGGTGGCGAGGGCCGTGGGGAGGGGTAGGCATCCCCATGTGGCTAAAGAAGGGACCTCGGGCAGACATACCCCTGTTGATAAAGTCAGATTCGAAAGGAGGAGGAGGGGGCATTCCGTGCATGCGTTCATCGCCCCTGCCGCCGAAACCTTGCTTGAATCCAAAAGGAGGAGGGGGAGGGGGCAAACCCCTACGGCTGGGGCGCCTGTACTCGTCATCGCTTCCTTGGGGGCCAAAGCCAAACTCTTGAGGGTGAGGTCGAGGACGGTACTCGTCATCGCCCCTACTGCCTCTCCCACCAAAGCCAAAGCCGGCATGTCGAGGTCCCCTGTGCTCACGTCCGCCCATCATCTCAAAGTGTTCGCCAAAGGGGGGAGGGGTGGGCATAACCCTACGAGGACGGTCGTACTTGTCGGTAAACGAAAAGTGGGGAGGAGGGGAGGGAGGGCGCATGCCTCGCCTGCTAGAGTGCCTGAAGTCGTCGAAGAACATGTGGGGAGGAGGGGGGCCGTACATGCCCATGCCCATGCCCATCATGTGAGGAGGGGGTCGGCCAAAGCCTGGGCCGTGTCGGGGACCACCGCGGGGACGGTGAGAGCAGCAGCAGTGCTCGCCAGACTCGGACTCGGAGGAAGAAGTCTCAGACTCGGAACCGGAAGTAGTGTTGCCGTCGGAAAGAGGTTTCTTTTCGGTGACCTCTTCGTTGTCAGACTTGGGGTGGCGGGGGTGAGGAGGTCGAGGACCGTGGTGGCCAGGACCACAGTGAGGACCGCGGGGACCAAAGCCTCGGTGGTGGTGACGGCGCGCGGGGCCAAAGTCGGACTTGGACTCGTCGGCGTCGGGAGAGTGAGCACGGTGGTGTCGGTGCTTGTGGCCCCTGGGGATTTCAGAACCAGGAGCAGACTCCATACCAGGCTCGCCCCTCATACCCCGCTCACGACGCTCGTGATGGCGTCGACCATGACGCTCGCCCCGCCCAAAGAACTCGGAAGGGAAACCCTCAAAGTCGAATCCAGGAGGAGGTCGGAACATGCCAGGGTGAGGAGGAGGAGGAGGAGGAGAACGACGGTCCGAGTCAAAGTCGAAGGGAGCGAAGCCGGGAGGGGGCATACCGCCTCGAGGGTGGTGGTGGTGACGCGGGTGACGGGGACGGGGGCGGTCAGAGCGGTCAGACTTGTCGCCTTTATCCTCAGGGTGAGGAGGCTTCTCGCCGTCAGACTCGAAAAAGTGGGGAGGAGGACCGTGATGCCTGTGGTGGCGACGACCGTGACCTTCGGGACGGGGACGATGAGTTTCGCCATCCTCGAATCGAGCGGGCTTTTCGACGTCGAACTCGGCAGGGGAGAAGCCAGAAGGAGGGCGCATGTGGCCTCGGGGGCCATGGTGACCGTGAGGGTGGCGACCGTGGCCTCGAGGGTGAGGTACGTCTTGCTTCTCCGCAGTAGGCTCAGGAGTGGCGATAGAGAGCTTCTCGGTTTGTTCAACTGCAGAAGGAGAGTCAGCGATAAACTCAAAAGACGGGAGGTGGGGAGTAGACGTACCTATAGCGTCGGTGGCGACAGCTTCAGTTTGGGCATCGATAGCAATGTTCAAGGTAGCAGCAGCCTGGTCGACATTCTGAGGAACGACCTCAAAGCCGTCGACATCGGCATTGTTGCTGTGGTTGTTGTCGGTGATCATGAGGAGTAAGGTAGAGTGGGTGGCGAAAGGAATTGTCAAAATGACTTTGAGAGATGGGAATTGAGGGAAATGGCTGCCTTTATATATGTCTCGAGGACGTCCGCAGTTGGCCACCCGGCCAGTCCGTCATGCCGAAGACGCCGAGGTTCTCTGATGATCTGCCGCAGCCCGGGATATCGCGCATCGTATTGCACAGTCGCAGCAGAGCTTACGCTTCAATTTGCCACCCAAATCATCATGCAATGCAGAGAAAGAGCACGGCGAATTTGGCGAGAGTCTGCGCAGCGCAGCACAGCGGAGAGTGCCTGTGCCTGGGAAAGTTAGTCACCCAATATTACTCCGTCTTGGTTGTTTGGTTCTAGAGAAACCTTTGCGGCCTCTGCCCGGCCAATGCACAGCGTCCGGGCGGCATTGTACCGATGGCGAGAGCGATGACTATCAAATCAAGAAAGTCTTTCGGGCTGCGATCTCGCGGGTATTGTGACTGCATACGTCCATCCAATCCACAAGCCGAGACGGCTATAAACTTGTCTTTCGCGGCTCGCTCTGCCTGCTCCCTCGGTCATCGGCCACAATCGAGATCTGTGCTGCTGTGCGAAGCGGACCTCTTTGAGTGATTGGTGGCATATTGCACTTGTTTGCGAGGGCCACTACTACGCATGACATATCGTGCACCTCCGGCGGTGCTGGTGCCCGCGCAATGATAAAAAGTTAGACAAAAAGAAATCTTCCTGACGGGGAATCGAACCCCGATCTCCCGCGAAGTCAATTTTACAATGACAAGCGAGCATACTAAACCGTTATACGATCAAGAATTGTTATGTTGTGTTGCTAAATATAGCATTATCAACTCAGTACGGTGCAAGGGTCACGTTGGTACTGGGCTAAAGTACGTACTTGTACATCCTTTCAAAAATGTCCTTTCATTCCGCCCTTATGCAATCCTCTGAACTTGTCTCTGAGCCCATCATGTCTCCAAGATCAGACCCTATCGTCTCTCTCGACTGAACGGCGAGGAAACTACGTTTGTGCAATGGTATTATCGGATGCTGTGAAGATCACAAGTAAGTACCATGGTCAGCGATGACAGTCTCTTATATACTTACACGATTGAATAGTCGTTGTTGTAGCACCAGTACTGTTCTTTACTGTTCTTTTCGCAGCAGCGTACCTCTACCGCCGGTATCAGTCGCCCTACCGGCACGGCACTTTCCGAGTTGAAGACGGTATCTGGGATCCCTCAAAGCCGGAGGGGCTTCTCCCACATTGCCACATGTGCTACCAAAACCACAGCCATGGACAAGATCTAGTCGTATCTGTAGAAGCGGGTCCATCTTATGAGAGTAAAGCAGAGGGAGCCAACAACATATCCGAGCTGCATTACGTGGAGAAGAGTATAGATGTCCGACGGTTGAATCATAATCCTTACGCCCCCGACCTCATCACCCGAGTCAACTCCATCTCTTCCACCCTCGCATCACAAGAACCTGCCAACCCTTCTTCAGACGTCTTGCCTTTTGGAGGCGGGCGTCGAGCATCGCACGCTTCTGTTGTGGATCCCAACAGGCTCGGGTATCAAGGTGTTGAGGCAAATGCTCTAAGCCACGGAGTCATTGCCGTTGGGGATCGACGGCCGTCTGTCTTGTCTGGTGGGCTATCGGACAGGAGAGAGAGTGACACGCTTTCTGTGAGAAAAGTCAGCTTCGGAGGAGGGGAGGAGATGGTGAATGTACAAGCCGCCGGTATCGATCAGTCAAAATTGCCGGCTAGAAGATCATCCAATCCATCGCGATCTTTCTCAAGACGACCTTCTATGAAGGATGGGGAGCTACAACACGATGAGCAGCCGGAGCCACTCCCATTCTCTCACCCCTTCAGCGCCACTTCTTTAAGCAGCAGCACTTCGCTCACTCGCGGCGGAGTAGGCTCAGCATTCATCGTCCCTCCAGTACCAGCTCTGCAACAACCCCCTCCTCCGCGCAAAAACATCCAAAAACGACCCTGTTCCCTCAAACTCACCTCAACGTCTACCCGCCAGTCCAGCCACCCGCCTCCCAGTATCCTCGCATCCGCATACGATCCCGTGACCGGCGTATCCACCAAAGCTCTCAAATCCGCTCTCATTGCCAGCCCTGAACTGGATGAGATGAGTACGGGGAGTGATATCAGTGAAGACTTTGTTGAACCTACGCCGGGGGTGTTTGAAGCCTGGAAAGGCTTCCCTCAGCAGGGGTCGCCTTCGAGGGCGGTGTTGATACAGCCTCCTGAGTTTACCCATGCCAGCGGACAAGAGCCTTCGGCTGAACCTTCGCTGGGTTCGACCTCGCCCAAAACGCTGCCGCCTACTCCGGCACCTCGTCCTTCGCAGCTAATCCCAGCATCGCCAACGCCTTCTGCTCCCCCCATTGTCTTGGGGCCACCTTTATCAGGTGTAGAGAGGCGCTCGAGTAGCGCCAGTAATCGGTCGATAACGTACTTGGCGGACGTAGTGAGAGATGAAGCGCAGAGGAAGGGTGCAGTGTCTGCGGGTTTGCCTGGTAAGGAAAGAAAGGATAGTCTGCATGTTCAGGCAGAAGAAGATGGGATGGAAGAAGTCGCCATAAACTCACCGCCACCTGTGCCAGCACCGGTTGCCCTACATCAAGCCCAGAGTCTCCCCTCGCCAACAGCTCCACTGAAAGCGCTTGTGTCCGCAGGCCTATCGGTACCCTCTCCTAATGTCGCTATAGGAAGAAAAGCAAGTACCCACAGTGCAAAGTCCAATACACATCTTGTAGTCGAAGTGGTGAGGGAGAACTCGGTACGAAGGAAGAGCGCGACAGTCGTACCGGCCACGCCCGCCGAAACGAGGCCTCAGAGCGTCCACGTCGAGATCGTCTCGCCAAACGTATATGGCGAGCAGGATGCGCCCATGTTGTCGCCTTCAAAGTTCCAGGAGAACCTTGTACAGTATGAGAATGATAGCGCACGAGGCCAAGCGATTTGAATGCAGTGTAGATGTAACATCTCTACGGTCTATTAGCTCTACAACAACGCATGTCTATGCCGATCTAGTGAGATCTAGAAATCTAAGATGTATTAGTGATACGCATACAATAGCCACTCTCATGACCACCCCATCCTGGTCCCAACACCCAACGCGCCACCCTCTTTCTTCATCTTGTCCTTCTTCTCCTGCGCCTTTCTTACAGCCTCTCGCGCTTCCTCCACATCCCTCTCGGCCTCCTCCACTTCTCCCTCCTTATGCGTCTTCTCACCCTCCACTTCCGCTGCGTGCAGTCTTGCCTCTGCGAGGTGGGCGGTAGCTTGCGCGAGTATCTTGTTGTTTCTGTTGTTTTGCCATGAGAGGAAGGTGTTCCAGCACATGCCGACGGATTGGACGGCGAGGAGACGGTGTTGTGGGGGGATGAGGGTGAAATTGAGAATCTGGGTGGGGCCAAAGACGCAGACTGCTTTTTGCCATGTTGGGAACCAGCCCTGTAGATCGAGTCAGCTTGGGTTTGAGTGGAAGAGGAACGGACATACCATGGCAACTTTTTGTCTGACCTCTTCTATACTTTTGCCTTCTAATAGACCGAGAGACGTCGGGAACATGAACGTGACACATGGTGACCAAACGAGGCAATCCAGAGTGACCTTGGTAGCAAGAGCTGGGGGCTACGTCAGCTGTGTATGGGGCTCACAGCTCAACAACTCACTGGTCACCTTGTTCGAGAGATTGACCTTCTCCAGCTGGCTCAGCCATGCATGGGCGAGGGGAGCAAACACAATAGACCCATCTAAGTATGGTCAGTACTGACTCAACCAAGACCTTGTCGGGCGAGCTCACAAGTAGTGATCCTAGCTGTTCTTAAAGGCTACGACCTGTCAGCTATACACAAGCCCCTCGCTATATCACTCACATCATAGATCTCCTCCCCCTGCTCCCCCATAATAGCTTTCCTCATACTTCTCCCCTCAATACCCATCTGAGCTACCAAGTCCGCCGTAATGAAGAGCACACCGCTCTGGATCATCTTTGTCCTCAAGGGACGTTCGCGCAGGGCGGTAGTGTAGCCTGACCATAGGCGGGCAAAGAAGGGGCGGGCGGTGGTGGACATGCTGAGAGGTCAGAGGGGGGAGGGTGGTCTCTATAGGCGACCTTTTCTAATTCAGAGCTGAATGATAACAAAGCAAGAGAAAGGGGTCGGCTTTCAGCGGCCAACGTCCGAGCAGTCACCAAAATATTCGTAATCCCATTACAAACATCCAATTGCGGTCATGTCCGACTCCATATCGTCTTCTATCTGTCAGTATCTGGTCAGTATCGTCTGTATTCAGTCAGTATCTTTAGTCTCATATGCTCTTGATGGACGTGCTGTTGGGCGATCTCCAAGCGTACGGTGTCATTGATAGGGTTTGCATTGTGTATCTACTTTACATAGGAGAACGGGCTACAACAAGACTCAAACAGATAACGTGTATCATCACCTACGAGCGATGGTCAAGAAATCGATAGTGATAGAACGAAGAACATTTGTAGATTGGTATACTAAGTTGAAAATAGTAGCATCAAGCAGTGACAGAAGCAGGGCCCCTCATACCGAAGGAAGCTTGACGATGACCTTGAGGAATATCATGTCGGAAAGAGTGTTGACGGATGAAAGGGTTCCTATCCATGTGAGGGCGGGAAGAAGATGATTGATGGTGGTGGCGATAGTCGATGCCCTCCATGTGTCCGAAAGAGCGCTCCATAATACCGTTGCTGTCGGCTTCAGACTCGAAGCGGTCCATCATGTCGCCATGGGAACCGAAGGGAGGAGGGGGAGGCATACCGCGTTGGTGTTCCATGTGGTGGTCGAAAGATATATGGGGAGGAGGAGGGAGAGGACCAGACATACCCCTCATGTGAGGGGGGCTGCCGGCAGACTCGAAGCGGTCCATCATATCGCCATTGGGACCGAAGGGAGGAGGGGGAGGCATGCCGCCTTGGCGTTCCATGTGATGGCTGAAAGACATGTGGGGAGGAGGAGGGGGAGGACCAGACATACCTCTCATGTGAGGAGGCATACCACGGCCATGTTCTTGACCAAGAGGGTGGGCTTGATGAGGGAAGGAGTGGTGCTTGTGGTGCTTGAGAGTAGTGATGGAGAGGTCGGAGTCAGACCCAGCCTCGGAGACGTCGTCTTCCTCGTCGGTTCTAGACATGCAAAATCGGGGGGCATGACCACGAGGACCGTGAGAGGCATGACCCATACGACCGAATCCTCGAGGGTGGTGTCGCCCCTCAAATCCAGAGCCAGCTTTGATCTCCTCGAAGCCAGGAGGAGAATAAGCACGCGCATGGCGATGCTTGCGCTCAGGACGAGCACCCAGACCAAAGCTGTGAGAAGGGCGCTCGCCCCTCTTGCCGTGCTCGGGTCGGCCGTGGGGCTTGCCTCTGTTGGAGTGTTCGAAGCCGTGGCTGGGAGGAGGGCCCATATGATGATGAGGGGGGTGAGGGGGCATCATGTCGTCGAAGGGGGAAGGAGGAAAGCCAGGGGGAGGCATACCGCGAGGGCCGTGGTGATAGTGAAGAGCGTGGGCATGGGTGAGAGGGCGAGAGTCTCGAGCGGGGATCTCTTGGATGTCGTCGTCTTCGGCAGGCTCGGGAGTGGCAAGGCGGAGCATCATGGTTTGGTGGACTACAGAGTAGAAGTCAGAGTCGTGTTCAGAAGCTGGAGAGGGTTTTGACCTACTGATGGCGTCGGTTGTAGGAGTACCTTCTTTCTCGAAGTCAACCTCGATTTTCTCGTCGTACTGAGGAGCGGCCTCGAAGTTGGCAAGGTCAGCGGAAGGAGCAGCGTTGTCGGTGGTGTAAGACATGATATGAATGTTGCTGATGAAGTAGTTGTTGGCGAGTTGAGGGGAGATGAGATTGTCGAGATGACTTTGAGAAAAGAGATGGGAATTCGACCAGAAAGCCTCCCATATATACCCTTCAACCTCGTGCGCAGCATCCCAGCCGGAAAAAACCTATCGTCATGCCGAGGTCAAGATACTCTCGCTGTTTGCAGTCCGCAGCGGTGCGCAGGGCATTTGCCACCGAGACCAAGCGAAAAGAACCGAAAAGAATGCAAAAGAACCAGAAAAGACCTCGGCATCGCTCGGCACGTGGCACAGCATAGGTTCCTGGTGCCTGACTGACGATCAATTGCCGGTTAGTCACCCGACATTACTCCGATATCTCGCAGTCAACAATTACCCGGGACGATGATACATATGTACTCAGCCAGTCGTCACTATCCAGCCGCATGATGCACTGGGACTGTACATATTTGCATGTGTTATTTGGATTATCTACATTATGAATCACAAGTACGCGTGACAGTCGCTAAGGCTATACCACATACTTGGAGAGAGGCTTTACCGGCACCGCTGCTCTGCTTCGCGTGAGCTTCGCTTTGAACTCTTTGATATCGCCTATGTATACGTTCTCGGAGCGGACCGAATACTTCGAGACCATATCGGCTTCGCTTCTGATTTGCGACTGGATATGAACCGACAATTTGGATCGAGTGGGAGAGGTAGGATGGATATGCGTCATGAAGACACGGAGCACGTCTTCTTTCGACGTCCTTCTGAGAGTCGCCACATCTATTTCGCCTACATACCGTCAGCTCAAGAATCAGCGAGTACCTTACAGAACCACTTACGTCTGGCAAAGTCATAATCTCCTCGCGTAATCGTCTCCCAAAACCTTCCATTTTCTTCTGAAAGTCTCTTCGGCTTCTCCTCCCGCCAATCAATCAAACTCTGCTTGTGCTTCTCAAATTCATCGTCACTGATATCCTGGACATACACTCTCATGCTGTCGAGGAAAGCCTCAATTCTGAGCTCCAGGTAGACAGGGTCTCTCTCGCCCTGTGCAAAGACTGTATAACTCATGATTCCTTCAATTGTATCGGGGCGTGAGATGACTATGTACCCCAACTGCTCTTGTGTTCAAGAGTGTTGAAGCAAGCCTCATTCGCTATTTGAGCGAAGAGATATAGACGATTTCGGAGGACAATGTCTGCGGGATCCCCGATCTGGCAATGGTAGTAGACAGCGCTGTTCGGATCCTGCCCGTTGTCCATGAACATATGCCAGATATGCTCAGAGGCTATAAAGGTGATCAGCGCTCTGACAAAGAGCTTCTGAGTGCACTTACATGGAAGAAGTTTGAGCGACCTTGATTGACGTTCAAGCTCTGTATCTGATAACTGCCCAGGCTGGAGTGCGCTCTCGATCATCACTTGCATGTTTTTTGCCTCGTCGGGCGTCGAATTGCCGTCAATGAGGGTCTCGATGTGCAATCGACCGAATAGATCCTCCCGAAATACTGACACATCATCTGCAGTGATGCTCTCCAGCTCCCTCAGCTGCTCCTCGTGTGTCCAATTGGTTACGAGAGTGGCATACAGAGCCCAATAGTGGGCGGACTCGAAGGGATCAGATCGCAGTTGCTTGTTTTGCGTTGACCTTGTCTTGTGATCGGTCATCAGTTGGAACCTCTTGTCATCAACTTTGAAGCTAGCTAGCCTTTCAATCATGCTCTGAGTCAAGAGAGTAAGGTTATCACTGAAGCCAGAGATTGATATCTCAAGCCCCTTGTAATCATCGGTGATCGAGAATTTGAGCCCAGCGAGAGTGGCGTCATACGTATCTTCCGTGATACTGTCTGAGAAAAGTTCGCAGAAGAGACTTGACAAGACAGAGTTTCGAGCTGTGTTGTTGATGATGGGACTGTGAAGAGTCACGTTCAGGATCGTTCTGGGGAAGCCGAAGGTGTCGTCCTGTTTGTACCACAATCGAGAAATGGGTGTTTCGCGCAGAATCACAGGGTATTTTGTGAGCTTGGCATCATCCGATTTTCGAATTTCAAGCTTCTCAGGTATGAGAAGATTGGGGGGAGGAAGCGCGAGAGCCTCGATTGGAGGACCATACAACACCTGCATGAGAACGTCAACAACAGCTGTGTATATGAGGAAGGAAGCTCACATCTTTCAAGAACAAGTGGTCAAATGCGACCGTCTTGAATTGAATCCCATAAATGGGCTCGACCTTTTCGAATTGTCCCCCAACATCGCCCGGTAACTCCCTACATTTCAAGACAATATGTGAGGACCTAGGGTCCAACAGCACCAGAGCAGAGTCCACTTCGTCCGTCCGGAACTCCTCCAGGAGCCACTTGCTACTGATCACCTTCTCCCGCGGTATGGGAAGCTGCAGCCGGGCGGACAAGTTTCGGCAAGAAGACGATGTGTTGTCTTGCTCGGCGAACTGGAAAGAGATATCGTTGATGCGCTTGAGCTCGTCAAAGACGTGGGTGGGAAGGGGTTGAGAGCAAAGGAGTATGATGTATCTGAAGATCACCACCACCACTTCTTTGTGGTGAAGTAAACCCTCAGGGGTCAAATCGACGCTGATGCGAAAGAAGGAGAAACCGGCAGCAGGTGTGGTACCAGCGTCTACCTTGTTCGCCCAATCTTGGGCCTTGAGGTACGACATGATAGAGCCACGTCCTTCGTGCCCGATAAGATGACTCAGAAGGTTCGCTGGCTGCTAGGATCAGCTGATAAACGACACCATGCACATGATGGACTCACCTTGGTCTGGTACAGGTGCCGGATATCGGGGAATGGGAACAGAATCTCCATCGTGCGCAAGTCCATTACAGGTCGGACGTAGGTGAAGTGCTGGACTTGTTCCGGGCCGTAAGGACTGTCTTCAAAGACGACTCTCTCTCCATCTATTCCGACCCTTGGCTTCCCCGAAGTCCGCCCTGGTATGCCTGCAAACTTGTCTTTCACCCACTTTTCGAGGGTGTTCACATCATTTTTACTCGCGATTACCAGCTTCATCCTCCTGGCACAATATTCTTTCTCCCACCACGCAATCAGCTCTTTCCGAGGGTCTCTTCCGGCAGCCTTTGGGGCGGACCAGAGCGTCTCAAAGTTGCCGGTACCAAACTTCCCATACGGGTGACCAGCTTTTGACAAGAATCTTTCGAGTTGGGATAGATCGCCACTCATCATCCTGGCAGTTCTTCTTGTGTTCCGAATCTACAGCTCTGATCTCTCGCTCAGTACTGTCTTCGTTGAAAAGCGGTTCAATGAAAAACCCTGCAAAGTGATCGAGAGCACCTTCGAGAGCATCAGGGCTGACGTCAAAATAGTAGTTGGTCGAAGCAAGAGCAGTATAGGCATTGGCGCTACCATTATGGGAAGACAAATACTGCTTGTAGCCGTTCTCTTGGGGGTGAGTCTTGGTCCCATGAAAGAGGAGGTGCTCGCAGAAATGCGCGCAGCCGGGCAGATCGTCGGGATCGCTCATATGACCTATGCCAACGTTCATACTGGCGGCGGCCTTGTCGGCTTTGGGGTCGCTGATGATGATGACTTCAAGGCCATTGGCGAGGGTAAAGTACTTGTGGATGCGCTTCTCAAGAGGAGGTAGGATGAGGTCAACGGGGCCAGTTGCTTTGGGGATTGGCGGACATGGAGAGAAGGGTGGTACCGGCGTGATGGGAGCGTCTGCCGGGGTTTCCATGTTGATAGGAGGGACTTCTGCTCACGGTCACTCAACTTCAGCTGAGATTTCCGGGTACAAACATGTCTATGGGAAACTTACCTATCATGGAGCACTGGAAGTAGTTGCAGTTCGGCGACGATGATGAGGCCAGCAGGCTGTTGTAGCCTTGCGAAATATAAATAAGTGTATGATATATTGATCGTTATGCGCATTCCTGTGGGATTGGCGTGCTACTATACAGATGATCTACAGTGCTGCATGCTGACATACGACTGGCGATAAAGATCTTCGCCCGGTTTGGATGACGTTCGCTGAGCTCCCATCATCATGCCCAGAGTATCTTGATGGGTGCATCCTGCCCGGAAACCCCACATATGATATGCGCGCATTGACGATCGTGTCAATAGTTATCCCGTTTTCTCCTCTGATCGTCGAGTCGTCCATTGTGATGCTCAACTCCTACAGCTGCATGCAGTTTGATTGGCGTGCATATAACAGACGCCTGCCTGCTGCTAGCCTGGAGGGTGCATATGGGTATTGTAGATCGTCAGATTCGGACTTTGACATGAACGTAGTTGCGATCAATGACCCGTGGGTTGGACTGAGCTCAGTGAGTCTTCCAGCCCCGTTGCGCACCATACACCAGATTCTCGCTGCCATCCCGCAACTGTAAGTCCGCACGCGGAATGGAACTCGTCAGCGTTTGACCTGCTTTTGTATCATTCGGTCACTTTCAAATACGCTTTCAAATAGCCTGCTTTGCCGGCCTTGTCGATCTCGGCGCATGGTCAGTGATGCAGCCGATGGAACAATGGTGGTTTGAGAACAAGGAGATGAACTCGCTACGTACGTCAGCGGCGGTCACCGCCCCTGGCTCACCTTTTGTTTTCGCCATTGTTCTCGGGTTTCTATTGTTCCAGAAAGGATCGCTTTCTTTCTCTTTCCTTGTATCTATGCTTAGACAGATCAGCAAACTCAAGGGTCCAGCTAGACTCATCCCACGAACACGCATACAGCAGACAGCACTCCGCATCCCCAGCATCGCTACCCAGCCCTCCTTCCGCCTTTCCAATCAACCAGTCACCATCAGGGCATACGCTACACCTGCTAGGTGAGTATTGTTCATCTCATCAACATTCGCTGATTATATTAGACAACCGATTAGACTCCCAGAAACCCCTATCATGGCTTCCCCCTTCCCTCCCTGCCCTCCTATCCCCAAGGCCAGCGGCCCTGTCAGCCTCATCGTCCCTCCCACAGAAAACCGCGCCCACAAATACTTGACGCTGGAAAATGGACTTGAAGTCATTGTTGTCAGCGATCCCAAAGCCGACAAGGCTGCGGCTAGTATGGATGTCGGGGTTGGCCATTTGAGCGACCCCGAGGACCTGCCAGGTTGTGCGCACTTTTGCGAACATCTTCTTTTCATGGGCACCAAGACCCACCCCCAAGAAAACGCCTACTCTCAATACCTTTCCTCCAACAACGGTAGCTCCAACGCTTGGACCGCCATGACCTCTACCAACTACTTCTTCGATGTCAGCCCCGATGCTCTGGAAGGCGCCCTTGAACGATTCGCCGGTTTCTTCGTGGAACCTCTTTTCAACGAAGACTGTACCGAGAGAGAAATCAAGGCGGTCGACTCTGAGCACAAGAAGAACTTGCAGAACGATGTTTGGCGGTTCTACCAGCTCGAGAAGTCGCTTGCTAAGCCTGGCCACCCTTACGGCAAGTTCGGTACCGGCAACTACGAGTCACTGTGGTCAATTCCCAAGGAGGCCGGCAGAGATCCCCGGCGTCAATTGATCGAGTGGTGGGAGAAAGAGTACTGTGCCAGGAGAATGAAGTTGGTGGTGGCGGGCAAGGAGGACGTCGAGACGCTGGCCAAGTGGGTGAAGGAGAAGTTTGCGAGTATCCCCGTTAGAACGGAGGGCAAGCCTGAAGTCGGGCGAGATGGTCAGCGAGTTGTCTTCGAGGACAGCCCCTTTGGTCCCGAGCAGCTCCAGAAATTTACCTTTGCCAAGCCTGTGCGAGACATCCGAGGCTTGGAGATGGTGTTCCCCTTCCCCGACACTGAGCACTTGTATGAGTCTAGAGTGAGCACTTCCTTTTCTATGGTTGATTGAGACTGATCAAAGTAGCCCACACATTTCCTGGCCCACTTCCTCGGTCATGAAGGCCGCGGTTCCGTCCTCTCCTACTTGAAGAAGCAAGGATGGGTCAACACCCTTCGGGCTGGTGACTACCACGACGCTTCCGGTTTCTCTCTTTTCAAGGTTGCCGTCGACCTCACCCCCGAGGGTCTCCAGCACTACGACGATACCGCCAAGGCTATCTTCAAATACATCTCTCTCCTTCGCTCTCAGCCTCCCTCCCGACTCGCCTTTGACGAGATCAAGGCTATCGCCGACATCTCTTTCCGCTTCGCCGAACAAGGCAAGACATCGCACTACTGCACCAACCTCTCCTCTTGGCTTCAGTCTCCTGTGCCGAGAGAGAAGATTGTGAGCAGCAAGTGGCTGGTTGAGGAGTACAAGGAGGACGAGCTGTCTTCAGCTTTGCAGCTCTTGGACCCTAGGCGAGCAAACATTGTTGTTACTTGCAAGGAATTGCCCAAGAGTGTTCAAGGTACATTCGATCAGAAGGAGGAGATTTACGGTACAGAGTACAAGAGGGTCAAGTTTAGCGAGGAATTCCTGAGAGAAGTGAGTACACTGATAACAACATGAGACAGAGCTGATTGAGTAGACTACCGCTGGTGCTCCCATCCCCGAGCTCGCTCTCCCTGGTCCCAACCTCTTCATCCCCAAGAAGTTTGACGTTGAGAAATTCGAAGTCGCTGAACCCGCCAAGCGACCTGCCATCCTTCGAGACACTCCCCTTTCCCGACTGTGGTACAAGCGCGACGACCGATTCTGGCTTCCCAAGGCCAATCTCGAGATCATGCTCCACAGCCCCATCCTTAACGTCACTCCCCGTAATGCCGTCCTCTCTCGACTCTTCTGTGACTTGTTCTCGGACGCCATCACTGAAGACGTGTATGACGCCGACCTTGCCGAGCTCAGTTTCGGCCTTTGGAACACGAGCCAGTGGATCTCCATTTCTGCCGGCGGTTTCAGCGACAAGCTCGCCGTCTTGACCGAGACCATGCTGGACAAGTTTGTCAACTTCCAGGTCGACCCCAAGAGGTTCGAGGAAATTCAGGAAGCTACCAGGTTGTACTGGAAGAACTTTGCCTTGAGCGACCCGTACAAGATCGGTAGGTTCTGGGACTCTTATGCCACGCATGAGGTCATGTGGACGCAGGAGGAGAAGCTGAGAGAGCTGGAGTACATTACTGTGGCGGATGTCCAGGCGTTCGGTAAAGAGATGTTGGCTCGACTGCATATCGAGACCCTTGTCCATGGCAACACTTCGCCAGAAGGTGCCAAGGAGATTCAAGATATGCTCGAGCGAGTGCTCAGCCCGCGACAGCTTACTGCTACCGAGCTGAAGGCTACCAGGTCTCTTGTCCTTCCTGCTTGTGAGTCCCTTGTGTTTGATTATGATGAGTGCTGATCGGCGTAGCTACGGAACACGTCTGGGAGATCCCCGTCCCCAACAAGTCGGAAGTCAACGGCGCCGTCATCTACCAATGTCACGTCGGCGATCCCTCCGACGTCACTCTCCGCAACCACCTCTCCCTGTTCTCGCAGATCGCCTCCGAGCCCTGTTTCGACACTCTTCGAACCAAGCAGCAGCTCGGTTACATTGTGTCTGGACATGCCTCGCAGTCGAGCGGTGCCATGGGTTACTCTGTCCTCGTTCAGAGTGAGAGGGACCCAATTTTTGTGGAGACGAGGATCGAGGCGTTCTTGGATGGCTTGAAGGAGACTTTGGAGGGAATGAGCGACGAGGAGTTTGAAAAGCACAGGCAGAGTTTGATTGCAAAGAAGGAGGAGAGGCCCAAGAACCTCAACGAAGAGAGCACGAGATTCTGGGGTAGGATCTCTGACAGATACTACGAGTTTGCCAGGCGTGAGTTTTCTATGCTTGTCTCTATTGCTTTTGCTAATCCGTTGTAGGCGAGAACGATGTGGCTGTCCTCAAGAAGGCGACCAAGCAGGACGTACTGAACGTCCTTTTGAACTACATCCACACCTCATCCTCCACCCGAGCCAAGCTCTCCATCCACCTCCGATCCCAATACAAGGGCGTCAAATTCGACATCGCCGCCGCCGCCCCTCTTGTCGAGGCTTTCACCAAGGCTGGTATCGCCGTCGACCCCGCCGCGATCCAGACTCTCCTCACCAACAACCCAACTTTGCAACAAGTCAAGGACTTTGGTGTGGCTGCTATTGAAGGCGCGGCGAATGTTGCGGAGGAGGTCAAGGAGCAGCTGAAGAGTGTCGTGGATGAGCTCAAGGGCAGCGAGGAGGCTACCGAGGAGCAAAAGGAGGAGGTGAAGCTGAGACCCGGAAACGTGTATATCGAGAATATTGAAGAGTTCAAGGCGAGGCTTGTGCCGAGTAAGGCTGCTGTACCGGTGGAGCCTTTGCGTCAGTTGGTGGCGAAGTTGTAGTAGATCTTTGGAATCATCAAGTATAGCATTGTGTGGTGGAAGCAACATGCATCACTCTAGTCAATAGTATCATTCCTTGGTTGTGATCGGGTGGCGACACATAGCGATACGTCTCGTCCGCGAACTTGCTATACGCTTGTACCCGTTACACTAATCCGACAAAGGTCAGAAGAACGATTTGTCAAATGTTATGCCCAAGAGGTCAGTCTGCCAGTACGGTAGCTGTGTTGACGACTATGAATCCACGCGGGTGCGTGGCTTATACAACAGGGATGTTGGCATGCTGGACAATTGTGATGCCGCTCATCAGCGTAGAGAGCGTACATAGCGTAAAGAATGGACCAGATGGAACAGTACTCGAAGGCCGTACAGGCTGAAAGAGACCGTACTCAGACTCCATCACCATTCAGCCGTCTCGGCCGCGGGTGCAACGGACGTCAGCGAGGACTTGTTGATTCTTTTCGACGAATACCCGGATTGCCGGGGGGATTTATGATTGGTCAGGCCGAATGCAGCGGTTATGGCTTACCCGGCAGCGAAAAGGGCATATAAGCCGATCGGCGACCGCCGACTGCGTCAGATAAACGTAAGCTCTTCATTTTGGTGCGATGCTATAAAAGAGCGGGGTTGCCCCACACTACCCCATAATTCGCTTCACTTCGTATCTTTCGTTCTCTTTCATCTCTATACAATCCTCTACCATGCTTAGATCCGCTATCCCTTCCTCCGCCCGAGCCCTCGCCCGGTCGAGAGCCCCCAGAGCTGCTGTCAACGTTGCCCGACCAGCGGCTGCCTCTTTTGCTCGACACCTCAACACCAAGCCTGTCAGCTCCCCCGCCAACTCCTCCCTCACAGACAAAAACCACTCTGGCACCCACAGCTCTTCTCGCATAACCCCCAGCAACAAGAGCAAGGTCTGGCCTGACGCCAAATCTGCCATTGTTGATATCAAGAACGGTGACACTGTCCTCTCTGCTGGTTTTGGTCTCTGTGGTACGGCCGAAACAATCATCAAGGCAATCAGGCAGAGCGACCTGAAAGACTTGACCGTTGTCTCCAACAATGCTGGTAACGCTGGTACTTTTGGTCTTTGTGAGTGCTATTTTCACCCTTGTCGTAATCTCGAAATCTCGGCAGGCATGATCGTGACGCGTGGGTCGTCATGCAGCTCATGGGATCCACCATCCTGCATTTGGCATCTTATGACAATGCTCGGGCGCCCAATTGTGTTGACGCGTCTTTTCCCCATCGCGTCTTGTTCCGTTCTTTGCATCCGCTCCGAAAAGTCCCCCGCGGACCTCCAGTCGTGATTGCTTTTTAGCGAGATCTGCAGATCAATCGGCCGGCACGGAAGCTAATTTGTTTTGACAGCCCCCCTGATCACATCAAAGCAGATCAAGAAGATGATCTTGTCGTACCTCGGTACCAACAAGGGTCTTCAGGCTGCGTACTTGGCGGGAGAGATTGAGGTCGAGCTTTGTCCCCAGGGCACTATCGCTGAGCGACTCAGGGCTGCTGGTGCTGGCATGCCTGGGTTCTACACCCGAACTGGTAGTGGTATGTCGTCCCTCTTCCTTGTAGCTCGAGCTAATCGTGCATAGGAACTTTCGTCGAGACTGGTGGCATCCCCCAAAAATTCTCTCCCGACGGGAAGGAGGTTGTCATTCCCGGTGTGAAGAAGGAGACTCGAGTGTTTGACGGCAAGAAGTTCCTCTTCGAGCCCGCTATCCACGGTGATGCCGCCATCTTCCGAGCTTGGAAGGTCGACAAGGCCGGTAACTGCGTCTTCCGGTAAGTCGCTATTATCGTTACTGGTACAGTTAGCTAATTCTGCGCAGATACACTACCCGAACCTTTGGCCCCCTCGTCGCTCGTGCCGCCAAGCTTTCCATCGTCGAAGCCGAAAACATTGTCGAAATCGGCGAGCTCGACCCCATGGAGATTGATCTCCCCGGTATCTACGTCGACCGTATCGTCCCCGCTACCGAGAACAAGGAGATTGAGATCGTCACGACCCGAGAGGACTCTGACAACGTCTCTCCTTCTTCAGGCGAAGAGGTTGAGAAGAAGGAAAAGCCCAAGAGCCAGTTGCAGAGAGAGAAGATTGCCAAGAGGGCGAGCAAGGAGTTGTTCGATGGCGCGTATGTCAACCTTGGTGTTGGTATCCCCGTGTTGGCTGCCAACTACTGCCCCGACGGTATGAAGGTGTGGGTGCAGTCCGAGAACGGTATTTTGGGTATGGGTCCCTACCCCGCCAAGGACGAAGTCGACGCGTGAGTCTACCCTTACTCCAATACTACGAAGCTGATCCCATTTAGCGATATCATCAACGCCGGTAAGGAGACCGTCACCCTCGTCGACGGTGCTTCCGTCTTTGACTCTTCCGAGTCCTTCGGTATGATCCGAGGTGGTCATGTCGACGTTTCCATTCTTGGTGCTATGGAAGTCTCCGCCAACGGTGACCTCGCCAACTACATGATCCCCGGTTCTCTTGTCAAGGGTATGGGTGGTGCCATGGACTTGGTGTCCAACCCCGACGAGACCAAGATCGTCGTGGTTACTGTCCACACCGACAAGCACGGCAGACCCAAGATCGTGCAGGACTGCAAGCTGCCTTTGACCGGTGCTGGTGTTGTTGGCAGGATCATCACCGACCTTGCCGTCTTTGACGTCGACAGGACTGGCGAGCACGGTGGTGGTTTGGAGTTGATCGAGATTGCTGAGGGCCACACCCTCGAGGAGATCAAGGAGAAGACTGGCGCCACTTTCCGAGTCAAGGAGCCTCTCGGCAAGTTCTAAGTGTGGAAATAGAAGGAAAGAAGTTTCAATTATCCTGTTCGAACCTGGTTTCTTTGTTAGACATGTGTATATAGAGGATCGTTTAGATGGACCTTAGAGCTAGATCCTCTTGCATGTTGGGACTCTAGCTTGATGCATTGCATTGCTGTTCGATCGTTCTTGTCATTCTCTACGATTTCCGACGTTGTGGTGATCTGGGGTTTGCTTTCGGCTGTCCATGGCAATGTGTCTGGGCAATGTGTCTGTCTACTCGCAATGTCTTGATACGCTGCAGCTGATATTTCCCTTTGCACCGTCTTCCTGTTCCCATGATCGGCATCGGCAGTAGTGATGGTATGCATAGCGCTATAGCGCTAGTAATGTGTATGCTCCCCCCGTTCTCCTCAGATATTCACGACCGCCTCCGGCTCTTCCAAACTCCCTACCGTCTCTCGCCAACCGCCCACTCCTCACGTCTACTCCATCTTCTCCATTCGCCGTCTCTCCGCCTGCCTCCAAGCCATACGCCAATGTTGGCCAGTCGCCGAGTTGGTGGCGTTCTCCATAGGGGGGAGAAGGTAGTTGTGTTGGGATTCTGTTCGAATGACCTGCGGATAGTTTTAGCTTGAGTTCTTGACGAGTTTTAAGGACAGGGGACGCACGGAACCGATAGACATGAAGAAACCGAAAGTGGCTGCTGAAGAGAGCATATATTGTGACAATGTTGCTACGAGACCTCTAGGTCCAGGTCCAGCTCTACGGAAGCGTCAGTTGAGTCTTCAAGAGATTACTGAGATGATGACACACCGCATGACGGCGAAGGAACCAAAGATGAAACCGATAGTCAAGCCGACGCAACCTATGACGCTTAATCAATTCCCTGTTCAAGTATCAAAGACGATTGACATACTTCCCATGACAGCACCCATCTTCACTACGGATTCACCACATTAGCAACCTTTATCGGACTCTAGAAATGGAGGGTGACGCACTTTTATCGAAGGTGGATCCGCCGGCATGTGTTTGAGGAGGAGGAGGCATATTGGTGATGTGCTTATTTGCTTTTGTTGAATCTGGGTAGCGGGAGTTCCGTGGGTGTGAAGTAGGAGGCGGGCGGAAGATATAGACAGAAGCCAAGGGATAAACGAAAGAACAAAAAACCGGCCGATAGAAGGAGGACAAGACCGGAGGGCATCTAATTTATTTGTGGCTCGTCTTAACGAGTCTGGCAGTGGTACCAGGTTATGGTCAGGTTATGATAAATACGTTTTTATCTTTAACATCTGGGAGCCTTAGCTCAGTGGTAGAGTAGCAGATTCCAATTCTTCGGAATAATCTGTTGGTCAGCAGTTCAATCCTGTTAGGCTTCATTTTTTGCAATTTTTTTTGCCCACTGTTTTGGGTTCCACACCGTGTCCATAAAGACACTCACAATTTCCTCCCATATGATGCATAGCTCTACCCGCGGCCGATATTCTACTTGTCCTATACGCTGTTTCACTTTCTACTGCCTGCCATCATGGAGCTCAATCTGCCCACTGGCCGTCGATCACGGCTCGATAGAGGACTGTAACCAGACCTGTTGTTGCGCAGACCCATCTAGGACTTGTATACATCCAGACATCGGTAAAAGATCTACCCTCAAGACCCATATCTCTCTCCGGCCCATCCCCCAAGCCCCTCCTTTGCCCAAATCATCTCGTCCCCTTGTTCCCCATCATCGTCCTCCTTCATAAACTCGACCTCTTCCGCCGTTGATTCTCGATACCTCTCCGTTCTGATCGCCTGCACCGAGCCGTACCTCCTTCCGAAATGCTTTAGGGCATGGACGACGACTTCCACTTCCGACTCGATTACAGTGATCTGGTGGGCGGAGGGAGGGGATCGAGATTGAAGACGCTTGAGCTCTCGGATGAGGATTTTGGATATGAAGCCAAGCCTAGAGTCGTCAGTCGTGCTCGAGTGATTGATTGATGGCTTACATTGTGACGACGAAAACGTCAAGATCAGTGTTGACCATCTGACTTGATAGATACTTGACAGTGACCGTCAACCGCTTCGCCACATTCACCGCAGCCGTATTCTCCACATTGAATGCAAAGACATCCTCCAAAAACATCCAAGAGCAACCAAGTAACAGATGCTGATATGATCAGCCCGATTCCCGAAAAGCTAGACTCACCAGAGAGATAAGATCCTTCCGAGCGCCTTGAAAGTGCCATGTATGCACCTTGCCATCCCATTCCAGCCAATTTGTCCGCCACATCTCGGGAAGATCCTCTTCTATCTTCAACAACGCCCGCTTCACACTTTCATAAGCCTTTGGCGTCCGGATCCTGGCCGTCTTGGTCCAGCGCCGCGAGCTCTGCGCACTTTTCGCAGAGGGACTGTCGGAAGAACGATAAGACGACCCATGCTCAGGCGTACTCAGGTACTCCATACTCTCGTTGAAGAGCGCAGAGGCGTTCGAGTCATGCCGCGGCAGATGCTTGTCCCAGCCTGCTTCCGGAGTGAGGTACATGAGTTTTGATGAACGCTCGAGGATGGTGATGGCGCGGATCCGCAAGTTGACGAGGTCGACATGGTCGTATCTCATTGGTCTGGGTACAGAGCCAGTAGGGGAGAATATTGAAGCTATTGATACGTCGTCCGCATCCGACACCAAGCCCTAGTCACATCAGCAGTAATTACAAAAAGGTGATGGTACTCACGAGTTCGTATTCGTGGATGGGCCGGGGGAAGGGGGTGGTGACCATGTCGTCCGTCAAACTCGGATACCACTGGGTTGCTATTGACCCGCATCGGTCCGTTACGAATACTGACCAGCTAATTGTCAGCTCAATCATCGTGATTTATCACTTACAAAGCCCATATTCTTTCCCCATGCTCTACAGCATCCTTCGGCGGTGCTAGGATATACGAACGATGCCTCATCAACCCTGCCAGATCCGCCCTCATCGGCGGCACTTTCGTTGCTCTCCATACCGACCCTTTGATCTGATGCAGCCCGCATGATATCGCCAGCCTCGCCGCTTGCCCCGTCATCAGCCACCCTTCATGGTACATTGCTTTCGAGTACGTGTACGCTGCGAGGATGGTACCGGCGCGGGTAGCGTCCATGAGGCGGTCAGCTTGAGCTGTAGCTGTGGCGAGATGGGTGATAGCGAGAGAGTAGAAATGTGATTCGAGTTGGCGGATGGATGGGGAGGAGGTCAGGCGGGACGCCATGGTGTACATGGCGTAGAGGAGGCAGGGATGAGGACGTTTCGTCGGAGGGAGTGATAGACTGTAGAGCGTTGGCGGATCGTCTGACATTGGACTGAACATACCTGGCCATGAACCTTGGAACATGAAATTCTTGCCCAAACAGTCGCATACCAGAAAAGAATACATCCAACCTGCTTATCAGCACAGTCGACTCTCAGCTACGACTCACAAATGATCTCTCGCAATCTTTGGCAGGTCTCCAGCGTCAAACCACCCTCCTACGAGCCCTTGCTCTGGCTCCGGTGTCCCTACACCAGTCCCTCCGACTGTACTCGTGATTCCCAGATTCCACTGCTCCGGTTTTGTCTGAGCAGCAGCTTCGAGGAGCGCGGCCATATTCTCATTGATGTCGGTGCCGGCTCGGGCCATGTCGGCCAGCGAACTGGGATTGGGGGTAAATTGAGGGGCATAGCTTGCCTGAGGTTGGGAGGGTTGATTGATCGAGTAGGTACGAGGAGGGGGCTCGTACGGCGCGGGTATGGGTTGCGGGAAAGATTCAGCAAGGCCTGTCGAGTTCTGAAACGAATTGACGAGCCCCATGAACGTTGGATCCAGCGTGCTAAAATCGAACGCCTTCTCCACCTGAATTGATCCCTGGATGGGCACGCCCTCCATACCCCCGAATACAGCTCCCCCGCCAAAGTTGGGAAACATGCCGGGCATGCCGTCACTCAAGCGAGGGCTTGTAGGAGCCGCGGGATAATTTCCGCCATAGAGGTTGACGTCGACTGTTTCGTGATTCGTCATCGAGTAGGTCGTAGATGGGAGAGAAGACGGTCCTGCAATAGGCATAGCCGGCAGACTAGAGCTCGATGGCAGGGAACTGGGCACAGCTTCACTCGCGTTTCTTCTGTGCTCTTGTCCATCGAGTGTCTCTGTGCGTTTGAGCAGCGATTCCAGCTGGGCGACCTTGTCTTCAAGCTGTTGCACTCTGCTGGTAGGTTTTTTGATATCGTATATACACTCTCGGCCGGACTTGAGGCAGTGCTGACATGAGGGCTTGTCGGCTGAACATCGTATTCTGCGTTTGCGGCAGTACTGACATGCGTCGCCCCTTCTGAGAGGGACGCGTTGTGCCGGATCATCTTTGGGCATGTTGGAGGGGGGCGGAGAATGGGGCGAGCTGTGAGTAGGAGAAGAAGATGAAGAGACTAAGGATAAGCGGAGGGGAAACCAAACAAAAAGCAGTCTGTACTGGATGGCCGCGATGCCGATGATCGGGCGGAGGGATCCGTCAGCGCGTCGGTGGTGGTTCCGTCGGGGCACGCCCAACATGGCAAGCCGGATAAGGCGATGTTCATACACAGCTTGTTCGTTAGGGGTAGGCCCACCGTTGTCCTAATCTACCCAAAGGTATACCCAGTCTACCAGTCGAAGAAAAGTATGCAGAAGTGTGGTCATTTCGGCAACCGAACAGCGTTTGTCCGCGGCAAGTTTGGTTCCCTCTCTGATGATCACAATCCAATACGGCGTTTTCGTCTGAACGAACTGTCTCCAGTGGGTGTATCTGCTTTGCGTACGATAAAAGCTTTGCCAAGAACATTGTGCATGACAACAACGGTCGGATTCATCAGCTTCCGGATGTAGACGATGATCGTGGGTGGTACTTCGGACATTTCGAAGAAGTGTCAATTTGCGGTGCTTACCGGGTATGCGATCCATGGGACATAGATGCAGGAGTTCTGCGTAAGTATCATCTAGATGACAGCACAGACAGGAGGACCGAGTGCCGACACGCACAAGGCAGCTTAGCGTTAGGGCACCGCTGACTCGGCTCAACGGGCGACCAGACTTCCATCAGCCCTAGTACTTGTACGTTCTGGTGATTCGACCTCAGAAACACCTGGCAATAGTCATGCAGCCACGTGCCTGCCAAAAGAGGTCAAAAGCGCTAGGCTAGTTCTCACTGGTCATCTACGACCACCCCCCAGATGATGATGCACGCCTTGGGCAACACTTGCCATATGCATCCAACGCTTAAGCCTGCTCCCATTGCCGATCGCCATATGTGCCCATGCAATAAGCCGATGCGGCGTGTGATATGGCGAAGACAAAGGAACCTGCACTCGCATCTAACCAAGTTCGGGTTGTGTGTTTGGTTCCTCTGGCCCTGCTGCTCATCTGGCGCGCAAGGTCTGCTCTCGTCGTGACTTTCGAGCTTCTGACCATCAGTCCTGCGAGCTATACCCGCCCATACCGGCGGCAATATAGCACGCTCTCGCGACTGATGCATCCTATGCCACTTGCCATGCATGTGCAGGCGGGAAGCGTCAAAGATAGGCCAGACTCGGCCGGGAAGCACTGTGTACTGGTCAGGAAACCAGCCACAAGCCACGAGGATCAAGACAGTGGCCACACTATCATGATTCATTCTGAATGGCCTAGCCCCTGGGGACCTACTGGGGACTCCTGCTGTGCTCCTGAACTCTGGAAGCCTGTTCCCGAGCCGATAGAGGCCCGGTACCAGGCCTTATCTTGATGGTTGAGGGTTGGCGCAGGGTGGGGCTCTGAAGGACGCACACAGGGATAACGTTGGGTGAGGTGATAATAGCCTAGGGCTCGATGCACTGGGTGCAGGGGTATATAGCAGCGATGGTCGCCTGATTAGAGGAGCGCTTGGCTGGGTGGCGAGACAATAAGATTGCACGAATCGGGAGCAGGCTGGTGACTACGCACGTCACCAATCGCCATCTAACGACTCTGCATAAACACTGCAGCACCCGCTTCCCAATACATTGCAATTGCACCAGAGTATCCGATACATACTCACCCAGAGGGGACCCGCCGGCACCGCCAACGCGCACGCCACCGCATCCAGCATCCTCCATTTATCGTCCTCATCTCGACCCCGTATCTCCCTCCCACGCGCAGACGCCGCCCTCGCCCCGGCACCCTTCCGATCCCTCCCTCCGCCCCCTCCACCCCTCCACCCCCCTTCGCCTTCCATTGATCCTCGCGAGGCATTAGTTCACGCCTACACGCGTCTTGCGCGAGCTCCCTTTATGCCTCTGGCCGAGGGAGGCCCCGCAACCCGAGTCTTCTTGTAGGAGGCAGCACAGTTGACTCAACCACCGTCCAATCCAACCCAACACCGTCAACCACCATCAACCACAGTCAACCACCGTCAGCTACCACTAAGGTACCACACCGCATCGCGCCTCACTTTCACCTCCACCATCCGCATCCCCATCTCTCCTCTACATCACCACCCGCTTCCGCCTATTATTCCCCCTTTCCGCATTCGTCCACGACACATTCCTCGCCATGCCCGACTCGAACGCCCAATCAGGGCGGGATGGCCATAGTCAGAGGAAGGAGCGCTTAGGAAACTACGTCGTGGGGACCGAGATCGGCCGGGGGAGCTTTGCTACAGTGTTCAAGGGGTACCGCTCGGTAAGTGCTGGTTCTTCTATGGTCTAGATCATACGATGGTTCTGTATCTGTATGGCGTGATTGCTTGGAGAGGTCTCCCTAAAGCTTGGGGTTGGTAGTGCTCCGCCTGCAGCAACGACGCTTGCGGCCCGTGATGGTAACCGCGGAGAGGACGTTCCGCCTGACTGCCGGTGTACTAGTCAATGATCATCGACTGACGTTACTACAGAAGACAAAGACCCCTATAGCCATCAAGGCTGTCTCCCGTCAGAAGCTCAGCGGAAAGCTGCTAGACAGCCTCGAGAGCGAGATCAATATTCTCAAGGTGATACACCATAGGAACATTGTCGCCCTGACAGATTGCTTTGTAAGTGCTTGTATATCTTTCCCTACCATACGCTAACCCATGTGTAGAAGAACGACACCCACATCTACCTCGTCATGGAGCTGTGCACCGGTTCCGATCTCTCCTTCTACATCAGACATCGCGGCAAGCTTCCGACCCTCGACTTTGTGCCCAAACCCGGATCCGGTATGGAGCTGCTTCCCCGGAACGAGGAAGGGAAAGTGTATTGGCCACACCCAGAGAGCGGAGGCTTGGATGAACGGGTGACGAGGTGCTTCCTAGGACAGCTTGGTACGTTCCCGCCGGAGTCTATTTTGGGCGAGGCTGACTCCATGTGTAGCGCAAGCTCTTCGTGCATTGCGGGATCGGGATCTCATCCATCGCGATATCAAGCCTCAGAACCTGCTTATGCAGCCTGCTACAGACGAGGAAGTCGCTGAAGGACATCCGTATGGTATTCCGGTGCTGAAGGTGGCCGATTTTGGGTTTGCAAGAGTACTGGCAGAGACGGCTATGGCAGAGACGCTTTGTGGTTCACCGTACGTCACCTTCGTCTCCCACGATCCCTTGCTAACGCAAAGCAGACTATATATGGCGCCTGAGATCCTCCGCCACAAACAGTACAACCGCTCAGCCGACATGTGGTCCGTCGGCGCCGTCCTCTACGAAATGTCTGTTGGCAGACCGCCGTTCCGCGCACAAAGCCACGTCGAGCTGTTACAGCGGATACAGAAAGGCCGCGACAGGATCGTCTTTCCGGACGAAAAGCCGCCTGCTGCTGATGGCCGGTCAACACCCACGCCTCAGCCCGTGTCGCCCGATATCAAAGCCCTCATCCGTGCTCTGCTCAAATACGAACCAAAGCAGAGGATGGACATTGACACTTTCTTTGAGTGCGGTGTTTGGGATGATCATATGACGGAAAGTACGGATGAGAGCACGACTTTGGAGGCTTCTTCCGATAGCTCGGGGCTGGACTTGAGCGAGAAGATCAGGCAGATGGTGGCTAGCACGATATCGGAAGAAAGGGCGCACCAGCCGAAATCTGATCCGGATTGCAACCCGCAGCCGATCTCAACGTCGGCCGAGGCGACTCCTTTGCCTGTGACTGCCCGTCCTGCTCCAATACGACGCTCGACACCAAAGTACTATGTCGGAGACTCTCCTTCCACCGAGCCTCTCGTACGACAACCTTCACCGCCTTCATCTACTCCTCGCGCCAATCCTCGACCTATCATGACGACAGCCCAGCGTCGACTATCGGGCAGAGAACCCGCCAGCGTGGAAGAAGCTGGTCCGATGACCCCACCGTATACTGGCCCATCACCTACTGTGCGCCCGTCTAGGAATGTGGGCGAGGGATCGCCTTTGGCAGCTGCCCCACCCATCACCATGAGACCCGATGGGAAGCTCGAGAGGGCGAACCCGCTCGACGGGTCGGGTGTCGGTACCGATTACGTGGTGGTAGAAAAGCAAACGGTAGAGATCAATTCTCTCGCCGATGAGCTTGACCAAGCTTCCAAGCGCCCCATCATCAGGCGCAGTTCTCGCGGAAGCGTCGTCTCCCGCCCAGTCTCTTCTTTCAAACCCACCAGCCCCATCACGGGCAGGAACGAGTCCGCTGTCGCTCCGATATCATACTCGCCGCCGTACCAGATGTCGTCCACGCCTCCTTTCGCGATGCAGGCTCAGAGACACTCTCCGAGTAACGCTTCCTTCCCCCGGAACGCTTCCATTTCCAAGAATCTAAATTACTTTCCGCCTGCCGCCTTGTCTGGTTCACCTGGCTATGGACAAGATGCCGTTGCTCGCTTCGGCGTCTCCCCCCAGACCGGCGCCTTGGCACGCGCCCTCACGAACACTGCCATCCGGTTGATCGGCACCGGCGCCAACTCTGCTGCTACCGCCATCGCCAAAGCTACCGCCAAGCACCGCCCCACCATCGTGCGCGTAAGCGATATCGACGCTGCTGAAGAGGAACTCTTGCGAGTCATAGAGGACTTTGCGCGCAAGGCGTTTGTTCTGTTTGAACTCGCCGATGAGCGTCTTCTTGCTCAGACGCAGCTTGCGCAAGCGGCTCGCGCGTCTACGCCGACCAATACTGGTTTGACGGGTACGACTCCGCCTTTTAGTATGCAAGCTGCTGCGCAGGGGCCCAACAGACGGAAGAGCAGCTCGGGCTCGTTCAGTAATGAGGTGTGGCTCCTCAGACAGCAAGAGGCGGCGGCGAATGAGGCGGTGGTGCTGTATATGAAGTCGCTGGCGTTCATCGTCAAGGCAATGGAGAGGGTGAAGAGATATTGGAAGGGGAGAACTGAAAGTTATGAGGGGTATGTTGCTAGCCAGGAGCTCAACGAGAGTAAGTCATTCAACAAGTCTGTTTTCAGAGTACTGACGATAAGTAGTGGGTCAATGGCTTCGCGCAAGGTTCAACGACGTCTACGAGAATGCTGAATGGGCCAAGCTCCATGCAGGCGACAACCTCCTCTTCCCCGACTGGCTCATTCACGATAAAGCTCGCGACACTTCTCGCCAGGCTGCGGTAGCCGAGCTTCAGGGTGAGCTGGCAGTGGCCGAGCAGGGGTACGAGACGTCGCTGTGGTTGCTTCAAGTGCTTCTGGATGAGAGTATCTATGATGGCGGGGACATTCCGGAAGATGATCGGATTTTGTATGAGAATTGTGAGTTCAGTGGGTATTGAAAAGATTCCAACGCTGACGTATCGCAGTGATGATCCCTGTCAAGACCCGTCTGGATGCCCTCCGGAAGAAGCTCGCAGAATCGAGTGCGAATGCCCGTTGAGACTCGACACTCAGCACACCGCTTCATGTGGATACCCCAGGCTTAGAGCCTCGTCTGGACACACGCAGCTCCGGATTGGGGCCAGACGAGGCGCGTTTGCCGTGGCTTTCTCGAGTGATATGTTTAGGATCCGGCTCTCTCGCTTTTCCTTTTGGCGCGGTCTTATCTCTTTCCACCTACTCCACTCAGCCCCCACTGTCGTCTGCACGACTCTCCCATGTACACACGCCACCCTCCACTTCACCCTCTTCACTATCACCCTCTCACTATCACACCCCTTCAAATTCATCCTCCTCAACTTTACCTTCATCCTATCGTTCCAGCATTTTCGGCTCAAAGGTCGCTATACATTCCCCTAGATGGCTCCCTGCGTGTTTTCATCACATCTCATGGCATTTCAACGAATAAACAAAAACATACTTACATTCTTATTGTACATAACACAACTTTTTCATCCTTGTTGTTGGTGGATATAGTTATCACGTTTACTTTTCTTTTTCCCTTCTTTCTGCCTCTGTTTCTCATACCAAATCGATTCGGACGAACTCGTGGAGAGCTGGAAGGGAAGGAAAGAAAGTAAAACCCTAGAAACAAAACAAATATCGGTGGTTCATCCATATCGTTGTATTATTGTAGTATTGCCTCTCCAGAAACTTTTGCTGGCTTAGATGACTCTCGAAGATGAATTGAGCGTTCTGTTGTGTTTACATGGCTACAATATGCTCTACCATTCTGATCCCCGGACTTCGCCTTCGCCGACCAGCCTCCATCCCCACTTCTCCTCTCCAACCTTCATCGGGTTTTCTTTGCTGACTTCTTCCTTGTCGGTAGTCTCGACGCCAAAGAATGGGACGATAGAGTGCTTGATAACGCCTTTGAACATGTCAAGGAGTTGGGGACGTAGACGGTCACCGGATTGGTGGAAATCGGGTGAGGCGTTGAATTCGAGGAGGGTGACGACGGGGATGGGAAGAGCGTTTGCGGGAGATACAGGAGGGAAAGAGAGAATCAAGTCGACGCCAAAGATCTTTCAAAACGTCAGCAATGAATTGTGAACCAAGAACAAAGATGTACCTCAAAGGCGTTCGGCATGAACTGCAATCCAAAGCTACCGCACTCGGCTCCAGCCTTGACAGTCTCGCTTACGACCTCGCCGACCTTTGCAAAAGTGCTCTCGAGCCATTCTTTTGTCACGCTCCCGTGAGAGTCGTAGGCGTAGGAGCCGGAAGGGGATGGGGAGGTGGAAGAAGAGAGGGCGGTAAGGCCTTCGAGCTCCCAGAAGAGCTTGACGAGGTCTGCTGGAGGTGCGGGGGCACCATAAGCGTCGGTCTACTTTGTTATCAGCTATGCGACTAGTATCGCCGCGATATGTGGCTCACCTGGAGACAGGTGTTGGTTAGATGGGGCCTCAGATCCAGGTCACCATCCTCTGTAGTTTTAGGAGGACCGTAAGGTTCACCAGAGAAAAGAGCGAGCATGGTATTGGCCAAGTAGACTTTGTAAGCACCAGTGACCAAGACGTAGGCTCGGAGATGAAATTTGTTGCCTTCCAGAGGGGCGGGAGGTTCTCCGGGGATTTGGGCGATGTCGAATAGTAGGGGTCTTGGGAGGTATTCCTGTGCAATGGTCAGATAAGCAATGCGTAGGCGGAATGAAGACATACTTGGATGACGAAATGCCTCAGTTGGGAGGTCATGACTCCAGTACCCTCGTCTTCATCGCCATCTTCTTCATCGTCTTCATCTTCGCCGTTGAAACCTAGTTCGACAGCCTTCTTGGCCAGCATGTCGATCATGCCGTCCATGCCTCCAGGGGGCACCTCTTCCCCGTCTTCTGACTCATCATCACCATCTTCACCCTCGTCGTCTTCTTCATCTGAGGATGGAGGTTCAAACTCGGCAAAGATGAATCTTCTGCGTACTGTATGAGCACGACCCTTCTCTGCCGCGATTGACTTACAGCTCCTCTTCACTCGAAAACATCCTGATACCTTGCGCTCTGTCGGCAAACCCAGGCTTCAAGATCCACCATCTCTTTTCCCCCTCCGCCTTCTCCTCATTCGCCCTCATCCCCTCATCCAACTCGTACAGATCATCCATCAAGAGCTCATCAAGCTCATCCGCAAACTGGATATCCACAATCCACCCCTTCGGCGCGCCTCCTCCTAAAGGCGTCTCACCCTCATAAGTCTCGGGTAGAGGGGAGAGGATGGAAGGGATTTGGCGGTGAGAGCATTTGGCGAGATAGGCAGTGATAGTGTTGTGAAGCTGATGTTTTCGGATGAGGGCTTTGCGGTAGATGTATGAGGAGATGAGGTATTTCGAAGGGTTCTTGTGAGGGATGTCGAAAGACATCAGATCATAGTCGGCCCTGAGACTCAATGTCAGCTTTGATTTGGTACATGGGTGATCATCGCACCATTGCAAAGCCGGGGGTTGGTCCTCGGGAGGCTGGGCCAGCGACAAAGCGAGCGAGGGAAGAGTGGAGACAAGCGCTTGGACGAGGAGGGATTGGGTGTAGGGCGAAGGGAAGGAGACGAATGCACTGAGTGGCTCTGCTTTTGGGGAGGACATGGTGGCCATGGATAAGAAAGAGCAGATGTAGATGCAGGAGGACAATGTAGATGGCAGCTTGGACTTGTCGGGCCGTGGAAAAGTTGGACAGGCACAAGGCACCTCTGTTGATCTCTGCAACGACGCGGGCGGCTGCTATGGTGAGATTTCAGAGTGATATGAATTTGGGCAGAAGTAGAGCGGTGTCATTCATCTCTACGCAAAGGCCCTGTATAAAAGCGGCATATCGCAACTACAAATGAGAAAGAAATCAATCAAAGCTGCTCAACAACCTCCTTGATACTCTTGACCAGCAGCCTGACAATCTCAGAAGCTTGCTCCTTGGTAATCGTGTATGCCTACAGCCAGTCAGTCATCCTGTGGATCTTATCTTTTCAGCACAACTCACCGGACCGAGCACGATAGACTCCCCTTCGGAACCATCGATCGTACCACTCAATCCCATCACGATAAGGCCGTTCTTGAAGGCTTGGTCTTTGACGCGGGATGCAAGGCGGGGTTTGAGGGTCATGGGGCCATCTAGCTCGACGCCAATGAACTAAGATGATGAGCAGATGCTTCAAAAATTGTTATACTCACAAGTCCCTTTCCTCGCACATCGATGATGGCCGGGATGTCCTTCGCTGCGACCTCCAGCTCCTCCACAATCTGCTGCCCTCTCTCTCTGACATTCGCCAGCAGTCCCTCCCTCTCCACAATCTCCATCACCTTACCCGCCACCGCGCAGTTGACCGGATGGTTCTGGTAAGTGTGCGAATTCTTCCACTGCCCGCCTTCCCTCACTTTACTCGCCACTCGCTCATTGACGAGCACTGCCGAGATCGAGACATAGCCCCCACCAAGACCCTTCGCCATGCCCATGATATCCGGCTTGACTCCCTCCCCGACGGCTTGGTGTGCAAAGAGTTGACCGACACGACCGGAACCGCACATGACTTCGTCCATGACGAGCAGGAGGTCGTGTTTCTTGATGACCTTGTCGATGGCGGGAAAGTAGCCTTTGGGAGGGGGCATGACGCCGAGAGCGGCACCGACGACGGGTTCGGCGACGAACCCTATGACGTTCTCGGGGCCCAACTCGAAGATCTTGGCTTCGAGTTCATCGGCAAGGCGGGCGGAGTAGGCTTCCTCGGTCTCTCCCTTCTCGGCGTAGCGTTTGTAAATGGGAGAAGAGACGTGGTGGAAGGCGGAAGCAGAGAAGAGGGGTGTGTAGATGTCTCGTCGACCCGGGACGTTACCCACCTGCAAACGGTCAGTTAGGTCACAGTACATCAAGGGTAGACGTACGGCGAGCGCCCCAAGGGTGTTGCCGTGGTAAGAGGGGAAGCGAGCGATGATGTACTTGCGTTCGGGTTGACCAGCTTCAACCCAATACTGCCTAGCGGTCTTGATGGCAGCCTCCATCGCCTCGGAACCTACTCAAGTCAGCTCAAATCTCCTCTATTCAAAGTAAGACCCACCAGAGTTCAAGAAAGCAGCTGCCACAAGCGCCCCCTCGCTCCTGTCACACAACCACTTTGACAGCTTCTCCCCCTCCTCAGTGCCCAAACTCTGATGGTACGCATAAGCCATCTTCTCCGCCTGCTTCGTCATTGCCCCAACGACCTCCATGTTACCATTGCCCAGGCAGGCGACGGCGGCTCCGCCAGAACAGGCATCAAGAACTGTCTGGCCAGAGGAGAGGGTAAAGTAGATGCCAGAGGCGGAAGCGGCAATGGGCTGGGGCTGGGCGTGGTGGAATTGGGAGGAGACGGGGGTGGATTTGATGGGGGAGGGGACGACGGTGGTGGGTTCGGATACTGCGATGGGAGCCATGGTGATACTGCTGAATGGGACGAGAGTGTGGGACCGAGATGCGACTCGCTTTATATACTTGACCTTATCTCCGCCAGGTGACTTGCGATTTCACATGCGGAATGGGTCACCACGAGGCCACCTCCACCTTCTCATGCACCATTTCCACTTGATCCTAGCATGTTGGCATATGATTTGACCCCCATCTCAGGATTGGACCTAATCTCACCCGATATTCCAATTCCCGATGTAAGAATTGGACCTCGGCAAATGTACTCGGCAAATAAAAAGTAACGGGAGATAAGGGGGTCAACAATCGGACATGGCCGAAGTCGGCTACTCGCTGCTTGCAGTTGGAGATGTGCTCAGGGTCCCGCATCGTATGGAAAGACGGGCAGTTGTATGCAAAGATGAAAGTACATGATTTTACCATTACTTGGCATACCGGTCGCTATGGGCGGTCAGTTGGAGATTCTCATATGGGGCTCTTACTCACCTCTTCTGAGCCGCTCTTCTATCCAACATAGCTTCAGCATATCGCCCTTCTTTCACATTCCTTCGCACGTCGTCCCTGTCTTTGGCAGAAAGACGTCCCTTGACATCATGCCTGCTCAATCTCTCCCTAGCACCAAAAGTCAGCTGCCACTCTCAAGAAGCGCGATGAGGACCCACTGTCTTCTCAGTTCATCTGTATCCCTTCCGACCTCAATTCCCTTCCTCTCTCCTCTCAACTGGTCATCCCCTGCTCTAGCCTTCCACACGAACTCTCTTTGGCACTTGATCCTCAGTCCTTCATTCGCTCCAGACTCGTCGGCGTCGGCTCGGAGCTCGACTTTGGCGCCGGAAGAGGGGGCGGAGAAGAATTTGGAGCCGTGCTGCGTCTGAAAGGAAAATGCTGGGAAGAGATCGGAGGATGTAGAGGAAGAGAGGGGGATGAAAGCTTCGAGAGGACCGCGGGAGGGGGTGGTGGCTGTGAAACTCCCAGACGGCTCTGCCGTCAAGAATGTTCCTCTGGAAGCACATCAGTATATGCTTCCCTCGCACAGATGCTACCCACGTGCTCGTCCGCAGACTGATTACATCTTCACTCCCGCTCAGCCTCGATACCACCCAGACATGGTTCACATCCGTCGGCTCGATCGTCTGTAGTATTTCAGCTTCGGAAAGGTCGTTGGCGCCTTCAGGTGCTTGTGGTATCTCGACCGGGACGGCATGGACTCTTTGCCTATGCGGGTCCCACTACGAACGGGTTAGCATACCTGAGTGACGTTTTTGATGGAACTTACGGCCAGACATGTTAGAGGCTCGGTGGGGAGCAGGATGTAAGCGGGTCCATTGATCTCGTTTGGTCCTGCGGGAAACATCCATCCTACGCACTATTAGCCCTGCAGAGTCAATTCTTCACGGGTGGAGGTTACCTGTGGGATCGGCAGCAGCGAGCGCTTCGAGCTCATCGCGCCCGCTTTGAGTTCCGCTGGAGTGATTGTGGGACCTCTTCTTCTTCTTGCTCTTGTCGCCCTTGAACTTGAGTTTCTTGCTCACCACGCCGGAAGAAGACATATTGGATTGTATATAAAGAAAACAAAAACACTGTCAAAAGATCGACATGAGCGCAAACGGTGACGAAGGGAAGCGGCGATGACCGCCCCGTAATCTATCTCGGCCCGAGTCACCTTTCAGGCCGAGCGTATTATTATCTCGCTGGTTGTTCTTCTTTCATCTTTCTTGCCTCCACAAAACTCCTGCAATGTCGTCCTCTTCTAACGCAGAGTCTATCGCCGTCGCAGCTCGCAGAGCATTCGAAGCGTCCCAGCTCGTTGATCCCTCAGAGCGCAATATCGCGCTCTACGCTATCCGTGAAGTGCTTGAGGCGCACAAGGATGAGGCCGTTGCTGCCAACAAGAAGGACATGGAGGTTAGTTTACCATAATCCGAAAATAACAGTGCTGATATATCCATCCTAGGCTGCCCAACCCCTTGTTGAAGCTGGCAAGCTTTCCGCCTCCCTCGTCTCCCGACTCGACCTTTCTCGACCTGGAAAATTCGAAGCCATGCTCCAAGGTATCTCCGACGTAGCATCCCTCCCCGTCCCCACGGGCATTGTCAACTTTGCCAAGGAGCTTGGGCCAGAGCTTGAGCTTCATCGGGTGACGTGCCCTGTGGGCGTGCTGTTGGTAATCTTTGAGGCCAGGCCAGAAGTCGTGGTCAACATTGCTGCGCTGGCAATCAAGAGTGGTGCGTATCGATCGATTTGCGGAAGAGGGAATGTGGACTGATGTGATACAGGTAACGCGGCAATCCTCAAGGGAGGCAAAGAGTCCATCCATACCGCCACCCTCCTCTCCTCCCTCATCTCTCAAGCCCTCTCCAAAACATCCATCCCAGCCACATTCGTCCAATCCGTATCTACTCGTTCCGAGATATCCTCCCTCCTCGCTCAAGACCGGTATATCGACCTGGTGATGCCGAGGGGCGGTAACGAGCTGGTGAAGAGTATTCAAAACAATACGCGGATCCCGGTGATGGGGCATGCGGATGGGATTTGCGCAGTGTATTTGGATGAGAGTGCTGTGGAGGAGAAGGCTGTTCGAATCGTCGTCGAGTCGAAGGTTCGTTCGCTTCTTATTCCTATGAGCTGATACTGACTAGGGGATAGATTGACTACCCGGCCGCCTGCAATGCCGCTGAAACACTGCTCGTCCACTCCTCCCTCCTGAACACCATCTGGCCCAAAGTCGCCTCCGCCCTCTTCTCCAATGATGTCCGTCTCCGATGCGATGCCGCCTCCCTTGGCGCCTTGCACGAGAACGCCATCACCCAAGCCGCTCAATTCGCTACCGCCTCCTCCCCAGAGGACTACCGCGAAGAGTTCCTCGGGCCCACATTGGCTGTCAAGGTCGTGGAGAATGTTCAAGAAGCGATCCAGCATGTCAACTCGCACTCTTCGCACCACACCGATTCCATCGTCACCGAGGACGAGCAAGCCATGTCTGCCTGGTGCCGAGGCCTTGATAGTGCAAACTGCTACGTCAATGCTTCCACCCGATTCGCCGATGGGACGAGATATGGGCTCGGGACGGAGGTGGGTATCTCCACGGGCAAGACGCATGCGAGAGGGCCCGTGGGACTGGATGGGCTGGTCATTTACAAGTATATGATGAGGAGTAGGAAGAAGGATGGAAGTGTTGTTGGGGATCATGAGAAGGGGGGCGCGGGGTACACACACAGGGATTTGGAGAAGGGCGATGCTCCGTTCTAGAGAGTTTGTGGAACTCCAAAGTAGCAGATGGGGGACGATGGTTTGCCGTTGATCGCTTCTTCATGCCGTATAGGTTGACGATCTGTTGCTCTGTCTACATCGTATCCATATCATACACTAGCATGCCAAGTGTGCTCATCCGAGATGCATTTCCAACAGGATAACAGGATCACTTACGTACAAGTACAGGGACGCTGGGGGGCCAGATGACGCTGCTGACCCAGCAAGAAAGTGGAGGCACCCCACCACAGAAGACAGGTGAGTCAACCAAGTCACATGAGATGTACGAATTTTAGGGAGACTCGGCAGTATTTTATAGCCTCTATTAATGAATGTATCCAGCTTGGTACACGAGAAAGGTCTTCTTGTTTTAGGGCTGAGCGGCACGGTCGATGGGAATGAAGGCGAATCTATTATGCTGGCTCCGGTGAGTCTGCATATATCGACTGTTTACGGCCTATCCTATTGAGCTGACAGGAACTAGGCCTACTCCAGTACAAGAGGGCAGGCTTTTGAGATTGTTCGGCTGCTTATGAAGAGTATCAGGGAGGTGTCTGGACAGTTTTAAGGATACATACGATTCATTGCCTCTCGAGAAGACGCCGGCATACGAGATGCTGCAGACCGGGTCTTCCACAGTATAGCGAGGGAATAGTCTCAGCTATAACTAGTGTATTTATGGACCGCAGGACCTTGCGGAAGGAACGATGCACGCATGCAGTGGGAGGTTGACTGAGAAAGTATGAAAGGAAGCAAAGTGCCACACTCGGCAAATTGTGCGGAAAGCTCCGCCTGTCTTACGCGTTCCCTTCATGGCGTCAACCCGCAAAGGTACTCATTTATCAACAACAACAAATCGCGCAACCGCAACTCTACAATCCTCAACGCATATCGACATGGACATCGACAGAGAACTGCGTGGCGGCGACGAACCCTATGGCGCGGAGGGCGGAGATAGATGTGGGTGTCTTTCGGATTAAGAATACTGGACTGGGGCGGGTAGCGTATCGGGGCTGGCGCGCTGGGTGGGGGTGGAGAAAGGAAAGGAAGGGTCTCGAGGGGCCCTGACTTGGATAGCAGGATAGACGGCTGGCTTGGATGCTGCAGCCGTCTGGGATATGGGGCGAAGCGGGGGTGGATTACGCGAGGCAGGAGAGGGAGTATGCGGATCCCGCCAATCACTCAGCAACCCCCATCCAACCTACCTTACCCCTTCCCCCACGCCCCTTTCCCGTTTCCTTTCAGGCGTCAGGATGAGAGAATTGGATTCAGAATGGAACGGAGGAGCTGATAGATGGATTCTCTGTTGGAAATGACAGATTCTAGAAGGGACGACCGGGATAGGAGCAGAAGTCGGGACCGCTACAGGCGCGACGACGATCACTACCGTGCCGTGAGTCATTTTCCTGCTGGTGGTGGTGTAGAGGGGTTGGAGCTAGAGCAGGTGTTTTCAAACCCATAAAGGAACAGGACCTGACCGAAGACGGTGATGGGGGTATGGTTGTGGACGAACAGCGACGTAGATCATACTCTCGCTCCCGCTCGAGATCCCGAACCCGCTCTCCCCACCGACACCACCGACATCACCGCTCCCCTTCGCATGACCGTGAGCGTGAACACGAGAGGGAAGGACGCCATCGCGAGGGTGGTGAGCGCCGAAGGGACGATTTCCGAGGTGGTCGCGGACGAGGCGGTGGTAAGTTTGGTGCCCCGCGAGCTGAATGGGAGAAGAGTGTTGGCGGTCCTATGAATGCTCCTGCCAGCGAGGCCGAGGCGCACGCCAAGGTCAGCAAGAGGGAGAACAGGTTGTACGTCGGCAACTTGGCGTATGACTGCAACTATAAGGATCTTGCGGCGTTTATGGAGCGAGGTGAGTACTTTTCAGCCTGGTTGGGGCTCAAACTGACCTCTATTTCTAGGCGGTGGCAAGGTTATCTTCTCCGAGGTTCTTACGACTCCTGCCGGTCAATCAAAGGGTTGCGGGTAAGTTTCGCTGACATCATCCCTGGCCCGTATGCTGACCAGTATGCAGTATCGTCGAGTACGCCACCCCTGAAGAGGCTCAGCGAGGCAAGGCCGAGCTTTCCGACAAGCCTTTCTTTGGTCGATCCGTGTTCATCCGTGAAGACCGTGAAGAGAATGCTCGATTTGGCGCCCCTTCTATCCCCGGGAAGATTGGTATCGCTATGGGCGAGGCCAGGAACTTTTTGGGCGCTCAGCAAGGCTTCGGAGGGCCTGGCTTCGGCGGTGGCTTCAACAATCCCAATATTCCCAACAGGAATCTGTTTGTCGGCAACGTGAGTGTTTCGCATAATCATAACCGATTGTACTGATACATTTCAGCTTCCTCTCCAAGCTTCTTGGCAAGACCTCAAGGACCTCATGCGCCAGGCTGGCGAGGTGATTCGAGCGGACATCAAGTTTGGGCCTGACGGCAGCCCCAAGGGCATCGGAACAGTCGTCTTTGTGAACGCGGATGACGCCAAGGCGGCCATCGGTAAGCATCTCTGTCGTATCTTTCAACAAAGCTGACAGGTTGATAGAAATGTTCAACGGCTTTGACTGGTTCGGCAACGTTCTCGAAGTACGCGAAGACCGCTTTGTTCAGAATGGCGGCTTCCGAGGTGGCCGAGGTGGTGCCTTTGGTTTCCGAGGTGGCTTTATGCCTCGGGGTGGCTTCGGCTTCCGTGGTGGCTTCCGAGGCGGTTTCCGAGGAGGATTCATGGGCGGTGGTATGGGTGGCGGCCATATGGGCGGCATGGGCATGGGTCATATGAACGCTGCTCAGAATGCTGCTCAAGGTGGCGCCGGCGCCGCAGCTGGCGGAAGGGCTTTCAACGACAATATCTACGCCGACTACAACGGTCCTGAAGCCGGCAACATCCCTGTCGATGCTGCCCCTAGTGGTTTGGAGCCCATCCCCGCTGAGCCCAACCAGCAGATCCTTGTTCGAAACGTGAATCCTCGCTCTACTCGATTTGTGTCTGGGCTGACATGAATTAGCTCCCTTGGTCAACATCCAACGAGGACCTTGTCGACCTCTTTGAGACCATCGGCACTGTCACTGACGCCGAGATCCTCTTCTCCAACGGTCAGAGTAAGGGAGAGGGTATCGTGCAGTTTGCGGAGACCACAGATGCTGCTAGCGCGAGTGAGAAGTTCATGGGATGGCCTTACGGTGGACGACAGCTTGGTACGTCTCTCCTATATGTACCGGCGCTATATGCTGATAAGAGTCTGTAGATGTCCAGTTCAACCCCCAGTGGCACGAGTTCTCTACTTCCGCCATCAAAGTTCCCGCTGCCGCCTAATCACCCTCCTCCCCCTTTGTTCAGCCCGACTCTTTCTACACCACTCTCGTAAAAAAGAAACACGCTGTTGTTAGCTGCTATCAAGCAAACCATGGAGAAAAAGAACTGTAGGATAGGAAATGATGGAAGTGAAAACATTTCGATTCGACTCGGAGAGATGGGAATGAGAACCGACATTGCGTATATCTGCTAATGCATCCCTCTGTATGATTCACTGCGCGCCAAGGAGGTTGTCTTGTGAAGGGTTGGAAAAGGCACTGCCGCTGGATTGTTTGACAGGGAATGAAGAATGACAACGATGTTGGCGAAGGGTGAACACCCTGCTCCTGAGTGGCTGCGACTGACTCTGGGTAAACCAGGGTAGCCACGCCAATGTTGAGTGATAATGCCAGTTCTAAACCCCCTGGCTTAAGGAGTGCGTAGAAAACGGCCGTTGCGTCCCCGTCGAGGTCCTGCTATATATCAGGCAGTGATGTAGACCTGAGCGCCATCGAAATTTGACACAATGATTGCTTGGATACATACAAGCACGACATACTCATTAGCTTTCACGATGCAAACATGAATCATCATCCTTTGCTTCCGTGATTTTTGGACGTACCTTGGGCACATTGACATCCTGAAAGGTGCCGGTGCCCGATGAGTTGTGCATTAGATGGCATCGACGAGCAATACAGCTAAGCGTACGTGCAATCATGTACTGTGGAGGTATATACGGGCGACTCCGACCTTCAGAGGTCAGAGGACGTCTGAGCGCAGGGGACTCTTTTCTTGCGCAATGCTGATTTCGGCCTGTCTGACCGGCTGTGCGTGATCCCGAATCATCAGCTTGGGTCTGGACGGGATCATGATGGCGCTTGTGATACATGTAGCTTATCAGAGGATGTTCTCTGATGTTTAGAAACTATCTAGGCCACCAGGTCAAGGGACGAAGAGGGACCATTTGCGAAGTGAACAGACATGAAACGAAAAAAGAGCATAAGCGCCGTCCTGCGTCAACTACTCTCCTCCTATACAATCTCATGGCTCTTCTCCATGTGCCTCGCTCTACCGGATAATTCACCAACATCACTCGCCGTCTCCTCATAACATCCAACACCCTTCGAGTTCCCCTTGCAACAAGTCTCGTCATCACTGGCTTCGAGCTGCGTAAGCCCAAAGATATCCGCCAGACAGTACCCGAGCAAAGCGAACATGTGTATCACCGCCATGAGAGTAGGGGAGTAGTTTGTCGGGTCATCGTGCAAGGGGAAGGTGTTTGATCGGATCAGATAGTTGCGCATGAGGGGTTCGAAGAGCGTCGAGACGATAGTCTATTGTGGATCGTTTCAGCTGACCAGACCTCTAGGGAAGAATAGATGAGCAACACTCACAAGACTGTAAGCAATGAGGGGTACCAAGGACATCTCACACATTGGGTGAGAGAGCCCAACAAGTCGAAGTCTCTGGTATATGATACCTCGCGACCGGAGCTTGCGGAGAACTTTCACGTCTGAGTTGATTCTGTGAGCTTGGTAATACCTTCTGCAAGCGTAAGACATGAGTAGAGACACGATCGTGCTACCGAACCTGAGTTGGATCAGTCAAGTTGGGCAGTAGGTAGAGAAGGAAGCGAGGTGGTGGCTTACGCGAAAGCCTTGAGAATGGAGTCTTTGGTATACACGAGGATGGACGTCATGAGAGTGGGAAGAATGTACATGAGAAGCAGCTCAAAGCCAAATGAAGAGAAGTGTCAGCTTGTTCTCGAGTACGGGTCTAGTGCGAGATGTACTCACGTGCGATCCACACGCCTTGAACCGTGGAAAAGTAGTCCGATCGTGTCTGATTCGCAAAGACGTGCCAGTCGAGTCTCTCTGCCTTGTAAACTGTCCCTCTCTCGTCCACATTTCCTTGTCCGGGAACGGGGTGGGCATGGATATGATCCAGCTCTCGAAACGCCTCGGCCACTTTAGAAGCGATCATGGATCGTAGGGTCGACTCCAGCTCGGGCCACCATCCGGGAGAGCCAAGTTTGTCATGGTGTGGAATCTGCGGAGTGGACGCCATGCTGAGGTATGCTTTTCCAAGAGAGGGAAGGATGAGAGGCGGTTGAGAAAAGTTGCAGTGGGACGTTTCGAAAACATCACACGCAGCGAGAGTTGAGCGAGAGGCCCGAGCGTCTGCGGCTCACGCCGCCGAGGTGTTTGGCACTCAACATCTGCCACATTCGGCGAGCCGACATCAACGGTCATTCAGTGGACTACAGTTTGAACAGTGGGCTGAGCTGTCTGAGACCCAGGGTGCATGGAGAGAGGCGGTATTCGAGCTGTACTACTGAGAGAGTACCACGGCAAGGACTGTGCCATTGTGCTCAATCGAGTCTGGTCATCGCATAGACTGCTGCGTTCTGGCTGAACTCTGTCCTCTGCCACACCACTCATACTGTGGCTAGACGTCCTTGATGGACTCTGCATATACCTGCTGTCAGACCAAAAGAGCAGCCGACGGCCATAAAGTGCCATGTTGAAGGATGTGGCTCGTCAACAGTGCGCCCCAAATGATCGGACCTGCGCCCCTCCTTTCCACCTCCGCGATGCCCTCCAGCCGTCTTTTTCGGCTCCACTCTTCTAGTCGGCTGCTACTATTTCTCTACCAACTATCTATCATTTCTCATCCTCTTTTATCTCTCTATATCGCCGCCTACCCCAAGGGTGGCACAGCATCCCTCCAGCACAAGCCCCGAAACCAGCAAGCACAGGACGAAGGCGCAGTCATGGCCTCTCTCGAGGAGCTTAGCAAAGCGTCCATCGATGCCAATCCCGTCGGAGCTCTCATGCCCCTCTTCTTCGCGTACACTCTCCCCTCCATGCTCAGCAAGCGCAGTACGCTGACGATGGGGTGATAGAATGGGCTTCGACTCTTTGCTCAGTCAAGGGGACAGGATAAGCCTCATATACAGGGTATCATCGTGCGTACCTTGCTTTGATCCTTTGGATCGCGGTCCTCTGGCTGATACCATACGCCCAGTACTTCTCGTCCTTCTCTGCTGCCGTGGTCACCTTCTAGTACGCGTTTCTCCCCTGCAGATCGGAAAAGTGTGGCGGCTGACGCGAGAGCATCCTTTCGCCACTTCTTCTTTTCCCCTTTGACATTCATTCAACCCATCTCACCTTGCAGCACCTGGGCCTGGATGATGGACATGTTCACCTACAAGTACAGATCTTACGCGCAGTTCATCGACCAACGTTGGTGGGCTTGGTATCCCATGATCTGCAGTTGCTGCAAGATTCCCGTCCAGGTGCGCTCTCCGGCTTCATTGAGGAGTAAGCGCTGACGGGTCGGGAGGTGTTCTATGGAGAGAGAGCATGGAGGATCAACAACTGCAATCCGTTCATCCTGATCTCTATCGGTATCTGCCTGCACGTCTCTTCATCCCCCTTTCCCGAGTGAGCCGCTGATGGATAGCAGGCTGTTATCGACCGTCGGCTCTTTCGTCTGGTCTGTCATGACCCATACGTTGAAGACGCAGGACTTTACTTCCGTAAGCTCTACCGTCTTCCCCTTCCGAGCTCAGAATATACTGATGTCACCAATCAGCTGGCGTTGATGTTCTTCCACCTCTGGGTACGCCCCTACCTCTGTTCATATATGGCTACACAGCTGACGCCATGCACAGCCGACAGCCTGCGTAGTCGCCGACTTTATCACAACCTCCTCCCTCCTCTACGGCCTTCACAAGTCCCGAAACGGCTGGCAAGATACTGATCGGTTGATCTTGCGTCTTATGCGGTACGTTCACCCCTACTTTGGTGGTATGATGACCGCTTGGGTTGAGGTGGAGGTCGGGAGATGGGGGTGGGCTGAGCTGATGGCTGGATTGTAGGATTGCGGTGGAAGTGCAGGTACCTGCTACTATCGCGTAAGTCTATCGTCCCTCCTAGCTATGCGTGAACCCTGGCGCTGATACAAGGGCATTTACAGGGCTTTGGTCGTACTCACCGCTTGGTCTGACGACACAGCCCGTATCGCCGTCTTTTTTGTGTACGCCCATCTCCTCTTGAACGAGAAGTGTAGCATTGACGAATCGGGTTTCAGCATAACCCTCCCAAAATGGTACCTCACCGGCGCTCTCAGCGTCCTCAACTCACGAGAGACCGAGCACCTCCGCGGAGCTGGATTCGATAATGATACCACCGTCAGTTCCCATCCTCCTCTTCACTGGTGTGGAAGTTGACGATGATGGCTGGTGATAGGGCTTCACGTCCTCAAGCGGTTATACGAACAGTGGGGCGAGAGGGAGTAAGAGGTACACGAAAGATCCTGGGGCTGTCACCGTCTCTACCGAAACTTATACCGAGGCGAGTCTTCTTCCCCTTCCTTCCTCACCTTTCCACACCTTCTCCTCCAATCCACTCCTCCCCAGCCTCCCTTCCCCCAGGCCTGGACCCGCCGAAAAGCCGCTGACGATCAACAATACCACAGTCCCACATATCCACCCACATCCCCCGCCTTGGCCCCGGCCTCAACAGGCTCCTCGCAGCGCACGGTTCTCACCCTTCTTTGAATCTGAGCCAGGCAACGAGCTCGGCTGAGAATCTGGAGATGGTGCTTGAGGTGCCGAAAGGGGAACAACTTGAAGGGGGTTCGGTGAATACGAGTAGTCAGAGTTTGGTTAAGGAGATCGTTTGAAGCAATACTCATTCGTACAACGGTCATTACGTCTTTTCTAGTGTGAGAATCATTCGGTCGTTTTCGTATATAAAACATCAACATCAACATCAATCGATATCGCTTTAATATTTGGCAAGTGATGTATGTATCTGCACACGATGATGTATATGGTCAGATACGGAGACGACTTCTTTCCAGACCTCGGTCTGACAGAGCAAGTAAAGTAATCTACCATGCAAATGCATCTTTTGTCTAGCTTCTCCCGGATAATTCACAAGGCTAGACTGATTTTTGTTTTCTCCTCGAGTACGAGTACGGTCGACTCATTTAAGGGCAGTCGACGACATACCAGTCAGTCACCAAAGTCTCGTTCAACGGCTCGAGCTACACAATTCAGAATCAGCCTCAGACCCCGAAAAGGCAGAGGAGAAAAGATGACGTACCTCTCCCATCTCTTTCTCGGAGAGCTCCCAGTCAAAGAGTTTGGAGTTGGAGATGATTCGCTTCTGGGAGACAGACTTGGGGATGAGGACATAGCCCTGAAACACCATCAGCATCTTCTTTGAAAGATCAAGAAAGGGAAAGAAGACGTACCTTCTGCAAACCCCACCTCAACATAATCTGCGCCACATCCTTCCCCTTCTCCTCCGCAATCCTCACAAGCACAGGATGATCAAACCTCATCGCCCTCGCCAACGGTCCCCACGCTTCGAGGATGATATTGTTTTCCTCGCAGATCTTGACGATGGAGGGGTGGCGCATAAAGGGGTGGAGGTCGACTTGGTTGACAACGGGGAGGGGCAAGTTTTGGTCGATGAACTCTTGGATATGTTGGGCGCCAAAGTTGGATACCTTATCATCTTCTCATCAGACGCAAGTCCCTGCAAGACAAAGAGAGGAAGAGGGAGGGGGGGGAAAGGGGTACGTACACCGATAGACTTGACGAGACCTTCCTTCTGCGCATCTACGAGAGCCCGCCAGACATTCTTCCTAACCTCGGGCCCACCGATCGCAGAGTGCATCAAGTACAGGTCAAAGTACTCCACCTGGGCGGTCTTGAGCGACTTTTTGAGGTCGGCGTAGGCGCGGTCGTAGGTAGAGTTGTTCTTGAGCTTGGTGGTGAGGAAGATGTCGCTTCGGGGGACACCGCTTGACTCTGAGAGAAGAGTGAGTGACGCTCGTAGGACAAGGAGATGAAAGGGGAAGGGACGTACTGACAAAGTCGTTGACGGCTTTACCGCAGGGCGCTTCGTTCTCATACCTGCAATTCCAAGTAAGTTTCGTTATGACCCTGAGCCCCAGCACCACACTTACCACTCGGCAGTGTCAATGTGACGATACCCAGCCTCAAGAGCCCACTTGACACATTGATAAGTCTCATCATCATCAATCTCGTAGACTCTGAAATACTACATCAGTACTAAAGCGTACACTGCTCCACAACCATGTCCAGACTCACCCAAAGCCGAACTGGGGGATAGTATAGCCATCGTGCATCTACATACCCAAGTCAGTATCCCACTGACGTACGGTACCTCGCATTAAGCTTATCTAGAGCGACTGACCTTGAGACGGCCGTCCAAGGAAGTGACGGGGGCAGGGGCGGGCATTCTGGGCAGATATCTGGGTGTTGTGGTGGTGAATAGGCGGGCCGAGAGGGTTCTGAGCATGCACTCGAATAAAAAGAAAAGAAAGAAAGAAAGAGAGATTGCGACCACCTGCTATTGCCAACGAACGCTCGAGAGGAACGGAGGTGGGGCACCAAAGTCATTACGTAAGCACTTTTTACCGACGACGAGCGCGACCTTTCCACGAGCTGGGACGGATGTTGTTGTTGCTGCTCTACATCACAACAAAATGCCCCAGGAGCTCGTGTCGTCAGAGGAGGTAAGTGAATTGAATGAGGAGATTGTGTGCTGATGGACTGCACAGTTCCTCACAAAACTCGGTCAATGTTTCTCGGACCCGTCATCTTCAAGCTCTGTCGGACTCACCCACAAGAGATGTATGTATACCTGGAAAGAAGGCGCTAGGAAAGGAAGCTGATCTGTGACTGTAGTAACACACACCGATGCTGATGTGGGGATGAAGAGTGAAGAAGAGGAAAGCGGTGACGGGCCGGAATATGAAGTGCTCATAAGATGTACCCAAGGAGACAACAAGTTTTCTGCCAGAGTAAGCCCTCTTCCCCCAAACAACATATTTATCTGACCCATGGTCATAGATCCCCGCATCCTCTTTACCAACATTCCACGCCGCCTACGGCGCCCTCCTCAAAACATCCATGGCGCCCCTGATGCGCAAACGAGACAAGAAGAAGGAAAAGGCCCGCGCCGAAGTGCTAGCCAATAAGAGGAAGGAGCTTTATGTGGATGTGGATGTTGGTGCGGAGGGGAAGAGAGGGAAGGGGAGAAGGCAGAGGCAGAGGAAGATTCAGGCGCAGAGGAAGAAGGTGGAAGAGCGGGAGAGGGTGGAGGCTAGGGAGGCTGAGAGGAAGGCGGAGCTGTAGACGGTGAGTCCACCCTGAACATGAGAATCATTTGTGCTCATATAGCTACAGGATATAGAGAATACCATGTATAAACATCAGACCAATCATTGAAGGAAGGAGCGCAGGAACATAAGCCCAAGAGGAGCATGCGAGGAATCGGTGACCGCCCAGCCACGCGCGGGACTGCTGTCGTCTATATAAGTATTCCCATTCGTCTTACTGCCTTCACCTCGTCCTCTTTGCGACCGGGTCACAGCTGCCAAGCCATCCTCCCCTTGGAACAAGACAGCCGATCTACTCATCTCCCTCATATCCCAATCCTTCGACAAGATCGGCTCTTTTCCACCCAACCTCATCCGGCCAGCCAGTGATCGGCCCAGTCTCATCATTCTTCATCGTCAACCCTTACGACCCTGAACCTTTCCTTGGCCCATTCGACACTTGTCAGCAGAGATGGCTCGCTTCCGTTGAACACGTTATGGATGAGATTAGGAAGAGACGAGCGTTCCAGTCTGACCCTTTGAGCAATTATTTGGCTCGATTGGAGATTAAGGAGACGATTATGGAGTGTCGGGAGTTGAAAGATGAGTCCGAGAGGTATTATATCACCCATACGGACACTGGCCGAAGGCTTTCTAATCGATGACGAGGGACATATCACGGCGCTTCTGGACTGGGAATGGTACTCATGAGACGTTTCATCAAGGGCGCTGACGTCAACAAAAGAAGAGATGGTAGCCCAAATGACCATGGTCTTCCCCGTCTACTTTGACAGCAACAGTGCTGACGCGTTTGAACTGTACCTCGTCTACGTCTCGTCTGCCCGTGGTAGGCATGATCTGGCAGATTTTGTTAAAGGCGCCAGGTTGTACAGCACCATAATCTGCTTCTAGTGGAGAATAACGACTTGGACCTCCCAAGGATGGAGGAATTGCGAGAGAGTATGGGCCGGCCCAAGGTGGGAATGGAACGGGAAAAATGGATGGAATGGGCATTGGAACGGTTCAAGGAGGATGTCGGGCTGGATAAGGTTCGAGAGCTTGCAGCTAAGACCGTTGTAGATATAAGACAGTGTCTGCAGATGTACATTTGAGATTATGAACTACAATATGATCCTACTCCGCGGCGTTTGTAGACGTGGACGCACATATATCTGGACAGATATCGGACTGATGAAGGCGAAAAGACTCATAATACTACTCGTTTGCTTTCAGGGGGGCCGAGATAGCTGCAGCCCCTATCCCTGATGCCACCCAGATCGACCCATATCCTCTCCACCACAATGCCCGCCGTCATCCCCCATATGGTTATCGTATGCTGTCCGCTCTCCCATCCTTCAACCCTCTCCACCTTCATCGTAACGTTCCTGATCTCTTGACTGACCGATTCCATCCAGTCAGCCGGTACCGATCCGACTTTACTCTGATCAGACTCTCCGAGGTGTTTGGTGGGTATGGGATGGATCTCTCGGGGTGGGAGGTCGTCGAGCTGAAGACCGAAAGCAAGCTCACGCCCTTGGAGAAAGTTGAGTGTTGGGCCGAGCTGAACCGTAATCTCCACATTCTCTCCGTCTTTCACCCCACCCTCATGCGTCCAGAAATCATACTCCAGCTTGGGCCCTTTACCCAAGGAAAAGTTGTGAGTAGTGGCAGGGAACACCTCCATCCCTCCTAGCGTTCGTCCATACCCCTCGAGCACTTCGAAAGCGTAGCCCGAGGAAGAAGAGTTGCGCGAGAAGTGAGGCGCTTCGATGACAATGTATCCGTCACCTTCGACGTGGCCCGAGAATGAGGATGGAACGTCGGACGGGATGAAGATGGGGATGGTGACAGTCACGTTGGTGTAGTCACTTCCCTTGATCTCGACACGGCTTTCAAGTCTGACCGCTTTTCCTTCCAAGCTTCGAGGGACGTTATCCCAGTCGATTGAGATCCAGACTCTCTCGTCCGCCGAGCCATCCCTCTTCGTCTTTCCCAGCTTCGGATGGACGATGACCCACTCATCACTCCCCTCTGCAGTCCATTCGACATCCCTCGGCCCACCCGCTCCTATATCTACCCACCGCTTCCCCTCTCCCCACGGATCAAGTGTCTTCAAAGTTGGATCCGCGCAATGAAACATCTGTGGGCAATTGAGGAAGGTATTGCCCGGCCAGGCGCCGAACGAGTTTTCCACTGTGACGCGCATATGTGCTACTTGGCCTGGGAGATCTTGTGGCCTGAGGGGAATGCCAGGGAAGACGGGCTGGTTCGGGTTAACAAAGTGGATGGGAGGGAGAGAGTCGCGGACTGGTTCCAGAGCTTCGTAGTAGTTGATGTGAGATTGGTCCCACATGCTGTCGACGGTCAGAATCGTGCTTCTGTGGCAGGATAAGGAGACTCACTGGTCCCATTTACGATCCAGCAAAGCATGGAATGTCTCGGTGATGTTTGCGTCCTGATGGAAAGCATCGATAGCCTCTTGGGCAAAGACATTCGCAGCTGTCCTAGCTTGATAGGCGTACAATTTTGACCTTGCCACTGCATATTGTGTCAGTAGTAGCCCAATCTGACATAGTGGACGATAAAGACTCACCAGCAATATGCAGCTTGTTCAAATTGGCTTGAGCAGCACACAACATGAGGACAAGCTCGAAGAATGCCGCTCGCCTCTCCTCGGGAAGGTGGTCGTAGACTTTTGTGGCGCGTTCGGTGAGACTGGTCCATTCGGCGAGCACCTGCTCAGCTCTGTCAAGGAGTCAGCATAGCAAAGTGAGCGAAGACATCTAAGACGTACTCGTTGTAGTTGATGATAGACCACGTCTCAGAATCAACGAGCTCTGCTTTTCTCCTCGACGCCAGCAACTACCGTCATCATCAGCGCCACTCTTCTTGAAGCTCCTTCCCATCAGAAGCATACCTCATATCGCCCCATGATATCGCCCACTTCTCTACCCACCTCCTCCCCGACCCCGAACTCTCTCTTCGCCCACTGTTCCCTCCACTCCCTCCAGCTCCCCCTAGGCCATCTCTCAGAGTCCCAAGCCGAGTCGAGGAACCATTCCGTCGGCTGTTCCAGCGGCTTGAGAGTACCAATGTTGACGATCCAAATTTGAGTCGTGTTGAAGGCCCGAGCAATGTTCATTTGGTCCCATGCTGAACTAATATTAGTACAGACCCAGTGGAAAAGAGAGATAAGACTTGCTTTTGGCGAGGTTGATGGTATGGATCCATTTGTAATTCCTCGGCCAACCGACGTCTGTCACGGGTATTAGTGTCGGATTCACGGGAGGCGAAAAGACTCACAGTCAAGATGATAGTAGATCCCAGCACCGGCCTTGTGCCCTTCTCGCTCGGGAGGAAGGACAGATACGATGTTACCATAGTTGTCATCAGCGAAGAGTGCGGTGACTAGAGGCAAGAGTCAGCGACGTGAATAACGAGAAGACGGGAGGAAGAGCGCACCATCATCAGGAACTTCAAGCTAAGTATTCAGGTCAGCGAGTGCCGCTCGATCTGTCGGAGAGACTCACTCCGTTCTGATAGTACCCCGCTACCTCCTTGTACATACACCACACCTGGCCCACTCCTTTGGACTCGAGATCGTCAGTCTTGTAAACATCTTTGAGTATACCTTGCTGGACGTTTGTGATATCTATGCCGACATCAGCACATGCCTCACCTAATTAGGAGAGGCTCTTACTCTGTACCAAAGCATTGCTCGCCCCCTGCAAAGGCTCATCGCCATCTCCCCTCATCCCCATCGTATAGACGATATCCGCACCCGCCTCCGCGCCCCTCTCTGCCCCCGCCCTCCAAAACTCCTCCATCTCTTGTTTGTTCTCCGTCCAATCCCATGCGCCTTTATGTGAAGCATCCCATTCGGGCTTGTTACGGCCCATGGGCTCGTGGTGGGATGTACCGGGGACGAGGCCGAAGGAGGCGGCGAGGAGAAGGTTCGGACCTGGGGTATTGGCGGATGAGTTGGGTGGAAGGCCGTCGGAGTAGAACTGGGACGCCCACACTTGCCCACTGTCAGCTCTGAGCCTCTGCGAAAGTCAAAACGTAACTCACTAGCGGGCCAAAAGTAGTTTGCCTTCAGCCTCAGCATCATCTCAAACCACTTCTCATAAAACTCCACCACCAGAGCCGGCTCCCATCTCTCCTTGCCCCAGTGCTCCATCGCCCAGCCCCAAAGCGCAGGATGCTCATCATTGATGAACAACCCTCTATACTTGACTGTGGGCTCGCCGTGGGATAGGACCTGGGACTTGTCGAATGCGATGGTGGGGTGCTGTGGGTAGGGCACGTCGGAGAAGAAGTGGAAGGGCGATATACCGAATTGGGAGGAAAGGGCGTAGAGAGCGTATATCGTACCTCTCTTGTCTGACCCGGTCAAGACGAGGGACTCTTTCAACCCTCGAAGAGGAGACGAGAGACACCGGATATCATAGCTCTCCCACTTGCCATCCAGCTCTGCTCTCACCCCGTCTTGTGCCCGAAGCTCTCGCACAATATGGCTCTTGAGACTGCCCACAATGACAGCCCTCTCGACATGGCTGGGTAGTGTGTCGTTGTAGATATCTGGTTGGTGTCCGGTGACTTTGAGGACGTCCTCAGCAAAGGTTCGGGCAGCACGATGGATAGCCTGATCTTCTTTCGAAGAGAGTAGAAGTGGGGCCGTATACTGATGGTCCGCCGCAGCAAGGATGAAGCCCTTCTCCGCCTTTTCAAAGCTGGGATAGTCGAAGGTCGCCTGCTGGGAGAGCTGGGAAGGGAGATAGGAATACTCTTTTGCTGAGAGTTGATCTGCTGTGGGGAAGTAGACGACTTGTGGGTCTCCCAAAGCCAGCGCCTGCTTGAGGCCGAGGGAACTCAACAAGAGGAGGGTGATCAGACGCATGACTGTCTGTAGTTGGTGTTGTAACGTGCGAGTGAGGGGACAGAGAGAACGACATGCCGTCGTCTGCAGGCCGGAGAATCGATACACCGCTGTGGAAGAGGGCGATAGTATAATCGGTGTTACCGGGCCGAGCAGCCACCGGAACACCGAGGTACAGTCCTGACACAGATGGACGAGTACTATACTGTAACTCCTCAAGAGATTGTCAGAGGAGAACGCACAGCGCTCGGGGCACCCAGCATTCCCGCAAGAACGGGAGACCGGGGAGATTTCTGGAGAGCACGCAGTCACTACATACTACTACTTGTACATACAAGTACTTCCGCATAATCAGGATTCCCGCAGAAGTCAAAGCTGGTTGGGCCAGAAGTTTGTGGAGGATATTTCTCTACTTCCTGTATACAGCTCCCTAAGAGTGTGGGGACCCTCTCGCTCTTGCTGTTCCCATAAGCTGCCTGCCATGTCAACATCCGATCGTCTGGCACATGGTCAAAGAAGGGTGAGGATGTTCAAGGGCTGAGAACGCACAGCGATCGGGACACCCTGGATCATTTCCGCGCGTAATTGTAGCCGGGTATCTTCCCAGTACATCTTCCCTTCTGAAGGGCTCTCCGGGGGGCGTCGCAATTTAGCTACTATCCGTAACCTTCTGACAGATACCCAGGCAATGTAATGCACAGAGAACTTGTGCTGTACAAGAAAATCACCAGGGCTCAGGAAACGACTTGCATGGGACGGTTCAGCTTCTTCCGCATCGACCCAGCATGCAGAGCAAGTTTAGCTAGAGGAGGTGTAAGAGCCGACAGCCATCAACGCGGACAAATCAATGAATTTCCTTATAGCAGCCTAGCACAACCAAGCAATAAGCAAGCAGACGAGCGATGATACCAGAAGACCCAAGTTGATTGACACCTTTGGCGGAACCTGGGCAGAACCAAACACTTATGTGACGGCAACAACCCAACCGCCCATGACATCTGCATCTGTGACATGACACAGTGTGTCATTGGTACACTCAAAGCATCGGGAGTGAGCATTGAGCAAAGATCAGAGAACGGGGCTAGGTGAGCTACCCCGAAACCAAACCGAGGTGTTCGATCGTCAAGCACAGCCAATTTGACTCTCAAACCTTTCAACGCCCAGTGCTCATCGTTCAAAACGTCAGCAGACCGACGCGCCGACGCCACTCTTTGCCACCTGCGTCGATCAGTCTCAGCCCCACAACAAACAAAGAATTGTTGATCAATCGAATATGACGCCGTGTAATACCCTGTAAAGGCGTGGAGCATAGTCAAGAGATCAGATGATGCGCCGTCTCTCCATTGTTGACAACTTGACATTAACGGCGGTACCGCTGTTGGCCGTCTCCAGACCGAGTGCGAAGCAAGCACCGCGCTGCAGACGGCCATAAAGATACTCCGGATACCACCAAGAGGACGGATCTCCCATATCTTTCCTTGCGTCATCCAACATCACCCAGTCAGATGGATACCCTCTAAAAGATCACAGAAGATCACAAAAGCCACCCAACCCCGAGCATTCCCGATCCTTCATCAAGCCGTCACTTGCCTTTCACAACTCTTTCCCGGGTTCACCCGAATCGGCCCTCTCCACCTCACTTATCAACAGACGTTTAAACGACATCGGCTTATCGGCCTTTTATCATTCTCGGTAAACCACTTCGGCTCGATGTTTGTACCATGTGCCTGGAAGATATTTGGGTTCAATATGGATGATCTGGGCTCGAGGGCCCAAACGCCCCGTGCGCGTTGGGTGGCGGAAGGAAGGAGCTCCCAGCTTCAACGGGAAAACAGGATTGGGTGGCGCAAAATCCAGAACACAAAGTGGCAAAACGACTGCGCACCCCACACAACGCAAAAGCATAGCGCTTTTTCCGGAGTGCCTTGCGGCCAATTAGACTCGATCTCGTGTTTGTAACTGAATGTAACTGATTGTAACCACCTTGCATTGAAAAGTGTAATGGGATTAGGAATCGTGGTACGGATGTGTGAGCCATTCTCCTGGGTCTGCAGGAGGGACATGGACGTGTTGCCTGGGAAACAGCAGGTAGAGGTATATGCTGAGCTTGCCGGGAAGACACTCAGACGTCAAACACCGGAGTACGCCTCTGTTGTCAACAGAGCCCGACGGCTTCGACAATCTTCTCGGAGTGCAAAGAGTCATAATTCTGACGGCAATCTACCGTACGTTTCACAACTTTGCCCACATGTTGATCGGTGGGTATTCGGTGCAGGTGGTGCGAGTGGAAGCACATCAAATTAGCCGCGGTGATATATAACACACATGGGAAGAGGAAGAAGAGACTAGAAGCACAGTGGAGAGAGAATGGACGTAAGAAGACATGTGTTCGAGTCAATCAACGTTGAACTGCCGTGGCGGTCCACGCTGACGCGCTCAGCTCTGCATACTGCGCCGGCGCTCCCCCTGTGCTCTTCCTGCAGTGCATGATGCCATCCATAGCTGCATCTGCGCATACAACTCCACAAAGCATAGCCGCCGAATGCGGCGGGTATTGGAAGAACATGTCGCACTCCATCGGGAGGTCGGGAGCAGTGGGCCGACCAGCCGGATTCGGTAACGTCGCGAAAAAATGGCAAGAGGAAGAGGGAGTGCAGATTTGGTAACATCCCGCCGCGAACCGACGATCTTGCATGGGGCCTGGGGGGACGAGTCATATGCAGATGAAAACAGAGCAATGCATCTGGATGGATTTCTCTTCCGCCTCTGTACATTCAGCTTGAAGTGAACAACAACAACCCTCCACGCCACCGCCCTTTACCCCGCCATCGACCCTCGAGGGGACCCCGGGCCCAGACCTCATCGACCCGGCGGCATCGCTTCCTCTGCGCAAAACCGCCCACACGTCTTTTTCCGTTCGACAAGTCACGGCCGTGAAAAAAGGAGGGAAAAATTACAGCCATCGTGGGGGCATGGGTGCACGCTCGACATCTATCCCATCGTGCGTTCACATCCCTCTACCAGGAAAACAAAAATAACTGACAGTCCGAAGACTGGTTCCCCACAGTCACCCTCCCGCCGGCTCTTTCCCTTCTGGGCCCTCTCCGCCCATCAGCCCCCCATCCACACTCTCCCGCCGTCTGCAGAGGACATCCCCCCTTCCTCTTTTCACACACTTGCATTGGGGCCTGGTTCCGGTGTACCCTCTGCTCCTTTCAACCCCCTTGCCCCCTTGTCACCCATTTACCCCTTTGGGTGGGCTCTGCATCGGGCTAGCGCTTTCGACGCGTTTGGGTGTCCATTGAACAAGGAGCTATAACGGACCGACTATTCGGCAAACAACGATCTGTAGAAGGGGTATCCTTATAATACGACGTGCTCGACAAAGCAACGCCTTGACGACCCCCATCGCATTAGCATAACCTCTAAAGAGCGACTACCCCCCTCGCCTTTCACTCGTCACTCTCTTTCATCGACAAGGCGACCGGCGACTCGTCTCTGGGAGCACTGGGTACGCGTGGCTATTCTTTAATCGGCATTTGAGATCAGGTGAGTCGACAAGCTCTTTTTTCTCTAGTGTGGGGCGTGGTGTTTGGGGTATCTTTGGTCTTTTCGGTGGACTTGACGATCAAACCTGTTAAACGGGGTTTGCGGCTATGCTCTGTTGCTTTCCCGGTCAAGTGGGGGTCAGCCTCATGGGTTGATGTATCCGGGGCCATCAGTTCTTTTTCTGCTTATCCGGCGCCAGTGCCGCAGATCCGTATCAGCCGAGCAGTGATTGGTCTGTAGTCTGTAGGCGACGAATCCAGCAAAGAGGAGAAGGGGGGATACGAAGGCAGTGGACGGTCTGGATCGTCGAATAAGGGTTTCATCAGCCTCGAGTTGTTTTTTTGCCGCTCCCTCGTTCCTTCTTATACCTATCCCCTTCCGCATCTGTGTCTTTTCCCAAGAGGCGAAAAAGCTAACAATGTGAACCCCCAGCTCTCACATTCAGTCTACCATACATCCCATCTACCCTAATTCACATCACCAGCACTGCTACATAAACAACCACCATAAGCATGATGTTGGACCCACTTATGATCGCCCACCCTCCGTCTGGGATCCCATTCGACCCCGCGCCAGAGGATGAGCCGCCCTTTGACACTTATTGTATCGTCTGCGACAAACGCATCCCGCCTCTGTCTTCCGGCAAGAACGGGGAGAAGAAGAAGAAGAAGGTCAAGGCTGGTGGTACCATCCGCGTAAGTCTCCTCTGTCGAGTTGGGAATGAATAGGGCTGACAGGAGGATAGGTGAAAAATGCGGATGGTACAACGACAACGCGCAATGCGAAAGGCAAAGTCACCCGACCGCCTTTACGCAACAGCAACTCTTCCTCTCAATCCACCACCATCACCAACACCACGACACCCCTCCCTCCTCTTGCTCGACCGAAAACGACCGACGGTACGATCCCCACGTCTGCCACCGTCTCTTCCCCCGAAACCGCCCTCCCCTCCACTTCCTTGGCAAGCACACTCGCCAGCACCCCCGGTTCCGTGCACTCTGCCTCGTCCCACCCTGCGCCGGGTCAAGTCCCGTTCCACAGCCCGATCTACTGCTCTCGTGAATGTCAGGAACACGAAGCCGGCCGGTCGGACGAGACGTATAAGGAGCTGGCGAGGACGATGAGTTTCGACTTTTCGCATGCTTTCCATTCGCCCGAACATGAGCTCGAGCTCGTGCCCCTGCCTACGAAAGAGAGGGAGAGGGAGAGGGGTGTGAGGTCGCCGTTTGCGCCACCGAGTCCGGTGGGGACGAGTGATACCGAGAGTTCCAACTCTGCTGGGTTGCAGGGTTCGTCTGGTGAAGAGGGTGAACTTCCGCGGCCGTCGACGTCGACCTCTACCAGAGGAGCAGCGCGAGGAGCGTATGGGGAGGAAGAAGCAGCGTCAGCGCCCAAGATTATGGATTATTTCCGATTCTCCAAAGGCGGGCCCGACCAGGCGTGGAACGAAGTCTCCCTCTCCCGCCAACGACGGTCGTCCATGCAGCCATCAGCGTATGGCGCTTACGGCCATATCACCCCCGGCCATATCACTCCCGGAGGCGAGTCGTCGAGCGAGATGGATTTCGCCAGGTCGATGAGCGGTGGCGGCAGGCTGCGAGGCATGACGCCCGTCAAGGAGAGGCGGGTGTCTGCTGCCGGCCCAGGAGGGGCGGAGAGGGCTGTACCGATCCCGGTGAGGCCTATGACGAGGTCGAACCTGAGTCAAACGTCGCTGGGCGGCGCGTCAGTCTCGAGCCAGCATTCCGTGCTCCCGCCCGAGTTTGGATCGGCCCCGACCCATACGCTTGGTTTGCTGCAGTCGTATGCGTCGGCGTTCCCTGTGCGGTCGTCGTGCAATACGCCGAATTCGTTCTCGCAGCGCGGGTCGACGCCGCAGAGAGGGTTCGTCTTTCCCGAGACGACGGTGCCGTTGTCTAGCTCGACGCGATCGCCTTCCCCACCGGATTATGAGAGTTTGAGGCGGGACAGCGCGTCGTCGATCTCGCGTTCCCAAGGCGGCACGATCAAGGCAAAGAAGATTGAACCAACTTGGGACTCTTTTGGCCGGAAAGAAGTGCAAGCGCAGTCTGCGCGCCAGAACCGACGTTCAGGCGGAGGCGGAAGCGGAGGAGCCGATTCGACGCCTGTTGCCGTCCCCCGCCGAGGGTCCCGCGCAAGGGAACAGAGTGTAGGACGGGAGAACACGCCGAGGCAGAAGATGGAAAAGGACGGGCAGGGGTGGCGGTATGTGCCTTCCAGCTCTCCGCCTGCTTCCGCTTCCTCTGGGATGGGCGTGGGCAGGTCTGGTACAGTGAGGAGGAAGAGCGCAGAAGAACAGTCTCGCGCCGTCTCGATCGGCCATGGCCGACCACCCCAGCTCTCGACGTCGACTACATCGCACTCGGGGTCGCATACCCCTTCATCGCGATACCTGCCGACGCGCTCGAGTCTTGCAGCGGGCGAACCGGATATGGCGGGCTTGACGCTTGGGGAAGCTGGGGAGAAGCTCGGGATGGGGCAGAGTGTGCCGAGGAGGATTGGGTTTAATTGGGATGAGACGATGGGGGTCAAGACGTACGAGTTGCCGGGGAAGATGGATAAGAATCAGAAGGGGTTGTTTTACTTTCAATAAACGTCTTTTCAAAGAGTGAGTGCGCTTTTTACTCGGCAGCGGGGATGATGCTGACGATGTGGGCAGCTTTAGTATTTTCGACAATCACTGCATCAGTTGTATATAATCCCGCATCAGCTTTTCCGTCTCTTTTTGTATATAGCATTTCTCCGCCACATTCACGCATAAGGATCACGAGTTTTTCCAAAGTAATAATTTGGTTATATAGAACAGCCGGCGGGTTGGGCAACCAGTAGTATAGGCATCGATTGTACTTTTTTCCACCTTTCGACAAAGCATCTATCGTTTCAAGGGTTGTATCAGCGAGAGGTTTCCATGCATAACGGTCTGAAGGATGAAACGAAACAAGAGAATAACCGACGTTTGAAGACAAAAAGAAAAGGACGATGGCCGAAGAGTAAGCGATGTGAGGTAAGCAGAGTTGCCGCTTTGGGGAATTCGTCCGCTGTTTGGCGCGGGGGCCGTGAGCGAGTGTGGAAGGTTTGCCAGGCGTAGGGATGAGGAGTGGCCATGCATCGTCTCTGTCTTCTCTCTCTCATCTATACTCCTATACACGCCATACTCCACCACCTGTAATACCCCCGCCCACGTCGCCCTCGCGCCCGCAGCCGTCCCCGGTCTCACTCGCATCTCTTGACCCTCGCAGCATACGCATTCCGGCCACCGAGCCACCACACAGACGCAGACCGACCGCCGACGCTCTCGCAGCCGTCCTCGCTTTGATATATACTCATCATGCCGTCTGCCAAAGCCAAGAGGCCCACCGAGCCTGTATCCGTCCAGCCGTCAGTCTTTTCTCCTGTCGCGTGCGATGACCACCTTCCTCGCTCTCGCTCCTCGCGTTCGGGCTTGTCCTCGGGCGGGACGTGCTGATTGTCCTTTGTGGCATACGGGCTGATCCCTGCCTCGCTGCACTGCAACTCTGTGTACGGTGTGGACGGCGGATCCTTTGTGCTACCCTTGTGTTTCCACTCGGCACTTCTGTGTCCCTTGCCCGCCTCTCGGTCACCCATCTATATATCCATCGCTGACTCCCTTCTAGCCCGTCCCCAACCATCCTCGCCCTAGACGACCCCACCCTGCCTGCCCCCGCCTCGCCGTCGCTGACGCCACCAGCATCCTCCTCATCCGCCACCTTCCCCCGGCCTAATAGGCTGCGATCGCGCACATCGACCATGACAAACATTTACGTGCCCCCCTTGCCGCCCGTCATGTCGAGAGAAAATTCGGCAGAGGATGTGCATGAGCACCATCCGTACAGCACGGCGCCGAGTATGCTGCAGGTGCCGGTGCCTTCGGCGGGGCAAGGCATCGGGCGGCGAGCGAGTAAATCAGTATCGGGCGCCCAGCCAGAGATTGTCTTGACGCCGTCGAAACCCCAATACTGGACACCGCAGACCCACCAAACACCCACATTCACGCCCACCTCCCCCGAGACGGATATGCGCAACATCGTCAAGCGGCGTACGTCCACCCCGAGCTTGCACAACCAATTCTCGCGAGGCGAGGAGCAAGAAGACGATGACGGGCTTCGGGCGCAGTTTTTGTCGCAGGACAAGCCGGGGCAGCAGAGGGAAGTGGCGTCGAGGGCGAGGAGCACGAGTACGAGTGTGGTGGTGCCGCAGACGCAGGATTTGACGGAAAACTCGGTCATTGCTGGGAAACCCATCAGGCCGTCATTACATAGCAGCCTCACGCAACAGCCGCCGCCACCGCCTGCTTGGTCCCCTGCGCCGTACCCCATCGCCGGGCCATCACGCTACGACGAAGCTCCTCCGCCAGGGTACCTCGCCTCGGCATACAACTATACATCCCACCTCGTCAACTATGTCCGCCCGACCACGTTCGCGCACCACTCGTACGACCACCCCGAATCGTCCGAGGCGGATGAATCGGAAAAGGGCCAGATTGGGTCAGAGGACGAGACGCTAGAGAGCGAAACGAGGATGAGCGAGGAAAGTGCTCGGCGGGGACGGTACTGGGTCTACGGTTCCGAAGACAGTAATCCAAACTACTTCGACTTGCCGCCCACACCGCCTGAAAGCTCGGAATTCCAGACCTTCTCCGCTGCTTTGCCAAACTCAGACTACCTCCCTACCCCGGCACTGTCGACGCGCTCCCTAGCGAGGGGCGATTCGAAACGCAACAAGCTGCGAAAAGCTTTCCGCCGTGCGAGGCAGTCATCGGGCTCGTCGGAGGGAGGGGAAAATGGGTGGTGGAGTACTGTCTTGTCAAAAGTCGGGGGAGGATCCGAAGGGCGGGGTAAGATGGGGGAGGTGTTGAAGGAGTTGGGGTGGACGGTCGGGGCGTTGGTAGGGATTTTCGTGGTCAGTTTGGGGATCGTCGTGTGGTTGGTCAAGAGTATTCCTATGTGAGTTGTCTCTGCCTGGGGATGTGGGCCAAGCTGACAGGGAACAGAACGACGATGAGGCATCTGCCATCATCGACGACGGATGTGCAGCTCTTGTCGGCAGAAATTCGCGCGTATATGGCTTCCAGTGTCTATGGGTGGTGGCATACCGTCGGGGTTCTGACGTTTGTGGGGTGTTGGAAACATTCTTGGAGTGTCCCCGGTGCTGTCGTCCTTGTACGTATCCCATCCCCGTCAAGCCAGGGTGTTTGAGCTGACACGAGCAGAATATCCTCGTGGGCTCGTTATTGGAACCCATTCCAGCCCTCATACTCTTAACAATCATCACCGCCTCCGGCTCTCTCGGCGCATACATGCTCTCAAGACCCCTCGCCCCGCTCATCTCCGTCCTCTTCCCCAAACCACTCGCCCTCGTCCGCGCCGCCCTCACCCCCGAAAGCATCCCTTCCCCCGTCTCCTACCCCGGCGAGAAAATCACACCCATCGCCGTCTCGTCCGACCCGTCCGAGAAGCCTATTGGCGATGCGGCTGATTCAGAGCCCACGGCAATCTGGAGGAGGTTGCTGGTCATGCGCGCTATGGGTTTCGTGCCGTGGAGCGGTATGAATGTCGCCTGCGGTGTCGTTGGGGTGGATTGGAGAGTCTTTTGGTTGACGACCGCTGCTGGCAGTGTCTCTTGGAGTTATGTCACGGCTAGCGTGGGCAACATCTTGTCCCGCTTACAGGTGCCTGCCGCTGCTGTGGGCCAAGTGGGGGAGGCGGTGGAGGGCGAGATGGCGGGGGAGAGCTTGACGAGTTTGTTGAGGGATCCAGTGTTGATCACCAAGTTGGTGCTCCTTTCGGGGCTGACCTTGATACCGGTGATCCTGAAAAAGAGGTCACCCCAGGCTTCTTCTGCTTCTTCTTCTCCCTCCTCGTCGCCAAGGCCCAACGCTTTCGACTTGTCTCCCATCCCAACACCATCCACCGCCCACCCCATCTCTTCTCCCAGACCGATCAATCCCAAAATCAACACCCTCCGTCTTTCCTCCTCCTCCTCCTCCCTCGAGAACGCCCCAATGTCACCTCTGTCGACGTCGCTGGCAAAGTTTACACCGACACCGAGGATCTTTGATCTGCTGAGCTTTGGGAGGCTGGTAGTGAGGCAAGGTGGTAGGGGCGCGGTTAGTGGGGTGAGGGCGGTTGGGAGTGGGGTCAAGGGGGTGGGGCGGAGTTTGGGGTTGAGCTGAGTGTCACGCTTGGCTAATTGTCGTCGAAGGAAGGAGGAAGGGAGGGGAGTTGTGCTTTATTGTGCTCGGTACTCAGACTCAACACAACGCTGGGCGTTTTCGTTCTCTCCGCATATCATATATCATTTTTAATGACCTTTTCACCCCATCATTCTCATGTCTCTTATCACGACCCACAATACTTTTATACATATAAAGGGCCCTTCCAAACCATTTCTTCCATAACTGTAGATTATATATATATATATAACACAGCCTTTAGTAGGCGATTCTTTTGGGATGGAGTGCACGTACATGTGTGAAATGTATAATAACACTCTGACTGCTATGTGGGATGGTATTGTAGAGACACTTGTTTTGCTTGACATTGATGGATGGGATGAAGAAAAGGTGACGCGAGAGAGGAGCGAGAAGATGCGCGGGTTGCGGGTTGCGGGTGGCAAACGCCGCAAGAGGTGGTATCATGTCGTTCAACATGCGCACATTCGTTCATGCCCACCGGCATCTGCTTCAGCTGAGCCTACCGCCTGGTATGCACATGCATGACATCAAAGAAAGGTTGACTTGAACGGATATGGGAGGGAAGCACTAAAAATCCCTGCACCGCATTCTCGCTCGTGCTCTTGTTCCGCTACCTGTTCCGGCAGCGTTCGAGGGTATATATACCCGTCTGGATCCCATCTGAATTTTTCATTCACCCATCCATCACCCGTTCCCATACCCCACATTGCTTGTCTTGAGCGATACCCCAAACAACCACACCTCTACCCGACATACCTTGCCTCTTGCGTTGCGTGAGACGACGCGTTTTGCGGGATCAACCAAGAAAAACCGTAAGTGGGCAAAATCGTTTTTTGGGGGGGATCTCAGCGCTGACGGGGGTTCTAGATACCACCATGTTTACACAGACCATCATCACCACCCCTCCCACCCTCCCTAGCCTCACTCACGCCTCTGACGGTGCTTTCCGCATCCTCGAAGAGGTCGAACCCACCATCTTCCAGCACCTCGCCGCTCTCGCGCCCACCACCGCCAGGCTCATCTGCAAGGCTTACCACAACTCTACCAAGAACGGGTACAGGGAGCTCAAGATGGGTACTGCCATGCTCGAGAGCTTCCTCAAGGCGAACCCTGGGCTTGACGATAGCGCTCCCCGCCGCCTCGCCTTGGCTCTCCAAAACACCCGCGTCATTCAAGTTGACGACATTGACGGGGCGGAGGCGTATGAGAGGCTGCTCAGGACGGGCATGTCCTTCCGGAAGCATTCTCCCTTTTTGCCGATGTTGAAGAAGGTGGAGGTTGCGAGTGAAGTGACGGCTTCAAAGGCCTTCAACACCAAGTCCTTCGATTTCCCGCGCATCCAGCAGCCTGTCTCTGTTACCACCTCCCACGACGATGCTTGCGACGTCCCTTCTGGCGGCGACGCTCTCGGGTACGTTGCCTACCTGCGCTGCGACAAGCAAGGCCATGTCTGGTCTCCCGCCCTACTCCTACTCCCCACCAACTCCCAGCCCTCGCACGTCACCGAAATCTACCACCTCACCGTGGACGACGCAAAGAGGGGCAGTCTCCCCATCTTCCGCTACGGCGATGACACTTCTTCCCCATTCCTCTCTCGACAACTCATCTTCGCCATCGAGCCTCCCAAAGATGGCGAGACATGCAGCCCGGTGCTTCCTGCAATCAAGAACTGGTTTTGGAAGACTATCCTCACTTCCCAGGAGGACGCTCGGGCTTCCGAGAGGTTCTTGACTTTGAGGAGGAAGCAGAAGGTGCAGCAGCCGATGGTCACCGTCCACGTCCCATTCTTTTCCTCGATGGAGAAGTCATTCTACGAGGGATGTGATCAGGTGCAGGTGAAGCAGCTTGATGCGAGCACTTGTAAGGCGTACGGCCTGTCGGCAGAGTATGCCTGGTAGAGATGAGAACGATTAAGAGAAGAGTGAGTCGACTTTTGTTTGATGTGCTTGAGTCTCTGCTGACAGGGTTCATCAGCCATTGGACATTTATCAGCTCTTGTTAGACATATTCCCCTTATAATTATACATTAATATAGCGCATACAGCTAGAAACATACATTCTGAGACCTATAAACACATGCACAGCTCTTCGGTTTCCCCAGGTACAGGATCTCGAGTCAGAAGTTGCACGAGGTGCGGAACAACATCAACATCTGAGCCCTCGTTCCCGTCCATGCCAACCTGGACTTGGATGAAGCAGAGTCAAGAATCTACCTTATAGCAGTACATCATCGGGGATTCTGGAAGAGACATGCATGCAAAGCCTTCCGACGCTTCGCAAAACGGCCCAGGGGCGTACTACTCGTCCGGCCTCCGCCGATTTGTCATTTTATGTTGACAAAGACAGCTGCCTCACTATGAAGACTATGACGGAGAAGGGTCTTTGTGATTGATATATACATCTGACATGCATACATATGTACTTCTATCTGTTCAACTGCATTGCTCTATTTTCGACTATTCCCTCCGTTCCCTATAGAATTACTTCTTAGGGTCATAAGCCTGAACTTCAACTTCTACTCGCATATCATCCTCTCCCAATCGAGTGACACCGACACAAGTCCAAAGAGGCTTATGATTTGGCATCCACTTTTTGAAGTTTCGGGTCATCGCCTCTTGCGCTTCTCCGTTGAGCGGGACATGATAACTGTTGACTCGAAATACCTATCAAAGAGAAAAAAGCCGAATTAGCCAAACTATTATAGATCAAACCAGAAATGAGCTTACCTGTTCCCATCCTTTACCACCGGCGGTCTTTAAAGCGAGATCGACATTCTCGAAAGCTTTGTCGATCTGTTGATTGATCTCTCTAAAGAATTTACCGCTTTCATCCCAACCACCTGTAAAATGCAAGAAGCGAAGAACGCGTAAGGATCTGATTTCGCCGACGAGAGTTGTCATGGGAACGAGAATCGACGTACCTTGTCCGGAACATTGGATGGTATCGCCAACTCTGACAGCTTGTGAATAACCGTGATGTTCGGCGTTGTACTCCCCGACACCTTTGTAGTTGTAATAAGTGAGGTCAGACATGATGCGTTTCTTTTTCGCTACGAGTTGGATAGGTCGCGTGTATGAAGGTCTGAATTCGGGTAGTAGAGTAAAGTTGTTCAGAAGAGAGATCGAAAAGATGAAAGAGCTTCTCTAAAGTATATACGTGGGAGTGTCGGTCTTGAGTCGTTCCGGGCCGTGCTCCGCACGGAATCAATCTACCAAGTGGAGACCCCCGCCTTTCTTTTGGTCCCTCCGTTAAGCGGTTCGCTATCCAAGTTTGGCTCCAGCCTGGCCAGCATTGGGCCAGCATATTCTGTTCCTTGCATCAAACGGTTCAGTCTCCATCTCAAGCTTCGCAACGGCCTAATACTACTCGTATATATCGGCAGCCTTCATACCCCTCCAGCAGCATCGGCGACTCCCTCCCAATCAGTATATCGCAATGGATGCTCTTATCCCGTTCACCACCTCCGGATCACTCGTCGACCTGGTTGACAGTGAGTAAATATTGGCCTTGAAAATGAGGCTTTCTACCCTCTTTCATTTGCTGACACTTGGCTCCTCAGAGAAGGTCCTGGTCATTCTGAGAGATGGAAGAAAGTTGACTGGTGTTTTCCGAAGTTATGATCAGTTCGGTAAGTCGTCGTTGATCTTCCGAACCATTGACCAAGCTGATTGATCCTTCCCCTCGATCGTCACATCCATCTATACATTTCCACTCGTCCCAAATAGCCAACTTCCTCCTTGAATCATGCGTGGAAAGGTTACACTATAAATTAGAATATGCCGACAGAGATATTGGTATACTGTTGATCAGAGGAGAGAACGTGGTAGCGTTGGGAGAGATCGTGAGTCTTCTCTCATCAACCATGCTCTTCATTGAGGTATAGGGGCGTGTTCGCTGGGGCGAAGCTGACTTGCAATAGGACCTGATACAAGAAGACTTGGTACCGTTACGGGAGGTCCCACTCGAGGAGATCGAGCAGAAGATCTCTGCCGAGTCTGTACGTACACTCTCGTCGCTATCTTCACCCCTCTGGGATTCTGACGCGTGATACCAGAAACGACGAGAGCGAGACCAACTTGTAAAGGACAAGGTATTGTCCAAGATGGGCTTCGTGTCGGAAGGCAAGGAGGGCGATGCGTACTGAGTGTGTCCGGGGGCATATGCGGCAGCTAAGTGCTGGAGTGATAATGGTCGAATTGCTGGGCTCTGGTCGTTATTATTGAGTCTATGGATCGTTGTCGACTGTACGGTGCGGCGGCGGTCGCCTGAAGGTACGATCAAAAGTCCAGTCACCTCACCTCCACTCGCATCCTCCATCTCTCTTTTCTTTTCAACTACTACATCTCGGATCTCTCGTCTCTGTATTCTGACCCATATAGCCGTCATCGCCCGCTCCGCCCTCGTCTCGCCTGTCGACCAGCAGCTGTGTTGCTCAACTAGCCATGTCCTCACGCCTTCCTCCACCATCCAGCCACATCCCTTTCGGCAATACCAACTCCACCCCGTCATCCAAACAGTCCACGTCGGGGCAAGAGAAGCATGATGGAGGTGATCTGGAGTGGTTGGACTATGCTGAGTGCGCTTTGTGGTGAGTGAGAGTCGTGATCAACGGAGGGGTAGTGGTGACTATGTTGAATCAAGCCATGATGCGTTGACGGAAGGAGCGCTGAGGGGTAGACATTTTTGGATGACTTCTTGTGGACATATACTCTGCTCGGCTGAGGAACATGATCGTGAGTTGGTCAGACTAGATGGCAGGCTGATACAACTCGATCAGATCAAGCTGGGATTTGCACGTTCTGCAACAAGAAGATGGAGAACTTTCTCATTCAACAAGGATCTGTAAGCTGATTCATGCCAGACGCGATGCAGTGCTGACCTTGTTTAGCTTCCGCCAGAACACGAGATGTGGTTCCAGAACGGCATGTCTCTCTTGTCGAATGCCATCAGCGACATGAAGAGATCTATGAAGAATAGCGCTACAGCTCAACGAGTGGTCGGAGTAAGTGATCCGCGGTGATGCTACTGTCAAAGCTGACGCAGATATAGTTTCAATACAGAGAGATGAAACGATCGATACTTCACTACAAGACTATCTTGAAGGAGAAGGAAGAGCGTATTGGCGTGATCGAGCGGGAACAAGAGGCCCTTTTGTCGTGAGCTCACTAACGAGTCTCTCCGGATCTACTGACATCTATCCAGCGAAAACTACGAACTGCATGAACGCCTCGCCAAAGCTCAATCAGAAATCCATACTCTTCAACGTTCCCAATCTCAGCATCCATCTCAAATCACACCTCAATCCAACCCTCAGCACTATCCTGTGCCAGATCAATCACAGATTCAGCCAGAGATGCACCGGTATTCGCCTCAGGGAGCTTTCCACGGACCTCACTCAATGGCGCCGTTGCCTACAGTACAAGAGGAGGACTTTGGGCCGATCGCTGGTGTTTCGTGGAATGCGGGTGAAGATGGATATCATAAGAGGCGTAGGGTGGATTCTCTGGATCAGCAGCCTCGAAGGTGAGTTCTCTTCTCGATGAAAGATATCATTGCTCATAGAGCAAGATTCGTTCCGCCCACTCCGACCTCCGGCTCCTCCGATATTCATCTCAACAGTCACTTCGCTCAGCACCTACAACCGGCCAGGCCGCCTTCGCGAACTTTCGTTCCTCCAGCTCCGATGCGTCCTACACCAATGCTTGCTGCCGCCAACAGACCGCAGAGTACCATGGATATGCGACCGACACAAGGGAATCTGGGTGGGGATACTAGGCAAAAGCTCGAGCAAGTCGTGCTTAATCTGTTTAGAGTGCATCGCTAACATTGGGATAGTGCGTACAGATACGATCACACGAACCCTTCGCCTCCTCGCAGAATGAATCCGCCCGAAAGACCATCGACAGCATTGCCAAGCTTGAGCTCAGCCAGCTCCGGACTGGGCATGAGACAGCCGACGAGTTTCGTGGAAAGGTTGAAGCAGAGCAACTCTTCTTTCCGTACGTCTAAATAATCCTGATGTTGCTCATACTGACGTCCAGCAGTCCAGCGTCCAGCATCGACTCGGCCTACTCCTCTTTCGCACCAGAATATCAACCTCGACGGGATGGACGCTGGAGATAAGCCCAGTATTGCCAGGATGAGATCGGAGGTGCCGCAGGCGAGACCGATGAGTGCCATGATGGGGAGGCAGGCGGGGCAGACGAGAAGGTCGGGGAATCGATTCTGAGCAAGCAGGTTGAGGCTGGTGATGTGGTGGCTGCGACTGCTTTCATACGTATTGTATGTCCCTCTGGTATGCTTCGTTAACATCGCTGATACATGCGTTCTAGCTATAGCTATAGTCGAATGGAAATGCACCTCTATGGATATTACCATCTGCTCGACCATCTCATACTGCCCCTTCCCCTTCCACTTTGACGTCCTTCTTCTCCACCTTCAACGCTCTCTTCGATCTTGCCCGTACTCGGTCACCGCGGAAGAAGAAGTAGAACGGCATGGCCGCAATGACGACTGCGATACCCGCAAGGAGGAGGCATCCAAATTGGAATTTCAGATTGTGCTGCATGCTGACCTTAGCCGCCCGCCATCACAAGTCACGAGGGAGATGGATAGATGACATACAAGGAGCTGGTTGATCCAGAGAGGGACAGACGCTGCTATGAGACATCTCATCAAATTCTTGGACGATATTGCTGATGCCGCTACGTGAGAGTACGAGTCGACGATATACTGACCGCCGCATCAGCTCCACCTTTCCCGAATAGATAAGGAGAGCTCACGCTGTTACCAGCCACATAGATGGTGACCATCGAAAACCCAAAGACGACTCCTGCTGCCGCAGGTCCGACCCAAGTTATACCAGGATATGAGGTGAAAGCGAGGATGAGCAGTGCTATAGGCAGAGTTCTGACCACTTCCATCAGTGAAGGACGAGGCAAGATGGACCATGTGACTCACATGGCGCCTATCATCATAGGGTACAAGCGACCTTCGGGGACTGGTCCATGCTTGACGGCATGTCTCGCGTATAGGGTTTCTTGCCACCAGTTGACGAGGTTTGCGAGGAAAATACCGATCTGGTGGTTTGTCATTAGTACGTCAAGTCAAAGTCGCAAAGACAGACAGACTCACACATATGGATAGGAAGGCGACTCCAGTCATACCCGCACTCCACCCCCTCTTCTCTTCGAATGCAATCGGGAACGCAAAGAAAGTCGCGTACAACAACGCGTATATAAAGCTCAAGTAAAACGAGAACAGCACAATGATACTCTCCGACATCAATATGAAAGGCCTCAAAAGCGCAATCTTCATTGTCTCCCTGAACGGTACCCTGTCCAAATCGGCTTTGGCAATGTACATGTCGGTCTTGTGTTGTTTGTTGAGGCGGTGGGCTTTTTTGCGGAGGAGCACGATTTCGAGGGTTTCGGGGGTGAAGAAGGCGAGGATGAAGGCGGCGAAGCAGAAGCAGAAGAGGACCCAGTAAATCGAACGCCAATGTCCGGTTTTCTGGCCGATCCAGCCTCCGAAGAGAGGGCCGAGGCATGGTCCGAGGCTATCCCAGCAGCGGGTCAGTCCCCCACCTGTTTCCAAGAGAGAGCTTACAAAAGCGTAGAGCTATAAGCGGCCATAGGTATCCCTCTCTCATGCGTCGCCCAAAGATCCGCCACAGTACCGCCGACATTACAGAACGGTGCGCTCGCTGCCAAGCCGGCAATCATGCGACCGGCGAGGATGGTGGCGATGTTGGGGGCGAGTGCGCAAGGGAGGGTGAAGATGAAGAAGATGAACATGGAGACGATGTAGACTGGACGGCGGCCGTATACCTCGGACACTGAGAGCGGTTGAGAATTAGCTTGAGGGGAAGGTAGGTGCTATGAGCAGAGGGGGCGTACTTGGAGCGCATAGTAGCTGATACAGTGTAAGCATTCTGGCTTTCAGACCATGGCCCTCGAAACTTACAGGGCCTATCCCAAACCCAGCCACGTACAAAGACACGGTCAAGTTGATGACCTCATTTGACACATGCAGAGTTTCAGCAGTCCCCGGAAGATCACCTGTCGGCATTGAGGAGCCTAAGGATACTACCAGGGCAAGACTGGTAGCCGTGAAGGTGCAGTACCTGTAGCGAACTCAGCCCATAGTCGATGACGTTGTGTGCTCACCATCTGTAAGGATTCTTCCACTGTTTTGGTCCTTCCCCAGGTTCGAACTCGACGATAATCTTATCACCCTTTGATGTATCTGTTACGCCTCTATGTTTCATACCATGCGTTACAACAGTCTCCTGATTCAAAGTTGTTGTTGAAGATGCCCGTCGGTCAGAGCTTGCCACTGGGTGAAGCGCTCTTTGCTCGTGCTCGTCCCTTGCTTCTTCTTGAACGGTGGGAATGTGGTCGAGTGTCTTCCATTCCTTCGAGTTGAAATCGCTATGAGGGGTTGAAGTAGCTGGTGTAAGGGGGAAGGACATCGCTCCGGGGTTGAGGTTTGTAGAAAGAACCGTCGCGTTCGCAGGCAGCAGAAGATGGGGCGTCCAACGACGACTTTCGGTCAACTTATATTGCATTCTCGGTGATTATCGATGGCAAGTCATGGGGCCCGTGTTATATGAAAGTCACATATGCTCACCATGATAGTCATAAGATTCGACCAAATTTGGTGCAGATATAGCAATGCCGAAACATCTTGGGTGATCTGCCGAGGTGGATTATTTGAGAGGATCCACCTCAGGCGGTACCGATTCTGCCCGATGAGATAAGCGCTGCGCTGCAAGGCGTAATGATACATGGTGATGTAGTACAGGTCAACGTGGTTTGTTGAAAGCTTACAATGGTCAAGAGCCTAGACCTGCAGCTCATCCTAACAACGATAAACATCCACCCTGCCGCCGCGGCCGAGCGTTTCAAACGATATATTCTCAATATGAGCTCTCGCAACTGATGACCTATAATACGGCATGGGATCTGACACTTCCATATCGCGCGCTTCAACACCTGCCCACGAAGTGGCTGGCCAACGTTGAGCGACGTGCCAACTGCCCTCCGAAATGGCTGCCACTCGGCGGCGGGTGCCTGACGGACAGACACCTCTTGACTCAGTCTTGACTTGCGTGATTGACTCATGATCTCTTTCATTTCCAGTGTATTTAGATTTCTCGCATACTATATTCCGTCAGTCATCTCGGGAGGAATGCGCCTCCTCCACATCCTTCTGCTGGCATACCCAGCATACTCAATCGCATCTCCGGCCCCGCCGCCCACAGCCGCAGAATACCCTCTCCAAGAGCCCTCTCATCACGCGACATCGCCTGGATCTCAGCTCGAACCACCCCAGGATGCCCCAGAGGTATTCGAGAGCAACTCAGAGTACAAAGCAGTATTCTATGCTCAGCAGCCAGCCGCTTTTGCGAATGGTATCAGAGACGGCGAAGGATGGCTCAGCCGATGGTTGGCGATGGGCGGAGAAGGCGAGGTAGTTGTACACGTGAGTCATACACCAATTACATGCTTTTCCTCTCTCTGACACTCTTACAGCTTAGAGATGCCGAGAACCTCACCCTCCCCCACCGGCCCGCCGCATTCCCAACCCACGTAAATCGCCCTCTCTTGCCCATCTCGGGTACCCTTGTCCCCTTCAGCTCTTTCCCAAGCCCGCGCGGCCAGCCCAACACTCCCCTCGCGTGTTTGCCTCCCCTTTCTCCCGTGGACCGCCCCAAACCTTCTTATCCGCTTGGAGAAGAGCCGCCCAAGGACGAGGGACGATATATCGCGCTGATTGAGCGTGGTGGCTGCGATTTTGCCACCAAAGTGCGCGCGGCGCAGGATCGGGGAGCGATAGCTGTCATCGTCGGGGATAGTGTCTTGAGGCTCTCCGAGACGGATGAGGAAGGCAGAAAGAGGGAAGGGCTCATCACAATGTTTTCGCCCGAAGATACAGCGGGAATCCATGTTCCGTCAGTGTTCGTTTCGCGGGCGAGCTATCTGGATTTGAGGGATATGCTGTGGAAGCATGTAGACTCGGGGATTGGGAAGGGCTTGTGGATTGATATTGGTGAGGGAAGTGATGAGGGAGGGTAAGTTTGTCAATCTATGCGAGAATCATCCCTAATACCATTCACAGGACCCTTACAAACCTGCTCTCCTTCGCCTTGCTCATGCCCACCCTCTTCCTTCTCGCCACCATCGCCGTCCACCGTATTCGGCTCGCCCGCCAACGTGAAAAAGATCGTGCCCCCGCACTCGTCGTCCTGTCTCTACCAGAGAGGATATGGGCGCCAGACATAGTCTGGGAGAAAGAAGATGAGAGTTCTGACGGTTCTCTGACAGAAGAGTGTAGCCCGACGCCCGGAGTGGGGTGCGGGAAGAGACGAAACCTGGATAGGAGGGAAAGTGGGATGGGAGAGGATATCGAGGAAGAAGATGAAGGCGCTGATGGAGATGAGGAGAGCGAAGATCCAGTGGCTGAGCATCCGCCTCCACCAATCCATCCATCTTCGATCGATACTCCGCCCATCCCTCATACATTGAACGACCCCTCCCATCCTCCAATCCCGCTTCCTCCCCATTCCTCTTCGCCTCCAGAGTCTCCTTCAGATCACCCTGGTCCGTCCCAACATCATCACCACAAGAAGACACACAAGCCGAAACGCCAGTACTTTTCCAAGGACGAGTGTGCTATTTGCATGGATGCTTTTGAGAAGGGCGATGTGGTTAGGATATTGCCTTGCGGGCATGTGTTTCATAAAGAGGAGTGTGATGAGTGGTTGATGAAGTGGAGAAAGCTTGTACGTCTTTCCCTCATTCACTCTTTAAAGTGTAAGAGCTAATGCAGTTCTAGTGCCCCACCTGCCGAGCAGACGTCACCTTACCTCAAGGAAAGATCAGAGGATCCACCGTAACCCCCGTCACCGCCGCCGGCCAACCGCCGGCCTCAGCGTCCAACCTCACCCCGTCCGATCTGGAGAATGGGATAGGCGAGGACGTTGCTTTGGAGGGAGTGTATATGAGGATAGGCGAGAGGGTGGAGAATGGCTGGACAGCCTTGGCAGGATGGGCTGGGAGGACAAGAAGGGCGATGTTTGGGAGGGGTGGAGAACGGGGAAGGGAGGAGGAGAGGGTGAGACTTGTGGACGACGATCATGTCTGACGACCCAATAACCTCTCCATCCCAGTCACAGCTTTGTATCCACATCTAATGACTTCTCCTACGTATACATACACCGTCTCCCCTGTCTGCTGTATGACGACCTAGTTTACCCATGACGATTGATCTAATCTTTATACTTTTCGTATCCCTGTGTGTTGTTTAGGAGACTGTTGCCGTTGTAGTTTATAGTTGTCGCATATATTTATGAAATACATGACGCTTGACTATAGTTCTGTGTTCCACAGATCGTATTCAAGAGCGATCTCCTCGTCCAGTTCGATAAACTTTATCGGCCACTCGAATTTCTCCAACTCGACCGGCGGTGATGCCGAGTTCATGGGCTTTGGAGGCGAGAAATTGGCTCTTGCAAGCTCCTCCACAAGACTCGCATTCACGCATACCACCTCGAGCTGTTCGGGGGGATAGACGAATCCCGCCTCTTTCGCTGCGTCCTCCTCTTCCTCAAAACAGTTCCCGTGTTCCCGCCTTTGGTCCATGACATGGTCCATGACGTAGATAATGAACGACGCAAAGTCCTCGAGAACACTGGGTGATGCAGCGGGAATATACGACGCTGTGCTGCCTGTTTCCTCGCTTGCCTCAGGCGCAGGCCAGAGCACGAATCTGAGTATCCTCTCCGGTCGAAGCGGAAGATGATGACACAATGGGAAATAGTCTAGACCGTATCTGGGGGTGTGCAAGACGAGAGTTGTCGCGACGTTGACGGGGTTTCGAGAGAATAAGAAACCAATCTTTACCAGCGCGTTATCTGTGCAACTTGCCCGTACATTATTGCAGTCGACGTGCACCAGAGCCTCCAGGAGTTGGCCGCCGCGCTGAACTTCATTGCACAGCGTGCGCTCCTCGGGGTTGACGTTACCCATACGGCGATGAAATTTGAAGAAGTACTCGTCCCGCACAACCGCCCAGGAGAACTCTACCCGCTTGACAAGCGGTATGATGGGAAAATCATCCTGGGAAAAGCCATCCTCTCATTGCCTTTCAAGCGGTAGTTCTCAAACAGTATCGCAGAATGAACGTCTACCACCTGGAGCACCTTCGCGTAGCGGACAGAGTGCGGTCTCAGCGCTCTATCGCGAGGCACGAGGCAGTCGAGCGCCCAGATGGACTTTTGGGTAACGGGGAGGGTATGATACAGGTCTGGGAGGACGCGCCGGCGGTAGTACTTGTTGAGCTGGAGGATGGTGTATGGGGAGGATTGGGCGAGAAAGTCGAGGATCATGTGGTGGACAGGGTGGAGGCGGACAAAAGCCTCGGGAGTGAGGGAAGTCATTGTGGACCTGCTAACCAACATTGTCAGCAAATGGCATCGAGCGAGTTGTGCATGGCAGGACGGGAAATCATCTTACGAGGCTCGCGATGAGTGCTGTCGTGCACACCAAATCTGTGATGAAACACTTATCTTTCGTGCTCAGATGTTCTCCGGCCCCCCAAATGTCCGTGTAAGTCTAAATGGGTCTGAGGGAGTGAAGTCAGCGTACAGCTACAGAAACATCTGCAACCACGTACCTCGAAGACAGCCGACGGTGCAAGACGGACGATTCAGTACTCCGCGGCGCAGGGACTGGAATGTTACTGGCTCTTGCTGATAAGGCGAGGCTTCGCCCGACGAAAGTCATGGACCGGAAAACAGTGACAGAAAGTGGAATGGAAACGAAGGACATCCGTCGACGGATGAGCGCGTCGAGAGCGGTATATGGCACGGCTGTGGTATGAACTATTTATACGGCCGTATTAGTAGTAGAGTCTGCCGTCTGAAAGTGAGTCCAGAGTGGGTGCATCTGATACGGTACGCCCTGTGTACAAGAGGATACGAGAAAGTAAGAGCCGCACCTTCAAAGCTGCATCTTGACATCTAGTTCTATTTGGACGCACTAGTAAGATCGTCCGGCATTGAGATCTGTGTTCCAGTCAGTAGTCGCATAGATTCAAAAGGTACATCTTGAGCCTCTATCAAGGTGTTCTGTTCCATAGATCGTAATGGTCAACTATTTCCTCGTTCAGCTCTCGGAATCGCGGCGACCAATCGAAACCTTCTGCCTTGCGTTGATTGGGTCGGTAAAGAGTCCTCGCAAGCTCTTCCACATGGCTCGCGTTCGGGCACACAACCTCTATATCAAGAGGATACACGAACCCTTCTTCGAGTACTTCTTCTACGGAATGCGTTGCCGCAGCCCATTCATCCTCCACAAATTCAATGCCGAAAGCAATGAATTCCGCAAATTCTTCGAAGACGCCGGGCGAGGGAGTAGGGAGGGGCCGCGGGTCTCTTGTATAGATTTCGTCATACCGCTCGGGCTTGGACCAGAGCACTAATCGGAGTGCCGACTCGAAAGGTAGAGGAAGGTTGTTGCCTAACGGGAAGTGTAATTGGCCATGATTGGGGGCGTGCAAGACAATGGTGGTATTGATATGCAAGCAGCAATCACCGAACAGCCAAGGGATATCTGCCAGCACATTTCTCTCGTGTGCCGCCCAATCGCCACAGTCGACGTGAAAAAGAGCTTCTGTGAAATGATTGCTGTGCGCGACTTCTTCCAGGACTGTGTCCTTGCCTACGTCACCCAAGCCGTCTTGGATTCTCAAGAAGTAGTAGTCCCGGATAACCGCCCACGAGAACTCCACCCGCACGACTTTGAGTCCAGAGGGGAACACCGTTATGTCTTCGTCTTGCGGACAGAAATGCTCAAGAGAGATCGCAGATTCGGTATTCACCACCCTGAGCACCTTTGCGTGATTGATAGCGAGCGGTAGCAGCGGATCTTCGCCCTTCAACGCGCACTCAATCGCCCCCATGGACTTTGTAGTGATGGTGAAGGTGTGGTACAAGTCGGGGATGATGCGTAGGCGGTGGGTACTTGTTGAGCCGGAGAACGAGGTATGGGGAGGATTGGGAGAGGTAGTCGAAGATCATGTGGTGGACAGGGTGAAGGCGGGCAAAGAGCTCGGGGGTGAGGGAGGGCATTGTTGGCCGTTGAAGTGCTGGAATATCTGGTGAACGTCTATATAGCATGGTCAGCTTATGGCATGGGCGCGGCGAGGACAGGGCAGGGCAAGAGATGAGCTCACGGGGCACGCGATCTTCGTCACGTCGCAGTCTTCAACGAGCCACCTGTCTGTCTGTCTCGGGCGCTCAACTAGAGCTCTTTGGGGGCCTCCTCTAGCTAGATTGAGTCTGTGGGACCGGCAGGCTACAAATGCAGAGACGTTCGCGCTTCACGTACCTCGCGGATGTTTAGAGCCAGTCGGCGACGTGGCGGCTTGATCGAATCGTTTGTCACTGATGATGTAGAGCTCTTGTGTTCCAGTAGCTGCTTTTCGAAAAAAACCCCGGGAAAGAAGTGGAGCAAGGGAGGGATTGAACAGCAAGTTCCGATGGACGCAATGGCAAGCGGGAACGGGACTGACAGCAGTCATTTTAGGCACGGGAGCTCATCAATCGATTGTTTGGTTCCGAGTCCGAAGTTTGTTCTAGCATGTAGAAAGATCGTGCGATACATTATCACAACGCTTATGGCGCTCTCTTCCATAAATCATACTCATCGACTGTCTCCTCGTCCAGCTCCAAAAATCGCACAGGCCATTCAAGGTTTGCTGCCCTAGTATGACTCGACTTGAAGTAGCTCCTCGCAAGCTGCTCTACGTGACCCGCATTCGGACAGCATACCTCGTAGGTAGAAGCATTATCGGCGAGCTCTCTCATCACGTCCACCTCGTCCATCGCCTCAATATCACCCTCGAGAGCATCTAACAGGATCTGAAGGCCCAAATCGCCAATAAGAGCCGCGAAAGCATCAAGGACGTTGGGCGAGGGAACAGGGACGCCATTCGTACTTTCCGCAGCGCCTTCCTCTTCCGTCACGGCTTTCGACCAAAGCAAGAGTCGGAGTGTATAGAAGGGTTGAGGCAAGCTGTCGGCAGGCGGGAGGACCATCTGGCCGGTCTCTGAGACATGCAAGACGAGGGTCAACGTTTTGGCGTGTTTGAGCGCACCGCTCAGATACCGAGGAATCCCTCTCAGCTCGTAACTGACGATTTCTACTTGTTTGTCGCTGCAATCGATGTGCAAGAGACACTCTTGGAGCTGGCTTTCGGGTTTAAGCTCATGCTGGAGTGTCCTCCCTTGGCTGCCTCCTTCGCCCATGCGGCCGCTGAACCTCTTGAAGAACCGTTCCTGAAAGACCGCCCACGAGAACTCTACCCGCTTCACACGCGGTATGATGGGAGAGCTGTACGCATCAACGTTTGCCCCGGCATATTGCAAGCGATAGCTGGCAAACAGCAAAGCGGATTCGAGGTTGACCACCCTGAGCACTTCTGTATAAGTGACAGGGTACGGTAGCAGCGAAGGATTGCTAGTCGAGTGGTTATCGAACACCACTATGGATTTGCGGTTGACGGGGACAATGCGGTAAGCCTCGGGTGCGTTTCGCGGCGATATGTCTTGTTGAGCTGGGCGATAAGGTGCGGGGAGGATTGGGAGAGGTAGTCGAAGATCATGTGGTGGACAGGGTGAAGGCGAGCAAAGAGCTCGGGGGTGAGGGAAGACATTGTCAGGGATGGGAAGTTTGTGGGATATGAGAGATGTCTACACAAGATAGTCAGATTCTGGTATGTAACGCGTTGAGATCGGAACAGCGCAAGGGATGAACCCACGAGGGACGAGGATCGTCTACGCCGCGGATCTTCTCTTTCGCCTGCCGTACGCTGATGAGCACTTCTCCAGACTTTGAAGCTCAGATACGTCTGCGGGATACGGTCAGCAAATACGATCAGAATTGGTTAAGCAGACTCACCTAAAAGACAGCTGAAAGTATGTCAATCGCGAAGCCGGACCAGCGGGGCACTCCTGATGCTTGACGAGAATGGGAAGCTTCTGCTCTTGAAGAGTTGCCGGGATGGAGCTAGACAGTCATGGGTCATTAAAGAGTTGGTCCACAGGATAACGACGAGAGAGCCAACAGATTGCACTGTGGAACAGAGAAATGGAATGTTAATGATTGCAAGTAGTATCGACGCGGCGAGTCTGTCAAGTGCGTGGAGGCACGGCTGCTCGAGCTTCATCAGCCATTGGCCAACGTTGTCGCTGGGACTGGGTCAACGTGTTGTCGGCCCGGAATTGTCTCGTACTGCGCAAGCGCCATGTACAGCAGGCGCGTACATGTAGTATGTGAAATCGTGAGATACATTACAACTCCCATCTAAGGTCGCATACTCCAGAGATCGTACTCATCAACCGTCTCCTTGTCTAACTCCAAGAATCGCACAGGCCAATCAAGATTAGGGTCCGCTAGCCTAGGATGCCTCGACCGCAAGTGTCTCTTCGCAAGCTGCTTTACCTCGCCCGCACTTCGACAGCACACTTCGAAGGTATAAGTGTCCAAGGCAAGCCCCATCAATTGCCACTCTTCCACCTCCTCGAGATCACTACCCACATCATCCACGAGGATATGGAAAGCGAAGTCGCCAATAAGAGCTGCGAAAGCATTGAGGACCTCGGGCGAGGGAGCAGAGACGCCAGTCGTACACCCAGTAGAGCCTTCCTCTTTCGTCTCGAGTCTGGGCGGGAGCATGAATCGGAGTTTATAGAAGGTTTGGCGATCGATGTCGGCTCCCCGGAAGACCATCTGGCCGTTCTCTGGGACATGTAAGACAAGGGTCAACGTATCGGCATGGTTGAAGTCAGCGGTCCGATACCGAGAAATTCCTTCTACAGTTAGATAGAAATCCGTGATTTTTGCCTTTTCACTGCTGCAGTCGATGTGCACGAGAAACTCTTTGAGCTGGCTTTGGGGGCGAAGCTCATTCTGGAGTGTTCTCTCTCGGCAGGATAGATTAACCATGCGGATGTAGAATCGACTGAAGAAGTCTTCCTGGAAGACCGCAAATGAGAACTCTACCTGCTTGACTAGAGGTATGATGGGAAAGTCTCTGGGAGAAGGATCTTGCCCGTTATACTCCAGACGATAGTTTACAAACAGCAAGGCAGACTCGAGGTTGACCACTCGGAGCACCTCTGTATGATGGGCAGGGCACGGTAACGGCGAATCCAGGCGAGTCGAGTTCATATCAAACATCGCTATGGACTTGCGGTTGACCGGGACGACGCGATACAAACTCGGGAGAGTTTTGCGATGATAGGACTTGTTGAGCTGGGCGATGAGGTGTGGAGAGGATTGGGAGAGGTAGTCGAAAATCATGTGGTGAACGGGGAGGAGGCGGGCAAAGAGCTCGGGGGTGATGGAACACATCACTGGCCGATAGATTGTTTATGGTATATCAAAAGTGTCTATTGCACAGCGTCAGCTCATAGCATCGACATGGCGAGAGCAGGTCATGCACCTACCGGACTTGTGTTGGGTGTTTCGACTGCAATGCGAGCTCTTCAAGTGGTTTCGTGTTTCGAGTCGAGTCTGTCAGAGACGCGTCAGCCTACAGCTACACAAGTGGCTGAACCTGCGTGGCTTGTATTGGGCTAGACGTACCTCGAAGGAAACTGGAAGTATGACACGATCTTGGTGTGGCGCTGGGGCTTACGGTAGCGGTGATGTTGCTTGTATTGCGATTGTGTGAGATCCGTGCTCCAGGAGCTGCGATAGAATTATAAGCATAAGCAATGCAGAAAGGGTATGGAAACCTGATGTGACAAGGCATCACCAGACAATCAGACGGGCACTGACCTCTGCGTACCTGTACGAGGACTGCCACGTTGTTGAGATATGGAGGTGTCGGGGTAGTCTCTACTGTATCTCTGGAGCCCAGTGAAGGGTCAATAGCGGCTCTATGGATTGGGCGGTTGGATGTAGATGTAACTACTACAGAGCCATCATTGACCTTAGCCGTCATGTGGCGGTGGCGGAAACACGTTTCCCACATGATGCATCCCGCCACATGTTGGTCGGCCGCAGGTCGGCCGCCACACGCATGTTAATCATTCAGATTCCAATACAGGTCACGACTTTTCGAATGTACAGTACGAGTACTCGTAAAGTACGTATGCTGAGCTGCATTTTAGCCCAGTCCTGGCCATGCATATTCGCATAGGCCTATATGGTTTGATCCCTCCATCGTGTCAAGTCTTGGTACATAGCCATAGTCAGCTATGAGGGCAGTAAACGGATATTGAAGCATTATACTCAGAGCACAGACAAACAGAAAGAATACAAACAAAACGCGTCCAAGATGCGCGAACGCGCGCGACATATTTTGATCTCTTTCCAAATTTCATCCGGCCGTCAGCGAATCTCCTCTACCCCTCCATCATCCCAAAACCCCCCCCACCATGTCCCCAAACAGGCTGAAACCAATGATCCCCTCCCTCCTCCCCCTCCTCCTCTCCACAGCCCCCCACATCATCGCCCTCGCTGCCCAACCAGGCGGTCCTCTAGAAAGAGAAGAATACACGATGGGCATTGCGAGGGGCCAGATCGAGGATGCCATGGGACTGATCAGCGGGGAGCTGGGGAAGAAGGAGTGGAAGGGGGTTGTTAGGAGGGTGGTGCAGGAGGAGATTGTGAGAATCTTTTCGTCTTTTCGGTGGGCCTGCTTTTGCTGAGTGTTGGAGACTGATGGGCTTCTTTAGGATAAAGCGGCGGGTGATCAGTTTGAGCGAGAGGATGAAGGTGTGGATTCTGATCAAGATGACCAGAAAGAAGAGCAGGTGCCAATGGCGCCGACCCCTTGACCTCCACCTTCACCTTCACCTTCACCATCGCCACCACCACCCAAACGCAAACGCGTAAGACCACTCCCTCGCCCCAAGTCCAACTCCTCAAACGCTGACCCGCTCCCGCTCTCTTTCTCTCGATACCAGACGAACAAGCCAAAACCCCCAGCTTCATTCCCCCCAGAAATATCTCCAATCTCTCCCTCTTCCAAAAGACCGCCCGCCTCTAATGATAAGAGACAACCATTATCTTCGATCGGTCGGGAACAAGAACCTATCGAGATCCTCTCTTCCCAACCTTCTCCTCCACCACCTGAATATGCCAAGGAGCATGTCCTCATCGTAGACGATGAAGACGACGGATCGGAAGAAGAAGTAGAGGAAGAAGAAGAACAAGAAGCAGAGCAAGATGCGCCAAGCCAGATGTCTTCCGTCTACGATACAGCCTCCCAAGCCCGGCGTGCTGCGAAATCGAAAGCTGGCGGTACCCCGAGTCCGTCGCCAGTCAAGAAGAAGAAGAAGAGGGCTAGTCGTGGGGATGATGGTGATGAGAAGAAGAGTACGGGGAGTGATATGAAGGAGAAGAAGGAGAAGAAGGAGAAGAAGGAGAAGAAGGAGAAGAAGGAGGGGAAGAAGAGGAAGAGGACGGTCGAGGAGGTACCTGCTTTGAGCCAAGATGGAACGCCAAAAAAAAAGCCTGCTCCCAGGCCGAGGGCGAAGAAAGACCCTTACGAAGGCGTAAGTCCATTCTCCCATCCTCCATTCTCCATCTCCACCTCCTCATCTTCATCCACAATACCAAGTGAAGTGAGGTGAGGTGAAAAGCCTGATGTGAATCAAAATAACCCCACGCAGCTCTCTGCGCAAGAGATCAAAGTGGTAGAATTGAAAAAGATCATCGTCGCTTGCGGTTTGCGTAAACAATGGTACGTTTCCCCATTCCTCGCCCTTCCTTCCGCCCCTTCCCTTCCGTCCCCCCGCACAATACACCATCCAACACGTAAAACAGGTCCAAAGAACTAGCCAACCACCCCACCCCCTCCTCCCAGATCACCCACCTCCAAAGCATGCTCCGGCACGAGCTCGGTATGCGCGGGACGCCGACGTTGGGTAAGGCGAGGGCTATCAGGGCGAGGCGCGAGTTGGCGCAGGAACTTGGTGCGTCCCCCTTCTCTTACGCTTTCGTTTTCGAGTTGCCCGGGTTGGGGTTGGGTGGTGGGGTGGTGGCTGATGGGAATCTGGGTAGATGATGTGAAGGCGTATGAAAAAGAGAGGGGCCGTTCTGCCGACCAGAACCAGAGAGGGAACAAGTCTCGTTCAACCTCTGACGACGATGAAAGTACTGCAACCGAAAAGGTGAGTCCTCATCACAAGAAAGGGCCTGCGCTGATGGAAGTTGGGGGTACAGGGTGCTATGGAGGCCGTGATGGACTTTTTGGGCAATGATGATGATGATGAATCTGATGACAATTAACGTTTTGATGGGTTTTTATGATATAATGTTTATACGACGAGATGTACTCTTTGGAGCCTTGCTATATGTACTGTGGATGATTGCACTGAGAGAACGATATGTGAGATGCTCTTTGCTTGTGAGTTTGAGTGGCCTGGATGGAGTTTTGAGAGAGAAGCGTTGTCGATTGTCGTTCAAAATCAGACACGGACCTTCAACCTGCAGTCTGCGTCTCTCCACGATACCTCGCTCCCATTCACCATCTCACGACTCATCTCCATCCCGTCATGATGACTGCTGCCAACACCCAATAATCCTTCTCACGTCACCACGACAAACTTCCGCTCGAGAATAGAAAGAAAGGTGCATCCCCCCAGCTAAAGCCAGACTACCAGAACAGATATAATTGTCGAGTAGATTACTTCTTGCCGGCAAGAGCTCGGCCAACACGTCGACCGCTGTGAATTGGGTCAGTAGAAGTCGACAAACATGTTTGGGGGGTGGCAACGGCACGCCACACTCCCCCGCTTGCTCGCCCAACCCATCTCCATACACCGTGCCACCCAAAAGAAACACTCACGTGGTCTTGGTGTGCTGACCCCTAACCTTCAAACCCCAGTGGTGCCTCAAACCTCGGTGGGTCCTAATCTTCTTGAGCCTCTCGAGGTCCTCACGGAGCCTCTGGTCGATAACGTTGGAAAGAACGTGGTGGTTCTTGCCGTCGTTGATGTCGCGCTGCCTGTTGAGGAACCAAGCGGGGATCTTGAACTGGGCGGGGTTTTGCATGATGGTGACGATTCGCTCGAGCTCATCAGAGTTGAGCTCACCGGCCCTGTAGATCATGTCAGTGGTGGACGGGGGAGTAATGGAAAGGACGGACCTCTTGTTGAGGTCGACATCAGCCTTCTTGCAGACCAAGTTGGCGTATCGGCGACCGACACCCTTGATCTCGGTAAGGGCGTACATGATCTTACCGCCACCCTTAACGTTGGTGTTAAGGAGACGCAAGATGTGCTGTGGGGGATGTCAGTAACGTCTTCCGGTCGTCCATAGGTCCGTCCGCCGCCGCCGTCCTTGTGCTCCATCTCGCCTTCCTCCGATTCGTTTTTTCCGCTTTCTTCTTTCTCTCGGACGGCGGCGGTGGCGGGAAGTCGGTTGTACGGACCTGGAACTGCTGGTGAGCCTCGAGGGGAGCGAAAGACATGGTGGCTGTTTTGCTTGGAGGGTAAGAGGTTTCGCTCTCTCTGCAATGCCAAAATCGAGCAGCAGGGAAACTCCGGGGAATCGCGGCAATTTCGCTGTGGCACCAAGACGAAACTCCAACTTGGTGCGTGCCTGGCATCTGATCCCGCCGCACTCACAACCCGTCGCATGCTTTGCACCTTTCTGTTTCTCTACCCATCAACGCTGGCTCTTTAGACAAAATGTGAGTGGCGTGCAGGGGGCAGGGGGCAGTGCTGACCATGACTTCTTCTCTTTCCGACAATAGGGTCAACATGTGAGTACATCCCTTCTGGCTGCATAGACACCACTGACAAATTTACAGCCCCAAGTGCGTATCAAAACCACCCATCAACTATACAACACATGCAAGGAAAAAATTGAACGAGCGCTAACCATCCCCTCCCCCCCTCTAACAGGACCCGACGAACCTGTGCGTTATCCCATGCAAGAAGGAAGGAAGGAAGGAGAAACGGCTGACGGAGGGAAATTTGTAGACTGCAAGGGTAAGGCTTGCAAGAAGCACACCCCCCACAAGGTGACCCAGTACAAGAAGGGCAAGGACTCTCTTTCCGCCCAGGGAAAGCGACGATATGACCGTGAGTATTGATCATCAAGACGGTGAGCGATGGGCGATGGGCGTTTTGATGGGGAGCAGAGGATGAATGGAGGGGCAAGTGGCAGACGGAGTGACGGGTGAACGGGACAGACTGTTAGTCAGGGCTTCGAGGGCATGGGAGTCGTTGGTGGGAAGAGCCATGGGGAGAAAGATCGAATCGCTCGCCGTCCAACCAATTCTTATCCCATATTCATACTAATTTTTCTCTTCAGGAAAGCAGTCCGGTTACGGTGGTCAGACCAAGCCTGTCTTCCACAAGAAGGCCAAGACCGTGCGTCCCTCCTTCCCCCTCCCCCCAAAACACAACTGACACTTCTGTGCAGACCAAGAAGGTCGTCCTTCGTCTCGAGTGCACTTCCTGCAAGACCAAGCACCAGCTCTCTCTCAAGCGATGCAAGCACTTTGAGCTCGGTGGTGACAAGAAGCAGAGGGGTGCCGCCATCTCTTTCTAAGCGTCTTCTTCTTTGGAAGGAGAGCTTTGGTGTGCTGGGAAGAAATCTGGGAGAATTGCTGGGTTTCTTCTTTGGACGCCGGGGTTTTGCGAGGAATGGAATGGGGGTGTGGGGATGTATGATTATGCCCAAATATTACTGTTTTTGCAGGCTGTGGTTCCAATAATCTGAACCTGTAAATACTGACTCGCCTTTACATGAGTTTTGTGAGAAGCAGAGTTCGGCGGGCGAGAGCATGTGGCTTGAGGGGGTGATACGCGATGTCGGTACTCGTTCTGCATGTCTGAGGCCCTCTATCCCAGCTTCCTATACACCAATCACCGTTCTGACGAGCAACACTCTGTTCGCTACATATCAATCGTAGAGTACTGTACGAACGAGTACTCATTCTGGAGTCGTTCAACTTTTCCACTTCCGTTAACTAGGGTGCATCACCCATCCTCGACACACATACACACAATCGATCACCTCAATCTCTCGCTCTCTGTTCCCACCCAGTCGCAACAGCCACTCATTCTTCTCTCTGTACACACCCCAAAGCGCTTCGAAGGGGATGCGCTCCCCTCGTTTTCTTGAGCGCAATACGCAAGGCGAGCACATCCTTTCCTCGCTCGGACAAAGCGGTAGGAACTGCGGTTATCGCTTCGCGTCTGGGTCGTGATTTGGTTCGCAACCGTGATGGAGATATTCCATATATTAGCAGGGCATAATGCAATCAGTATCGTGTATATCTCCATCTCTTTGGTGGGGAGTCATACGTAGCAGCTGGCGAGATGGTCATCTTCTGCGGTCTCTCAACGTGACGTGCCCCAAATAACGCGCCAGGCGATTTCACTTTCTCTCTTCCGTCGCGTATCTTGTCTTGCATCCGCCACGTGTCTGTGTCAGACATGTCGTTACGAAAAAGTTTGGATCTTTGATACATGGAGCTCTTCTACCGTGCCACTGTTTTCACGGTCGGATTTATGGATCATCGGCATACTGACGGGTGACGACGCTCGTCATCGATAGCGCTTGACGAGAGATGGACAGCGGCCTTCGTGTCAGTGCAGCAGATGTTACTGTCGGGATGAGGGGATACCAAACGGACAATGCAAGCTTACACGCCTTTCAACCATAGACACAAGCAAATGCAACAGATCTCTTGATGAATATCTATACGACAAAGATTTTTACGTTCTGTATAACTTAACAAGTCCATGGTGAAGATACAAGTCGAAACCTTCTTTTTTCTTCCATACCTTAATCCTTCTTCCCCACCTTGTGCATTAGCTGCAAGACATCGAGGATGGTACTCGCACTCCAGGCTTGAGTGTTGCAAGAGTCATAGCAGTATTGACCGTCTAATCTCAAATCAGCTCTGTGCAATGCCGTTGAACGGAATACTCACCTTGGTTGGTAAGCTCGGGCAGACCTCTCCAAGGGTCATTTTCAATATGGTGCGACAACTTTCTCAGGATGCTCGAGATGTAATGAAGGGTCTTGGTAGAATCCTCCTTGCCTTCCCCGGCGCGCTGGTCAAACTCGAGGTAAGCCATGAGGAACCAACCGAGAGGGAAACCCCATTCGGGCCCTTGGTGGTACTATAGCATAGCACATCAGCTACTGATAATAAAAGGGTATAGAAAAAGACCCACGTTCCAGCCCTTGGCGATAGCCTTGTCGTCCGAGTCGTTTGAATTGTCATAGTAGCCTCGGTATTGCTGGTCGGCGGGGTCGAGAGTCTTCATACCCAAGGGGCCGCGGAGAACAGCATCGGCAACGCGAAGAGCGTCGAGAGCCTTGGAGGGAGTGAAGAGCTCGGGTGCGACGACCATTGGAAGGGTAAAGTTGCTTCGGAACTGACAACAACGTGTCAGTATTGACCTTTCATCCGGAATGATGGTTGCTCACTTGGTAATCACTCCATTCCCTATCACCAGGGGTGCCATAGACGTCCTTGTAGATACCTCGGCGGTTGACGAGGCTCTTGTTGATGACATACTTGTCGTCCTCGGAAGCGTCGCTGGGAACGTAATAGTGCTTTTCGAAGTTGGCTTGGAGAAGGTCGGCCCATTCCTTGTAGGTGACAAGTCGCCTCTCGCCCTTGACTATTCACTCCATCAACGACGTCCCATCATCAAGGGAGACACTTACCAGTCGCATTGACACCCTTGGCCGGCCACTTGCCCTCCTCGCTGAGCTTGCCAACCCAATTCAAAGTACTCTTCAACAGACCCGTGATCTCGATCGGAGAACCGTCTCGAGGAGTAGCCGGGAGCCCCTTGTTGCCAGCTTTGGCGGAAGAACCATTCTTGTCCATCCAAGTACCACAGTTGTATCGGTTACCGCCAAAGATGAAACCGTTGCTCCAGTCGACCCAAATCTTCTGGTCAAAGCCTCGGTCATCCATGTCCATATCGAGGTTGGGACCGGCCTTGAAAAAGTGTCAGTTGGCTCCCTGCGAGGGTGACAAAGACTCACGTTGTACTCTCGGAACTCGATCCCTTCGGCATGCCTCTGCAAAATCTCCTGTACCAACTCGGCCACAGTGCTCTCCCATTCGTACGCCCTCGGGCTGTCCCATGCCACCCACGTATCGTCCGCGGGGAACCGCCTCTTGACCTTTTCCTCCAAAATGGAAAGACCGTTCGGCGCGAGGTCGGTATAGTCTTGGATGTTTTGGATAAACCACCAAGGACCGTCTCGGCAGTTGTATCGGGGGTTACGGGTAGAGTCGAGGAGGTTGGGGATGAGACCGTGCTTGAGGGTGCTTCCGAAAGACTTGATGTGCGCCTTGGCGGCTTCAAAGTTGCCAGTCGTAAGGAACAAGCCTCGGAGCGAGATAAACTGAAAAGAGTGAGCGTAGTTTCGATACAGAAAGAGTCGACTTACGACATCTCGACCCCAGCATCTAGCCCAACCAGCAGTAAAGTGAGGCAATCCAGCGGCCAAACTCGGCACCGCCCTTCCAGGCTCTATACTCGCGCTCTTGACAAGCCCATACATTTGCACCGACACCATCGCCAAATCATGCGTCAACGAATGCCCCGAAGCCACAAACTCGGATGACTGTTCAATGACGGCCTTTCGAGCGGCCTTGTACGCTTCGAGAATGACGAGGGAAAAGTATTTCGGGCGCATAAAGGAAGGGGCGGTGGCCTTGATCTGATGAAAGCGAGAGGCAAACCACGCTGCGGGTGCAGAGAGGTGGGGGAGGTCGTCGGTCTGGTTTTGGAGTCGGTTAACGACATAGTCGAAAGCCCAAGTGCCTTCGCGAAGATGCTGGCAGAGAGGGTGGCCGAGGTCGTTGGTCTTGGTGATGGTGCGCAGAGGGTGCATCCAGCCTTCGAGGCCGCAGAACGTGAGAGCGCCGTAATCGGGAATAGTGTATACACCGTCGCCGCCTGATCCATCAGTATCAATCCCGAGCCAGTGATAAAGACTTACCAGTGGCATCCTTCTCTTCTCCGTCTGCTCGGTGCAAAACCACATTCAAATCAACCAAGTCCAATCCCTTCATAGCCTCCCCCGCCCCTTCCTTACAGAACGCGTCCAAGTCTGCCGAAATCTCGCTCATCTGGGTGCCAAATACCAAAATGCTTCCCGGCGCAAAGTTTTCCGGCACGACGACTTCCTGATACGCCTCGCCATTCTCTTCCCCATGCTTGATCTCGGGCTCGGCAATATCCACAAGCTTGGAGGGTATACCTCTATGCGTGGAAGGGTCGTCGGACCACTGGTCAATACTTGTCTCGATCCCAGCACCAAAGAGGTACGATATCGAAGTCCGACCAAGACGGATCGGCTTGACCCAACCACGCCCCTCAAAGCCCTTGTACGCAGTGTGCGCAACGAGCATGTATCCCTTGTGCGTGATGGGGTGGACGCGGTGGATCATGAGGTACTGTCCTTCTTCATGGACGTGTCCCTCCGTAAATCCACCTTCCATCATCTCCACATGCAGCGCATTCAACACCCGCTTCACCCCGCCGATACCAGCTTCCCTCTCTTGCTCCTTGCTGACAACTTCGTACTTGCGGTTATCCGTGACCAAGTCGAGGAGTTTGGGATAGAGGTCGTCAAAGCCCTTGTTGGACCCGAGAGCGGAGGCGCAGAAAGTGACGAGCGCGCCGGTGGAGAGGGCGTCGGCGGCGGTACGTTTGTCGGCGGGGGATTGGTTGTCGTGCGTGAGGTCGTAGAAGACTGCGTGGGGGGCGGAGCCCTGGAGAGGGGTGACTAGAGCAGCGCGGGGGGTGGTGGAAGAGCTGGAGGGAAGGGACGGGTTGATCTCGCCAGAAGAGGTGAGGCATGCGACGTCCATAGAACCCACCGGCTTGCCGAGGCCAAACCTCCAAAGGCTGAGAAAAGGGTCAGCTCCGTCAACTCGACAACAGGTGACACTTACAGATCGGCAAAGTTCTTGACGCTATCCCCGTTATACGCCTCCCTCACCAGACTATTAATCCCCAACTCTCTCACAAACTTCAAATCCATCTCCTGACTCCCCGTAAACAGCTCCGCCATCACATACAAATTCGGATTCACCCTCCTCCCCGCATCGATCACCGCTTTCCCCACCTCAATCGGCGTCGAATGACAATTATCCAACCTAAACCCATCAAAGATGCCCGCCAACAACTCTGCATACTTGATCATGTGTTCCCAAAGCCAGGGGTTATCGGAAGGCTGGGTGCCGTATCGCAGTTTGACACAGTCGTCCCAGACGATGACTTGGCGGCGGAGGTAGGCTTTGGAGGGGTACTCTGCAAAGTTTTTGAGCGGGTCGGCGGCCCACATCCAGCCGTTGTTGGCAATGTAGCGCGCGGATTCGGGGTGTTTGGAGGTGGTCTTGTTGTCGGGGAGGTGGGTAAAGTAGCGCTCAAGGAGGGGTTTGCTGGATGGCTGTCAGCTTGATCCATATGGAGAGGATGGACGCACTCTCGAGTAATCTCGCCAAGCTTGGGACCACCCTCTTCCAACCTCGTAAACCTCAAGCGACCCACAACACCCTCAATAGCAGCCTCAACATCTTCATTGCTCTCATTGTACAAGTCCACATTCAACACATCCAACACTTTTCCCCACTTGCTCGCTTGGTTCTCTGGAGAAGCCTCGGGGTAGGCAGCTTGGATAAAGCCAGCAGCGGTAGCAGGCTTGACAGAGGTGATGAACCGGCCCGAGTAAGCACGGTAGTTGTCGATGATGTTGGAAGACTTGACGACCTCGGCAAGCTCTTCATATCCCTTGCCTTGCACCTCTGCACCGTCCCACTTGTCACTCTTGTCGTTCAAGAGCGCCTCTGCTACAGCCCGCACTTCCGCCTGCACGTCAAAAACGTAGAATTCCCAGATCTTGGCGCTGTCGATAGCAGCTTTGATATGGGGGATGAGCGCTTGGAGGTCGGATTCAGAGTTGATGGTAGATGGGGCCGAGAGGGAGGGGAGGCGGGCGGAGAGGTCGAGGAGGGCGTTTTCGAGCTCGACGGCGGGGGCGAGATGGGGAGTATTGTAAGGAGAGTAGGCTGCGAGAGTTTAGCTCAAACCACTATGAGAAATTTCTACGTACCAGCCTCGGGATGCTGCTCAAGCCAAGGCGAGTCGTACGCCATGTGGTTCAGCACCACATCCGTAACACCTCCCAGCCCATACTGCTCTTTCGCAAACGCCAGAACCTTTTCAATCTCTTCCAATCCTCCGTCTTTGGCTTCCGGGTTCTTCAAGATTTCGGGGTCGAATGTCAACTGGTCTTTGATAGAGTATGGACTTCCAGAGATACCTCGCTGCTGGAGAGGCGCCCAGTGAAGCATATTGTACCCTCGTCGACTCGCCTCGGCAAAGAACGGTTCCCACTCGTCCGTCTTGCCCATCCACTTGGCAAGCACAGAGATAATGATCAAGCTGTCGAGTTTGAGCGTGGCATTCTTCGGGAGGATCGCCCCGGAGGATTCATCCTTGAGGGGGTTTATGGTAGTGACAGAGTCGTCGGGGAAGAAGGGCGTGCGGGCGGGGAGGTTGATGATGGGGTCGACGTTAAAGTACCCTCGACGGCCTTGGATGCGTCCTTTACCGGAAGGAGAGTCGTACTCGATAAAGTAGCAGAAAGCACCAGGGGCAGCGATGGGGAGGTCAATCTCGATAGGCCTGGGATAGTCAGAAACCGTCTCACAAGATATTCAGCCCACTTACTTGCTCAGATCCGAAGGCAACTCGCGTTCCTTGAAGTCGTCACGCTTGAAAGCACCTCCATCGATCGGGAAATCAGTCCTCAGCACACCATTCCTGGTCACGTCGGTCCCAGGCTCAAGCGAGAAGCGCAGGATGTATGGCCGCGTGGGCGGGGGAAGACGGATGTACTGCCCACCCCATCAGCTTCTTTTCCCCACACGTGTCCTGGATGGGACTCACATCCTTCCCTGGGCCGGGCCCTCCGTCGTCCTCCAGAGCGAGCTGCCAGACCTGGACAGGCTCGCCGTCGTGCTCGCCAGAGAAGAAGGCGATGGCCTCGTCCTGGGGCGTCTTGGGGGTGCGTTTGCCGGTGGCGGTGGGGTCCACCTTGGGGAGGTGGATGTTGAGGGGCATGGTAGGAAAAAGAGATGCGGATGAGAAAGGAGATGGCTTTCTCGTGTCCTTTGTGGATGACTGGACTGGTATTCGCTGCATCTCGCAGAGCCCAAGTCGTCGCTGATCCGGAGCTCGGGACGCCCTGACAAAATGACGTAGCCGTCCCTGGCCCCAGAAGCCCCGTCATGGCCCCGGGTGGGGGCGCCATGCGTGCAATGTTGACTGATCCATGCGAGCCATGGAGCTGGATAGATGATACTTATTGCATATGCTATGCCAACACACATGATAATTATGGATGCAGCTCTATGTACTGTTCGTGCGGTGAGTTCGTCATCATAACCCATGCAACTCTACCCATCCCTCCAAGCTGCCTCGTCCTCACTCGTCCCCAGGATCCCCAACGTCCTTATCAACCATTCTCCAAACCGTCCTCATCTCCTGCCTAAACTCCTCTTCATGGTTTTCTCGCTCATCCGGCCCAAAATACTCTGCACCCTCAAAGTCCAAGATGCGCGGCGCGCCATCGATAGGGTGTTTAGTGACGTGCCCTGGCCAGACGTCTTTGTAGAGGACGATATGTCATTCAGCCTGTGCTCGCGAGTACGCCCTAGTCTTATCCTCAGAGATAATCGAGGGGATTGCAGATCTTGATGACCACAGCCTCTTCTACTGTCATCCCGGCGGCACTGATGAGACGCGCGCCGAAGAAGGTGTCCCATAGCTGACCGTGGCCGACATATCCAGTGATATGAACCTTCTCCTTGTCATTATTGAGACGTCAGGGACGTTTGATTGTGCGAAAGAGTAGTTGTCGATAGAGCCGAGGACGTATTGTTTCTTGCCGTTCGGAAGAGTCTCTTCATCGCTGGAACGCGAGCGACGCAGAGGATGGTTGGTACAAGTCGGCGTTGTTGATACGTGCACCTCTTGGCTCCGAACTGAGGATAAGCTCCCCGAACGTCTCGACGCTCTTGGAAGGTATGGTCTTGCCAGAAATCAGCTCACAATCTTCACAGAAGTATTACTCGGACTCGGGCGATAGACGTAACACGCACAAACACCCCCTCATCCCCCCCATCATACCCTGCCTCTTCCCTATCGGCCTGATAGACATCACTAGTATTGATCCTCGGCCGCATCGAGAGTCTTCTTATCGATCAACACATGTTTATTGCTACAAGTCATTGCTTGCTTTACCATCGGCCGGACTATCGATACCAAAGCCTTCTCGTCCGTTTCGGTCACATATGCCATCTAAAGCCTACCCTCCTATCAGATAAGTTGCCGACAAATCCAACTCTCCTACTCATCGCTGTCCAGATACGACAGGCGAAAACAAACGACACTTCGGCCGTCCGAGATCGGTGTTTTGTCTACGTCTCCGAAAGGGCCGCGAGCGGAAGAGAGTTTCTTGGTTCGACATGCACCGTGAAGCCCTAGGGTTTGTGGCCTCCGTACATGCATGCATCTCTCCCATGACCGTTGCCGTAGATTCCAGGCGATTGGCTCGCGGAGAGCGCGGAGACCCCATGGTCTCGCGGGCGGCGACTCCTTATCTCTGAGCCTCGCGGCGTCGGCGCTCAGAACGGTAAGCAAAGTTTCTTTTCGCGCATCTCCTATCACTCAACGCTTCTTTTCCATGGCCCCCGTTCTATGAACCGTCCCGCCCTACCCCGGCAAGATCCTTCTGCATATTGCCGTATTTTGCAGGGGCGTAGGCACTTAGTGGATGGAATGCTATCAGATACCGCTCCTATGACTCATAGCAGAGACCAGCTGGACAGGTGGAGACCGGACACCCGCTGCCTCACACCGTACACGGAACTCACAACGGTCCCGCCTTGCCACACACTGAACCCGCCTTGAAGATATATAAGGAGCCAGACCCTTCCGCTTTGGAACAACCCAGCTTGTCTATCACCACACTTGCTTATCACACCAACCACAACCACAACACAATGTCCAAAGCTGCTTCCGTCACCACTCTCGACGCCTCGGAGCCCATCGAGCGCATCTTTGAAGTCATGGCCCGCGACGGTGCCGTCATCATCGCCAACTTCCTCCCCAAAGAGCTTCTCGACGAATACCTCACCGGCATCGAGCCCTACTTTGAGGGCCGTGACATCTACGTCTCGAATTCTGCCGCCAAGGAGCTTGGTGCCGACTTTTTCCCCAACATGTCCAAGCGAGTCTATGGTCTTCTCGGCAAGGTTCCCAAAGCTGTCAGCGGTACTATGAAGCTTCCTATCTGGCAGGCCATCATGGACAAGTTCCTCAGGTGGGTCTCATCTCCTTATCTATCTGTGAATATTCTCTGACTCTGTGATAGCGACGAGTTCTCTTCCTACACTGGCCACAACCTCCTTCCCCAAAAATCCAGCTACATGCTCGGTTCCACCGCTGCTATGCGACTCGTCCCCGGCGCCAACGCCCAGCCCCTGCACCGCGTACGTCCCCCCTCCTCCCTCCACTACACCCATCCACTGACACCCATCACAGGACCAGATGCCCTACCTCGTCCGCCAAGACCCCGAGAACCCCTTCTTCACCCCCATGGTCGGCTGCCTCATCGCCGGCTCAAAATGCACCGCCAAGAACGGCGCCACCATGTGCATCGCCGGCTCCCACCTCTGGCCCGGAGACCGCGCGCCCAACGTCGAGGAGGCCGCGCCCGCCGAGATGGAGCCTGGATCCGCTCTCTTCACGCTCGGTAACACTTACCACGGTGCGGGCAAGAACCAGTGCGAGCAGTCCGACCCGGATGCGCTTAGGACTATCTTTGCTTGTTTCGGTCAGAGGGACTATTTCCGACAGGACCAGGAGGAGATTCTGTCGACTCCTTTGGAGGTTGTAAAGACTCTTGATGAGGAGACTCTTCGATTGGCTGGCTTCTGTAATTTTCTCGGTCGATGTTCTTTGCAACAAAGCGCTGACGATACGTTACAGTCAAGTCCAAGGGCGGTGTCGGATACGTCGAGAACCACGAAGACCCCATCCAGTACCTCGGTACCGACCACCTTCTCGGTCAATACACCACCCTCGCCGGCTCCACCATGGCTTGATATCCTCCTCCTTCTCTCCTCTCCTTTCCTATCCCTTCCTCCTTTCTCTTTTTCTCATATAGATGCGCTTTCTGGACGTTGTCATTAATACTAGTGATACGAAGTTGTAACCCATCTATCCTTTCTTTTGTCGTATTTCTTCCCGGGCCTTGTCGATTAGTTGTAAAGCATTAGCAAACGAGTAGGATGAATGAAATCATAACACACCATTGTTCTCAGGTTGAATCATGGAGACAACCAGCAACCTGATAGGTAGAAGGCCACTGCCGCAAGTGATGTTGACCCGTCTAAAGGGAATACACCAGCAGAACTGATATCTGGATGCAGTCTGTCTGTCTGACGAGAGATGCCCAGGCGGCAACAGGAGCAATGCATGAACTTCGTAAGATTGATGATTATGGAGATGCTACAAGACGGTTCTGCTCTGACAAACACAAGTACGAAAAAGAAGACAACAAATACAGAAAGAAAGATCTGACACGGACCATCCATACAACACACGTCATCGTCCTACATCCCACATTCGTCTCCACGCGCTGACGCCCAAGGCTTATTGTGGTGTTGCTATGCGATGCTAGGTGTGTATAAGCATAGGTCCCGAGTTGAGGACGATGGAAGTCTCACATTTGAACAGCTGGACCGGCTCGACGCCCTCTTTCATGGCCAGATCTTCACTTTGTTCCGACTCCATTTGGCCCCCTTGGCACCTGGCACAGACGGCGCGATCGGAAGTATCGGTGGATAGGCGACATTGCATGGTCTTTCATGACGCTATACATGAGATTAGTTGATACTCCATATCACATATAGCTTGCTCACGAGTCAACCCTGCGATCCCGGGTATCCCTGCACCCTCCCTATATCGTCCATCCACATCTCCAACTCTAAGCAATATCAGCACCTCCTCAAAATCAACAAAAATTTACTCACCACCCACTCCTCCCACACGCCTCACAAGCCCCCACCTCCTGCACATCCCTAAACTTGACAATCCTCTCCCACGTCTCTGTAAACTCCACCACCTCCTCCGTCCTATCCTCCCTCCCTTCCCACTTCCATATCCTCCTCACCTCCTCCGCCTGCGGCAACACCAACTCAATCTCACACGTCTCGCACTCTTCCTCCCCCGGCAGCCTGTCGTCCGAGATGATGTCGGTGAAATTGAGGATTTCCTCAATCATGCGGTCGACGGCGAGGGCGAGTTCGCGCGCGGCTTGGAGGGGGGTGAAGGAGGTGAAGATGGAGTGGGCGAGGGCGATTTCGGGGTCTGTGATTGCCTCGTTGGGAGGGGGGGAGGTATGGAAGATGATGGTGATGGGGGTGGACATTGCGATTTCGCCAAACAGCGGGCGCTGTTCCTCCGCCGAGTAGAAGAACCAATGTATCACCACCCGCCCCTTCGGGCGATGCAGCCCTATAGCATCCGTGACCCTCGAGCCCGACATGGAATTCCCATCGCACTCCACATACTGCATATCAAAGCAGATCACCTCGGGGTCCACCATCCGGAAAAGCAAATCCTCAAACTCGCCCGCGGTCACAAACCAGTTTCCGAAATGCTCGACCCACTTGTCTTTCTGCGTGGCGCCGTCTTGGAAGCGGAGGACGTGGTTGGTCTCCCAGCGCTTTTGCTCGGCGATGCTAACGTCGCGGGCGCAGTCGGGGAGGGAGCGGAGGAGGGCTTTGCCGAGGAGGAGGTGGGTGGTGTGTGGGAAGAGGAGGGGGTAGGAGTTTTCGGTGGCCATGAAGCCGAATTCGTGGGTGGGGAATTCGCGGGAGGCGAGGACGAGGGCTTCTGCAGCCCAGATATCTTTGAATACGACCTTTTTGGTGTGCTCGAATGCTTTGGCTTTGCGTTTGCCAAACAACAGGCCGCCGTATGGGTAGGGCAGCTCGGCGGTCTGCTCGAGACACATACCGTACAGGACGCGGCATGCGTTGGCTTTGCGGATGATGACGGTCTTGTAGATATGGGGCACAAGCTTGTTGTAGCATGCTTTGGAGAGGACGGCGAGAGTGAGGGGGATGAGCTCGATGAGATGGTCAAAGATGATGTCTGTGATGTCGGTCGGGAGCGGGTCGAGCGTGGTCATGTTGCCCAGTGGGCCTTGGTGGGCCCTGGGGGAGGTGGCGGGAGGGTAGAGGCGGGGCATGGGCGGGGGCGGGGGCGATGGGGGGCGGAGAAAGTGCTGGAGGAAGAGAAAGATGGGGGACATTGCACTTCGGCCGTCCGTGGCAGCGGCGGGGGCCGTCTTCGGTTCGCCGCCGTAGAGTGATGGTGTCGAGAGGGGTCTGAGGAGGGCCATGGGAGGGAGAGAGATGGAGATGAGAGGAAGGACACCTCATGCAGACCACGACCAGACAACCCCTGACCGGACTGTATACATACAACACCGCCTTCCCTTTGTGTACATACATCTACTGGTAATACGCCAAATACTCCGCCCACAGCTGGGGCAGCGTCCGCCCCGTCGTCTCTTGCCACCACCCCTCATCCCATCGCTCATACACCAACCTCGAATCTAGCAGCCGCACAAAGTCCGGGTACGGCCCAGACCTCGCCTTCCTTGCATTCGGACGTCCAAGCGGCTGTTGTTCCGCCGCAGAGGGCGGTTCAGCATACCTCGTCGCCTGAGCACCCTCCGGCCCCGTGGGCGTAGGCCCCGGGACAGTCCCCCCCACCACCTCCGGCTCCCAAACAAGCTTCCCCTCCCCCCTCTCCGCCTGCTCCCTCTCCGCCTCATCATACCCAATCAACCACCCCAAGAACCGCGCGCCCGTATCGTAGCTTGCCTCCCAGCCCTTGTCGGGTTTGCCTTGGCCATATTTCCGCCAGTGGGCTGGTTCGAGGTGGGCGAAAAGGCGGTGGAGGTCGGCGATGGATTCGATCAGCCAGGTGGGGGTCGAACCTCCGCCGTCGTGCTGGATCGTATGTACCATCTCATGCAGTACTACCTCCATCAGCCTCTCCACCTCTACTATCACCAAGTAAGGACGAAGCAGACTCACAGACACCTTTAAACTCTTTCAAAGCCTGCTCCACATGCTTCTTCCCACCCATCACTTCCTGCCTCGCCCTCTCCACCCAATCCAAGCTCACCCCGATTTTGCCCCCGCTAGTAGCCGCGAGCCCGTCCTTCTCCTCCAGCTCTAGCGTAATGAGCTGGTGTCTCCACCCCCCTCCCGGTTGCCCATCCCCACCCCCGCCCCCATGGCCAAGGGCCAACCTCGGCCTGATGAACAAGGCGGCATAATGCAGAAACATGATCGGGTCCGGCAAACACTGCAAGAAGAACGCTGTCGCTGGCGAAGCATCCAAGCGGGGATGTTTCAGGCAGAAAATGAGTGAGGAAGGGGGCAGTTGGTGCGGAGGAGGTGGGGTTTGGAGGGCTTGGATAGATGGGGAGGGGAGGGAGGTGGAGAGGTAGTAGGTTGATTGTTTGGAGGAGCTGAAAGAGGAGGGGAGGGAAGGGGGGTGAGGGTTGGTGAGTTTGTTGAGGATGGAGAAGGGCGACATTGTGGTTATCGAAAGATGGAAGAAAAGAGAAAAGAGAGGAGAGAGGAGATGGAGATGGATGTAGCGATGACGATATGGATAAAGGAAGCCCGGCCGCCGGCGCTGCACCATTGTTCTTGCTTTTGCATTCCTTTTTTTTTTTTATCGCCAAGCATGATTCCACGCCGGTTCCTGGCAAGAGTAAGCAATCGAGGTCTCTTGCTTGAGCTCTGTACGTTCATCAGCGTATCGCTCCATGAGCATTCTGACTCTCGCCGTCTTCATCCCGACTCTTGATCTCGAGCTTTGAGGCGCATATTCGTAGAGTATGCATTATGATCTCAAATCCCAATACATCAAACGATCCACAAACCCATGATGAAAACTCAGAATACCACTCAAATAGCTTTCTGAGCCGCAACACTCTCGCCAGCCCCGCCGTCTTTCTCTTCCAAATCCCCTTCCTCGTCTTCTTTGATGCTCTGGCTCGCACTCCCTCTACCCGACTCGGCCACTTCTTCTTGCACATCGAAAGGGCTGCCCAGATCATCAGCTTACGAGCACCAACGAAAGGCAGCGATCCAAGAAGAAGAGGAAGAAGGAAAGCAGGAAAGAAAAGAGAACTGACGATGCCCATCCCCGACTCGAGATCCCAACGGGGATGATGATGAGTATAGCGACGACCCAGAATGCTATACTGATTTGGTAACCGTACTACCCCTCAATGTCAGCTCTTCTTCTTCCTCTGGGCAGTAGACGGAAGGACATGGGGGAGAAGGGGAGAGGGAGGTTTACTTTGTAGTGAGGAGCCTGTTTTGAGGGGAACATTGCAACTGCACGATTTTCATCATCAGTGCGGCCTTTTGTTTACAGAAGACGGGATTGCAGGTGAGAGGGAGATGTAGATGGAGAATAAGGAGAGGATGATGCAGACTCACAAGGTAAGGCAGCGTTGAGAACGTACGCAAACGTATTCAACAACGCTACTATCAATATCCGGGCTTCGGCATTACCACCTGCTATTTCTGAGACCCATGTCTTTACACACGCACGCGTCAGCTCGCCGAGTATACTTGGGATCCGATGTATCTAGGAGGGGAAGAGGCAGGGACGGGGAGCGAGGAGCAAGGAGCAAGGACGTACGAGAATGAGAGCCGACCCGCCAATAGTAGCGAAAATGAGGATATGACCCGCGAAATGCAAGTTGAACGATACGTCCCATACCGTCAACACAATAGCCCCGAACAGCCCGAACACTACACCCCCAGGATCAGCTTCATTCCTCCATACCAGAACAGCTATCTCTCGAGCTTACGGCCAGAAAAGACGATGACAGGCCATCGGGTATTGGTAGCGTCGGAGATGGCGGCCCAGAAGATGGCGGTAAAGATTTCGAGGGCGTAGCCGCCTGTGGGGATGAGGTTGACTTTGACCGTTGCTATTTCATAGCCCTTAGTCAGCTTCGTTATCTTCTGGGAGGTGGAGGTGGAGGAGAAGGAGACGCACAGTAACGGCCGGTAGATTTGAGCCAGAGGGAGAAGAATGAAATAGCCTGCCCGTTGATGACCCAAAACCTAAATCACCATCACCTATCAGCACCGTTCTCATTCTTCTCCCACCAAAACGGAATTTGAACGCACCCATAAGGCAAGATAAAAGCCCACAAAGGCCAACTCGCCAGCACCTTCCAAATAGTCGCCCTCGTCAGCCCCTTTGGCGCCGCCCGGCCAACCTTGGCCATACGGCTGGACGCGAAAGAGATGTCGGTTGGGGTGAGGTAGCGTGCTCGGGTGTTGGAGGGGGAGTCGGGGATGAGAAAGTAGCCTAGGATTCCTACGGGGATTCTGGGGCGTGGAAGGTTAGTGTGCGAGGAGTAGAAGAGGTGAGGGAAAGGAGAAGGGACGAACGTGATGCAGCCGTTGACTATGAATCCCCATTTCCAGCCCTGCTCAACATCAGTCCATGTTTATATTGTAGATGTAGGAGGCGAAAGCTTACAGGAAGTCCGTGAGAGCCGTCCAAACCAGCAAAGACTGCAGCTTGTAAATACCCAGCCCACATGGCCCCCAGCGCCGAGGCAGATTGCAGTATCGCAACGCGTTTGCCGAGTTCTCTCGGTGTATCTATGTAGCTCCCTCATCAGACTCATGTCAATGAACGTGGGAGGAAGAGGAGCGTACACCAGGATGCCATGACGGCGATAAGACCGGGGTACGAGGAAGCTTCGAACAGCCCGATGAGGAAACGCATAGCGTAGATGGTGTTTACGGATTTGGCGGCGGCCATGCAGAGGACGAATATGCCCCAAATTATTCTAACATCACGTCAGCTGCTTGTCAATAGGTTAGATGTGAGGAGGGGACGGACTCGACTGTGGGGAGGAGGTAGGATGGTCTGATGGCGGTGATGAGCAGCTGGGTCGGGACAGTGCCGATGATCTGTCGACAATCAGCTTGCAGCTTAGGAGGAGAGGCTAAGGTAGCGTACGTAGCCGATGGAGAAGATGGTCCCCATCCAGGTCAGCTCATTGCCGTATAGACCTAGGTCTTCCTGCATGCCCGAGACATAGGCGTATATATAGTTAGATTCTACCACGACCGTCAGCTCGCAAGTCGTAGACTTCGTCGGGGGCGACTCACGATCCAGAAACTTGAGAGTATAACTCAAGACGACATCTAACATGGGTTAATAATCATCCGAAGATACAAGGCTATCACATACAAGTCATGAAGAACAAATCGAGCTTGAACCTCAGTTTCCTGTCTTGCTTTCGCGCATCCTCCACATCGTGTTCAGAGTCGCGAGTCTCGATATCGTCCGCGTACGATACGACTGTTGTTGTTGTGTCTCCTGACATTGTTCGGACTTAAAGCAGAGGGATGCGCGCGGGACACTGGGCAGGAGGGATTTATGTCTTGTGCAAGCTCTTTGGTAGCGAAATATGAAGGCACGAAAAGAGTGAAAGATAGATGCGATGGATGGCGTACACATGTCGTGATCTGCATCTACGAACAGCTTCTTTCGGATATCTATGCTTCGGGTTCGGGGTAGAACGTATCTGTAAGCCGGACCGTGTCAGAGCATATACCGAAGATTCCGAAGAACAACAAAAAGTGTTGTTCAAGAGACGATCACGACATCAACAATACGCCGAGCTACGGAGATGTGACACTTCGGCTTTGAGCGATATGATAACCTTCTTTCGATCGAGGGCATTTACCGATAACTCGTTCAACGCCATATCTCGTCAGTGCCCTCCTCGGGTGGCCGACTATCCTTATATACGATGTCGTGAAGCATCTCCCACTCGAACAACGAACGATGCCCGACATTTCTGCATTCGGCCGTGATCTCGATCTCGAGCTCATCCTCAACGAGGTCAGTCGTATATCTTACCTGGTAGGCAGTCGCTTACCCATCGTAGGGTGGACGATGGGCCCACCGCGTCCACATCGCCCTCGAAGAGGCCAAACTCCCCTACAAACTCACCCACGTCGACCTCAACAACAAGCCCGACTGGTACGCCCTTCTTGTATCTCCTTATCCAAGTTGACACCCCAAGCAGGCTCCTCAAAGCCAACCCTCTCGGCCTCGTCCCCATCCTCGCCGTCGGTAGCCCTCCCATCTACCTCACCGAATCCGCCGATATCGTCTCTTTCATCGTCGCCACCACCCCGTCTCTCCAGCCGTCCAATGAGCTCCAGCGCGCCCAGTCTTTTCAGATCGCCAAATCTGCTCTCGCGCTGCTCTCTTCAGAGCTTCTTCCTATCATTGGGAAGCAGCCCTCGGAAGCCGTGCGCGAGATCCACCATAAGAACCAGCTGAAGGCTATTCGGAAGGTACAAGAGCTGCTCCATGCTACAGGGCCTTATGCACTCGGCGAGCGTTTTACCGAGGCTGATGTCTTGCTCGCTCCTTTCGTTGGTAGGCTTTGGGCGTACGGAGTGCATGGTATCGCTCCCGCTGGGGACAGAACGGTAAAGACTGTAAAGGAGGGCAGGCAGTATGCGAGGTTTTTGGAATACGTTGAAGCTATCACGGGACGTGACAGCTGGAAGAAGACTTGGGATGAGGCAAGTTGACATACATTTCCCAATGAGCTTGAGCTGACATCACTCTTAGACTTTCTCCATCGAACGATTGAAGAAGAAGATTGCTCAATACGAAGTCAGCCAGTCTAAATCTGAACCCAAATAGTATGTCCCTCTTCTCACTCTTCTCGATTGGACGCATGCTCATACTTGGACCAGTCCTCGATTTCTCCCCGAGCCATTCGATCCTAACGAAGTCTTCATCGCTGAACCGCCTTTCGAACATATCGACCGCGGCCTCTCCGCCGATCCCAACTTTCCCGACTTGCTACCCACCTCTGCCCGCGTCGAACACCTCACCCCCGTCATCGGTACCGAAGTCAGAGGTGTGCAGCTGAGCAAGCTATCCGACGAAGGCAGGGATCAGCTGGCGCTATATGTAGCCCAGCGAGGTGTGGTGGTCTTTAGAGGACAGGACTTCAGGGATCTCGAGCCCGAGCAGCAGCTTGAGTTCGTCAGGTATTTCGGACCCCATTACCTTGTACGTCATCTTTCACCCCACATACTGAGCAATGCTGATACGGTCACAGCACCCATCCGACCGTCACCCCAAAGATCTTCCCCAATACTACTCCATCTTCCAAGACTCCAACGACCGTTCCGTCAATAATACCGTCAACCCCATCTCCAACAAACTCACCTCCATCACTTGGCATACTGACGGTTCTTCTGAACTCCAACCCCCCGGCTTGACTTTGTTGTTCTCTCTGGAGAACCCGAGAAATGGGGGAGGAGATACGCTGTTTACTAGTACGGTGGAAGCTTATGAGAGGTTGAGTGAGGAGTACAGGGCGAGGTTGGAAGGGTTGGAGGCTGAACATTATCTGCCTTATGAACCTCGTCGTCGTGACGCCCGTGAGTCCAAACTCCCTTCCACCTCTTGTACAAATCTGACAACGATGCAGCTCGAAGCATCCACCCCCTCATCCGTACCCACCCCGTCACCAAAAAGAAGATCCTATTCGCAAACGAAGTCATCACCCGCCGCATCATCGGTTTCCGCCGTGAAGAGTCTGACAACTTGCTCTCATTCTTGACGGGGCATATAGCGAGAGGACAGGATTTCGCATGTAGGGTCAAGTGGGAGGAGGGGACGGTTGTTGTCTGGGATAATCGGAGTACACAGGTGGGTTTTATCTTTGTTGAAGTTGGGAGAGATGGCTGATGACATGATAGCATACGGCAACGACGAATTTCCCGGCGGATGAGAGGAGACATCTTTGTAGGATCACTTCCATTGCTGAACGACCTGTTTGAACTACTTTCTCTCGTCTGTATTGGCTTTCTTCGACCAACCTTGCGCGGGGGAGCGACGTATGGTCATGATTGCAGCTTAGCTTTGAATTTGTTCTTGTGATGAAATGTATGCAAGATTATGACTCGAGACCGATGGTGGTATGCTGTTCCAATTTCCGCGTGCCAGCTGCACACTTGACATAACCTCAGAACCCTCTCGGTTCTCGAGTGGTACACAAGACTACCCGTATATATAGCGCACTTGTTGGTGCTTCGGCGGACCGAGCCGCTACCCGAGTCACGAGGCGAGACTCCAGACTCGAGCGTGAGATGTGAACGCAAAATCCCTTGTGCTTTACCACCCTCTGATAACGCGATGACTGACGCTCCTGTATCGACCTGGGGCAGCGATGGCTCAGCCATCCCCAGCCTTGAGCTTATCTCCAGTAGAGTACGTGTTCTACCACCACCTCGGCGACGATATGGACGCTGACACATCCTCGCTCACAGGGTTCCCGATGGGCTCACCGCGTTCTCATCGCCCTTGAGGAGGCTCATCTTCCCTACAAACTTACCGAAGTAGACCTCAACAATAAACCGGACTGGTACACCCCTCCCCAACTCCGCACCCCCGCTGACAGCTTCCCAGGCTATTCAAAGCCAACCCTAAAGGCCTCGTGCCCATCCTCGGGGTGGGCACGCCTCCGACCTATCTTACCGAATCCGCCAATATCGTCTCCTACATCACCGACCACACCCCATCTATCCAGCCTTCCACCGACCTCGAACGCGCTCGAGCGGCCCGTATAGCGGAGGTTGCAGTGGACCTCCTCGCTGGCGAGATCTCTCCAGATTTGATTCCTGTGATCATCGCGCCGCTCTCTGAGGACGAGCGCGAGTCGTACTGGAATAAGTAGTTGGGAGTTGTGAGTACAGTGCAGGGACTGCTAGACCCCGAAGGGCCATTTGCGCTTGGGCAGCGGTTCACCGACACGGATATCTTGATCGCTCCCTTGGTTGGGCGGCTTTGGGCTTATGGCAATCACGCTCTCATACCGGCGGGAAATCTTCTTACAAGACTGATTGAGGAGGATGCAAAGTATGCGAGGTTTCTGAAGTATGTCAAAGCTATCAGCGAGAGAGACAGTTGGAAGAAGACGTGGGATGAAGTGATTTGTACCTTCCGCCGTGTGACCTTGGCTGACTCTTGGCTTAGGAGTTCTCTATCAGCCGATTGGAGAAGAAGATCGCTCAGTACAAAGCCAGCCAGGACAAGTCATAAGGTCAAGAAGAACTCAATGAATTTACTGTGCCCTCTGCCGACCTCATGATTTTCAAGGCCCTCCAGGGGCCTCATAGCTATCCAGTGATGCATACTAGGCCCAAAAAGATAAGAAACAAAAAAAATGATCCCGGGCGGGATCGAACCGCCGACCTCCTGTGTAGAGCAAGGTAAACTTGTTAGACAGGTATGGTGACCAACTCCATCACGTGACCATTATATGAACTTGAGGCATTGGTCTAGGTAAGTCATCAAATAAACGATGCCTCATGCCTCTACGTCTTTGCGACTCTGCAAGTACATACAATTCGAGGACTGACGGGGAAAGCATCGTCTGTCTTACCAGTCTGTCCCTCTATTCTTCATGTCTACCATCACCCCCTCCCAATTTGCCGCCCTCCATCCCGTGCACCACCTCATCCTCGACGACCTCATCGCCTCTGCCCCTCTCTCCGTCCTCACTCTCTGTTCTCCCGTGCACCGACGAACGCTCCCCGTGCTATATGCCGATATCTGCGCTTTGCCTGCCGTATTCAACGGCCTGCGGCTGAAGGAAGGGTACGAGAGAACAGTCGAAGCTCTCAAAAGCACCAAGACGATCAGAGTCCGGGACTTTACCAGTATCGAGGCCCTTTATTCTCTCGCCGGTGCAGAGCGCGAACAAGTATCTGCAACATCTCCTTCATCCCCTGCCAACAATTCTCATCCTTACCCCCGCCGATACACCAATATCTTCCCCAGCCTCGATAGTCTCGAGCTTGAGCTCCCTGCGCTGGAGGTACAAGACGACAACGATCTAATACGAGCGACATATCATAGCTACCTCGAGCTGCGCGAATCCCTTGAGCGCCCTCCAGAACAAGTTATGGAACCACTTCCGCGCTTTCTGGAGTGACGGTTCTCTGAACAGCTACCGAATGGTGTCCAGAAGATTGTCTTCCATCCGGACGACGACGGTGGATCCGATTATTGGTACGAGGTCTGCCAACATCTTCTGTACCAACGCCCGCGCGAAGCCATCATCCTCGTCAAAGCGACCATCTCGGTAGCAGTTGGTTTAAAGCCATGGAGGATATTTAATACAATGGGGTTTAACCTGCCTACGGAGTGGCCCAACGCCGAGCGTCTGACGGTTCTCGTCGACACCGATGAACCCCTGGACCAGAACGATCGAAGTCAAGTGCAACGTTACGTGATCTCCTTGGAGAGAACGATGTCAGAGTATGCCCGACGTCTTACCTGGCGCGTCAATCTTAGGCAAGAGAACCGGACGTTAGCAGACGAAGATGTGGAGATGAGATTGGTCAATCATGTCGAAATCCACATGCTCCTTCTTGGGCGAGTGCTCGAGAAGATGTCTGAAAAGGAGCGAGAGCAGGTGTATCAGCTCTTGAGCGATGGGAGATTGGTAGTGAGTGATCGTGAAGAGTCGCTGGCGGATGGTATGTATTTGATGAATTGATATGACAGGTGTGTCGGTCTCGTAAACTTTGAAAAGACGTATCGGCTGAAGACCATTGCAGGATGATATGGTATTGTCATCCCTCTTTGAGCGACCAACCGCATTTTGGTTTGCCAGTATCCAGCACTTGATCACCTACTCCCCACAGATCCATCTATCCCTGCATGGTGTGCCTTCTTCTATAATTTTGTCCTTGACAATCAACCGCATCTCTTTCGGCAGGTTTATGGAAGTCATGATTGCTGTGGTGTATGACAAAGAAGACACCTCGAGTGAGCTGGGCTTGGTCTGTATAGAAAGTGAGAGGCAGGACGGTAAGGGAATTCGGACAGGCCTAGAAGGACCGCACATAACCTCGTACCTAAACCACGGTGCATGTAGCAGGTAGTCTAATCATCCCTCACAACCCTCCAGACCCTCACACTCCCATCATCCGCCGCACTACTCAACATCCCCAGCCCAGCCCCCTTCTTATCCTCCCTAACACACCACGAGACAGAGTTGATATCCGCTACCCCATGCGCATTCTTCTTGGCCGCTATCGGCTTCACATCCACTCCCACCTCCTTGCCCTCTTCTCCGGCGAGCTTGGTCACTTGCCAGATGATGATTTTGCCATCCCCTCCGCCGGACGCGATGAGCCCGAGGTCGGAGGGGGAGGTGGTGAGAGGAGGTGACCAGGCGAGGGAGAAGATGGAGCGGGTGTGGGCGGGAATGTGGAGGACTTCTTTGAAGGGAGAGTCGGATTGAGAGCCACTGGACGAAGAGTATCAGTACTGTAGTCTCCAAAGCGCAAATGGTAATAAGACTCACGTCCGCCTCCATACCCTCAGTCCTCCAGTATCCCCTCCACTAACCATCCATCCCCCATCCGCACTCCAAGCAACACACCAAACCGTCTCATCCTCTTCCAACTCTGGTACCTGCAACGCAGCATCGGCTTCTTGCTCCTCCTGCGTTGGGAGAAGCGCTTCTATAAGATGTTGAGGGGCTGATGAAGATGAGGGTGCTGAAGATGGGTAAGAGGACTTGAGGAGGGCGGGGAGAGTAGGTGGGGAGAGTGGGAGGGAAGGGTGGAGTTTTTGGAAGGTGTACCAGTCGGAATCGGGGTCGTCGTAGGCGAGGTGGATGTTGGAGTCGTATGATGCAGATGCGAGAATCTGCAGAGACTATCAGAACTGAAAGACGTTCAAGCATCCGTTACTCACCTCCTCATGAGGGTGCCAGGCGATGCCCTTGACGTCCTGTGAGTGTTCCATCATGACCGCTATACACTCAAAGTCCGCATCCGGTTGAACTAGATAGGAAATTTGTTAGTTCCGTACCATCATGTGCAACAGAGACTTACCTTCCCATACCCAGACACTCTTGTCTCTCGAACAACTGGCCAAAAGCGCACCATCCGACGAAAAGCCAACGCTCTTACATTCACTCTCATGCCCTTCCAGCGTCGTCACGCACTCCCACTCCTTCTCCTTACTCCCTCCCACATCGTCATCATCACTCCCCTCAGGCTTATACACTCCCTCATCCCCATCATCCTCGTCATCCGACGTCGGAACAACCTCCTCCCAAACCCCGACTGTCGAATCGAAACTCCCAGAAGCAAGCGTCCGTCCATCCGGGGACCACGCAATACTCCTCACAGTCCTCTTATGCTCCGTCTCTATCACCTTCATCAAACTAAAAACCGGCTGGGGGTCGTCCTTGCCCGGGAGGCCCTCGGAGGGGGAGGAGGAGGGGAGGATGTAAGAGAAGAGCCGGATGGTGCGGTCTGTGGAGCATGATGCGAGGAGGGGGCGGGTGGGGTTGAATGTGACTGTCCAGGCGGGGTCGGCGTGGGCAGGGAGGGAGGCGAGCTCTTGTAGCTCTGGCATTGTTGAGAGGGGTTTTGAGGGATGAAAGAGGAGATGAGCGGGTCGCCGAATTTCAAGTTATCGATAAGCAGAACGGAACCTTTTTCTGCCAGGCCGTTCGTGGAGGCCGGAGTGTACTCTCGATCGCTCGTCGAGAGTGGAAAGCAAGCGACTGCATATTCTGGGAGGTGGATCTGGAGAGAGATCGCAATGATGGCTTAGTGGAAGTACCAGGTTATCATTAAAATCGAATCGCTCGTTCAATTGCTACGCTATGTCACAGGAGGTTCACCATCTCCCTGAAGCCAAAGCACGGCCGTCGACAATCTCGACATAGTACATGCGAACACAAATGTTGGCAAAAACAGACGTCGTATAAGTCGCACAAATGATTCAGAAACGTCCGATCGGTAACTAAATGTCGTAACAAGATTAAAGCCCAAAATAATCTATACTGGTCGTGAGCAGGACGACGGTAAGGATGAACGACATACTTACAGATACTTCTCACGAATTCAAGCTATGGGGGCACGTCTATCCATACAGCGGAGCACCCTTAATGTCCATCTCGCCTAGGTATTACGGCCTCTCGGTAGGTTGATGCGTCTCGGCATCCCTATGCGAGTTCAAAGGCGCAGTAATATTTGCTGATCATCGCCTGCAAGTCTGTTAGCCAAACCCATAGTACAAATCAATCAACGTACCATCACCTCTCAATCATATTCCGGCGCTTCCCACTCCTCCTCCTCTTCCTCCTTCTCCTTCAGCTGAAAGCTCCTCCAAAAGTAATCCCAAGTCGCCGTACTCCTCCTCATACCCAGATCCTCTATCAGCTGCTCCAGCTCCCTCCTCACTCGGACTTGGTCAATCACCTCAAATACCGCGGGCACGCTATCCCGGCTGGCATGTATCCGGAAGAGGTTGTATATGGCGAAAGCGGTGATTTTGGGGTCGACGGCTATATGCCGCGCGGGGTCGGCGTGAGGGCAGAAACGGATGATAAACGGTGCTGGTGTCTTGTTGGGCAGATACACGGGCGCTTGTTGAGGTTGGAGATGTACCCGTATCAACAGCGTGAAATCAAACACTCTCGATCCCGACCTTCTCCCCTGCGCCTTGAGCCACGCGCTCCTGCCTCTATACGCTACCGTCCTAAACACCTGCTCCACCGCAATCCCATCATACTCGTCCCCACTCTCTACATCGACACATAGCCGTTCCAGCTTTGGGACCTGATCTTCGAGCATCCGCGAAAAGCTCATGGCGTAGATCATCATCGCCGACATGCCTTGTGTCGGCACGGGGCTTTCGCGCGGGTCGTCGGGGAAGGAAACGATGTCGTGAGGCGGGGTGAGGAAGAAGCGGAGGACAGGCCAGCCTATTTGGAGGTGCGTGGCATTGGGCAGGATGGGATATGTTACTTCGGGCAGCGGGCGCCAGAATGGGTCGGACGAGCGTGATTTGGGCGGTTGGTACACCTGGCGCATGACGCCCTCCATAGCTTCCGGATCCGAAAAGACTATCGTCCTAACCATCTCCAGCGACTTTGCTTTCCGCCCGTCTTTACCGTCCGTCACGCCGTAGAAAAAGGCAGCCGCGTTGTCGGCATTGAGGACAACACGTGTATAGAGCATTGGCAGGATCTTGGCGTGGAATTCGGGGGAGACGCGGAGGAGCAGAGCGGGGGAGGATTCTTCGAGGAAGGCGAGGATGACGTCGTGGACGGAGCAGAGGGGCTCGAGGGTGGTGAGGTCAAAGTCGGGGAGGGGAGGCTCGGACGTCTTCTTGGGAGGGGCCGGCGGGGGCTGGGTGTTGGGGCGGAAGGCGGCGAGCATCATGGCGTCGTGGAAGGAGGACATGGCGGGGAGATGGGGGTGCGGGGAGATTATAGGGGGAGCAAGGAAGGCAAGAAGGCGGAGAGGATGGACTTGATGCGAAGTGATGATCCCCTCGGCAACCGCCTGCAGCAACAACGGGGTCAAATTCAGCGCGAGCATTTGATAGGTCGGCCGACGGAAGGATTCATTACAAAAGGCCTTCCGAGCCCATTAGCGGGAGTATTTCACCATTACGCGCTATTGAACTAAAGTAGACTGAGAAGGGCAGGCTGATTTCTGGATGATGGAGAAATAGATGCCCAAGAAGAAGATTGGTAACACACCATTTCTGTTTATGCAGGTAGCTGAAGAGCCTCAATAGTATTGGCTGGTGGCAGGAGCATCTGACTGTGGGCGAGCTCTACCACATGGACGGATGCTTCAACATGGAACTCGTTCCTCATATAAGGTGATATGTATGTGTATGAATGGGTAGCGTGGTACCAAAGGCCAGGGAAGTACCGTACAGCATGTCGTATGAATCGTTGATATTCCTTTAAGGGTGCTCGATGGCCTGAAAGGCCTTGAGAGTCGCGAACGAAGAAGATGATTGGTGAAATGTCCACAAATGGTAATAGCAGCACGACAACAGCAGCCTGCATCGATAAACCTTTTGACTGCAACATCATACAGACTGGATCGCGGTATTTGTGCCAGCTGCTCATCAGTTGGGTATGGAAAAGGACAGAAAACTCTCACCATGAGACCAAACAAAGCTTGTGGGCTTCGGTCAACAATGGTGATTGTGATAAGTGATAGAGTAAGTGCAAATCAGCCGCGTCCGTCAAACATTATGTGGCACTCCAGAGTAGTCGTGGCAGTTTATCATACAGCCTTATCATTGTTCAATCCATAGCCTTCATTATTCTTCATTGTAACGACCATGGCCACCAGAAGACACGCCCGACCTTTCAATGGTGTGTGGATTCAGGCCAGTTTCGTTCTCGAGTCGCTATAAATCAAACCTCTGATGGGAGTTGCTCATGAAAGACGGCAGTCAGCTCCCGAGATACATATTGGCACCAGGTCCTACATATGTCCCCTTCATCAGCCACGATCATGGCCGCGCGAACTTCATACCCTCAGAATGCGCTCTTGAATCCCTTATCGGGATCCACTACAAGCGAGATGATATCGCAAGGCAGTTCATGACCGTGATATGGGATTGCGCCGGTGGCACGCGTGTTTCTTGCAGAATGGCTGCAGATCGTTGAGAAGATAGAGACGGCAAGGATGGTCGATCGATGGCCCCGGTGGAAGCAGTCTTACGTATGTAGACATCCAGACTCCAGAGTATTCCAGACTGCATCTTGCCAGATGTCTAAATATAACAGCATTCACCGGGCAGAGGCCATATAGGCCAAAGACCGCAGATCGCAGAGGGCCGAGGGGCAACAAAGCTGCAGCAAGCCATGAAGCAAATCTCTCGAAGCTTCTGACGGTCGATCAGCCACCATTACGTTACCCTTGAACTCTTTCTCGTCGCTGTTGTGTCAACCTCGCTGACTTCATTGACATGGGTGGCTCTTCAATGGCAGGGGCACTTGCCAGTCTCTACTATCCACAATACTTTCTTCCTCCACACGTTTTTATGACCAACAGAGTAATACAGTTACCACAGGGAGACCTTTCCAGTACATTCCAGGGGATTCCTATGAGCTCATAGCCAAACGACTTGTACCAGGGTTTGTCACCGATTCCAGCAGCTGGATGCAGCTGAGTCAGCGAGATCCAGGCACACGGACAGTGGACGGGGGTAACCCGACGCTTATCTCTCGTGCGTAAGCTGATAGCGGCCTTCAAAAACATGCGTTATGTGGGGGGCGACCCGCATTTCCTAACTCGCCCGCCGACAACGCCGATGGTGGATGTCACAGGAGTCAATACATCTATTTCCAGTTCTGTTTTCTTTTTCCCCTCCTGCATACAAACGCCCATCCAACAACCCGCAAGTTGTGTCCCCACATGCGTTTCCATACATAAACACTCGACGTTTCTCGTGGCTCCATACATGCCCAACTCCTCTCGCCCTCCCGCTTCAAGCGCGTACCCACCTCTATCCCACGACGCCCCTCAAATCCCACCCTTCCCTCAGCTTTTGTATATCAAAAACGAGTCGCACTCTACGCCTGAACCTCTTATTGCGATGACGGACAGCCACGACCATATGGTGATGTCTCCGGATGAGGATGACGACGGGCACGATTCCAGGGGCGGCTCCCCGCCACCTCTCGAGAAGAAACGAAAAACGACCAATACTCGTCGAAGAGTTGTACAGTCGTGTAGCGAGTGCAGGTACGTTGGGGAAATGCAGCATTGTTGGATGGCATAGCTGACGCTCGTGCAGACGTCGAAAGATTCGATGTGACAAGAAGTAAGCCGGTCCTGTATTTTTAGGTTTCCAGCAATATGATCTAACAAAAGTCGCGTTTCAGATTCCCTTGTGGTAAGCGACCAAAGCCATGTACGTGCGGGCTGTGCTCACCTTCCTATTAGGACCTTGTATATTGCGCAATGAGCAGTCTCGATGTCATGAAGTTGGATTGGTGAGTCGTTGCCACTTGCGCGAGATATATCAGGAACCTAACTTTAGCGACAGGCCGACAAGACACCAACTCTTCCTCCCAAGTACGCATATCATCCTCTCTCTGTCAGTAACCCATCTAACGGCGCTGTAGTGGAGGCAATTGGGCTTCTTCAGCCGATATCGGCCATGTGAACCATCGTCTCGACGCCCTCGAAGCCAGTCTCCTCAAAAGCGGAGCGCTGCGCCGGGAAGACCTCGACTATTTCCTCAAAACCATTTCTGAAACCGACGCTCTCACAGGCCGAAAGAAGACCAAAATCGAAGATCTCATCGACGACACTGAAGGCGCGGCCCTTACGCTCGAACATCTCGCTTTTGGGCGGTCCAGGGCGGATGGGAGTCATGCGATCCCGCACTTCGCTACCCGTTTATCGTCCGTGTCCAAACCGGCGCCGAACAATGATTATCATCTTGCCAAGTCGAATATTGTGCATCCCTCGCCGACGAATGGGTATGATCCTGCAAGCGTTTCGACCGGTCAGAAAACAGGGCAGGCGTTCAATACGCCAGACTCTGGAAGAAAAGAGCTGTCGGCAGAGGAACGCAAGCAAAAGCTGGACAAGATCATGGATATCATGGGTCCTCTGGAGGTGTTTGACATGTTTTTCAAAAAAACGGATTTGGCGATGGCGGCTCTGTCAAAGCTGTTGCCGCCGAGACAGAGAGGAGAGTTGTTAGTCAAGGCTGTAAGTAACTTTGATCCTACGTGACGCAAGTCTGACTTGTGTCTAGTATCTCGAAAAGGTGGACTGGCTCCATCGCTGTGTACATGTCCCAACATTCCTGCGACAATGTAACGACCTCCACAACCTTCCGCCTGAAAAGGTCACTCAAGAGATCGCGCTTCCCTTCCTTGGACTCTACTTTACAGTCTGCACTGTATGTCCCACCTGCCGTCTTTTGACTCCATCGTTAACTGTTCATAGCTTGGTCTGCAATTCATGTCCAAAGCCGAGATCAGCCTTCACTTTACCGAAGAAGAAGCGCATACCCTGCCTGATACGTGGTTCCATGCCGCTCGAAGTGCTTTGTGGGCCTCCGACTTTTTCACAAACCACACGATGGAGAATCTGCAGACCATCTTGCTTTTGGGTGTCTTTATGGTGAGCATGTCTCGCTCGGGGTGGGTCGGAAAAAATCGTGGCTGATGAGCACTGTAGAACAATAGAGATCGCGCGGATGCTGCTTGGGCTTTGCTCGGTGCGGCCATCAAGGTGAGCTCTTTCCATCACGTCAAGAAAGTTACTGATCTTTGATAGATGGCGCAAGGATTGGGTCTCTCCCGTCTAGGTGCTGAACAACAAATTATCGATGGCAAACCCCTCCCTATGTGGACTGGCCGATGGGAGAGTGTCATCCAGCGAGAGGTCGGCAGGAGGATCTGGTGGAATCTGGTGTTCCTGGATTGGTCTTTGGCACCGAGCTACAACTACTCTTGTAGTATCCAGCCTGATCAGAGTGCGTACTTTCACCTCCCTTTGTCCACTATGGCTAATGAATGACCCATACAGTCAAAACCGCTCTTCCGGCGAATATCGAAGATGAAGATATCATCGACGGAATGCCTTTGAGACCGCAACCCCTCAGCGTCAGAACGGGCATGTCGTTCCAGCTTGCTAGACTCAAATTTGCCGAAATCTCGCAAAGGCAGATTTGGCAGGCAAACAACAACAACCACCCGCCCTACTCTTTCGTGTGCGTACTCTCATACAATAATCAACATTCACTGACCCCTGGCGTAGGCTGAGTGTCGACGGCGAGCTTCGTAAAGCCATGATGGAACTCCCCACCTTCTTCCAGCCCGACCCCACCAACAAATCCCCTCCTCCCAAAGAACCCAAAGCCCTCGTGCAATACTACGAAAAGATCATCCTCAACCTCGCCATCCACTCGCGTATGCTTCGTCTCCATCGCCCCTGGCTTTCAAGAGGATACGAGGATGATAGGTTTGCGTACTCGAAAGAGCAGTGTATCAGGGCAGCGAGGGCGAGTTTGAGGATGATGAGTGATTCGGAGGGGACGGCGGCGTTTTTGGAAAAGTGGTGGTTGCCGTTGTTTTATGTGTCGGTGTCGGGGTTGGTGGTCATTATCGATCTCCTCGTACGTTGCGCTCCCATTTGGTTGGGTGATTACTGATCAGTGATGTAGAGGACAAGCAGGAAGGATATGTTCACGAGCGAGTTCCAGGCAAAGATTGATGAAGTCAAGGGCGCTTTGGGTCAGATGCGGTGAGTCTTTTTTGCGCGATGCCCGGTCTAGTGCTGATATGTCAAAGGGAAATTGCCGATGTGTCACATCCCTCTCGTGCTGCTGTCAAGGTCATGGCTTTGTTGCTTGGTGAGCTAGCTGAAACCTCTACAGTGATATGTAAACTGACTCTTACATAGCCGAAATCGAAGAACGTCGTAAACCCCCCGGGTCAGCTCTCGGTAAACGCAGGAGTTCTCCCGATGGCGACGACGAAGAGTCGGGCCTTCAGCGCGCTGTCAAGAAACTCATACTGCAAGCTCAGCTCGAAGCCGAGTCTCCCAGCGCCTCGATGGGCGGTTTGACTCCTCAGGAAATCAACATCGGCCAGGTCTCGCCCGCGACCCGTGCTATAAACGAGCAGCGAGAACGAGAAGGCGAGCGTCCAGTGTTCGACGCCTATCCCATGCCGTTCGTCCCCGTACCTCCCACCATCAACAACGCTACAGACCCTACCCCCCAGCAACAACTTCATCCCAACCAGTACATTGGTGTGAGCAACGCCAGTCCCTTCACCTTCCCTGTCGACACCACCAACGCTACCACCTTCCCTGCGTTCGATACCGCCACCACCCGAGGTTATCCCAACAACCAGCTCGACCCCACCGTGCAGAGCATGCTTGCCAACTACTTTCCTCCTCAGGCGAACACAAGCAATTCCATTGGGTCTGCGACGGCGCCTCAGGCGCCAGACGACTTTTTGAGTAGAGTATTTGGGTTTGGGTGGGATGGAGTGGGGACGACGGGTCCGCCTGCGACGTTGGGCGAGGCGGGTTTGGATGTGTTGGGTGGTCCACCAGGGATGTCAGGTCAAGGGCAAGGGCAGGGGCAGAATAGACAGGCGGGGCAGCAGGGCCAACAAAGAAGGCAGCCTGGCGACTTGCACCCACCTACTCCTCATAACGGTCAACCTCCCCAGCAGTCTCAGCAGCTGCAAGGGGCGAATAACCCTTACGCTTTCGGGAACTGGGCAAATCAGGGGTGGATGGCGTGAGCGAGAAGTGTCCCGAGAATGTTCCATTTTGGGCTTTTGTTGTTGATTCGTATCGCTTTATAATATTCGTTGGCAGGTTCAATATATCACCATTAGATTGGGCAAACATGGTCCGGTATGCAAAGTTCATTTATACTGTAAAAGAGGTGCCTGTCTATCTCATAGACCCTTGTTCAGTGATAGAAGTATCGAGTAGATTCTAGATCCCATAACGTAGGTGTGCGCCGGGTGGAAAGGCCCTTTTGACGAGCACGTATGGTCATATTCCTCGCTCCCCATGCTTCCTCTAAGACGCTGATTGTAGCCCTTCCAAACAGTGAAGAGGCGTCCTCACTGTCCGGCCCCTTAACTTCCCCGGATATCATGCCCAGCTCTCCCAGGTTGTCTTCTTTGTGTGCGCGGTAGCGGCCATGTCTTTCAGACATTTGCCGAGGGTAGTGGGTCGATCGTGTGAGACATAATTTGAGAAGAAGGCTTTGAGAAGAAGGCATGTCATAAAAGAGTGATTGGTTCGTGGGCGATAGCCTCGAGGTGACGAGGTTGGGAGTGATGGCAAGGGAAGTTGGAATAGGTTGCTCATAGAGAACAAATACCGTCCTGCAACGGTCGTCCGTTCATACACCCGATCAAACTATATGAGACCAACACACCTGTCATCTTTCCATCAAATCCACACCATTCACCATCGACTTTTCAAACTCTCCCACCGCCAATCTCCCATTCCTCACGAGCTGATCCACCTGCTTTCGCCCTTCTTCACTCATTTCTTCTAGCACTCTTGCAACAAGGGGGATGTGGATCTCGACATGATCGACCAACTTCCTTTTCACATCTCCTTCGTCTCTCAACGCCCACTTCTTTTGCCTCAAAACAACGATCCTTGCGAACAAATGAGCGAATGTCGACAGCGCCTTACCCATGGGGATTGCGTGACGTCGCACTTGTTCATGATCGCTCGGGTCCAAACCTTCATTGGTATCGACGAAGACCGTCAGACGTTCGGCGTTGTACCACATCACAGGCAGCTCTTCACCTAGTCTCGCGAAAGTCTCCTCTGACTTGGCGACCTGAGCTGCCGTCTTGACCGTCCCTCCGATGAAGATGACAACTTTGTGCGGGCGTTGGATCATGATATGCTGGTCGACCTCGTACCAATGCTTTTCGCTGTCGTTGTCCAGATAAAAAATCATCTCTCTCACATCATTTGGCAGCTGGAACCCGAGCCGCTGCCACGAAAGTGGGTCATGTCCCCGTGGGTCGGGATCGTCGAGTTCGTCGAGATACGCCATGTATTCTGACCCTAACGCAAGAGACGTGAACTCGAGGCGGTCGAGGTTCGGGAATAGACCGCAGTACCGGCGAGGGTAGCATGGACAGGCGGCAACAGGAGACGAGGGAGGAGTCGAGGATGAGTCGGAAGATTCCACCGGACGTGGACCGGCGAGAGCATAGAGGGTATCGATGCTGTCGAAGCCGCCGACTATGATAGTCTTGGTGTGCGCCAAAGCCTTCACGGTCCTCTCATACCCCTCTTGCAACTCTACGCCTCTGAAGACAGCAGGCGAGGAATGGATTTCTCGATAGAGCACAGGAATAGCGCGCTGGTAGATTGCAGGGCAGAGACGGAGGGCGGAGTGAGGGGCGGACGCGATGAGTTGGTCGAGAATGAGATGGTGGACGGGGTGGAGAGCGGCAAAGTCGGCGGGGGTGATGGAGGACATGGCATGGAATATAGAGAGATGATAGAAAGTATAGAGAGATGTAAAATGGTAGGAGATGTCGCCGCCGCGACTTTTCCGTTTTGTCCTCGGCAACAATTTGCCGGCTTTGCCTCCTTGAAAGTCAATCATGCATGCGAATTTTGTGGTGGTCCCTTCCCGCGCAGATGGAGACAAGCCCGGGCGACAACCCTTTCAGCCAGGTATACCCCTCGTGACGCATTGGATACGTTGATAATTTTGACTTAGCAGTGCGACAGACGATAGGAATGTGAGGCTCTGAAGGGTCGTGAGGGATTAGACTGTCCGCTCTATGTATCACTATCATGAAAGATATTGGAAGAGTTCTGTAGACAGACTTTTGTTCACACTTGTACATGCTTAGCAAGCAATACGCTCTTCCATCTCGCCCGTCCCTTGCAATATGACCGTCTTGCTCCTCAACCAATCGACCATGCAAGATCTCTCGCAATCACGCAAAGAGACTTTGCTTTGATTGCAGAGTTCAGTCCGGAATATTCATCTTTGGCTCGCCCATACTTCTGCCTCTCACTCTTTCTCTAGTCTCCGCTCGATTCCCCGAAAGTTTCTTCTTGGGCGTACACAGTAGCGATCATGTCTTGCAGCCAACGATCTTAAAGCGCAAAAGAGACGGATGACCGATGATGTAGGGAGTGGTGGCACCAGAGGTGATGGAGTCGGGGGTACAGGCAACGTCACTCGTCAGTCGATACGCCCCGTCATACTTTACGAAACCGACATACCTGTCATCATTTCATCAGTCCCAAACCATCCACCATAGACTCTTCAAACTCTCCCACCACCAGTCTCCCATCTCTGACGAGCCCATCAACCTGCTTTCTCCCGTCTTCAGTCATTTGCTCGAGCACTCTTGCAACGTGGGGCATGTGGATCTGAACGTGGTCGACCAATCTCATCTCCACATCGTCTTCGTCTCCCAACATTCGTTTCTCTTGCCCAAGATTGATGCGCCACGCGAGACCTTGAGAATAATTTGCCAGCGCCTTGCTCATGGGAACCACGTAACGCTGCACTTGTTCAGAATCGCTCCGGTCCAAGGGTTCATCGGTATCAACAAAGACCGTCAGACGCTCGGCGTTGGGCCACTCGGTAGGTAGTTCTTCACCCAGTCTCCCGAAAGTCGCATTTGATTGAGCGACTTCATCCGCCGTCTTGACCGTCCCTTTGAGAAGAATGACGGCTTCCCGCGGACGCTGAAAGAGAAGGTGCTGGTCGATCTCGTACCAATAATCGGCTCTATCGTTGTCCAGATGAAATGTAATCTCCTTAACACCATTCGGAAGCTGTTTCGAAATCCGCCGAGCAAGAAAGTTCAGAGGTCGGGTCTCATCTTCTTCCGCAGCGGGGTTTGAAGATTCGAGCACCTCGAGGTACTCGTGATATGTCGTTTGAAGCGCAGGGAAACCAAGCTCGAGACGCTCAAGGTTGGGGAAGAGGTTGACATATCGGCGAGGGTAAGGATGGGCACTGTTGCCAGGGGATGAAGGAGATGGTGCAGGCGGTTGTTCGCGCTCTGGACCTGAAAGAGAATAGAGAGTATCGATACTGGTAAAGTCGCGGACCCGTATCGTCTTGGTGCTTTTGAGGGACTCGACTGTTCTCTCGTACCCCTCGTTCGATTGCAAGCCCTTGAATACAGCAGGTGAGGAGTAGATGTCGGCATAGAGGATGGAGAGAGCGCGTTTGTGCACAGAAGAGCAGAGAGTGAGGACGGATAGAGGGGCAGAGGCGATGAGTTCGTCGAGGATGAGGGAGTGCACGGGTTGTAGTGGGGTAAAGTTGGGGGGGGTAATAGAGGCCACGGCGTGGGATATAGAGAAATGAACGAACGAAGTTCCAGCAGCCGATTTTGAGCCGATTTCGACTTGTTGACGACTTCAAGAATTAGCGGAATCAAATCAAGCTCCCCAAGTTACCCCAACACACTTGTGTTTGGTTCCAACGCAAGCGCGCTGCTTGATCCCTGCCAGTTGAGCTACATCATGATCAAACTACTATTATAGCGAGCCTATGATACGAGATATGGGTCTATCGCTGAAGGTTATCTGTAATACATGCATACCACAAGATCAGTGCGGTCACTCGCCCATCGCTGGACGATAATTGCCCCCAGCCCCTCTTCCTTATTAGGATATCTCCCAGTCCTCAAGCGTGATTATTTACTTGCCTCCCCTGCTTCCTTTCCACCCTCTCTTCCTTCCCTGGCCGAAACCAGCTCGCCGACAGTATCCGTTTGTTCAACTCGCCTGTGTTCAAGCTTCAAACCATCGAGGCATCGAGGCGTGAGGTGGGGGATGAGGAAAGGAACCCAGCACAATGTCGGTATAAAGATGAGAGGAGGGTGGTGGGGAAGAGAGATGTTGGTCTAACAATCGTACGCTCATTGGGATACCATCCTACAGTAGCCGTCAGCCTAAACGTCTTTGAAAGCTGTCAAGACCAGACGTACCTCCTATCTCGCTTCACCGATACATACTTTCTCTCTCCCACTTTCGCGCTTTGCTCCGTATCGTGGTGTACGTCGTCGCAGATGGTTTTGCACTGGTGAGGCAGATGACATGAAGGCGGGGGAGGAGCTGATGGGTTTAGTCGCTGATACAACAGGTAGAAGGCGATAATCGAGGTTACATGCTACAGATTGTGAGCGAACTAAATCTTGAGATTTGCTCAGACCGAACGTACCTCCTACCAATCCGTGTCTGATAAGTCCGAATCCGGGTATGATAAGTCCGATTCTGGATCCATCAAACCTAGCCCTTCCAACACTTCCTCATCATACTCTCGCAGTATCAGGTTCCCATCTCCCACTAATTTCTCGATCGCGCTTCGCTGTTGCTTGATCATCGCTGCGAGAACCTCGATGAAGTGGGGAAAGTAGATCTCGACTTGATCGACCGCTTTCAAATAACCTCCATACCCCCGCTTCTGTTTCTCTTTACTCGGCTCAATGGCGTGAGTGAGACGGCGGGCGTGTATGGCTAGATTATCACCCATAGCGATAATGTACTGCTGCAGTAGTCGGTCGCGGAGTGGAACCGAAGGTTCCTCGGCCCTGACAAAGAGGCGAAGAAGGGTAGCGTCGGGCCAGTCGGTGGGCAAGCTCTTCCCCAGGTTGCGTAATGGCGGCTTGACCACTATGTCGTCGCATCCATCAGTGCGCTCGCTGGATGCTTGTTCTCTCAATATGATAGTAGCTTGTCGAGGAGCTTGATCGGAAAGATGGCAGCCCATCTCCTCCCAGAAACGCGAATGATCGCCGTCAAGATGAAAACCATCTCCCTCAAGCCAAAACCATTTTCCGTCTTCGGCAAGATCCGACGACTTGAAGAACCCTTACCGCCGTCAAAGAAAAAAATCACGAAAGTAGTCGTGGTTTTGATAGTATCGCGACTGCAGCGCAGGCAAAGTGAACTCGAGGCGGTCGAGGTTTGGGATCATATAGGGCTCGACTACTTGCGGAAAAGCGATATCGTGGAGGGTATAGATACTCGATAAGCCGCCGACTCTCAGAGTCTTTGTATGCTCTAGAGCTTTGGATGTTCGTTCCTGGCCTGTTGAGGGCGTGAGACCTGCGAAGACGTCACCAGAGGAGTAGATAGTTCGATAGAGCTCAGGGATAGCGCGGTGGTAGATTGACCAGCAGAGACGTAGGGCCGAATGAGGGGCGGAGGCGATGAGTTGGTCGAGGATGAGCGGGTGGACGGGGTAGAGGGAGGCGAAGCTGGACGGGGTGATAGAGGGCATGACGAAGATGGAGAGAGAGACAAGGGAGAGAAGCAGATGTCGACGGACTTCAAACGGACTTGCGCGGGTGATGTAATCAAGATGTAATTCTGGATCGCACTTGGATCGCACCGCGATTAGCGGAATCAAATCGAAGACTGACCACCCTGCTGTTTGGTTCGAGCAAGAACGCACGCGTACTGCTTGATGGCGTCTTCTTCAACTTCAAAAGCGAGTAGAATGCCACTACCAGTCCCTGAAGAGCCCATGTACACAACTACTCGTACACTAAAACCTAGTTTAGTATGGTCTACCGCCCAATCTTGAAGCATGACTGGTATGCCAGATCCTCTCGGCCACGCTACCCCTCGGGACCTCGATCTTCTTTCCTCATCATCAATGTCAACTTCAAGCATATTGACCTGTCCTCATAGAAACACTCCTCCGCTCAGTCGACAGCCTTAAAGTTGATGCGTATAGTCTCCGTATTCTCAAAGGCCTCCTCTGGTCTCTCATACTCCACTTGCAGCAGCAGACCTCTGAAGACAGCAGGCGATGAGGAGGTGTCCCGATAAAGCTCGGGAATGGTGCCTTTGTGGTGTGGCGAGCAGAGACGAAGAGCAGAGTAAGGGGCGGAGGAAATGAGCTCGTCGAGGATGAGAGTGTGGACGGGGTGGAGGGCGGAAAAGTTGGGGGGGTTCATAGAGAACATGTCGTGAGATGGCGGCAATACGCTATGCAGGCTAGCCCATATGATAAGGTCGAAGAAAGTCAAAAGTGTTGCAATTAATCACCCTGTGTATCTTTGTAAGGTCGATGCGGCGGCGGAGGGCGAATGTGGCGCCCTCCATTTCGTTGAGTGATAGCGAGAGACACTGCTTATCACATCGTTCGGCAGATGGCCAGGTTAGGTAGATACATGCATGAAACCAATAGGCAGAGGATATGGCATGTCCTGCGCGCGCGTCTCAAACCCTACTGGCCTCATCCAGGGATTATGATGCTCCCTCCTTGCCCTTCCCCTCCATCCCTTCCCTAAGTTTCCTTAACCATTCCCATCTACTATATCTCAAACCGCCTCTTGCCTAATCTCTCTCCATCCCCTTGGCTCTATGGCCGGCAAACTGAACAAATGTGTGCTTCTAGAGCGTGTTGACGTATATAGTCGTGAGTGTCGTTAACGTCAGACATAACGCCCATCGGAAGAGGTTGAAAGGGAATATAGTGCATCGTGGGCATAACGGAATGAAGAGACGAGGAATAGATGCCGAGGAAGGGATGACAAATGGAGGAAAAGTCAAAAGGGCGCAAGACATCCTATCATAACAGCCGTCAGCCACCTGCTCTCGACCGCCTCACAAGGTCAAACTCACCTCCAACTCACTCCCCATCTACCAACGCCACCTCAAGTCACCCAGCTTCTCTACCTCCTTCACATCATACTCCCGCAACACCAGTCTTCCCTCTCCCACCATCGCTTCCACCAGTATTCGATGATTGACTGGCATCTGCGCCAGCACTTGGTGTACAAGGGGAAGGAAGATCTCGATTTGAAAGACCTGTTCTTCCTCGTCCACGCCATTCACAGCGCCATCCCGTTCATCGCCAGCACCATTCTCTCTACCGTGATCATTGCCCGCCCTATCGTTGGCTCCTCCAGCATTGGCGTCTCCATGTTCTTGGACATCTTGGCTCTGAATAGCTTGAGCAAAGTGGAGTCCTACTTGGCCCTTTTCAATTTCGGAATCGTCGGAATCACCGGAATCGCTTGACTCATCCGAGCCGTCTGAGCCCTCCGAGTTCTCCGAGTTCTCCGAGTCCTCCGAGTCCTCTGAGTGGGATGAGTGGGATAAGTGGGCTGGTTCCTCGAAGTCATCTGAATCACCAGCAACGTCCGAATCGTCCGAGTCGTCTGATTCAGTATCCGGATCCGAATCGCTCGACCAGTCCAGTTCATATGAGCCCACAGGGTGGCCCACCTGCACACCGCTTCCATCCCAATACCACCGGCCTCTCTGATGGCTGTCAAGTAAGACATATCGGACCAGTGCCATCCCCATCGAAATGATGTACCCCCGAAGCTCTCGGGCATTGAGCGACTCCCAAGGTTCTCTCGTCCCCACAAAAACGCGCAGACGTACGCCATTGTCCCATTCAAGCGCCAGCCGCTCCCCAAGCCGACCAAAACTCGTCCTCTTCGCCTTCGACTCGGGGCACAGCGGACGATTGTCGTCCCGCTCTTGACCTTTGACTGTCCCTTTGAGGAAGATGATAGCTTCTCGAGGCCGTTGGTTACAGAGGTGACTGTCGACCTCATACCAATAATCCGCTTCGTCCTCATCCAGATGAAAGACAATTTCCTTCAGATTGTAAGGCATGAGCCTTGCAACCTGGCGCACAATACTGTCCTGGCTACCTCCTGCAAAAAGTGGGTCTTCTTCTGATGGGACAGAGTCGAAGCAATCGTAGTGATACGCCGAAGCCTTGAGCGAACCAAAACCGAGCTCGAGGCGCTCAAGGTTCGGGAAGAGGTTGTTGTATACGCGGGAGTAGGGTGAAGACATATTGCTGGGGTTGGAGGGAGCAATCCGAAATGGGGTACACATAGGGCAGCAATGCCCCTTGGGCTCGGGACCAGCGAGCTCATAGAGCGTTTCAAAACTCTCAGAGCCACCGACGCTCAGAGTCTTGGTATGCCTCAAAGCCTCGATCGTCCTACCATATGCCTTCTCCTCCTGTAGACCTCTGAAGACGCCTGGTGAAGAGTGTATATCGGTATACAGCGCGGGGGCAGCCCGTTCGTAGGCTGAAGAGCAGAGGGCGATGACAGAGGATGGGGCAGAGGCGAGGAGTTCGGTGAAGACGAGATTGTGGACTGGGAGGAGTGGGGCGAAATTAGAGGGGGTGATAGAGCACATGGTGGCGGTTGGGAGATGAGAGCAATTGTTAAAAAGTTAAAATTTCTGTCGTGTCGCTATGGCTAGTGTATGGTGGCTGGTGCGGTGGAGGCACTTGCGAATGTGGCACTTCCTTTCGAAGTTGAACGATGGCGAAGATAGTCCCTAGCGTGGGTAAACGGCATTGGTGTGCTATATGACACATTAGACCTATTCATTGGCCGGATCATTGTAAACTTACCAGGTCAAGGTATCGAAGCCTCTCTACTGGCTTCTCCGCTGTCTCCGATGGACACTCTTGTTCTCTTCGTACGACGCGGCAATCACCATACACATCTCCTCCTCCCTCTTCAATTCTTCTGCCCCTGATCCTTTTATTCCCCGTTTCCTTCTTCCACCCCTTCTACGTCCTCGCTATCCACGTTTTATGGTCTGGGAATGGAGCAGAAGCGTGCTCTCAGGTGTCGATCATCCCAGAATGGATATAGTCGGCAAATTCGGCGTCGAGAGCCGCGCCCGCTGTGGGGGAGGATGGGGAGATGGTGCCGATGCGCCTCGGGTAGCAGAAGGGACGGCGATGAAAGTCAGAGTGGCGGAGCGCAGAGAGAGGGAGACAAAGGTAGGCCGCGTCGGGGCGCACATACACGATCGGGATGAAAGCGAAGAAAGTGATGAGGGCACAGAAGCCGTTCGGTAGACTTTACTGTTCGCTCATTATAGTCCAGGAGACACGCGTGTCGAGGTGTCATTCTACTGTAGTTGTCAGCCAACCCGTCCTCCAAAGCTCACAAGACTAGGACTCACCTTCGACTGCCTCTCACCAACGCCACTTCAGCTCATGCCTCACGAGCGCGTCCACATCCACCTTGCCTTCTTCGCCCATCCGAGCCAGCACCTGACCACATGCGCTCCTTTTTTTGTCTTTTCTCAGAAGTGAAGTGGGAAAGGAAGTCGGGGCAGGGGATGTCTCTGACGTGACCAGAGGTTGACAGACGATTGGATGACTCAGAATCGCCCGTTGCCTAGGGTCGCAACAGCTTGCCGTCCGTTCGCCAAGTAGTAGTTTCAATACGCCCTCACCGCTCTGAGAGCAAGACATAGGAGTGCGGCCGAGCCCGACCGCGGTAAAGTCGCCGGGCGTTTACACTCCCGCCCGTCTCGACTCTCTCTCTCTCTCCTCCTTATCCCTCTCCCTCGCTTCCTTCCGCTCCTCACATCACTTCTCTTACTCCTTCGTTCTTTCCGCCATATCTTCTTTCCTGGATATACCGATTGGAGAAAGAGCGCGTATTTGGGGCGTCAGCTTCCTGAAGCAACCGGTGGGCGTAGTCGGTATTGGGAAGATGAGTTGCCCGATTTCGGCTGGGTGGGCAGGGGAGCGGCAGGCGAGGGAGGTGAAGCCGTTCGAGTCAAAAGAGGACGAAAACATATATAGCAGTGTTCTACAATCAGCGTCAGCATCGTCTACCGAAGCGCATGCAACCCGACGTACAAGTACCTAATCTCTGATACCTTTCCCGCTCTTCCCTTTCGCTTCCTTCCGCATCTCCTCTTGTCTCTCCTCTCATTCCTTCCTTCCGTCCAATCCACACATACTCTCATCCAGGCTCGAAGTAAAACAGATCTCGTTTGGGGAGGTACGTCTCCCGAAGAAAAACGTCGTCGTAGTCGGTATTGAATATAACGCCCTGTGGGGTGGTGGGAGAGGGACGATTGGCGCAGTCCTTGGATTGATGGGCAGGTGGAAAGCGTTCAAGTAAGTGGAGAAAGGATACAACAACGGCAGCGTCCTGCAGCAAGCATCAGCATCATCTACCCAAGCTCATATGTTGCATTCAGACGTACAAGAACTTTCAAGCCACTCCTGCCCAGTCCATCACACCCAGCTTATCCACTACCTCCGTGTCAAGCTCCTCCAGAACTAATACCCCCTCCTCTCTCAGCGCCTCCAATAGTCCGCGCTCATCATCGTGTAAAAGTCGACGACGTCATTCCACTGCCGTCATCGGCCACAGTGTGGGCTCTGTTCAAGACTTTTCCTCGGATCAAGATGACTGCTTCTCGAGGGGCTAGAGTGTCAAGGAAGTCCTCAGCCTTGTTCCAGTACTCCTCTCCTTCCTCGTCCAAATGGAGAACGACCTCCCTGAGATTGCTCGGCAACAGCCTCTTGATGCATTTGAAAAGAATCTCCTCTCGATCCGACGGACCGGGGTCCTCCTCCGGTAAGAGCGGATTGAAATAGGCATCGATTCTTTCTCGGAGAACTGGAAAGCCAAACTCGAGACGTTGAAGATTGGTGAAGATATTGCCGTATATGTTGCGGTAGCGAGGGATAGCTTCTATCGCGTGTGAGGGAGCAGCGGGAGAGGGTAGCGTATGGTCATGGGGCTCTACACCAGTGAGTTCATAGAGTGTATCGAGGCTCACAAAGTCGCAGATCTTGAGCGTCTCTGTATTTTGCAAAGCCTCTAGAGTCCACTCCACTCCTGCATCCGATCGAAGGCCCTCGAATACGGCGGGCGAAGGGGATATGTCGACATACAGCAAGGGGATGATGCGTTCGTAGGTGGAGGAGCAGACGGAGGACCGAGTGAGGGGCGGAGGCGACGAGTTCTTCAAATATTAGGTGGTGGACGGGGTGGAGGGCGGCAAATGTGGCGGGGTTTATGAAGGACATAGCCTGGGATATAGAGATGATATAAAGTATAGAGAAAGAGATGCCGTCCAGCGATGTTTGAGTTGCATCGACTTTGAAGGAGCGGCATCAAATCGGCCAGTGGCATGCCGGTCTTCCGTCTGACCTAGCATGTACCATTTTTCTGTTCGTATTTCGTGAAAAGCGGCATGTTCTCCAGCCCCATGATACATGAAACTGTACTATATATGCTTACAACAAATCTATATCCGTCTACAGAGTACTCGTACACGACATCTACTTATACTGCCTCGCAAGGTCATTCAACACCCGACTGACCACATCCGCCCCCTCCTTCACCTTCCCCTTATCCCCCTCCCTCACCCTACCAAGCACCCTCACCGTAAACCGATCCGGATGAAAACTCCTCACCGCCTCCCTCACCACCCTCCGAACCTTCCCCGGCTCTCCGCCCGTATTCTCCTTGTACGACGCTACCGTCACCATATACTTTTTCACGTTCTCTAGTGAAAGCGCTGACAGTACGTCGTCTGGTGTATGGGTGGAGGGGAGGTTGGACAGGAAGATGGGCCAGGGAATGTCGTTGAAAGAGAGGTTGGAGGACTCGATCTCGCCGCCTGCTTGGAGAGCGTCCCATCGCGCTTTCCATTTCGCCGGATCGCCTGTCTTCGCCTGGCCCGTTTCGGAGGATCTGTAAGGCGGTGTCGCAGACTCCCTCGGCGGCGGTACCGGCCTATACGCATCCTCCGCCTCCTCCCTCTCCCTCGCCCTCCTCCTATACCTCTCCCACTCTTCCTTCTCCTGCTTCCTCCTCCACCTCTCCTCCTCCTTCTCCCTCCTCTCCCTCTCCCTCTCCCTCTTCGCCTCCTTCTCCATCCTCTCCGTCTTTTTCCGGTCCGCTTCGAGCAAGGCAGAAGCGTGTTTCTGGGCATACATGCCGGTGCGGATGTAGTCGGCATAGTCGTCTTCGGACATGGCGCCCATGGGGGGTGGTTGGGAGGGGAAGTGGTACATTTTTGGCCTTGTCGGGCGGGAGCCGGGCTCAAATGGTGAAGGCGGGGGCGGGAAGAGCGACGGTGATAAGAAGGGGCGTGATGGCGCAGACCGCCATCTCGAAGGTAACGATTCCGCCGCCCGTCCAGCATACCCCCACCTCGGCACTTCCAAATCCTCCCAATCCTCCAGCCCCCCTCCCCCCCCTTCCTCACCAGCCATCCACCTCATCTTCCCCTCCCACTCCGCTCTCTCCCTCTTCCACCTCTCCTCCTTCACCTTCCTCCCCATCGCTCCAAGCCACTCGCCTTCTTGCCCTTCTTCTTCTTCATAATGCTTTGCTTGGGGGCGGGGTTTGTTCCGAGGCGGGGATATGGAGCCAGCTCTGTTGCGGGAGGAGGAAGAGGGGGGTGGGGAGACGGCGTAGCCGTTGGCGCGGGAGATGCGGTGTTGATCTTTCTCGAAACGACGTTTTTCGCGGGCAAAGATCTTCTCGGCGCGCTCGCTTTTTGTTGTTTTCCTGTGCGTACTTGTTAGTGTTTGTACAACGTAAGGAAGGAGGAGGGAGGGTAATCACAATCTGATTTTGGAAGGGCGAACGTCATAGTCTTCAGACCGGTCCGGGGAGCGGGGCATCCTGCCATCGAGAGGGGGCCAGAGGAGATATAGTCTGCCTGGAGACGGCGGAGGGAATCTCTTGTGGGATAGGTGATACAGTCTTGTTATGTACAGAGAAGAAGCAGAAGCGATCAAGGATGGCGGCGAGATCAGGGCGAGATGGAAAGACAAGATACGCGCGGTGGTGACGTGGAATATTGATGTCCCTCTTTCATTCAACGATTAACACGCTGCGTGTATGTTTCGTCGTCCTTCTGACCAACTGCAACACACGTGCCCGAGCGGATGCAGACATAAGCATGCGGACCATTGGATCGTAAAAATCGTTATGATACATGACACGGTCATAATATATCCCACATCTAGCTCTTAGCCTAGAGATTATTCCCTCCTCCGTAAAGAAAAAAGTCCATGTCCTCCCAAACACCACTCTACAACAACCCGATAGTAACATCACCCTTCACCCTCGCAGTCAAATGCACTTCTACAAGCAAGTCCAACGCAATATTGATGCTCAGAGAGTGTTCATCGCCCTTGCTCCCGCCGCCTGGCTGCTCCTCGGGTGTCAGCTCGGCCATCTCGTTGGGGAGGGGCGTTCGGTGGGAGCGGAGGGGGCCTAGGGCGGCGTCGCGTTGAGTGGGGGCTTTGGAGGTTTTGGCATCGCGCTTAGGAGAGGGAGGGGGGCCCATGGCAGATCTGTAAAAAGTCAGTGGGAGTACGGCGAAAGAAGGGTGAAAAGCGTACCGCTGGAGCTCGCCGCCGCCCTGTTCTTGCTGAGTCTGCTGTTGAGTTTGCTGTTCTTGCTCAGACATTGTGAAAGTTCTTTGAGTGATGAGACGAGATGGGATCGTCGGTGGTTATATACCTGGAGGTGACACCGCTTCGTGTTTGCGGGTGATGCGCAACGTCATCAGGACTCGATAAGCTAGATGTGATGGCCCTTGGTGAATATCCCTGTGGATGCGCATTACATCATCATTACTCCCTTCTTGGCTCCACAGAATGCATCTCGTTTCTTGACAGCGCGGGGTTGTTGCGGGGCGCAGTTGGGGTCTGCTAGAACAGGACAACACCGGAGAAAGGAGATGCGAGCAGGGAACAGAGGGTGCATGACGTCGGCTGGCCCTTTGGGTAAACAATCCGTTCCTGGGCAAGAGATAACGATCGAGAGGTGGAGGCCTACTGGGACAATCTGATCCCGCTAATGCGGCCATTTGAAACCTGAAGCCCTCCGTGTCAACTCCGTGTCCTTGTTGAAAGAGCAGCGACAGGGTGGGAGATATTCTCCCTGCATGTACGACATCAAAAGTTTACAACCGCACTGCATCCACCTTCAATGATGAAATCGTCTAGTATCCCTCGGAAACCAGCCATCGTATGCTCGTCGAGGCCGTCCGCAACCACCACAACAGTCAAGAAACACCCGAGACCATTTCCTAGTAAGCTGTCACCTACTTGTATCTCAGACCTCTTCAGTACCCTTTTTGCTGACTTTCTATAGATGGAAGACTGCCTCACCAGGAGGACTCGCGTCGCAAAGCGCACTCTGCGGCAGATCTCGTCTCCATTCAGCAACCCTACATCACGAGACCAGCAAACTAGCGCGGGGCAGGCCGAAGACCACTAAGCTAACGGGCGATGTCTACAATGGCTGGTCCGACTTGTCAGATTCATATTGATGGTGCGCGACGGGCAAGCTTGGGCGTCTGGAGAGCACTGAGACCATCACATGGTGAGCAGCTTTACACATATGTTTCTCTCCTGTGTCGTTTGCTCATAAATCGTACAACCTGAGTATAAGATCCATACCTTGCCCCACTCGCAACACCTGATGGCCCAGCTCCACGACTTACGCTCTGCCGATTTCCTCTCCTTCGCCCGTTGATGTGCTCCCTTGTCCACCTCCGAGTACGACAAACTCTTTAACGGCGTGGTAACGCCGCCACCCCTGTTACACGAAGCGATCTCGGAGAGCGGGACGAGCACGGAAGAAGATAAGGTCGAGCGCGTAGTGGCTGGATTAGCAAGCAGGGGCGGCTTGGGGGAATCGAGTGAGGACGAATGGATGCTGCCGAGACCTGCGGGGATGACTAGGGAAACTCGGGTGAGGATATTGGAGCCAGATGGTATTTATCTTGATACGTGGGTTACGAGACGGAGGGCCTCCATAGGGAGCATGGAGATGAGCCGGGTTTGGAAGGACACTGTTGAATGAACATGAACCTTTCGAGTCTTGTATCTCCACATATGTTCTAGACATTCACTCCCAGTTCTGCCAAGAGGTCTAAAGCCTAAGGAAGCGTTGGGACTATGTACAAGTACGTAAACAGGGACCAAATATGAATCAACTGGCTGATTAGATGGACCGATCGATTTGACTCCGCTAATGCCCCGAATAATGATGATGTGGAGGCAGTCGTCTCTGAGTCGTCTCCAAGTCGTCTTGGGTCGTCTCTTTAGATTTCTATCTTTATTGCTCTCTCTCTTTCTATTTTCCCACCTCTATCTCTATTTCCCCTTCCGCCATGCTCTCCATCACGCCTTCCAATCTCGCCGCCCTCCACCCGGTCCACCACCTCATCCTCGACGAACTCATCGCCTCTGCCCCCCACTTGGCTCTCCTCCTCTGTCGTTCAGTATACAAACGCGTCATCCCCATACTCTACGCCCATGTCCACTCTACGCCAGCTCTCTTCAAGGGTCTACAGCGAGAAACAGGATACGAGAGGACAGAAGACGCTTTGTGCAACACAAAGTCTCTGAGCGTCGACGGCTCTACGAGTCTCCATGCCATCTGCGACCTCTCGTCCGGATCATCTGATCCATTCTCTATTCTTTACAAGCCTCAGAATACTCGCCGACTCTACCCCCGCCCATACCACATTATGTTGCCCTATCTTGAACGCCTCGAGCTCAGCTTTTCCGCACTACAGCCGCCGGTGATCAGAACTGGTCCTGGTATAGTCCAGCGTCGGGGACGCGGGCAGGGTGTTGCCACGCGCATCGCTGACCAAATGCCGAACGATCTTCGGGAGATTGTCTTCCATCTGGACGAGGGTACGGCGGGAGCTTGGAAGGAGCTTAACGGCCACCTCATGTCCATAGGCCCGGAGGAAGCTGTCGTCTTTGTCAAAGGAGAGGCACGAAAAGGATAACTCGTCAAGACTCCTGATGGCGACCAGAAGAGACTGACTTTCGGACGAATAGGGGAGAAGCTGCCGACTTCATGCACCAACGGCCAGCGTCTTTGTGTTTTTGTCGGGACTCAAAAGCCCTGGGACTCACTCAATGGCGAAGAGCGGGAAGACTACGCCATCTCCATGAGCCTGGCACTGGTCGAATACGCTCAGGGCTCCGTCGGGGCCCACATCGAAGGCGAAGATTGGTTAGAGGCTGAACAGGAAGAGTCGCCTTTAATCGCCGAAGTCGAGTTTCACTTGCCTTCTTTCAAGAAGGTGCTGGCTCAGATGGACGGGGAAGGAAAGATGGATGTGGACGCGCTCGTGAGGCAGGGGCGATTGATGTTGAAGGAGTTTAATTTCAAGGAAGTGGAAGCGCTGGGTGAGCTGAAGTGGCGTTGGTGAGGAGGCAGTCGGAGGTGAGTTTTGGTCTTGTGGGCTTTGGAGGACGACTTGGCTAACGGTCGTTGTAGAATGATACCTCGACGCGCGTGTCTCCTGGACTATTATGAGCGAACAGTATACCGAACGGCTCCTGTACCCTCATCACTCCCTTCGCTTTCATCCCGATCGTGTATGTGTGCCCCGACGCGGCCTATCCTCCGCCACTCTCACTTTCTTCGCCGTCCCTTCTGCTACCCGAGGCGCATCGGCACCATCTTCCCATCCTTCCCCACAGCAGGCGCGGCTCTCGACGCCGAATTTGCCGACTATATCCATTTTGAGAGCACGCTTCCTCTCTATCCTCAGACTGTAAAACGTGGACCTTGCGAGACAGTACAAGTAGATGTCGTGTACTCTGTAGACGGATATAGATTTGTTGTAAGCAAATCCAGTATAGTTTCATGTATCATGGGGTTGGAGAACATGTCGCTTTTCGCCAGATACGAACAGAAAGATGGTAGAGCCAGACGGAAGTGGGCGATTTGATGCCGCTCCTTCAAAGTCGCGATGCAACTCAAACATCGCTGGACGGCATCTTTTTCCCTATACTTTTTATCATCTCTTCAACCCAGGCTATGTCCTCCATCACCCCCGCCACTTTTGCCGCCCTCCACCCCGTCCACCACCTAATATTTGACGAACTCGTCGCCTCCGCCCCTCACTCGGTCCTCCGGCTCTGCTCCTCCACCTACAAACGCGGCATCCCCTTGCTGTATGCCGACATCTACCCTTCTCACGCCGTGTTCGAGGGCCTTCGATGGGATTCAGGACACGATCGGACTATGATGCAGGAGTGGAGTGGACTCTAGAGGCTTTGCAAAATACAGAGACGCTCAGGATCTGCGACTTTGCGAGCCTCGATACACTCTATGAACTCGCTGGTCAAGAGCCCGAATCATATACGATACCCTCTCCCTCTGCTCCCTCACACGCGATAGAAGCCATCCCTCGCTACCGCAACATATACGGCAATATCTTCACCAATCTTCAACGTCTCGAGTTTGGCTTTCCAGTTCTCCGAGAAAGAATCGATGCCTATTTCAATCCGCTCTTACCGGAGGAGGACCCCGGTCCGTCGGATCGAGAGGAGATTCTTTTCAAATGCATCAAGAGGCTGTTGCCGAGCAATCTCAGGGAGGTCGTTCTCCATTTGGACGAGGAAGGAGAGGAGTACTGGAACAAGGCTGAGGACTTCCTTGACACTCTAGCCCCTCGAGAAGCAGTCATCTTGATCCGAGGAAAAGTCTTGAACAGAGCCCACACTGTGGCCGATGACGGCAGTGGAATGACGTCGTCGACTTTTACACGATGATGAGCGCGGACTATTGGAGGCGCTGAGAGAGGAGGGGGTATTAGTTCTGGAGGAGCTTGACACGGAGGTAGTGGATAAGCTGGGTGTGATGGACTGGGCAGGAGTGGCTTGAAAGTTCTTGTACGTCTGAATGCAACATATGAGCTTGGGTAGATGATGCTGATGCTTGCTGCAGGACGCTGCCGTTGTTGTATCCTTTCTCCACTTACTTGAACGCTTTCCACCTGCCCATCAATCCAAGGACTGCGCCAATCGTCCCTCTCCCACCACCCCACAGGGCGTTATATTCAATACCGACTACGACGACGTTTTTCTTCGGGAGACGTACCTCCCCAAACGAGATCTGTTTTACTTCGAGCCTGGATGAGAGTATGTGTGGATTGGACGGAAGGAAGGAATGAGAGGAGAGACAAGAGGAGACGAGGAAGGAAGCGAAAGGGAAGAGCGCGAAAGGTATCAGAGATTAGGTACTTGTACGTCGGGTTGCATGAGCTTCGGTAGACGATGCTGACGCTGATTGTAGAACATTGCTAAATATATTTTTGTCTTTTTTTGACTCAAACGGCTTCACCTCCCTCGCCTGCGGCTGCCCTGCCCACCCAGCCGAAATCGGGCAAGTTACCTTCCCGATACCGACTACGCCCCTTGGTTGTTTCTCTTACTCCACTCGGAATCCAGGGAAGAAGGATATGGCGGAAAAAAACGAAGGAATAAGAGAAGAGATGTGAGGATCGGGAGGAAGCGAGAGAGGGATAAGTGGGAGGGATAAGGAGGAGAGCGAGAGAGAGACTGGACGGCAAGACTCTCTATCACCTCGCCGGTCCTGAGATCACTGAGCCCGAAAGGCATTCCTGCTTCATGTGCGCCCCACATGGCGCTGCTCCTTTTTCGCCCTACCCACCCCTCTTCACCCTGTCCCCGCACGCATAGAGGATTCGGAGGACGTTGCCCAGGACGAGCAGTACGAGCAGCCGTTGGTCGCGTATGAGTCAGGCGATTCAGATTCCGGCGACTCGCGCGATTACGATTCGGAGACTGACGACTCTGAGGGATCAGACGGTCCAGACAGGTCTCGGGATGGAGAGGATGAAGAGGACGATGAGCGCCGAGTGGGACTTCTCTTTCCTCATGCGTCTCAGGATCAAGACGACCAAGAGCATGGAGCGGTTGGCGACGGAGGGGTAAGTGGTGGACGGGTAGGTGATAGAGGGGTGGGCGATGGAGGGGAGGGTGATGTAGCGGTTGGAGGGATTGGCGATGGAGGGGTCCAAGTGCAGCAGGTCTTTCAGGTCAACATCCACCTTCCCCTCCTCCATCAAGTTCTCGCGCGGACGGACGCACAAGGGAGGATACTGCTGAACGCGCCGGTCCGGGAGGGATGACTGGTACTGGAGGAGTATGGTGTACAGGTGGTGGAGATTTTAGGGGATTTTAAGTGGCGTTGGTAAAAAATAATAAACAGGTCAGTTTGTTCTTGTGAGCTGGATGAGAGAAAGTGGCTGACGGTTGTCACAGGATGGTCTTGCGCCTTCTTCTTTGCCTTTCTCTCGTCCTCACTTGCTCGACACCTTCATTCTTATCTCTTTGTCGCCATCCGATTATGTTCGCAATGCACTACATCCTCTTCCAACCGTTTCAATGGCCGTCATGTCTGATGTCAACGACGCCGACCCGTATATGCTTCAACACATCCAAACACACACATCTGTTCAGCTTGATGGCTATAAATCCGATAGAGTGCAGAGGAACGGGGCAAGTGGTGATGGGAGAGACAGAGGATGGAACTGGTCAAGGAGAGGGAGAGGAAGGGGGAGTTAGGGGAAGTTGAAGGAGCCGATGTGATCAGTAGGGAGTCGGAATTCACGCGCGAGCCAGGACATGCTATGCTCTCCCTGTCTATCCCGTGCATGTATGTAGATTGTCATTTTGCCGTGTGATGTGATCGACGTCGTCTCACGCTATCACCCAACGAAGAGGAAGCGCCACACTCGCCCACCGCCGCCGCGCCGACCTCTCGACGACACACAAGGTGTATCATCGCAACATCTTTGACTTTCTTCAACGTTCCCATATGGGCCGAGCTGTATCTTCTATCGCCCCCCTCTCTTCGCCATGTCCACCATCACCCCCTTCAGCTTCGCTGCCCTTACCCCGGTCCACCATATCATCCTCGACGAACTCGTCGTCTCCGACCCGCTCTCCGTCCTCACCCTCAGCCGTCTATGCTACAAACGCGCCATCCCCGTGCTCTATCGGATTATCCGCTCCTCGCCATAAGTCTTCAGAGGATTTGAGCTAGAGCAGGGATATGAGAGGACACGGGATGCTCTCGCAAGCACGAAGACCCTGAGCATAGGTGGCTCTACGAGTATCGATACCCTCTTCGAACTCGGTGGCCGAGAGTACACAAGGGTTTGTCACTCTTGTGCCGAAAACCCTCCTGCTTGTTCGTCATATAACGAGTATATCTCAACGATTTACCCTCGCCACTATTTCGTTCTATTTAGCTCTCTCAAACGCGTCGAAATCGGCTTCTCTGCCCTGCAGGCATCACGTACCTATCACCTCAACGCAGATCGGCCTGACTTCGAAGATGACCTTGTGGCTCGGATTGCTTTTCAGACGCCAGCAGATCTGAAGGAGACCATCTTTCACTTGGACGAAGATGGAGTCGAATACTGGCACCAGGTCAACACGCATCTCCTCCATCTAATCCCTCGAGAAGCAGTCATCTTGCTTCAAGGCGAGGTCCCCAACAGAGAGGAGCTCATGGCGTCTTGCGATGGGACGAGGGTGGGAAGAGCGAGCTTCGGACGGATCGGCGAGGAACTGGATATTGCATGGCCCAACGGCGAGCGTCTCCGCGTCTTCGTGTAAGGGATCGGTACGGACTGGTCAGTAAGAGGAGATGTAGTGACGTGGACATTGGAACGCAGAGTCTGGTATTAGGGTTGCCGCTATGTTCTCAGGGACGAGTTAGGCGCGGAGGCGAGAGGAGGTTCCCATACATACATCTGCCGCGTCTCCATATCCTTTTCCTTACAGATGTATTCTCAACGTATATTCCTCTTACCTATATCCATCCCTTCACCTTCCCGCCTATTCCAGGTCGACATCTAGCGCCCCTAGCTGGATCCACTGCGTAACCGCCCCTAGGTCGCGCCTCGCCTACCAACCTCATACATAAGAGCTGCGAGATAAAATTGAGCTAGTGACGGTGTCTTCAAGCCCAATCAGCGGTCGACGAGCAACGGACTCGCAGCTGACATCGATGGTGCTGGGGGTGGGATCTTCGATATTACTTTGGGTGCTGACGTCGCCTTCGAATGGCATTGTCGGCAGAGAAAGACAATATTGGTTTGAATATGTATTACACTCACTTGTTGGGCTAGTCCGTATTCGTAACAACCATCGTTCTCATGATGGGCTGCAGTGTCAAATGGATGCCCTCCATCGACCGGAATTATTGTCGTCGGCATTTCTGCGCCTTCAGTGATCGTAGCGGGGTATGATGTGCCATGATACTGTATAACCCAAAGGAAGACGTGAGTAGATACCCTCCAGCAACATGCTACATCTCCTATGGTAGCACAGGAGGTTGCTTGAGTAATCAGCTGCTCTTCTGTTACCTGTGTCGCGATACCGCCATCAGTCAGGATTTGCGGTCATCCAATAATGATCATCATGACAAGGTCGTCCATCTTGTGATGAATATTATAAGAGCATCTATATTATCTTGATCCACATCCAGTAATGATTTGATGCTCTGAGCCGCCGCTGTACTGTTCTGTACTCACAGTAAAGTGACGAGTACAGGATCGAATCATCATTTCTTCTTGCGTCGTCGTCGTCATTCAACTCGTGGATATCCTGTGACTCAGTAAACTTGATTATTCAAGGAGCAAAGATGAGGCAAGCAAGGGTGGCCTGCTGTAAAACGCAGATTTGGTGTGCAATATGCACAGTGTAACGGCTGTGTCCAAAAGCTGTTGAGTGAATGTATAGTGACAAGCAGCGAGATCCCGTTGTTCATCGTCATATCAGGCGCGTATAAAATCTGGCACGTTCAAGGACGAGACCTTGTTTTGCAGTAAGCTCGCTGGTTCATTTACACTCATAATCATTTTCGGTAGTGGAGACAGCGACAGCATCAACACGGGCTCTGACCCTCCATCGCCCGTCCACTCTGACCTTCAGGCCGACTCCTCCCTCCTCTCTACTTACTGCGGCATCAGATCGTACCTGTGTCCCTCTTTCAAGCCCCTGTCCTATAAGCTCGACCTTCTCATCCCCAAAGTTGACCACCATCGACCTCCTGCAGCCCAGATTCACTGAAAATGCTGAGCTTCGTCTGGTCAAGAATGTCAGCTTTCCCCCTGACGGAAAGCGTAGAGTAGGTTTGATTGATGATGGTTGCTTGTTGCGAAGCGATCTTAGCAAGGGAGTGAGATGAAGCTTAGTCAGGGTGTTGCTTTCATTTCTGACGTTGTCTTGGCATGTCATAATGCTAGGTACCAAGAGAGGAATGACGGAGCTGTGGTGAAGTTCGGGTTACGAGAACAGGTTTGACCTGGTATGTGTAGCTATGCAAAGGCCAAGTATCCGACGGACAATCTCGCCCAAAGCCTCCCATCAAGCGAGGCTTCGAAGATGCTGCCCATATGCATTCGTCACATGCTTCCGGCTGCTCATCGAGTCTAGTCAGGCTGAGGTAACGGACGCCAGAGGACGTGGTGAACCGCCCGCGAGAGGTTTGACTAGGCGGGCCGCGACGACTCCTTGTAGTAGGTACCATGCCCCAAGCTCCAGCTCCAAACCCGAAGATGAAGGGGAGGAGCAGGGTGAGCGGGCAGCCCAGCTCCGGCGCAGTAATTACTTCAAAGGCGATAGCCTGTGGAAAAGTTGAGCTGACGCTCTGATAGCGCCGGCCACGGGCAATCGTTTTCTCCGAGCACACCTACGAAATTTCTCTCAACCTTCGCTCAACCGACGCTAGATATTCCTCGGTCGGCGCCCCCAAGAACTTTGGGTTACAAATCTCCGGGGCATGTGACACCAACAGACCTGCTCATTCACCGGTATTCAAGCCACTGGAGTGGAAGCTGATCAATTAAATTGCGCTGTAACGCCACTGGCCAACGGCCATCGGCTACGTGACTACTTTTCGGAGCCTACGCTGGGTCAGCATTCATTCTCGGAAGATTATGATGATGATGATGTTGAACGACGCCAGCCGAGCGAGCACGCGTCCACCATATCAGGTCTCTTGTCTGAAATCTCCCAAGCCTCCTTGGCGACCTACCGAGATTCGAGAATGCAAGGGTAATCACCACTCTCACATTATTCTGAAATACATGGGGAGGTTCATCATATGCATTTGATCCAAGGGACAGAAAGGCCTGGGGGCTTGGTAGTACTGGTAACCTGTAAGTAAATAAGGAAGCAGAAGAAGAGACAATTGTTGCTTGAAGCTGAAGACCTGCACTTCTCATTTACCTGTGAGGAAGGAGAAGGCCGGGGAGGCGTACCTGAGTTTTCGAAAAGCCAGTGACCAATGGGCTGTCACCGGCATGAGAAAAGAAAAGGATTGTAGTGCGTACTCCTCCATGGCTTCTTGTACCTCGAATCTCGCGCCCCGTGCGCCACGCGAGCCCTGAGTCCGGATTCCCACAAACTTTCCACAAATCCTACAATTCTGCAAGGTCGGCAATTGCAAGCTGTTTTACGCGATTGACAGGGTTTAGACCACGAGCACAGCGCTTATTTTGATACAAGAGATGGACGGGCGGATGGCCTGTACGGCTACTTATCGTTCATCAATTTCCTGTCTCCAGCTTCTCAGGGGCTCGGTCGCCCGTCGCCTGTCGCCTAACTCCTCTCATACTCTATGACCTAGGCCCCAGGCCCACGACTTTCAGAGGCGCGTGAGGTGAAAGGGAAAGCCTTTTCATCTCTTCTAAATTGCCATCCGAGACACGGCCTCGATTTGTCACTGTCCTTTCATGTGCGTTGCTGAGACGGATCACGTCCAGGGTATATATGCCCTCTTGGGTACCCGTCCGTCCTATGGGACCTATGCACAGTGCATGTGGATGGGTGTATGTGCCATTAGTGGAGGTACAATCACCACAGTCCGTCTGCCGCCCTCGGCAAGCCTCCGGTCTCAGGCCAATGGCCAGTCACCCCTTTTCCTCCAAGTTTTCAACACACATTACGTGACACATATGCTTTTCTGCCAAAAGTTCTTGCTTCTATAGCTGCGCATATCTGTGGTATACTTTTTCTGGGCGCGAAAGTCAGAAGATGGGACCACAAATCACTAGTTGGTAGATGTACAAGCTATACTCCCAAACCTTGTTTATGCCGAATTTCCAAGCGACGTACCGCGCGCGCCGAAACTCGACGCTAAGGGGACCAAAGCAGGGGCTCAGGGGCCAAGGGGCCGAAAGAAGGGGCGGAGCGGGGGGGTCATTGACTACGAAAACTCAAAAAGGCTCTAACTGGCCTGAATGGATATGTTCCGAGACAAGAACAACGAATACAAATGGAAAAAATTCCTTCTAAAGAGTTGTGCGCTCTGAAAAGACCGGATTCCAGATTCCGGGTTCTTGACTATGGGGTGACGCAATGCGAGACATCATGTCTGCTGGGATTTGCTTTTTGCTTCTTGAGACAGGGATACATGGGATACATACGTGTGGATGGCGGCTTTTTAGCATGGGAAATGTCAATTGTGGGAAGCGTGGGAAGTGCTTCTCCCGTGTTGTTTGTTGTTTTGGGTAAGAAGAGTCCTGGAGGCGGGTTTAATTAATACCTCGGAGTGCGCAAGGGGGCTGCAGACTGGCCGAGACGGCTATTCCAATGGGCACGAGACCCCGGGTACAACCAGGCGGGACTCTCGCTTTCGCAACCTTCAGCCTGCTTTGATCACTTTTACTATTTTATACTTACCCTTTGCCTTCCATGACTAGTCGACCACGCAGGCGATCTCGAAGATCACCATCGCGAGCTACGCAACATGCGCCAGCAGATGAAGCAGATGTACGAGAATAATCAAGAGATGCGAAGACGCAAGACACCGCCAAATGAATTCGTGCCTTTCGGCAAATTGCACCTTGTAATCATCTATCTATTCATCCGAAACTCGGCAAAACACAACGCACAGCGATTAGCAACGATGGCAGCGTGCAACACGATGGCGGCATCGAGAGGGCCAAGGCAACAAGAGGGGTGTCGTGTTGGAGCAATTTATTAGCTGTCCCGTCTGCGCCTTGGAGTGGGAGATGCATCTATCCTACCTGGCTTTTCTGCAGATATCCACGATACAACGATTGCGTGCATACAAGTACGTTACAAGTAAGGCACAAGGGTGGCATACATACGTAAAGTACGATAGGATTTGCCAGGCTGTCACGAACTTACGAACCGTCAGCCTACAGCCGTAGCCCGTAGTAAACTACCCAGCATGCAGGATTGTCACTCCTGTCCCTGCTGCGTACATACAAAGCAGATCATCGTTAGCGCCCAAAGCTCTACACCCTATCCTGTGGCCTGTTACCGGGCTGTTGTTCTTGTTGCAGGCGCACAACGCTGAGTGCACCACCCATCCGTCAGTCTCCAATTTACCAGGCTTGCGCCTAATACATCTCGCATCGGCCACCAGCCATCAGCCAACATCATCCACTCTCCACTCCCTGCTCCCGGAACAATCGCGGAACAACCCTTGCCCTCGGAATCAAATTTCCTTTTGTTGACCCTTGATCCGTTCCTCGACGTCCGTCCCTCATCCCTCATTCTTCCAGCCCTCGTCCCTTGTTCGCGGGTATGAGTCCGGGGGTGCTTGGCAGTTGTCTCGACTGTCTCACAGCTCAATTTGTATCAATTTGTATAAGGGAGAAAGGATCAAGGAGGGGAGGGAGGGAGAAGGTGCCTCAGTCTGTACTCTTCTGCATGTCTGGCATGAGGATTTGCAGAGAACTGAATGCTGGGACTTGACATGGTGACACAGAGCGGGGGAAGACCGAGGGAGTGTGGGGGTATATGTGAAATCCAACGGGGTTACGTTTCCTGAACCCCACCCCTGCCTTGCCTAGCACGCTACTATCGAAGACGACGAACAACGCCCATGTTAGTGCTTTACCAAAGAGATCCTAGACCAAGGATCTACAGCCCATCCCCCCATCCAAATAACTCCAGTGCCTCCATAACCTTACCGGCCGATGCGGCCCATCCTTCTTCCATTCCATTTCGTATTAGCTTCACATGATGGCTTCTCTCAGGCCCCAAGATAAGCAAAAAAGAATCGGAAAAGTCTATCGCGGGTGCGCGCTACGTAGTTATCTTATCGACGACCACCGAGGGTTCGGTGTTTTCCACAAAGGGCAAACAAAGGGCGCCAAGGTCGCTCGCAATCTCAATTGCGACTCGATGGTCGATGGCCGATTAGAACCCCCGCCCTTCCCTCATCATGTGTGGCATGTGAAGGGGAGGTGACAGCCCGGGTGGTTTGTTATCTTATCTCTTCTCGCATTCTTGTTTTCTTTTTTATTTTTTGGGCAACAAGTTAACGTACAAGTAGTTATATAACGTACAAGCACGGATGGTGCAACTCACCTTGCCCCACTCCCCACTCCCCACACTCTGTCGGATTGTCACCAACCACCCCCAAAAAAAAAAATCAAAGAAAAAGCGGAGAATACGTAGAAAAACGTACGGTATGTGTAGGATATGTGACTCACCCTCTCACTCACCTCTGACGAGACGATGCTGGCATTCTCGTACATAAACAGGTCGTAAGTAAGCAAAGCAAAGAAACTTTTCTTTTGGTGTTCCGAGGGTCTAACGGCTTTGACGAGAAGATGGTCGAGTGGTGGAGGGAGGTAAATGCAAAGCGTAAAAGCGTAAAGGGAAGGCAATGGACTGTACTTGTGCGTTACTTTTATGTGGGACAACTTCTAGTACTTTTGCATTTCTCCTTCGATTCATCTCTTCCCGAAAGATGGGGGGACAGATAGAACCATGCACATGTAGAGATTCGTATGGTATCAAGTCAAAACGCGATGAAGCGGCCCGGGAGAAAAGAGAAGAGAACATCACACAAAAGAGTAAGTAGATTTGGTGGTACTATAATTGAAAAGGAAGAACCGAGAGTAAGGGGAAAGGCCGAGACCGAGAAAGCAAAGGAAAATCTAATGGTGAAAAGAGAAATGAGAAGTGTAACGTCAAGGGATTGATTTGGTGAAAGAATAAGGGGGTTGGTGGTGAAAGATGATGGGACTGTTGCTACAAAGTGACGTGTAAGACGAAAACAAGAGAGAGAGACAAGTGAAGAAAGAGTTATATTCACGAAAAGGACACATCTATGGACAACCACTCCCGCGACCTACACCCAGCTGAAAAAAACCAAAACCACAAAAAGCTCAACCAACGAATGCACGGCCGGCAGAGAAGAATTGAAAGTGAAAAGGTGCTTTACGCCCTCATCTCTGATAAAGGCGGTGGCAACTCGTGTCCCCCATGCCCTCCTGGCGCCGAAGAAGCCGTCGACGCTGTAGACGATGTTGATCCTTGAAGGCGGAAGGGAGGCAGGCGGAGAGGGTCTGTTGGGATTTGTTTCGGCTATAGTCACATTCTCGTTAGCTCTCATCACTCTTCAAAGCGAGGAGGGGGGAACGTACAGAAAGACCGATACTCCCCCTCTTGATCTCTCCGTGCCCCCAGAACGTCTCCCCGGCGTGGGAGGGCGAGACGAGGTCGCTTATGCGGATCAACCGGGGCGACACTTTACCTTCGCCCTGCCCCTGTCCTTGTGAGCCCCTGTCGTCCGACAATGCGCCAGAGGAGGTGGAAGCAGAGGCGCCGGGGGGGAAGAACGACCCCGCGGCAGAACCGGTAGGGGTCGAAGCGGGGCTACCCCCCGCGGCCGAGGCGTTTGGGAGCGCGTGGATGGGCGGGAGAGTGTTGAGCGAAGGGTCTGAGCGGCGGGACATGCCCGGGCCGGGCATGGCTTGCTGGCCTGCTTGGTTCTGGGAAGGGTGGTGGGAGAAGGAGGCGGAGCGGGGCTGGTTGGGGTTCTGGGCAGAGGAAGAGGCGGAAGGGGGCATGGCTCCGGCGCCGGCGCCGGCGAGGCCGTAAGGCTCCCAGTCGTTGCCTCTTTTCCTCTTACCGCCCTCCGCGGGCGCTGGGGCGTTGGCGGAGCCGGCGCTCAGGCTTGAGCCGGCGCCGAGGGACATGTCGGGCTCGCGGCTGGGCGGCCAGACGACGTCGGGGGTGGGGTATGGGTTGTCGTACGGTTTCGAGAAGGAGCCCGGTCTTGGCAGGGTGGGCCGGTCGGGCATTTGCATGGTGGGGTGGCCGCTGTGCGGGTGGTGCGGGTGGGGGTGGTGATGCGGGTGAGGGTAGGTTGGGGTTTGTTGAGAGGCTGCGCGGGCAAGGGTTGACAGTGGGTCGCCGTTGACGCCGGTGCCGACTGCTTGGGGGTACAGACTGCCTCTCCTGCTTCCTGCGCCTGGGCCGACACCGGGGACAGCGCCAGCCGAGCCAGCACCGCGCTCTGCCCACACTCTGCGCATACCCTCGACGTCGGCTGCGAGGCCGTTCCGGAACAAGACGCTTTCGAGGTCATGGATCCATCCTTGGAGACTCGCTTCGCGGGCATGGGCGTTGGAGAGGGCGTTGGAGAGGGAGGAGGACTCGGATTTGAGGGTGGAGACGTCGCGTTCGAGGTCTGCAATGTGGTTTGCCCGTCGCACTGCCAGATGCCATCAGCGACTGTCCAGCAGAGAGAAGAGAGACTTACGACGGAGGTTGCGCTGCTTGACCCTGTTCTTCTCTCGCCGGATCTCGAGCTTGTCGCGCTCGGCCTTGTCGTCCTCGCCGTCGCTCTCCGAGTCCGAGTACTGGCCCTGGGCGTGGCTGCCGCGGCGGCTGGAGCCGGCGGACTGCGAGTTGGAGGAGGACTGGCGGGCGGGCGGGGGCGGGGGCGGTGCGTGGTGGATGGGGTGGAGGGGGTGCTGGAGGTGGGCGATGTGAGGCGGGGGGTGGAGGGAGGGCGGCGGGGGGAAGGAGTAGTGGTCTCTGGCGGTGCCGGGGGTGGCCGGGGTGGGGAAGGGGTGGTACATGCTGGGCGGGCGTGAGTGGCGGGCAGAAGCAAGCAAGCCTGGGGGGTATATACCTGGTGACTGTGGTGTGCTCTGGCCTGTGCTCTGGCTGGGCGATCGGGGGATCAGGGGGCAGTGTGCGTGTGGGTGACAGGCAGTACGTCGTTGTCGTCTACGAGGAGAGGTCCATGCAGCGCAGAGAGCTCAAGGTATTTGTAGAGATTTCGCACGAGTGGTGCTTCCATGATTTGTATTTGTATTTGTCTCGCCGAACTGCTGTCACCCCGCCGCCCCTGCAACCCCTCAGCCCTCAGGGTAGCAAGCCGCCCTGGCTGCTGCTTTTTTATTTCTCACTTTTCAGGGGTTACAACCCAGCTACATATTCCATCCCAGGCTTATTTTTTCGATTTTTTAGATCTTGGCTCCTTGCACCACTGGACCCTGGAACCCGCTGTCAGGCTGGCACGTTTGGGCTCGCACCTTACCCGCGTTAATTGGGCACCGCGGGATCTCAAGGCTGCGTTTGACAAGTCGCCAGCGGGGTGACTAGCCTGTTATTATCGGGAAAGAGGGAGGCGTACGCCTTGCATCAGAGGTTTGTACAAGTTCCAGTAGTCGGCCCGTCCCCTGCCCCTCGCTCTTCTTCCCCCTCCACAGCCGAAAAGTGACACTATGTATGTAGCTCCAATGGAGTAGACACGAAAATGCGAGTGCCCCGCCGTATGCAAGCCTCCAATGACTCCTTCCGCTTCCGGCCCCGCTTCCGTCTGACACCTGGCGTTCGCCTCGCCTGGCGCCTGGGGCAAGTTCGGATCTCCCCACCCCCCCTTCCCTCCTCCTCCTGCCCTCCTTCCGTCCCTCGTGTACACGACAGCAACTAACCCACCCACGCGCCGCACACCCCTCGTCACATTCGGAACTATATCACACAGGCTCTTGCTTTTTTGCCCAACTGCAGTGGATCGACGACCGACGACCGGCGGAAGGAGGGGTTAGAGCAGTTGGTCACCCGGATACATGTCCCCTTCTGGTTGTTAGTTCTCGGTCACTTTGATCACACAACTAAATTTGCGAGTCAATCAAAAAGCTATTATGTATTTATAGGGACGTAGGCCCCATGGGATCAAGTACCATAGGTCAGGCTTGGGGGGCTTCTAGCTCTGATCACGCTTGGCTATCCGTAGTCTTCCATTTCGGTAAGAGAGAAGAGGGGAGAGTGCATGGAGGGTTCTTCAGTCGGACTCTGTATCTGATGTTGGACGTTCTGCCGACGACCGACGGACGGACCGCACTCGCCGCCGCCGGCCGAACCGACAGTTTTGATTGTTCTTGAGAGTGTAGCGCAGAGGACGGTCTGTCCCTTTCCGCTCCGGGGATGAGGTTGTTGTGAAGAGAGGAAGAGGTATATGATAACAACGTATGCATACGAGTACTTGTATGGTGGAGGCTGAAGAATATATGGACGGGATCAAAAGCGCGGCGGCGATGGACCAACGTCAACGTCAAGTGAGTAACCTCCCTCCCTCCACGTTCCTCCTCCACCACAGTCTTACAATCATGGAGCTTGAGGGAAGGTACGTAAAAGGGATGACAAACGGCCTTTACGGTACTCGTACAGTTACATACGTCGCGAGTCGGAAGACGCGAAATGATACATAGCGCGTAGGATTTTAGCTGGTTTGTGCCCGGGGTATGTAAAGGGGGGATGTAACGTGCAAATCCCAGTTGTTTAGCAGCTCACAACAAGCCGAGCAGGCGCTGTGTAACGGCGCGCGGTATTCCATTCTGGACAAGTCTCTCAACTCCATACTTTTTCCCCTTCTTCCTTCTCATGCTTTGTATGTACGTACATGGCTTCCTCCCGTGCGCAAGTGTGTTTAGTGTCCAAGTTGCGTATCTGGACATGTTCTAGTCGGATAGTGGCGATTCCAGCAGTCCTCGCTACTTGTAGCTCGTTGCACGGTACGTACCGTACGTGAATGACGTAAATCAACGTACTTGTAGGTCATCGTCTTCGACTTCTTGTTTTCCATCTGCGTTCTTCTGCTCCCCGCTTCCGCTGCTGTTTTCGCTTCCCATTTCCGCTCGGGGTCTATGAGCAGACGTATCATCAAGCATGAACTTGTCCAACGGCGAGATGACGACGGTATTGGAAGGAAAAAAGTCGACGAGACGTGCTTGGTCTGTGTCGCCACAAAGACCTTTCAAACGCCGCCTGGCAGGATTTCTGCATAGCAATATAACGAGACTTGGCTCTGGGATACTCATGTATGTATTGCATCAGGCGAAGAAAGGGTGAGCACGGCGTAGCCCCTCATGTCGACCACTTCGGTCTTCCGACAGGCCCAACCCCGACGAACCGACGACCGACGACCATCCTGTCGTCCAATGTCAAAGCCCGTGCGTAGGAGCACATACCCACCTTTGATCGATCATCTCAATGTCGCCTTGTGTGTCCTGTGTATGTACCCCCACCTGAACCTTGTCTATACATACACCCACACGAGCACCAGCGGTATCGGGCTGTTGCTTTTCGGCTTTTCCCATTGCGGTCATTTGGTGGTGCCGTGTCGTATCCTTTGAGGCTTTTGTGTCTCAAAAGGCCCCGGGATCAGGACTTCGGGTTCTTACTACATAGCTGTACATAGCTGTGGATGATGGGGAAGAGGGGTTGGGGTACGTGCGGTAATGAAAAACGGGCGGATACATGCGCTGTCTCCCAACTGCCAAGTCCCCACGCCGGTCTTGTTCTCACGCGTCACGCGGTTGTGGTCGTCGCTGAGGTGGGGTTGTATTGACTGAGGAGTCTGCGTGATATTGATCTAGTACGAAGGTTTGATCGATCAATCGATGGACCTTTCTGCAGATCATCCGGGACATCGGGTTCCCTCCTTGGGGATGCTGTCCATTTGTTACAACATCCATCATCTCATGGTTTATCATCAACCGCGTACATTAGCCGGTATCTCATCAAAACGCAGGAGGTAAGAAATCATGTGTTCAATCAACATTGCTCATGACTCATGTCCGCGAGGCCTCAACGTTCCGGTCCCATCATCGAGTACTGATTTTAGTGGACAAAGACAAAGACGAGGGGCGCACGGTGGCGCTCTGGGTGCTGGGGTTATTGGTGGAGCATGCTCAAGGCATGGTATAGAGGCTTCTGGGCTAGCGGTAGGAAGAACGGCGAGAGGGACGGTGGGGTGGGAGAGACGAGTCTTGGGGGACAGGGACGAAGCTTTTGCGACGACGTTGAGTGATTCTTCCTTTTAGGATCTTTCTCTTCTGCCACACGTTCGATGACATCCATGTTGGCTCAGAGCATGTATTGGGTAGCCCTCTGCTTCTTCTTGTTGAAACAAGCGCCCATGTAGTAAACCATCCAGTACGACGCGATATCGTGCTCCTTCAATGGTAAGGACGTGAAGGTAATTATCCAACCTCGGACGTCAGAGCCAAAAGCGCTTCTTCGCAGCATACATACGAAGCAGCAAAGCCATATTAGGCGCTTGGAAGGGCGTACTCGTCTTTCTGAAAGAAGCACAAGGCTCAAAACGATCTTGATCTCTCCATCGTACTCATTGGTCGACCTCACCCAGGCTACTCGAAAGTCAAAGCCCAAACTTCCCAAAAGCATCGAGATTCCCATCTTTGGATCTGGCCCTATTGGAGTCGATCTATCCGGCCATAAACGAAAACGTTACAGAAGCATCGACTAATCGCCCTTGTCTCGGGAAAATTCCACCTTATCAGTTCCTCACAACAAATACAAATGAATAGATGAAAGTTACAAATACAAATGTCTCGCCAGTTTTCAATACCTGCAGCTAATCGTCCTTGTCTCGGGAAAACTACACCTTATCACTTCCTTACAACAAATACAAATGAATAGATGGAGGTTACAAATACAAATGTCTCGCCAGTGTACAATCCCTGCAAGCGGCAGGCTGCACCCCCTGAAGGCTCAGACAAGGTCGACGAAGACAATAAGACATCGATGCACTCTGACTGCGTGGCATGCGTGGCATTCCCGGTTGCTTTCATATGCTATGCAACCCAGACAAAACAACCTTTTGACCAGCAGGGGGTGTAAATTCGTAATGGTCAAAAGAGCCACTCGAAAATAATCCCCGGTTAACGGCAACCTCGTCGGGTCACTCGGTACTCGGCATATATTCCGGAACCCGGGTGGAAAAGGTGCAAAAATTTAAGCATCCAGTTGCGCTGCTTGCTGCATTTTCTAATTGCTCAATAAATCACAGCAAGGTCTCCCGGTCATCCCGACGAGCGCTACATATGGAAACTCCTGGATCTCTTCTAATCTGTGGTGTTGATCAGGGCGATGGGTATGTATGCATCGAACTTCAACATCGCCATTGCAAACTCATAGCTCAATCAATGCAACATTCTGCATGCCGCGTTTTTCGCTGATCGCTTCGGCGGCACCACGTGGGTTCTATCCGCGGAAGTTCGGACAAAACTGCTCCGAGTGACTTGCCCCTGGGGTGGAAGCTTTGGAAGCAGCCGTTAATAAACTTATCGCTCTCAATTCATCAACATGCAAAGAGCTGGCGATCGGCTGGGAGGGGATCAATTGTCGCAGAGGCATCGCTATGTAGTCGCGGAAGATCAGTGTTCAGAGGTGGATGGACGGTCGTTGAGTGACAGGCGTGCGCTGGCAGACTTGTCCGTTGTTTGTTCAAGCTGGAAAATGGGTTGCATCCTCAGCTCTTCAACCCAACTGCCATATCACATGATTGAAATGAGCTCGCAAATGGCAACGTATGACCATTACAATCAGGCCGGCATGGCGAACAGTCCGCATTTCCTCCTCTTGTCCCCCCGTCGTCTCTTCCGTTCTGCGACTATCATCCGAGAAAATATCTTTGGGTATGCAGAGAGACTAACTGCTACCACATATTGACACGCTCTCACCAGTTAGTATCCATAATTTTCTATGCAGCCCCGAATCCAAATAAGAAGATAGACACCGATGCTCATTCACGCGTAGCACCTTTTTTCCAAGTTTGATGACTAACCGGCTAGTCACCCAGCACAAGTTGGAGATCTAGCATCTCTCGAGCGAGGTCGTGCGCGGTAGTGACTGACTCCAAGAGTGCACACGCCGACAGTGACACGCGTACTGCATACTCGTCTCGAATGGAAGTACGCAAGTCGTCAAAATTTCCCTTGCAAGGACGACGACTGACAATAAGTTACGTCAAGTCCAGATAGGAAGCCGCGGTCTTCTTCGTTGTTGTACTCTTCATACGATCTTTCAGATCCGCGATCTCCGCTATTGAAGCCTTCCACGTTTTCCTTTGGTCGCATCTACGTTCAAAGCAAGACCTTTTGCCCATCACAATCGTCCAAGAAAGGATCTGGCGATTCGTACGCTCAATCTAACTGGTATAAAGTACCAAACCTCAGTTACCAAGACAAGTCTACTTTTACCGTCGAGAAACTTCACTATTACTACACTTCAACCACAGGGAGGCACATCAAGATCCCATCATTACCATCATGTCATCCCCAGAAGAGAGACGTTCCCCGACGGCCGATTCCTCCACGGCTGTCCCGTCAGCCATCTCAGACGATACAGAGATGACCATGGTCGCAAACCAGGTCGCAAACGAGCTGGCAGAACTGGCCGCTAACACGAATTTCAATGCCCAAATTTCGGGTTTGACAAGGGAATATAGAGATCGGCTTGTAGATGACATACTGGAGAAGCAGCTTTCTAGGTATGGTTTGGATAGGACGGTAGAGGTCGAATGGAGGCGTGGGGTAACATTTGAGGATGGGGAAGGCACTGCAGCGGCGACTGAAGGTGGGGCAGAGGGAGCAAGCAGTACCCCTCGAGGCTCATGGACGGGGAGGAGCGAGGCAAACCCTTGGAGAGATGCCATGAGCATCCGTATAACTCAGCGCCGTCTATGAGGAGGGCATAGTATCAGACTCATTATATGAAGTTGCTTTCGATGGTGGTTAAAGTGCTCAATTCTGTATATGAATGACAAGGTGCTTTAGCGCACGATCTTTCCTCTAGTTAGGCACTGCAAAGCGAATGATCTGGTAGACCTCTTGTCTTCCTTTTGTCGCCTCTTCATTGTCACCTCTTCATTCTTGTGACGAGTACATTACTAGTCTTGAGTTGAATGGCACGAGCTTACATTGACATTGCAAAGGATGATGATTGTCTGCGATAACGCCAACCCAGAGCGAGAATCATGTCTTGTAAGACCCTGTAACTCTTCTTCGCAATGGTCACATATCCTTTGACCTTTGATTTACGATCTCTATACGGGACGCTGCGTTCCACACTACCCATTGGTCAATCAACTGTACATCTTTGGCCTTCTGTCTGCTCCCCTGGTGCGCATTGTCTAAGCGTTTTCACTTGTTCACTGACACATCGGAAATCACCTGAATATTCACATCAGCCAATGCTTCTAAGATCTCCTGTAGATCACAATCGTCTGCGAAAGGATCTGATGCCTCAAACTTTCTCCGTACGACTGGCATACAGTATCGTTATCGAGTGACACTATTACACTTAGACCATCAATCATCACCTCGATCCTACTACGCCGACTCCCACGGCCGATTCTCCGTGAACGATGATACATTCGCCAACATCGACGTTGCAGGGATGGCCGAGCTCACCAACGAACTAGCAGCACTCGCCTCGGAGACGAGTCATTTTGCTGACGTGTCTCGTCTCAGCCAACATGAAAATGACCGATTTGTGGATGAAGTACTGCAGAAAGGGTTTTGTTCGCACGGTTTGGAGAGGATGGTGGAAATGGAGTGGCAGCGCGGGGTAGCGTTTTTGAGATGATGAAGGCATTTGACCGAGATCTGCCGAGGGTGGGGAAAAGGGGAGGAGTACTAGTAACGTCTTCCGGATTTGGACTGGGAGGAGCAGTGTGACAGATGCGGGGGGTGTTTATAGAGTCCGCAAAACAGAGCGCCGTCGTCACCCGGAAAAAGGGGCAGTGGATTCCGCATATATAGTGGCTGGCCATGCACTATATGGTCTCAAATTCAGAGCTAGCCGCGGTCGCCTTGTACGCAAGGCATGTCCAGCGGATCTTTGAGATCAATTGCATTATCACCAGCTAAGCGCACGTCCCTCCACTATGAATATCGCGGAAAACCCTAGCCTAGCTGGATCAGCTCTCTCCCGAGCCTTCGTTCTTCTACCCCTCCTCGAATTCTCCGTCCTCTACCTCCTCCACAACAGGAGGGCGCGTAGACGGATCAAAGGTTTCCCTTCACCTCCTGCCCAAGTATCCGACTGCGCCCAGGCAGACGCCGCCTGCTCACCCTCCTCGGTCCGTCGTGCACCCCCGTCCCCCTCCCGGTGTTGCCTCCCCATACTCTCCGTATCCGTTCTCAAACGCGTAATCAGCTTGAAGTTTCCCTCGATACCCGCCTCCTTGAAGATATCCCCCATCATGCCGCTCAATATGTTGGATTTTTCCTGGTGGGAAGCTGTGGGGTGGGTCAAGTTGAGGGTGGCAGCTTCGCGAGAAATAATATGGGATAGAGAAGCTGCTTGCTGGGATGGGGAGGTCGCGGCATTGGTCGAGGCGGCAGTGGGGCTTGCGGCGGAAGATGTGAATTCACTTCTTTGTTCAGTGACGTTGTCTTGTGGGGACATGGTGGTGGTTTAAGGTCGGATTGGGAGAAGGGCATTGATAAAATGTTCGAGCCAGTATTTGTAGGTCGCGCAGCAGCTGGTATGTAGTGTTTACCAGGCAGTGTACAGGTGGCTTCATCAGATCCTTCTCTCCAGGAGCTTCTAGTAAGGTTACATGACTCAAAAAAGGATGCAGTGTGTAAGTTCCCACCATGTAAAACTTTGCATAATATAACGCAACCATCATGTAACTATCGATACATTCTTTTCGTCGAAGGCGAGGTATACGTTCCTTCTGATATCTCTCTGATTCTTGTATTCGCGAACTGTGCTTCTTCTCAATAACGACTACGACAATGGTCGAATCCTTGGCCATCAGGGTTGGGCTACTCGTGTCTGATGATGCGGCAGTGGTTTTCGAGTCGAGTCATTTCTGTTCTCTCTTCCTTCTTCCCTACTCGAATATCTGGAAATTGCGACTACCTTTGTACGCTCTCGATGATAGAACAAGAGCCAACATCTCAGCGGCTCATCACAAAGGCTGCAATGATATTGCGGTATCTTTGGAAACGTCACACAGTATCCTTCGATACAAGGGAGTATGTCAAAGATATGTAAAAGTTCGCCGTACGGCCTACTAATACTAGCCCAAAGCTTTCCATCCCTATCGCTCATACATCACTACGAATGTCATACTGATTTACAATTGTCAATAACATGTCCATCGAACAAGACAACTTTAGCAATGCCAGCGATGGAAGCGATATCCACGAGGAACCCACACCATCCGCTAGTAATCAGACCACCCCGACCGTGGCTTCCAATCCCAGCCTGCGATATGTAGACACCCCTCTAGCCTCGATCGCTACCGAGAAAGCTGCCACTATCAATCAACGTTACCCCACAGCATCAGCAGAGGAGAAGACAAGTATGCTTAATGATGTCATGGCACAGGTCGTCTACGAGCAGGGGTGGGATGCAGGGAGTATAGTGATGTTTGAGAGTACTGAAGCGGGCTCTGTGGAGGGGGAGAAAGCTGAAGAGGAGTGGAGAACGGCGAGGACACAAGGGTGGACGGGGGATGCTGGGCTCACTGCGCGAGCGGCGGTCTTTGATGGATACTCGAAGCCTCATGGCGAGAATGCGGGGAATCCCGGCGCTGATAGTGACAAAGAAAGCTACATTGTGTACTAGAGACGTACCCCCCAGAAAGAGGGCGGATGAATGCGAAAGATAATATTGGAATCAGGCTAAGATGATGGATGTACATGTGTCTTGCATCACTGGAAAAGATTTGAGGCCACCTCATAGACCCTATCTGCTGCTGTTCACTCTATAGATGTTTATTGCAGCCAGTGAATACTACAGACCCCCCACTGGTCATTCAACATGGCCTCCATCGGCCGATGCAGCAGGCGGCCATGAGCGCCCAAGCGGGTGTTTTCGCGCGCGCTATCTTATCTCGGCGAGTCGGCGCCTCTTCCGCTCATCTCCTCCATCTTTTTCGATTTTCCCATCCGCAGTACATGTCAGTTATATCATACCATGTCTAGATTTGGCACAGCTCAGGCGCGGGGTATAGCGCTCGCGAATGTCGTCGCGCTCTTAGCCGGCCTCTTTTTGTGGTATCGGTGAGCCTCCTTCTCCTGCTTCATGCCCTGGCTGACTGTCCCAGTACCCCTCCATCCCTGGCTGTCTCCATCACATCGCGCTCCGAGATCTCCTGTGGCGATATCTCACACCCCACCACCTCTGGATACGTCCACCTTGCAGGCGGGAGCCTCTTCTTTTCCCTAATACAGGCCCGTGAAGAAGCAAAGAATGACGGGCTTGTGATCTACTTTGAAGGTGGACCAGGGGCTAGTGCTATGGATTATCCATTCCTAGGTGCGTGCACTCGAGACTTTCAAGTGAGATCGCTGAGATGAAGCAGGCGCCGGACCCTGCCAGCTCACTCCCGACGGCGGTACCAATCTTTCTCCGGCACCTTACCCATGGACAGACTATGCCAACCTGCTCATTTTGGAGTATCCCGTACCAACGGGGTGGTCTTATAACAGGACAGATCAGACTCCACACCACTCTTCTGCTGGTGCTGCCGAGGACTTCGACGATTTCCTCCAGGTACGTTTTTCTCCTTCGGACAAGTCATGAGCTCAATTGTAGTAGGCATTCTTGAGAGAGTTCCCTCAGTTCATCCGACAGCCTTTGATCATATCAACTCTGTCATATGGTGGTACCACGTCGGCCCATATAGCATCGACTCTCGTCAAGCGCAACAAGGCATCTGGGTACCTCACCCGTCGGATCCCAAAGATCATCGACCAGCTTGTGCTCGGCAACCCTTTCAACGACGTTGAATCCGTCTCGTGCGTATCCACCCTCTTCCTCCCCCCAGTCCCCATATACTGACGCATGAGTAGCTACCAAAACATCCAACACCTCTGCCACTCCGACCCCCCCGTCCTCTCTCAATTCGTCTGCGACCACCTCTCCCGCCAACACGCCCCCTGCTTCGACCTTCTCCTCCCACTCCTCAACCCTTCGACCTCTCACCTCTCCACGCGCGCATCAAGGCGGAAAGCGTGGGATGTATGTGTAGCGCCGTTTGAGATGATGTGGAAGGATGTCAGCTGTGATAGGCATGATAGGAGGAAGCCGCCGTGTTGGCCGCCGAATACGTGTATGTGGTGGTCGGAGAGTTTGAAGGCATTGATGAATAGTGCGGAGATGCGGAAGACTGTGAGCATGTTTCTTTTCTCTCTGGACCTGGTAGGGACGAGGGGTGAGGAGGCAAAACGCTCATATGAGAATAGCTCGGTGTACCGGAGCATATCACCTGGAACTTTATCGGGTATGCGCATCTGTATTTCGTGCAAGACGGTGACAAGTATGTCTACCCACTTCTTCCTGTGTCTTTAGAGACTGACCTTTACCTGAAGTCTGCAAGCGTCATACCATCTCCTACCGGAAGTGATTGAAGCCGGCACGAGGGTGTTGGTGTACAGTGGGATGAATGATACCGTTTTGCCTTATGAGAATGCTGCTGCTTGGGTACGTCTTCCCTATTCTCCTACCGGGGACTTGGGCTTCTCCCTCCCACCTTCACCGCCTCAAGGGTACACTCGTATCAAAACTCCGTGGCTGATGACAACCCAGATGGCTAAACTCCCCTCACCCCACCTTGCCGCATTCCAATCCGACCCCATCCCCATATTCATCCCCCCCTCCATCCCCTCCACATCAACCTCCCCCGGCGCTGCCGGCGGTCTCACGGCGGGTATGCAAGGAGTCGTCAAGAACCCGGGAGGCGATGTGACCTTGGTGGGGATCGCAGAGGCGGGGCATCTGGTGGAAGCTGATCAGCCCGAGGTGTTGGCGAGGATCATTGGGGAAGCTGTGAAGGGAAGGTGTTGGGATCCGTTACGATAGTGGGGGTTTAGGATCCGCGTGGGTTGAGATTAGAGCTGCCCGGGCTTTCTTGGACTACTGGACTACTGTGGAGGCATGATGAATGGAGTCCGATTATTGGATTACCGACGAGGTGATGGTCCTCCGTTGGCTGATTCCCTCAAGTCTTGGGAGTATTGCGATGAGCGGGTCATGAGATTCACTGTCCGCGCGGAGTGTATGCAGCCTCCGATCTATTTTCGGTGGCAACTACTTGTATATGAGTGCAAATGTTGGGAAGGGCTCTAGCATTACCACAGACCCACAATAAAACTCAAAAATGGCCGAGCCACAAACACAAGACGAGATCGACGCCCAGGAAGCCGAATTCACCCAATACATGAACAGCTCCATGACCTCCCTCGCCAACACCTTTGCCCAGAAAGCGACCTCAATCGATGTCCAGCTTGCTGGCATTTACCGCCGCCAGACGGAAGATTGGAGGGAGAAGAAGCTTGATAGTATGCTGAGGGCAGACTTGGCGTCGAATCATGCGAATGTGGATTTGACGTGTGACTTTGACTGGCAGAAGGGTGCTCCGTATACGACTGATGAGAATAATGGGATTTGGACGGGGTGGTCGGACGGGAAAAGAGGGTACAACATCGCCACAAAATTTTCCACGCGACAGTGAATAGACATGCGAGAGTTGGGGAAATTTTCCGTTACGTGGATGGGAGCTCATGAAGAGACTCATGCCGTTGATGACTTGACGCTGACTCAGACATGAAATCGTTGATATCTAGCTTTGCATTTTGATTTTCGTAACACATAATAACAGAGAGGGCAAATGGGGAGAAATAAGGGAAAGAAAGGGAACAAGTGCCCAAGAGAGAGAGGGGTAGGCCCGGACGAATATTACAACGAGGCAAGACCTGAGTCATAGGTCTAGTAGAACCCCGTCGGTTGAGCCATCAATCCACCATTCATATACGGCTGAGGAGGTCCGCCACTATCACTTTATCAGCGTCTACTCCTTTTCAAACGACGACACTACTCACGTAGGGCCACCAATCAATAGTCTTCCTCCCAATCCGCTTCCCATCAAAGAGCTTGGCTCCTCATCCTTTGCTTCCTTCTCGACAGACTTGGTCTTGAGCTCCTTGAGTTCCTTTTCGAGGGCGGCGAGTTTGGTAGATTGGTCACGCTGTTGTTGAAGCTTGTAGGGCATGGCGTAGTCGCCGAGGCCGAATCGCCATGACTGGAAGCGCGTTAGTGTTGACTCATCTCGACATGGTATAGACGCACCATTTCTTCGACAAAGTCGGGCCTGACAAACTCGAAGCACACGTAGAGGAGAGCAGCGAAAGCGTCCTTGTTTCCAATAGAGACAAAGTAGCCAGCCAAATCCTCGGCAACGGCAATGTCCTTGCTAGCGGCCGCAGTCTCCAAAGCATCGCGCCATAATCTGTCAGCCTTGGAGAGAGACAAGGAGTCGTCCCAGAGACCGTTGAGCTGTGATTGGGTCAGTAAAGTCACACAAAAGCTGAAGAGCGACGTACTCGGTAAAGCAAGGCAGCAATCCTCCTGAACTCCAACAGCTCGTGCTTCTCCAACCTCTTGGCAAGTTTGATGGCATCGTACTGATCGTGCGTCTCCAAGCTGCTCCTCAAAGTCACATGGTCTTCCTCCTCGATCAACAAGTCGTTGTATGCCTCGTTGATAACAGAAAGGTTGAGTTTTTGAGTAGCGATGAGGTAGGGCTTGGCTAGAGGAAGGTTGTCCCGCTTGGAGACAGTGTGAACCGCCCTGGCGTGGTCGAGACGGGGAGTTAGGGCAGCCAGAAGGTCGGGGAGGAGGGTAGGCTGTTCGGCGATGTAATGATCAATAGCCCTGTAGGCGATCTCCATGTTGGCGACCTTGACAATGACCTTTTTGAACTGGTCGTGATCCCATTCGGAGATGCGCTCCATCATGGTCAGGGAGGCATTATCGGGCTCGTCGTAAACAATGTAAAGGAAGACGTTTTCGGCCCAGAGGTGCGCTTGCTTGGTGGCCTTGATTACCTTGGGCTATGGGCAAAGTAAGCATCAATTCACGAGAGTGATACGGGACGTACGATGTTGACTCGCTGCCAGAAGAGCTTGAGGTGCTCCATGAGCTTCTCGGGTCGGTACTTGGCATACAAGACACTGAGCTCGGTGAACATGCCCTGTAACATACATTAGTCTGGGTATCAAGGCGAAAGTGAGAACGTACCATGTGGGCTCTCTCCAAACCCAAACCAGCCTCCATCAGACTGATGATCTCATCAAAGTAGCCGTTCCTCTCGTACAAGCTCAGAAGAGTAGGGAGTTCCTCAGCGTGAACCTATACGTTATCAGCACAGCCCATGGCACAGACAGGTCATGCTCACAACAAGGTTCAAACCACAAATCTGCGCCAGCCTAAACTCCTTCTTGTCCACACAAGCAGCATTGACCTGCTTCCACACCTGAGTATTGCCCGCCTTCCTAGCAGCATCCACGGCCGCCTGGTTCTCTCCCAAGTAGATCAAAGTAGTCGCCAACCTAGCCCAGTTGGAGATACTGCCAAAGAGCAGCTTGGAAGCCTGGTAGAGCTCGTCGTTGAAACACTTCTCACCGACCTGGAGAATATCGGCGACGTTGGTCATGGCAAGGAACTCTTCCATGTCGTGGAGACGAGAAGTCTTGGCGTAAGCATAGGCAAGCTCAGTGTCGACCTTGGGCTCTCGAGCAGTCTTTCGAGCCATCTGCAAGAACCGGACGAGGTCGTCGTGCTTGCCAGCTCGGTTGGAAATCTCGATAACCTCCTCAAAGTTGAAGGGGTCGTCCGCCTTGATATACGAGTCGATAGCCTCCTTCACTCTCAGACCGTCCAACTGCGCCTTACCGAGCCTAGACCAAACAGCAGGCTCGTTGATCTTGTTGGCATACGCGAAACCACGGTCGATAGAAGCCATGTGCTCGACGAGGACGCTCATAGCCTCGGCGTGGTTCTGGTGCTTCTGGTAGATGGTGAACGCCTCTTCGTAAAGACCAGACTCGGTTGCGACCTTGGCGATAGTGTCGACGTCGTAGCCCTCGAGCTTGTTGATATAACCCATAACCTTGCCCTTGTCGTTCTTGATAGCCGTCAAGAACATGAGAGACTGGAGCGAGCGGTTGTCGCTGAAGGGAGAAGGGTCGATGATGATCTTCTCGAGCAACTCGAGGAGGGGACCGTGAAGCTCCATGTGCATGAAGGCCTTGACGGTGACCGAGACATCATCGGGGTCGGTACAGTCAGGGATGGCAGTAGCGATGACTTGGTCGATGAGCGCTCGGCGGTGGATGGACTCGGGGTTCAAGACCTGAGTCCAGAGGTCGATATCCCTGCGCTTGACAAGGTATCGAGCCTGGTGCTTGTACATCTGGTTCTCGTTCGTGATGTTGATGAGCTCATCATCACAGAACCCCTTGGCGTACGCAATGTACGCGAGGTACGGGTCTCGCTTCTCGCAGTACTTGCCGACGATGGCGGGGTCGTACAGGTTGTTGTCCTTCAAGAACTTTTCGGGGTTGTTGTTCGAGTCGATAGAGATCTTGGCGATGGCGTTGTAGACGGCGTGGTCCTGAGAACCCTGCTCGACCTTGTTGTTGAGCCAGCCAAGGATGAGCTTGAGGCGATTACGCTTCTCCACCTCGTCCACCAACTCGTCAATGGGGAACTCGCCAGTGACGCTGCCGAGCAAGTTCTTCACCACCTGTTCATCACAGTCGACGTCCAACAGCCCACCAATGACCTGGGGCGTACGAGCAGCGTTGACACGCTGAACGTAAATCTCAATGAAGTTGGTGAGACCGTTCTGGTAGAGGTAGAGAACGAGGTCGTGGACAAAGTCGAATCTGTCGCAAACGATGATGAGGGGGAGCTGATCGTCGAGCCGAGCTTCTTTGAGGAAGTTCTTGACCTTTTCGGGGTCGTAGTAGTTGGACTCGCGGGCGATACGCTCGACCTCTCGGATCTGGCCGGTACGGGTAGCAGCCTGGATGTACTTGAAGTTGACCTCCTTGTCTTGGGAGAGGTTGACAATGGAGCCGAGGTAGTAGTAAAGACCTACTCTCTATCAGCGCCGCGCTCTGAAAGTAGGGGATTGGGACATACCGTCGAAAGACTTGAACTGCTCAAACATCTCGATCAACTTGACAGGACCAAGCAAGTCAGAGTACTTGGTGGCGATCTGGACAACGATCGCCAAGTTTTGCCTCAAGTTGCTCCTAAGCATCTCTTGCATACAAGCAAAGGATTGCTCGACCGTAAGCTTGCCAAAGTACTCGACGAGCCACTGCTATTCGTTAACCGCATTCAAAAGCCGGAAAGAGGAGAACGCACCTCGGGCTTGAAGAGGTTGGTGTGAACGACAACCCTCTTGATATCCGCGATATTCTCATAGTGCTCCAAAGCCCTCTGCATCAAACCAGCCCTCTCAGCCAAGTTGGCAACTCTGGGACGGTCATAGTGGGTAAACATCTCATTCCCCAGAATGGCATCCGCCACCTGCGGCGCGCTGACCAAGTTCATCTCCAACAACCTCGTCTGCAAAGGTCCTTGCTCAGGCTTGTTGTCCTTGAGGGCATCGAGGAGGATGGAAGTAGCCTGCTGGAGCATGTTCTGGGACATGAAGATGTCGATGATGCGGTCCAAGTCGACGAGCGAGCCGTTCTCGTCATTGACGAGCTGAGTCGCAAACTCGGCGCCCTTGTCGGGGTTGATACGGACAAGGTGTTGGAGCAACTGGGCGTAGTCGGGAGTGTAGCCGACTTTTTTGGCGTAGAGGACGATCTTGTCGAATTGGCCGAGCTCGGCAAAGCAAGCGACGACCTTGTTGGGGACGTTGGCGCGGAGGTAAACGCTCAAGGCTAGGTTCATGTCTCCCACACGACAGAGGTCACCGAGCTCCTCACTACACTCGAGCTTGTTCTCCTTCAGCCACTTTTCCAAAAGCTGCTTCTTTCCCTGTTGGATCACCGGTCGCGCCAACTCCAAACTCTCGTGCTTGTTCAAGTCACCCTTCTCGAGCAGAATACCAAAGTATTGGAGAATGGGGGTGAGGGTACCGGGCACAGCGGGGAGGGCTTTGAGGGCCTCGATGGTCTGTGGGGTACGGAGAAGGCCGCGGGGAGAGTTGGCGGCGACCTTGGCGGCCTCGCCGTATTGGCCTTGTTGGATGTAGAGCTGGTACTGCTGCTGGATCATGTGGTCGGCACCGGGGAGACCAGCACGGGTAGCGAGCTTGATGGCGAGCTCGGGGTTGTTGAGGACCTCTACAAGACAGTCAGCTTGGTATAATCAGAGACAAAGCTACGCACGCTGAACATAAGGCACAAGAGTGTCCTCGTCCACGCTTACACTCAACACCTGACCCTTCCTGTTGACACCAAGCACACCGTTCAAAGTCTCATACTCTGTAGTGGTAAAGATGGTTTCTCCCGAGATTCGGTTCATGTAGATGCACTGTCCGGTCTCAATCTCGTACAAGTGGATGAATCCAAACTTGGTGGTGAGATATATGATACCGTGCTTCTGAGAAACCTGAAGACCGACGGGGAAATCGTTGGTAGCCTCGGGAGGGAAGAAGACGTCGACGGCTTTCTTTTGGAAGGGAGGGTTGGGAGCCTGATGTCCGATCTCGACGATGTGGAGCTTGGCACCCGCCGCACTTCGGACAGCGAAAGCAAAGAGCTTGGTTGGGTTCGCCGCGCCCTCGAGCTTGATCTCGGCGAATGTCGCGGCGTGACCCTCGATAGGCTGAGACACGCCCCGCTCCAAGGAGAAGAGCTGCATAGCGCCCTTGATCTTGAAACCGTTCTCGCCAGGTTGGCCGGCGTTGGGGTTGGAGGAGATACCGACGAGGACCAGCCATTTGGAGTCGGTGGAGATTTTGTAGTTGATTATTTGGTTGGCGTTGAGGTTGGCATGGCGGTCGAATACCTGGGGGGTGTCAGCACCGCACATGTGACAGCACGCGACAAGATCATCCTCCATGCCCTGCACGTCTCTCCCACCAGCCAGCTCGCACCATCTACACATGGCGCTGAATGAGAATGCTTACCTTCTTGGGAGCCGCCTCGCCATCGATAACCTTCCAATGCCACACCTCCCTCTCCGTCACGATACCGAGCGTTGTGGGGTTGATCCACCTCCAGAACGTCACATCCTCATTCATCAGATGCGTGCCGAGCTTGGCCTTGGCACCAAGGTTGAACACTTGCAGCTGGCGGCCTGCTTTGAGGGCGAGGATCTTTTCTGAAGGGGAGGGGTTCATGATTGCCGAGTCGGCAGTGACTACGCGTTGTCAGTGCTCATCCCCACCCGACCACCTGCACCTCACTCACTTGGTCTACGGACGACATCTCCGACATCATTAAGGTTGACAATCACCACCTGCGGGCTCTCCCCCTGCTGTTCTCTGACACATATCCAAGCGTCGGACTCGAGGGTGAGGGTCTGGAAGGAGATGGAGGGGGGCTGTACGCCGAGGGCGGTGAGCTGTAGATGTTCGGTGAAGACGATGGGCTTCTCGGGGGCGGCCATCGTGCCTCTGATGCTGCTAGGGGGATATAGGGGGGGAGGGGAGATGGATGAAATGATAGAGGAGAGTAGCGCAGTGAGAGTGACATCGCGGTGGACACGCGGAGGGCGGGGGGTGCCGACGGTGACGAGAGACCACGTGGCGGCAAATGGCGGGATTATATCAAGAGGCGCGTCAGCAGGGTATGAAGAAAGGAAGGAGAAAGGATTGCATTGCAACGTGAATGCCGTATGGCAATGTCAGTAGAGGATGAAAGTTTCGCATCTCTCTTGATCCTGGTTGAACCTCGCCCAAGGTACCAAGCAAATGTACGCTCCACCCGAGGAACGCGACTCAAGGGACAGGTTGACTGATGACAATACAGGGCTGAACCGTTCGAACCATCCCCTCAGAGTCGACCATATCTCCCCCTGAGCGGCTTCATCGAACCTGAAGGTATGTCCCATTTCTCAAGACCACATTTACTAAGATATGGTGCAGAGCTTTTCGCCGGTACCCGCAATCACCCCCTCGCCGACTCTTCCTCATTCTCGTCGCCTGAGCAGAGTCAAAAGCCAAAACAGCAAGCCCCACAGCGGCAAAAGATAGACAACATCAACAAGGAGATTGACGCGACGAAATATGTGTTGAATAAGAATATTGAGATGATCACGGAGAGGGGAGAGAGGTTGGAGCATTTGGATCAGCGGACGCGCACGTTATATGTCGATAGCGTTGACGGCTGGAGAAGGGCTGACAATTGCTTCTATAGAGTCACTTGGAACCAGCGCCCAGTCATTCAAGACCCAAGCAGCGGCGACTCGTCGAAAGATGTGGTGGAAAAACATGAAGGTGCGTTCCGAGTCTCACTAATCTCTTACGGCGTTCTGCGTTTGCGACATTTCTCCGTGCCATACGCTGACCAATCAACATCTGTAGTGGACCATCTGTATCGGTGTACTAGTAGTTATCATCATAGCGGGAGCAGTCGGAGGCGCTGTCAAGGGGACACAATGAGGACGACGCGAGGAGTCGGATGAAGGGCGAGTCCTGTCTGTGATTCTGTTGTAGAGTATGTGAAAACACAATGTCACACTACGACTTGCCGGATGTAAAGCCCATATCCCGTCGGTACCCGGAACGGTCGATCATCTCGAGAGGTGACGAGTCTTGAGAAAGCATCACTATACTATTCGCAGATCCTAAAGATTACTCGTTCTCGCAGCAGCAGCTGCCGCCCATTTTCGGCCGCATCTCCTCGCCCTCTCTCGAAAGAGGCACAGTCTCTTATCAACCGGGGGGTCGGGCAAGTGTTTCAGCAGTTATGGTCTGTACAAGGCAAAATGGGGAGGACGGTACCGAGATGACGGGACCGTGGTATCGAATATGCACAAAAGGGTCGTACGTGTCCCAATCCTTCTAATCTTAACATAACAAATCACTTTAGGCTTTACCGAGGATGCAAGCGGTCAGTATGTATCAGGAGAACCCATAGCTTGCAAAATTCGACGTAAAGGAGAAGTTCAAAGCTGGCTATCTATTGTCCACGTTCTGCATGTTGTCCATGTTCTTTGCCTATCCTCTGTGTAAGATCTCCTGCTGACTCAAAGATAGAAAGGATCCGCTTAGCTATATGCAGATTGGCATGCCATCAGACGTGACAGAACAACATGACTCTACGCATATATAAACGTCCTCCTGGGGCTCGTTTTGATATCCCCACAGCCTTCATCTCAACCTCATCAGAGACTCAACTTCAGAGCATATACATAACCAACAATGTCCCGACCTGAAGAATCTACTCCCACCCAAGCAGCTACGCGAGACAACGAGGCCTTTGTCCCCGAAGACAACGACACCGCTGTTTCCGACGATGACAACGAGACCGTCAGGCCGAACGTCCCCTCCACTAGACGTACTACCCTCGGCAACGGCGCTACTGCACCCAGCCGTACTGCTGACAGTAGACGCCTCCCCTCTGTGGAGAAGACTACCGAGGTGGATGAGAATGGAAAGACGTGGTATGGATACCGTTTTACTTTCTGAGGACTATCACTCGGAATCTGCCTGACTGAGGATACTCGAGTCTCGGGAGGAGATGAGAGTGGAGGAGAAGAGAAGAAGAAGGGAGAGTAATTCGGTAACATTTGAGACTAGCATTTGTAGATAGATCAATTTTGATAGGAGGATGTTGGCGATGATGACGTACTCGTACCGTTGACATTGCGGGAGAGAGCAGGCTGTACAGTCAACTCAATTAGCCGGGGATCAGGGCGGAAGAGCTAACTGCTTCCTGTCGCGTCAGCTTCGGGATTGCGGACGTTCAAGAAGTACAGTGATCATGGAAGGATGGCGATCCGAGACACGGTGGAACAATATGGTACATTAGCGCAGGAGGCTTTATTATCGGAGCTGCATAATTCATAGCTGGCTTTAACGAGTCGTACTCATTCGGTTCAGCAAAGACGACCCCTCGACAATACAATCCAAGGCTTGCCCTGAAGAAGGCCTGTAAGCCCGTCTTTTAGTCCTTTTATAGGTTAGGAGTACTGTGTTTAGCTCCTATGCAGTCTGTGTGCCTGTTGTCTGTTAGATATGTTACGTCGTGTCAGTAAAGCTACTTTAAAGCAACGAAATAAAGACAACAACACTCACATGTATCGTCACAAAGGGCTGTGAATGTTGTAATTGTGTATCATCTAAAATTAGTCTAGTGGATCACGGCTATGTAGAAAATACATTATACCGGCTTCGTACTGCATGGTACGACTTGCTGATTTGGGCAGAGAAAGTATGACGGATCTGCTGGCGAGAAAAGAAAGGGAAGACGCAGCATGTACAGCGTATAGTCTGTACATAACAACACGTATCCTCTTGACTCGTTTCCATATCCTTGAGAGCCGTCATCCCATTCACATCAGCCATCGGCACATAGGCACATAGGCAGCAATAGTAATGACCCAATCCGAGGAACGTAGTGCAACTCCCGCTCAAGACGAGACCACGCAAGACAACGCCACCCGTCGTTCCTCCCGGCCCGATGACCACCACCACCGGCAGCAGCAACGACGCCATGACAGCAAGTGAAGCTGACGACCAGCCTGTGGACGATGGAAGTATCAGCGTTGACATACGTATAAAAGTAGTCAATGGAGTCAGAAGACCAGTTTTTGAAGCGAACAGGTACTCGCGGTCATCTGAGTGAGCTAGGGACAACAAAGATGAGTGATTAGGATGTCGCCAAATCACTACTTTCACATGCATGAGACATAATTGGTGACCGAGGGGGTAGGAGGGAGGAGGCTAGCAATGATTCGTCGTAGGTAACGCCTATGAGTACACACTCTAGACGTGTGTCTTGACCAGATCCATTTAGGCTACAATTTGCTGACCCTGTCCTCGAGATCGATGACCTCACCGCTGCCCCGCTACCCAATACCTAGGATCCCAGCTCCCAGCCGGGTGAAGCAGCCTCCAAGCCCAGCATTACCGCCTCGCAAACTCTTCCAGAGGATGAAAGTGTCAAAGGTGACTTGCAATCTATTGTAGATGACGAGGGGGAAGGAAATTAGATGACCTGGTGCCTATTGGGGCGAAGGAAAGGGTATGTCATCTCGGTTTTTGCAGATCTCATGCATGGTAATCAGCTGTCCCAAGGTTTGGATCAACAACCTGAGATGCAAGTATCAGGCATCGGGACGTTGCAGAGCCCCGTTGCAGAAGTCACAGAGGTAATCGCTGATGTATCCCGATACAATTGTTTATGTTCATGTGTAAAACGATTATGTAGTGATGTATGAGATTTAATTGTGAACAGCTGGGAATACAACTTTATGATGACAGCATGATTGTGTAGCTATATGTATGCTATGCCACAGAAAAAAGGATCCGAAAGAAAGCTGAAACTTCAGCACACATCCCAAAAAGACGCCGCCATAATACAGTATGTGTACAACCTCCCCCTCCGACACGCGCTCCCTACTCCTTCTTTCCCACATCCTTCGCCAGTCCGACTCCCCTCAACGTCACAATCGCCAAGATCGCACTCAACCAGCAGAAACCGCTCATCAACCAGAACGAGTCTTGCACCCCCTTGAGCAAGCCGTGCTTCTCGGCAATCTCGGATTGGGTGAGCGAGGCGACGGTGATGCCGACTGTACTGGCGATTTGGAGGGATGTTTGGAAGAGAGCACCGGCGAGGGATTGTTCGTCTTCTTCGACGAGGTTGGACATGAGGACACTTCCGATGCCGACGGTAATGTCTGCTCCTGCAAGTGGGTCAGCATAGGCACCAGGGAAAGATGGAGATAACATACCGGGAGGGTTAAAGACGGTAGACAAGAATGGGGTAGACCACCAAATAGTCGAGTCCTGCGTGACCGCAAAAAGCACAGTGGCGATACCCGTCGAGATACTACCCATCATGAGAAGCACCGGTGCCCTCACCCTTGGCGCCAGCAACGGCACTAGCACACACGCTCCCACTCCAAAGATCGGGGCAGGAATGATATGCACGGCATTCATGATAGGCGTGTCGTGCTTGTAGTTTTGGAACCAGATGGTGGTAAGGTAATTCCAGCCAGCGATGGGGATGTAGGCGAAAAAGGCGACGACGATGATGGCCGTTACTTTCCAGTTCTGGCGGGTGAAGATAGAGAGGTGGGTGAGAGGTGGGGTGGTGGAGTTGTTGGCGAGCCAGTGCTCCCAGAAGCCATAGACGACGATAAGGAGGAGGCCAATGACGAGCACCACGGGGATGTCTGAAAAACGTCAGCTGATGCTTGAGTGATGTACGATAGGAGCTTACAAGGATCAGACCAGCCCTTGGCAGCGACACCACTCTGGGTCAAAGCGAAACTGAAAAGGCTCAAACCGGCCGTCACAAGGAAGGCGCCGACCCAGTCGATCTTGCGATTGGTGACACTGCTTCTCCTGGCAGGTTCGGCGGGGATGAGGAAGACACCACCGATCAATGCCGGAAGCGCAAGTCCGGCGTCAACGAAAAAGACGTATTGCCATCCTCGGCTGCTGACCCCAGAGATGGCTGAGCGGCATGTCAGCGGATGCCGTGTCTAGCCGGAGTATGACTCACCACCTCCAATGACGAGGCCGACGGCAGCAGCCACAGGGTAGCCAAGAGCGAGAGCAGCAAAACCAATCGTCCTCCTGGGTTCGGTAGTAAAGTTGACACCCAGGATACCGAAAGCAGCCGGAAGGGAAATGGAGATAGAAAGACCAGCAAGAGCGCGGAGAACACATACACCTATGTAACTCTGTGACGTGATTAGTATATGGTACAAAGCTAAACGGTGCAGCACTCACTCTGACGACGCCAGAGATGACATTCATGACCAGGAAGGCGGCCATGCCCATAAGGAAGAGCATCTTCCTTCCATAGATGTCGGCAAAACGGCCGCTCACCAGGAGACCTACACCGTTTGCAAGAGAGTATGCCGAACTAGGAGCTGTCAGCGGATTAGGCGAGGTGAAACAGGATGATGAAAACTTACGACACCCATTGAGCTTCAAGCTCAGTGACGTCGAGATCAGCAGCTGTGCTGGGGATACAGAGAAGAGAGGAAGACAAGGTAGAAGACTGTGTATCTGATCAGCGGCTGCTGCCATGGAGCAGTCAAAATGAACTTACAGCAACGAACGTGGTAGACATCATGACGGCTCCAAGTAAGACTGCCTTGCGCGTCGACATCTCAACCTTCTCGGGAGCGACATAGTCTACGCTGGGAAGGTACTGCTCTGCTGGGGCCTGCTGGCCTGACTCGACGTCCTTGTCCTTCTTCATCTCCTTCTCATCGTCGACAATTCTCTCAGAGAGCCTGCTGGTGTGACGCGAGAGAGACGAGGGAAAGGCGAAGGGGCGGTCTTCGGTTGCGGCTGGGGTGTTTGCAGCGGTGCTTGAAGCCGATGGGAGGTTGGCGTACTTGTTGCTGAGGGTGATGTGGCCCGTCATGGTGAAGGGGCTGTGAAGTGGAGAAAGAGGCAATGGTGGGCTTGCGTTATATAGGCTCTCCGGGATGGGAGCCGGCGTGACTGTGTTCAGAAGCAGAGTTGGGAGGATGGGAAAGCGAGAGGGGTTGCGCCCTTATAACGTGCAAAAAGCTGCGTCAGTGGCAAATTTTGGCAGCCTGCCGATAAGAAACTGGAGTGGCAAACGAATAGACGACATATGCCCAAATCTCGGCGCGACAGTCTCGACTCTCGGGTCGTGGCCGCTCCAAGGCCGCTGCGGGTGGGCCATGCATGTGATGGACTGTGTGCGCATCCCACCACGCGCTCCTGATGCTCCTGAATGGTTCATTCTTCATTGCGCTCCAGAAAGCTTGAACCACTCTGGGCGGTGGATGAGCAGAATATGCCCCACTTTATCGGTTCAACAGAACAAAAAGTTGACCAGGCACCAGGGACCGGCTGCCCGAAAGCCGGGTTACTCACTGAATCCCTCCGATCCGGACACGTGACACGTCATCACTTCTGGAACCAGCTCCACCCATCACGCATCGACAGGTCAGCGGGGCACTCGGCATGTTCCAAACTTGCCGCCCCCATCTGCACTCCAGAGCAGTCTCGTGAGCCACGTTGAGTCAAAATGTCTCTTGGCGAAAAGCGTCGTATTTCGCGCTGTACTCGTACTAGAGCCGGCGAGCACACTCACGCACATGTTTTGATGGATCCATTCGTATCGTATGTCAGGGTGATGGCCGACGAGCGGCGGGACCCGTAACGCAAAGTAGTAAAGCGAAGATGGCAGATCCATGGTATGCACCTTAACTTATTATCATTCGACTCTATAGGCATCTATCCTTCAAAATCCCCATCCTCCTTCTCCTTCCCCTTCCTGGAGCGGCTGTTTTTCCTCAACAGCTGAGGACCCCCGGAGATGTCGCCTGAGCCGGAAGGGGAAGAGATATTGGGGGCCGAGGAGTCTGCAGATGGAGTCGGCATGCTAGAACCTGATTACATTTTCATGTCAAATATGATAGCAGAAGAGGACCTTTCAGCCAGGAATAGACTCACTTTGCAAAGCGTCAGAAGAAGGGGCGCCTGGCGAGGCCTCTTTGCAGGCGAGGAGCTGGGCTGTTTGGCTGGGGGAGCAGTCGGCTGACGACTGAGATTGCGACGGGACAGAGTCACCGTCGGAAACCTCGTACATCATCGTCAGGAGTGGATCGGGACGAGATACATGAAGAATAGAGGAACATACCCTGCCGTGGGCGATTATGGTCGACGGCGTCCACTCCAGACCCGCACGCTTGCCGCCTCTGTCCTTGAGATAACATTGTCGAAGAAGGCAAGATGGTCAGCGGGGCAAGTCATGCAGAACGAGATATGGTTCAACTCACTTCAATGTAGGCGACAGAATTGAAGCAAGGCATTGGCAGGTGTCCGTCCTCTGGGTAGGTAGATAACGCATTACCATCAATGGAGACATCACTATAGAGAGGGTTGTTCTCTTTCAGCTACTGCAGAGCAGCAATTAACTTGTCCCGGCGAACGGTAAGTAGCTTCTTGGGGATCTTGTCAGCAGTGAGAGGCTCTGCTTGGTTGGCAACCCAGATGACAACGATCTCGTTCGCGATCACAGGAGCTGGAAGAGGGAGCAACCTCAACGGCTCGGACGCAGCCTGGGGGAGTATGACAACGTTGCATTACGACTGATGAGAGCCGTGACTTTTGATTTTGACACAGCAGCGACTCGCTCTGGCCCTAGCTATACAGACCGTTTCCACCCACGTGGGGCTAGCCAGCACGGCAGGGATTTTGCCGAGGATTATGCCATTTGCACGTGAGAGGGAAGGGATTTTGGTGAAGGCATGGGAGAAGGAAGGGTTGCCGGACTTGTCATCAGCAATGCAAGCAGAGCACTTGTGACAGAAGTGTGCCCAGTTGTCGATGATAGCAGAGGAGTCGAGGACATGGGAAGGGACGAAGGGTGACGAGCATTGCCATGCGTCTTGAAGGATGTCGACCCTCAGGCCTGGCACGAAGATTTGTTGCGTATTCGCCCTGGAGCATTGCTCTGAGCAAGCAGCACAAACGACTTGACCCAGCTCATCAACCGAAGTGGCGTTTCGATATGAATTAATCTTGTCGATGCTGTGGTCGAGAGATGACTGCTGAGGCCATTGGGCATGGTCGAAATCATGGAGACACTGGTAAGAGGATGAGTGAGTGAAGGGGCAGATCTGTGAGAAGGAAAGGAGGTGGCACTCACGGTGTGAGGCTCCTAGAGAACATCCCTAGGTTGAAGGACATATGGCAGCCTGTTGGCTTCATCCTCTTCTTCTTCATCGCCGCCCTCGCTGCGCGCAACACCAGGACGGTCCCCTTCTTCATCATACTGGAGGTCAAACCGTCAGCCACGGAAAGAGGAGGAAGACCGAAGGCGAACCTGTATGACCTGATTGCGCCGGCTCTAGGAGTACACAGAAGTCAGTAAAGACGGCAGAAGGGCAAAGATGATGTAGCACTGACCCTTCTATGTGGACGATGATGTTCCTGGGAATCATCAAGCATGTGGTGTCGTCGTTTTCGAGGATTTGAACGAGAAGACAACGAAGGATCCGGGCGTCCCGGAGAGCGGTCGGGTGTGCTACTAGCTCGTGACTGCTGACCTAAGGTCAGTTAATGTCGTCCATTCACAGACACAGGGAAATAAAGGCTACGGACAGAACCAGTAGCCGCTCGAGAGGGATTGCCGTTTGACCGATTAGAGCTAGAAGAGTTGATGTTCAGGCCAGAGTTCAGGATGGCAGGATGATCCAGGACAACAGTATTATGTATAGGACCAGTAGGATAAACAGGATTCATAGAGGGCAGGTCGTCTGGGAACCACCGAGTGGAGTCTAAGTTTGCAGCCCAAAACTGACGTCGATCGACATGGCATTCAGGAGTGCACGTGTGACCTGCAGCCAAATGCTGGAAGGTGTGGGCACCTCTGGGGCCTTTGTGAATCAAGATGTTTGATACGGGAAGAGGGGGGAAACGGTGGCGAGCGGCGAAGTCCAGGCGAGATCGAGATCGGTAGGGGGGAGGGTCCTCTGCCAAGGTGGCGATCACTGCCAGAAGAGCGAAGGCTTCGGGATGAAAGGGGAAGGACATGTTCAAGCAGGGGAGCAAGGGGTAGAGAGTGATGGAACAGCAATGATAGGTCAGAGCCATCGTGATTAGCAGGGGGAGAAGCCAGGAGGAAAGGCGGAGCGGCAGCAGCAGCAGCAGTGAGGCGGTTGAAAGAAGATGCATGACGTGTGAATTGATACTGTACATCACGTGGGTTTGATTCCGCCGATTCTGCCCCCTACACTTTTTTCTGGGTGGGAGACACAGCTGATAAGACCCTAACTGCGTTACGGGAATCTGCATACTATACAACATGTGGCGGCTCTCGATCTTCGCCGTTCAGAGCGGCTTCTGCCTCTTCTTCCGATATCTTGCTTACACTCTGGCCGGCCTTTTCAAACTCTGAACCACCTGTCAGCAGGTTCTGTCATGATAATATGCGACGACACTTACCTTGCCAAAAGTTTAAGTGCTTCAACCCTGGCCCCTTGACGACCTTTTCCAGAGACTCGACATATCTAAACAACCCGTCAGTCAAGACCGACCCGCAAAAGCAAAGCTTACTCATCATACGTCTCCACCTCTCATATTCCAGTGCCGTCTCCCTCATCAACGCCAAACACTCGATCGCCACGGGAAAAGCCTGTCTCGAGAAGCTCGCTGCCACATTCTCCCGGACCACCTCGCCCATGTCCTGGATCGCCTTCCGAAACACATCACCATCCTTGATCACGCGCCTGAAATCGGCTATTGGTGATTCATTGCTGATAATCCTTCCCGGCTTTGGTTTGCCTGGAAGAGTCGGCTCGGAAGTCGGCACTGTAGGTTTTGGCTGAGAAGCGGTTTGCGCCCCAGGTTGCGAATCAGCCTTGCGCTGAGAGATCGTTTCAGGTTTGGTAGTCGCTCCAGCTTGCTCGCTATTCTCCAGAACAGAAGGGCGTCGTCGTCAATGCTAGACACTGTTAGCGGGCACACCGTTTGGCCTGCAACATTGACTCACTATCCCTCACCCTCGCCCAGCTCTTGCTTCTGATTCTTCTTCTTCTTCATCCTTGGCGGCACCTTTCAAATATCCAATAGCTCTTGCAACCTTTCCGTCACGTCTTCCACCTTCTTTTCCGCTTTGGCTGGGGTATTAAAGTACTTGAGGATTTTGGGATGAGGTGCGCCCAGGGGCCTTGGTCAAGGTCGGCGGTCAGAGAGGCGTGAAAGATGGCTTCATTGACACGGTGGATGCTCGGATTGACCGGTTCCTTTGAGTCGAACCAAGTGGGCACCCTATGTATTGTCAGCGACTCCTCATCCCATTCAGAGATTATGCTCACCGGCGGCTGACTCCCCTCCTCCTCAGATTTCGCTATGATCCGCGCAAACAGCCTATTATTGGACAATTTCGGCGTGTCCATTGCTGGCTTCCACACTTTCAAAATTTTCGGGGCAGTCGCCTTGGCGGTCGCTTTTGTCGTCTTGACGGGAATGATGATGGCTTGCGCAGGGTCGATATCTTGGTCGCCAATGTATATGTCCAGACCGAGTGCTGAACCTGCCGTCAATTGGGGATGAGGGCGGCGTGCGTCGTCGAGTGCGTCGTCGAGTGCGTCGTCGAGTGAGTGGATAGAGGGGTAGAGGTCGGTGATACGCTTCTTGGAGTGGGTTTCTTGTAGGGTACCGACAAACATGCGCCAGACCTTTTCGGACAGTCTTTGCAGACGCATCTAGCAAGGAGCAAGAAGCATTCAAGAAGCGACGTACCTTGTTCCGGGACTTGGATTTGTCCACCTTTGCGGGGGGCACGTCAAAGTCGACACCGCTGTAGACCGTGTGAGGCCGGCATACTAGGCGACTTGCACATCCAGCCCAATCAACAATGTCATGATGTTCAGGAATCATGAAAGGGTAGTATCTGGTTCTTGCTATTAACCCTCTGCGTCTTTGCATATCTGTTGCCCCTGTCTGACCTTCGCCCAAGGTACCACGAACATGCACGCTTCAACCGCAGGACGTGACCGGAGGAGGGGCAGGTTGACTGAAGACATAACAGGGCTAAACCGTTCGAGCCGGAGGCTCAATATATTGCCCGCCAAGGTATCTCTCATTCCTTACCGGAAGGCAGGTCTTTTTTTATCAATCGCTCTACATCCGATATCATACTAGGGCGGACTTGTAAGCTGGGCTCAATGGATAGGGAGCTGAAGAGGCCAGAACGAGAACTAGGAGCCTCCAATCCTTTTTTTTCTTCTTCGCACAATGTGATATTTATAGACGCGCCCTTGCTGTATACCCTTTCGCGACGGCTGAGCTGGGAAACCGCGATTGAGTCTCGAAGGCAGCATTGACTAGCGCATATACTCACACATATAATCACAGCCCCCTCCTTCGAGTTTCAATTCTATCCAACTAGTACCAATCATCACGCCCGAAAAAAGTCACAGACAATGTCCGAGTTCAACGACGCGCGGATCGACATCATCTCTTCTTTTCTTCCAAGCTCGTCCAACACTTCAACCACTAGCTGCGGACCCATCGAAATCTGCACCATGATATCCGACGTATGTTATAGCTCGACTCCCAGCGGGCCACCCTCCCCTCCGCATACGCCGCTGACGCCTCCACCAACGCCACCTCCTTCTTAGTCCGCTTCTTCATGCCTCTAATAGAATTGTGGTCTAATGTGATATGTAGAGAAAGAAACCCATATCGGTGATCATAGTACTGTAGCAGTACTGGTGCCATGTAGTGGTGGTGGATGATGACAGCTAGTCCAATCCGATGCATCTGGCCATGACGCTCATAATTTCTCCTGCTGCCCGAAAGACCCTCCCTGGGACTCTACCGGTACAGCTTGTCGTACACGCCTCCAAGTGGCGCAGCTATTCAAAGTCATCTGAGCTGATGTTACTGTCGTATCCAGATTTCTTTTGACATATCACTACATTTACATGACCAATCTTTCGGTACACGTCTCATCCAACCCCGTCACGCATCATCCTTTGAAAGAAAGAACATTATCAATGCAAACGCCGGCTCATGGGTCGCATATGTGAAAGGTTACCCGAAACGACGAACGAAATTGACAAAGAAGACCTTGACCCCTTTCATCGTTTTCTAAAGATAGATAATCTCGCGGGTGTCACGAGATGGCGGATATGTAAATAGATGACACATGGGGGACTAGGATGTATACCATCCTTTGTGGAATAGAGTAGACGGAATGAAAATGGTGACATGTTTGCTAGCTACTGCCTCTGCCTCGGAGGCGAGAAACAGGAAAAGGCACGGGGAAGGTGAGGTATACCATTGTGTGTAGGATGCGCAGGAAGAGATAGAAGCAGGGGAGTGACTACCTCTTCGGGGGCGAGACAAACAGCAGACCATAGAATGTATCTTTTTTGGGACTCGATCGACCACGATAGAGCTCGAGGGCAGGATATATAAACTGTCATCACTACTCTCAACTCCTCTTCTTTATCCAACAGCACACCTCTTCACTCAGTACTACCAGCAGCCTAACTACCAGCCAACTAACCAACGAACACGCCATAATGCCTTACATGAACGATCAAACCCAGGACAACCGCAGTACTCCCACCGAGGCCGGCTCCCGCCCTAGCAACTACGGCAGCTCTTACAACCCCTCTCAGCCAAATTCCATCCCTCCCAGTAGGCAGTCGGGGAGATCCCGAGTGCCCGAGGGGACAGTTACTTATATCCTTCCCAATGGGTCTATCAGGGTCGGTGAGGAGAATCTCCCGGAAGGGTATCTAGATGTATCTCGACGATAAGAGCCATTATAGCGAAGAGGAGGGGGAGGGAAGATTGATGAAGCTTGAGGGGCCGGGTTCTGGGTCATCCCGATCTTATCCTGATCGCAAGGAAGTACTTGAGAGTCGATAGGTAGGTATTGATAGGGAGAGTGTCATTGTCAGATACGCATGCATCAGAGAGTTGCTTTCGAATTGTGACTGGGAATGCCACCACTGTGTCGTGCTGTTGCGCATCTGTCGAGCTACACTTCATCTCTATATGCAGCCAGCAGCATCATCGGATTGTGCTATCTCATAAACCATACTATCCTGACCACCACCTATGTGTAGTAACGTAATCTCACCCGGAAAGAACGCTGCTGACCGTCATCTTCTTCCCAATGTAAGACATTCGAGTACGCTCAGACGTAACCCGAAATACACATCGTCATATGCGTGTTTCAGGATGCCGTGTATGTCTGAATGGTATCATCTAACAGCAACGGCAGAAGGCCATAGAGAATCGTCCGTCAATTTGCTCATGTGACGGTTAAGAGAAAGGACGTCCTTCCACAGAAGACCAAGATAATGACTCGACATGCAACCGAAGACTACAACACTCGAGCACTGTACTTTTGGCGTAAGGGTCAGCGGCCTATAAGAATACCTCATCCTCCCAAACTCTCTTTTTTGTAACCATACAAACATTCATACCCCCGAAATCAGCACCTTACCAAAGTAGAGGTCAGACGAAGAAAGATGCCACGATCCGAAGAACCTACCCGCACTGAAGATCCTGGCTCTAACGCCCCCACCGAAATTACCTCCTCCAACAGAACCCAGAACCGCCCCCCTCCTTCTTCTTCTTTTACAACGACGATGTCGACTCGGTGCCAGGGATAGACGAAGTCCCCGAGCTGGAAGAGGATAGGCCGGGACTATGAGTTGGACGTAGCCTGGTCTTGAGCGGTTAGGGATGAGAGACGGAAGTACTGGTCTTGTGACACGTGAGACAGGATGGTACAAATGCATAATGCTCAAAGCTCTATGAATGTATGGACTATGGGTATTCTACTGATACTGTGATTGACAAGGGGTATAATGGTCCCAACCCGAGAAGTGAGGGTATAATTAGATGACATATGATAGCTGTCGGTATTGGAGGGAGCGGCGCCGGGCGGGGCAAGAGGGTAGGTTTGATGGGCGAGGGAGGAGGGAGGAGGAGAGGCTTTATTGTTTAGTCAACCTCAACACCGCTACACTTTCGACATGCGCCGTCTACACACCTCCCATCAGTACAAATCCTCATTTACCACCACAATCCCCGAGGAAGAGAAGGACATACCTGGGGGAACAGATCAAACCCTCTCAAACTCTCCAACACATACTTCCACCCCTCCCCTTGCTCACCCTCCTTGACAGCGCCCAGCTTATTGCTCTCGTGCACGAGGTACCCGACATCGCGCGCCTGGGTATGCACGTTACAAGACACATAGACGATGGTGAGAGGTCGGAAAGTGAGTAATTGTTGGAGGAAGGGTGCGTCGCAGCCTTTTCTTGGTGGCTATCCTGAGTGTCAGCTTTCACTCCACTCCACACAAGAAAAGAGAAAGAAGGAAAGGTGGAGAACGTACATCAACGACAACACAAGAATGCCCACCCGCAAACCCTTGTTCGGCAAGACCCCCGAAGATATCCTCCGCCTTCCCACAGAGCCACTTTGTCTTTTCGCGGAGACCGTTCATATCCGCATTCACTTTGGCAGCTTCGATACTCATCGGCGAGATCTCCACCCCCGCCACCCTCTCAAACTTTGGACTCAACGTAATCCCAAACAACCCCGAGCCGCAGTAAGTGTCGACGAGGTGCGTGGGCAGCGGGGTGGAGGGCGAGTAGTATGGGGAGGAGGGAGGGGGAAAGATTGCTTTTTGGACGTAGGTCGTAAGGGGGATGAGGATGGAGTTGTTGTTTTGGAAGAACGACCCGGCGGTAAAAGAAAAGAGCCAGGGACCGACGCGTTCGTAGACTTGTTGTTTGTGGTCCGTCACAGCGACGTGGTCGGCCTCTGTCTCGACGTGCTTTTCGGCGTCCCAAGGGTGTTCGGCAGTGGGCAGAGGGTCGGGAGGTGCGAGAGCGTCTCGGAGGAGGATGGTAGCGCCCTTTTTGTAGGAGGTGATGGTGGATTTGATGACAGGGCGGGAGAGGGCCATTTGGGCGTTTAGGACGGGGGTGGCGATGGGGCATTCTTCGATATCCAACACCCCCGGTTTACCCTTGCGTTCGAAACCGACATTACACTCAATCTCCTGCGCGACCTCTTGCTCCACCATCGCGAACTCGTCTTCGCCCCCGTCTTTAGCCTTGTCGAGCCGGTTGCGAGCCCAGCGAGGGGGAGCGTCGAAGTGGGGTGTGATCTTGGTGCGGTAGCCCCATTGTTTGGGGGAGCCGATGGTGGGGAGGATGGTGGGGACGAGGTGAGGGGGGAGGGTGGAGAAGCGGGTGTAGGCGAGGGAGACGGTTTGGAGTTTGTGTTCGAGCTGCAAGGAATAGGGGAGGGGTTGGAGTTGACACCCGCCGCTAGAGTATCGTTAGCCCATACCCCGCAAGAGTAAGTAAGGACACACCATTCACCAAAGTACTTGCACCCACCCTCAGGGTTCACCCGACGATCACCCTCCCCACCACGGAAGTCGGAAGAGTATTCGAGAATCTCGACGAGGTCGGCGAGGCAGTGAAGGCGGTCGTGTTTGTGGATCTTGACGCGGATCAGGTCGCCGGGGTGCGCGAAGGGGGTGATGATGGCCCATTTCTTGGAGGTTGAGGGGGAGGTGTAGAGTGAGAGTGATTCGCCTGGGGATAAGTGTTAGTGACATGCTTGTAGATATTGAGTCCGCCACCTCCCCCGCCCGCCCACCCCAGCGATGTCGTTGCTTCGCTCCGAGAGTACGCTCCCTCCGGTCGCTACCAGACAGATATCGTCGCTCCGCTCCCACAGTACGCTGCCTTCGGTCGCTGTGCCGCCCACCCACTCCAGCATATACTCGCTCGCTTTGCTCGCTCGGCCCCCATCCCGCCTTCTCCCCAATCAAATAAGATAACTCACCTCCCCTCGTCCACCCTCCCGCCCTCACCTCCACAATCTCCCACGGCCCCAACTCCTCCGGCGCATCCCACTCCTCATGCTCCCCCCTACCAATCACCCCCTGCACATAGTCTTCCCCCAAAAAGTCTTTGATATCATGCCACAGCACGTCTGCGGGCGAGAATGCCTCTGGGAGCGGACGGCGGCGGCGTTCTTTCTTCGTTTGCGCTTTTGGGGGGCGAGGTGGGCGGTTGTGTTTTGGCTTTTTGCCTTTGGCGGGGGTAGGGGTGGGGGCAGTGTCGATCTCGATTTCGGTAGGGGGCACGAAGAGTGCGTTGACGGGGGCCTCGGTAACGTCGAGCAGCTCCTTGGTCTGCTGTGTCTTGAGCCTCTTGGGGGGCGGGGAGCGAGAGGGGGAGAGCGTGGTGGTCATGTTGAGTGATACTTGTGGTCTGACGAGAAAAGCTGCGATGCGTCTGAGCATGTAGCACAAACAAATGGCAGCCAATAACCGCCAACAGGATTCACAGGGTGGTCCAATTTTTGGCGGGCGGTGGAGGCAGGAACGAGCCACGTGGGAGAGGAAAACGGTGACCGCCGCCGTGTTGGCGCTTAGCAGTGTGAGGCTGTGTCTTTGGAGTCGCCATGCGGACTCGATCTATGAGCAGACAAACCACTTTCTGGTGTCCTAGATGCGCTGAGCTCATAGGTACACGTTGTATATTTTCTGTACGAGTATATAAAAACGAGATACACAAATCAGCGTTTCCCAAACCAGCCTCTCCATGTCCATCTCCCCTCCCCCGTTCCCGTTCCCCTTGAAGCTTTACTCCTATAATCATCCCAAGTCTCCCAAGCGGGATCATCATCACTTAGATCCGATGCTGAATCATCATCATCCTCATCCATAGCACTCCTTGGCACAGCTTCTAAGTCCACAACACCCAAGCGCTTGAACCGCCAATAATGTTGACGATGGATAGTCGCATCCCGCCAAGGCTGCGGTCGCATTGCTCTGATGATGACGCTCCCTCCTTTCTTGTAAAGCCCTTCGGTGACTTTTAGAAGGTCAGCGAAGGACATTGGTAGGAGAAAGGGGGGATAGAAAACGCGGATGTTGGTCTGCAATGACAGTCAGGGAATGAAGAGACTTGTATACAACAGTCACTCACCTTTAGGATGAAATGGTAAGAACCGAATAGCTTCGGGACGCCGTCCAAGAGGTGCAAAGGCGACTTGGCGAAACGAGGCATGAAGCTCTTGCGAGGTTGCGACCAGGTCCATAAGGTGGTGGTCGAGGGTTTGCCCGGCGGGCATGGGAATTCGTCGAGGAAGAAGCTGTTCAGGGATCGTGATCAGCATATATTGTGACCACTGATTTGAATACTCACCCCCTGTTGGATTTTTTCTCTCTCAAAGCAGCCTTGGCTCCCTCTCTGATCTCACTTTCCAACCTTGGGCTCGAGTAAAAGTCGGAGTAAGGACCACGTGACTTGAAGTGGGTGCATCGGTATACCAATGTGCAGTAAGCCTGTATGTCGATTGGCCTACATACCAAAACCCACACCGGATCAGACATACAGCTCTGGCACGAAAAAGGAGGCTTACGCGGAAAGCGGATGAGCGAGAACAGATCCAAAATCCATAAGCGCATCCTTCGGATCGTCGGAATAGCCGTCGAACAGGACGTCTTTGGGTTCATTCTTGTAAGATTCGCCCATTCGGTGTCGGGGACGTGTGCGTGCGACGAGCGCTAAATGGTTGGGCGCTCGGTGGGGGGTAAGAGATGGGTTGGGTAGGTCGGTGTATGGCGGAGGAGGAGCGGGGTGGGGGGATGTCGACGAGGAGTCTGGGAAGGGTTTGAGTTCTGTCATTTGGTAGTGAGGTGCAAGCAGGGAATAGTGTGACGATGGTGTAGAAGTAAAGACAAAGGAATAAATACGATTGGTTCTATGTGGGCTGAGCGTCAGAGATACGGAAAGAGATACGGAAAGAGATGCGGAAAGAGAGACGCGGCGCAAGTCAAGGCGGAAAGGATAAACTTTGAAATCACGCCTATGGGTGATATTCGTCAGAGGCAGGCTGCAATTCTGATCCCCACTTGAGGATCAGATGACGAAGAAGTACTCGATAAACAATGACGGTGGCGAGTGTAGCCGCCGTCGAGGCGTCAATGAACAACGTAACAGCCTCTTCAACAACGACGCCTATCGTCCGTCAAAAGCTTGATTCGCCGATACTGACGTCGGAGAATGAGATTGTCGTGACGGCAATGCTCCATCTGGAGTCGTAGGCCCTTCGAGAACTTGAGAAGGTCAGATCAAGACACGGGGAAGAAGATGGCAAAACGAAGGCACGGATGTCGGCCTGCAATGCCAGTGAGGAGGTAGGCGAAGCATCGGAGGCCTATTGTTATGTTGTTGACGGTAAGCACACTGACGGAGAATGATACAGTACATCCAATCATCTGGTTCTGGGTGCATTATGAAGATACTGCCCTATACATGCACATGATGATACAAGTTACGCATATCAGCGCCTCGAAAACCAGTCTTTCAATCTCTTCATTCCCATTTCCATTCCCGGTTTTATTCCCGTTCCCCTTGAAGCTTTACTCCTATAATCATCCCAAGTCTCCCAAGCGGGATCATCATCACTCAGATCCGATGCTGAATCGTCATCATCCTCATCCATAGCACTCCTTGGCACAGCTTCTAAATCCACAACACCCAAGTCCTTAAACCGCCAATAGTGTTGATGATGAAAAGTCGCATCCCGCCAAGGCTGCGGTCGCATTGCCCTGATGATGACGCTCCTTTCGGCCTCGTAAAGCCCTTCGGTAACTTCTAGAAGCTCAGCGAAGGACATTGGTAGGAGGAAGGGGGAAAAAAAGCGCGGATGTTGGTCTGCAATGACAGTCAGGGAATGGACGAGACTTGTATGCGACAGTCACTAACCTTTAGGATGGGATGGTAAGAACCGAATATCTTCGGAACGCCTTCCAAGAGGTCCAAGGGCGACTTGGCGAAACGAGGCATGAAGCTCTTGCGAGGTTCCGACCAGGTCCATAAGGTGGTGGTCGAGGGTTTGCCCGGCGAGCATGGGAATTCGTCGAGGAAGAAGCTGTGCAGAGACCGTAATCAGCATATATCGTGACCACTGATTCGAGTACTCACCCCCTGTTGGACTTTTTCTCTCTCAAAGCAGCTCTGGCTCCCTCTCTAATCTCACTTTCCGACCTTGGGCTCGAGTAGAAGTCGGAGTAAGGACCGCGTGACTTGAAGTGGACGCATCGGTATACTAAAGTGCAGCAAGCCTGTATGTCGATTGGCCTGAGTGATGGACATCAGCAGTGTCACATCTTCCAGCAGCAGGAATCAGCCTACGATGAAAGAGGGTGCTCGATTACAGACTCAAAATCCATTAAAGCATCTGTAGGATCATTGGAGAAGCCATCGAAGAGAACGTCGTTGGCCTCTTTCTTGAATGATTTGCCCATCCTCTCGCGGGGGCGTGTTTGAGTCACCGGAATCGGCCGGCTAGTATCGGCAACAGGAGATGTAGTAGCGGAACAGTGTCTATATAGAAGCGATCAGCAGAGCTCATTGACGCGATGCTCAGTAGATGAGCCCCTTCGCGCAACAGAAAGAGCAACATACGGTGCTAGCGGGTGGGTAATATTGGGCTCACAACCCATGGGAGCTTCCTCGCCATCGTTGTAAAAGCCATGAAAAAGAACATCCTTGGCCTTTTCTTGGTTGCATTTGCCCATTCTCGGCTGGGGAAGCGTTCGCATCACTGAGGTAGATTGACTGCGATCGTCGATGAGAGGAGGGTTGGAGAAGGAGTGATCCCTGTAGGCAAGATGTCAGCAATGCTGTCTGACCCCTTTCAAGCTGGACCTGCCTGGTTTTGGTTTCCGCTGGAAAGGTCATGACAGCCGATTCATCTGACGAGGTGTCGCTGTTGGAGCCAGACGGGGAGAGTATCGGGGTGGCAAATCGCAGCATGATGGCTGAGCTTCTGGAGGGGGCTGAGGTATCGAGTTCGTCTGCAGCAGATTATGCAGCGACGAAAGTAGCTGTAAGGATAAGAGACAAACAGAAGATATTGGTTAGCGGATAGAATGTAAACATCTCGGTCACGGAAACCAGGCGGGCACTGCCGCTATTGCCCTCCTGTCAATCTCAACATGCCCGACGGCTCTTCAACAGCGTGCTTTTCTTCCCAGACATATCACAGCAGGGAGTACTGTATGCATATATGCTCTGGATGGACACTCATAGGAAGCGTACAGAGGCCGCTTCACGGGCTTCTCTGCTGTGGAGGTGATCCAGGGCGACATACAAGACCGCCACTGGGGGCGTCGCCCAGGATTTACCATCAATATTCTCAGAAAGATTATACTCCTTCGTGGGTGTAAACCCACATGGTGGCGATATATATCTGGGCGAATAAATTCAGAAAACACACCCCTGGGATACTCGGGACGTGTGATAACGATAGCAATCGTACCTTACCTGCAGGGCTCGGAGTGATGGGCCGATAGATAGGGCTTGTTGAGCTGATGTCAAATTTGTAAGCAGACCTGGGAACCTTATGTATTGACACCGGACACAGAGACCAGAACGCTTGACGTCTGATGCTTACCAGACAATGAATGTATGTTCAACTACGCTTCAACAACGTTGCGAATACACCGTGTACAGGGCGGTAGCATATGATATTCTCGATAGTTCCCGAATACCGATCTCGTAGATTTATCAGGAGGACTCTCAAATTCCCATGATATACATCACCCATCAATCACCCAGCATTGGTAAATCTTTACTATCAAACAATCCTACATCTTTGGGGCCCGATATGGTTGACGTAGCTTAGAATGAGCTTTCTGCGTTCTGAGGTCATCAGTAGGTTTAGCGATGATATGAGAGGGAAGTCGCTCCGCCAGTCGATTTGGCACCTTATGACAGATGATGACCAACAAGGAGGACGGTTGCCGAACGACTACTGCAGGTATCGACGCGAAACTACCAGCAATGCTGCCGTATGAGCAGCAGCTACACGGAGATACCGAGAAAGGTTCTTGATGCTTGTGATCTAACAAAAAGGGACCAAAAGCTACGCCCCGCTTGAAAGATTGGCGCGAGACGCGGAGAACATGACCGGTGCGGGCGACGCGAATGCTTTTACATTCTGCCTATCTACCTCCTTCATCCAGACCCGTTCTTCATCAACATCAATCGGTCACGCAAGCTCCATTATCAGCACCCCCCTATCATCTACCAAGTCCATCTTCCCCCTTCTGCTTCGCAAGCCCCTCGCCCTCACTTCCTCACCCTCGTTCCTCACTTCCTCACCCTCGCTATGAGTCAAACCGCACCCGACACCCTGAGCCTCAGCGGTGGGGTGATTGCTGCCATAGTGGTTGGTGCAATCATAGGCTGTCTCATGATTGCGCGGCTTTTCATCACATGACAAAGAAGAAGGAGGACCAGAAGGGGAAGGGCGGTGCGACCGTGAGTCCGAGTGATGTCTACGGGACAGAAACGTGCTGATTCGATGTAGTGTGGTGCTACAGGTCCCTGCTCATACTCCCATCTTTTCCAAAGCCCCCGTTATCCTACTCGAGCTGACCGGTGACGCCTTAATAAATCTATCAAGAAGCGCAAATGGCGGCAAGCGAAAGATGTTGAAAGACGCGTTGGGCAAGCATTGGGGGAAAGATGGGAAGGCACCTTTCCGCCTGGCGGTCCGACGGTCGACCTTGCTTCTCCTGGAGGCCATGAAGCAGAGTCCTCCGAGCCGGAAGAGTAGGGGGCAGGCAATGGGTGGCGGTGTCATTGGATTTACAAAGATGTTCGGCTTGCACGCCCATATCATTGAAGACACTGTATGTCCCACTTGTCACCTCTCACCAACATGACCCACCAGAGCTTATGTTGGAATAGAGCCCAATGCCAAACCCCTTCTCTTTCGGCGCCACCAACCTCCGCGAGAAGGATCTTGCAGCCAGCTGGCCGGTGACTCCAGTGTATCACAACCTCTACACTCAGGATCTCGCTTCCTCGCTTGCTCAATCTCCCATGAGCGACGCGTACAGGATCGAAATCTTGACTTGGAAGCTTGATCTCCATCCTGCGTTCAAAGCTGCTCTCGAGGGGCTGGTGTCTACCCACAGCCCCAAGGTCCGCCTCATCGACCTAAAGCTGCTCTTGGATAAGCCCGGGGTCTGGGAAACTTACCTTTCCGATCTCAACTCTGTGGCGATATCCCACCCACAGGCCGACCTCCAAGACACTTGGGTCCCTCCGCCTCATCAGCCTCTGGGTAACAATCCTCTCCCGTTTGACGAGTGTCACATCGACACCAACGTCGTCATGGCGCCCAACCGACGCGGCATGCTCGACGACGGTGTCGCGCAAGTTACCATCGACTTTGCAAATACACTTGCACCTATGTCGGTGGTAAGCTATGCGGCGGCACTCGAGCTCTCCCCTATCGTCCTCCCCTCTCTCCAAGCCAAGATCGCTTCCCTTCAACAGCAAGCCCAATACCAAGAGTTGGATTGGTGTTTTCAGGTTGATAAGCCGAGTTACCTCTTCTTGGCTGGAGACCCTGCTCAACAAGAGATACACATCACTATTCACAACGAGACAGGTGAGGTGTCGACTCCGGTTGTAAAAGATGACGGGATAGAGCTGGCTGCTGTGATGGCAAGGAGACGAGGAGGGCAGGTCGCGATGTTGACTCGGGATGAGATCCTCGGCTTGAGGATGAAGTCGGTGGGCATATGGACATTCAGCCCTATATAGAAGCATATAATTGTTGTACATATAGTATACGACCTAGTTCTTTGTGTATAACCAACCTTGCAGACCAGTATACGATTGACCGGGGCTGAGACATTGCAAACCGCGTCGGCTCCATACTGTAAATCCGCAAACAATTCCCGGTATACCAGCCATTATGCCCACTGACGTTGCATCAGATCGAGGTAAGAGTACAGCACAAGTAGCAGAGGAACCATCATCATAATTCGCCAAGATACTCCCTCGGTTGATGTGACAGTATCGAGAGACGACATCATGAGGCGAAGTCAATCTAAACGTAGGAGAGCGATAGGCGATATGGCGACGTAGCAAGCAGCTGGCAGCTGGCACAGCGCAGATGAGGACGGACCGTTGAGCACGGGAGGCGTAAAGTCGACGAAGGGTCGTCGGATTTGGAGAAGGGGTCGTCGGGATGCTGAGGATGCGATCATCTCCTCAAGCGAGGAGGAAGGACCTTCCTGGGAAGCACTCTAATGTCAGCCAAGGGAACACCGGGGAAGAACGTACCGTAAGTAGAGTACATCTCTTCAGCATCGCCCTATCATCTTATCATCAGATATCATCAGATATCATCAGACTGCCACCTCTCCACCCTGCTCCAAAAGCGCCTTCATGATTAGGTGTTTGCGAAGGTAATTGAAGACCTTGCCGGGGAAAAAGTTGACAAGAGCTGATGGTCATTGATTGTTCCGAGTGCTCGCGCTGGATGAAATTCGACTGTGTACCCCCGCTGATAACTATAAATTATCTCCGAGGTTTCGGGCTGGTCTGCGAGCTGGTCTGCGAGCTGGTCTGCGACAGACATTAGAACATGCGCGGAAGTAGTAATAGTCAGATACTTACTCTAGAAGCGAATGGATTGGATGAGAGTACTGTTTTCTGATTGATGTTGAGATCAGAGGGTGTTGGAGCAAGATGAGAGTGCAAGGGTCTGCCAAAGTGTCCAGGATGGTGGTCTCACGGGGCTCTTGACAGACACGGGAACCGGTCGAGGAAGGGTGGTAAAAGTCGATAATATTCTTGCGCACATGGAAATGTCGAGGGGACTGTAAATACAACGTCAGCACATGCTCATGTAAATATCTACGACACTGACCTTCTGTTTCACTTCCTCTCTAGTATGACAATAGCACCCTCCTTGATCTCCGTAATAAACCAGGGACTAGAGTACAATGCGACTCGGTAATCGTCGTACCTTTTGAAGCGATACACCGGCGTGGAGTGGGCTTGTAGACGTGGCGGGCTACTTCCATGGTGCCAGTCGACTCAAGCTATCGGCTTACGCGATAAGCGGGAATTCCCGTCGATGACAGACTCGAACTCGACGAAGAGAGCGTTCTCGGGATGTTTGAAATAGTCATAGAAGAGCGCAATGTTGGTTCCGTTCAATGTTGAATGACTGCGGTCGTCGATGGGAGGCGGAGTGGTGGCAATGATGGCTATAAAGAGGTGATCAGCAGCGCTTGCGACGCGATGAGAGATGTGCTTACCCTTCCTCATAATGAGTCGGGGTGGATATGAAAGCAGGGCGGCTTGACGATACTGGGCAGTTGGGGGCGGTGATAGTGAAGCCGGGGCTCAGAAGATGCTGGGAGCCGCTTGCCATGGCGAATGAGGACGGAGAGTGGCGGAGGACACAGGGCTCACGAGACACCAAGTGTTGCCGACTGTCGGCGGTGTACTCGGTGGCGGGGATATCTACAGGGTTGGGTGACAAAAGAAATGTGGATTAGGAAGAGAAGAGAAAGAACAAACAATGGATCAGATACACAGCGGGGTGGTGGTACGTGCGGTGGCAGCCGATCAAGGAAAGCTGTTACGTATACAAACGCCCTCGCCGCAGGTCACTCCAAGGGGACATAGAAACAAGACGGCCACTGGGGGTGTCGGCCTCTGATCTACCATCACTATCCTCAGAGAAATTATACTTTTTCGTGGGGGAAACCCACATAATGGCGCTTTATATTTGGGGGATTAAAGTCAGAAAACACACCCTCGGATACTCGGGACGCGTGATGACGATAGCAATCGTACCTTACTTGCAGGGCTCGGAGTGATGGGCTTCTCTACACTTTCTTCCATTATGTTCACAAGCTGGTACTGCTTCTCGAGTAGTAACAATAATTCATTCTAGAGATGTTGCATCTGTGAGCAGACTCGGCCATAGATCCCGACACCGTAGTACAACACTCAAGACGCCTAACGCCGACGCTGAACCCACGCACACGGTCTTTCTATGCCGCGTCCACGCTGCAATCGGACAAGCCTGATATCCATGAGTGAAGGAATGTCCATAGGTTACATGATACTAAACTGCCATCACCCAGCTCTCCCGTCCCCGACACCTACCTCCTTTCCAGCGCCCCAGCCCAGCCAAATTCGCCAGAGTTACCGGCCAGCTGGCTTCCAGATCGTCCTCGCGGAGGTCAGTAGCGCCGAAAGCAAAGCAAGACGGGTTTGGCGTTGGACTCTATTCCAGCATAAGCTCAGGCTGGCCATGTTGGTGAGAGGTGACAAGTAGGACGTACAGTGTCTTCAATGATATGGGCGTGCAAGCCGAACATCTTTGTAAATCCAATGACACCGCCACCCATTGCCTGCCCCCTACTCTTCCGGCTCGGAGGACTCTGCTTCATGGTTTCCAGGAGAAGCAAGGTCGACTGTCGAACCACCAGGCGAAAAGGTGCCTTCCTATGTTCCCCCCAATGCTGACCCAACGCGTCTCTCAACATTTTTCGCTTCCCCTCATTTGCGACTCTCGATAGACTTATTAAGGCGTAACCTGTGACAAGTGCACCAACCCTGCAGACAGACCCATCCCGCTTCGGTAGCGCCGAAAGAGACCTCCGCGAGGACGATCTTGAAGCCAGCTGGCCGGCAACTCGAATTTATCACGACCTCTACGCTCAAGATCTGTCTTCCTCCCTTGCTCAATTTCCCATGAGCGACGCTTACATGTTCGATGTCTTGACCTGGGAGCTTGATGACCATCCCTAGCTCGAAGCGCTCTTGGGGCAGCCCGGGGTCTGGGAAGCGTACCTTTCCGAGCTGAACTTTGTGGCCATATCCCACCCACAGGCCGACCTCGAAGACACTTCAGTCCATCCGCCTCAGCAGCCTCTGGGCAAACGACGGAGCTTGAGTGGCGTCGGGATTTTGGGTTGCCGTACAAAGAGCCATGCCAGTTTTGAAGTCCACTTGACACTCGTCTAAAGAAGGGGGAGTGGATGGGCCCAGAAGGGAATGGGTTGAAGGACACGGGGCTGGGGGAGATCCCCAGGAGAGTCGGACGTAACAAAGGAAACCAGATCATCCAGGTAGCCTTGCCAGCGACTCGTCCGGCTCGCCTGTAAAAGCTCTAGGTCGACAAGGCTGGCCCTAGCGGGCGCGCTTGAAGGGCGCCTTTGAGTTCAAGCGATATGTGTAGCTTCCTTGCAAAAACGCAGAGCAATGGAGAGAGACGAGGCCAGGTCCAAAGCCAAACGCTCGCGATGCCTTTTTATCGCCGGTCAATGGTGCCGCTGAGAAGAGTGGGTGCTTGCAGATCGGCGAGGTCGAATGAAAAGCGTGAGTTCCAGTGAATAGCTCTGGAGTAGTATCAGCTTATGTGTACCTCTACCGGTTAGAAGAAGAATAGGAACTTACGTCGTCGTCTTTCTTCACATGGCCGTGCTCGCAAATCCTGTCTGGCATCCCCACCACTCCCCCACCCATCGCAGACCGGCTCAGTAAACGGGATAGTCGTAGAGCTTCCAGGTCGAAATATCCACTCTGTGGGCATTGGTTATTGGTGATAGGGAAAGAGATGATGACAGATTCGCAGCAAAGCTGATCGGAGGTAGGCAAAGTATGTTTTGCTTGCTCAATAACTACTCGAAGACGACGATTGTGGGCCAGACGATGGCGGGGCGGGGTAGGGTAGATATCTGGGCGGGTAGAGTGGTCTTCCTACAAAGAAAGAGTGGGGAAGGGGAAGTCCTCGAATTACTGAGGGGGCAATGGAGCGACACTCGGCATGATATGGTCTGGTATGTCGCCGCCCATGTCCGTAAGAGAGTGGTCGAGGGCTTTTCAAGTGGACGTGGAAATAGTCCGAGGAAGAAAATCTGCAGGGATTATTGTCAGCATCGTTTTGCTACGAGTGACCGGAACACTCACCCTACACCCTGCTAATTCACCAGCTGTCCCATGCATTGCCATCGTCCCTCACCCCTGATCCCGAATCCGAATAACCATATCCCGTGACGCCGTCTGGAACCGACTTGTCGTCAGCCACCCAAAGACGCTCGAGACAATCATGACACCGCCTCTTCATCAATCACCCCCAAGCCAAGAGCCTTAATACACCCATAATGCTCCCCCTGGATTGAGATACTGCCTATTTCCCCACACCTTGATGGATCCGAGGGCGTCGGGGAGGGGCGGCTGGCTGACTCGCGGACAATGATTTAGAGGGGCAAAGCGGCGGTTGACATGGCGAACGATGGTAAAGTGTGGTGAGGAGATACATGGACCAGATGAGCACAACGTTATCGTCTATAAATGCCTATCTCGCACGTCCATGATCGTGAACAGCGTGGGGCCTTTTCGTCTCACTTGGTGCTTCTGGTGTCTGCGACCATGACAAAGTATGTGCATTCACGATACCCTGATCTCTCCATCCGGTCCCCAATACGACGCCATGTATCATTCCTGCCGTGCCATGAGCCCATCAACCTTCTCCTTCCCCCCCTTGTTGGATTCTTGAGTTCAGTACGCTGGACGCTGTAGATAGTAGACGTATACGGTAGACAAGTAGTTACGTAACGTAGCGGGACCAGATGCCCAATGTGGCGGCACGAGGTTCAGGGACTGCAGCGTGGTGTATTGTGGAGCCTGTTGTGCTTTCTCATGCTCTTTCATCTTACCAGGTGATAGGTGCTGAAGACTGTACAACAGGTATGTAATGCATAGATCTTACCAGGTGATAGGTGCTGAAGACTGTACAACAGTATTCAATACCCCTGCTCCCACTCATACCAAACCAAGCCAAACACCCAATCATCCCTCGCATCACACTCTCCCCTCTTCACTCCCTCTCCCTTCCTCCCTCGACGAGCGCCTTCCTTCCCCGCAGGCACCACCTTCCTGGCCCTCTGCACCCCTTCGTGCTTGAAGCCCATCCTCAGAGTTGCCGATCTGCTGGGTTGATTTAGAGAGCTGCAGAGCCACTGGCATCTGCGTAGACCGAGGCCGCTTTGGGGAGGGAGGTCGAGGACGGAGTGGAGGAGGAGGCCTGTAGTGTGGGTGTGGACATAGCCATAATCTGCTTCTCACTACACCCCGCCAGAGCGATACTCCCAGCATATACATAGCCTTCCGCTTCGACCTTCTTTGTGGACCCGGGCGGTTCGGTGAATATAGCGTACGAGAGCGTATTCTGCGCGAATGTCAATGTTGAAGTTGATTGAACAGAACAGGGGACAGGGGTGTGGGATTACGGACGGTTGTCTCCAGCGTTTCTCGATGAAAACGAGCGCTTCTTGCAAGGTTTTTGCAGGAGAGGGTGCTATCCACTCGAACAGCTCTGGATACTTGCGTACGCCATCCAAATACAACTCGGCATGTAGAGACGGCTTTGCGTTTCTCCCAGTGATCAGCTTCCTATCCTTGTACGTTGGGACACTAACCGAGACTGGAACATACCACCATAGGTCTCAACTCCACCGTGTCCAACTTGAGGAGTCTAACAGGAAAGAGAAAGTTGAAATCATACTCCTTCGGCTTGGTGTGGAGATGAATGTCTTTCGGCAATTCAGCAGGCGGCGGGGGAGGGGCGTATGTATTGGTGTAGACAGCCATGGTGATAGCTAGCAGCGATGCAATGGTACTACACTCTTCTTCTGCATACTTGTACATGTCTATAGAGTTTTACGTCCACTACGTACGTACAGAGTTCACACTCGGTTCACAAAGGACGAAGGAGGTCTACTCCTCCTTCTTAGCTTCGCTCGGATCTCACACCCTTTGTTTTTTTTTTTTCATCTCCCTTGCTGCCTGCGAGAGCTCCCACTCCACCTACATTCTCGAGACGTTTCTTCTCTCGCTGACGATACAGTAGAAGACTGCTATATCTAGCTGGGAAACGGCAGGATGGCGAGAAGGCTTCACTATGATGACCCACGCAATCAGGGGGTCGAATGAGGCTCTCCTGCCATAGAGCATCGGTTCAGTGTCTCCTACATCCACGGAATGGAGTTTTGAAGCAAATCGAGAGGGATTCAATAAGCTAATTCTTGGCAGTAAACACCCATGGCCATGGTTTTCATCCTTATCAACATCCATCTCGGATCATGTACATTGCTTGAAGAACTTTTCTTTCCCTCATAAACCCATCCCCTCCTCGCCATAAGCCCGATACAGTTTGAGATACAGTTGAGTGAACAATACCGTGACGTGGAAGCAATTGAGACGGGTGTTTACGTAAAGAGAGGCCGCGTCACTATATGTCTCCTCCATCTTCTCGCGCTCTCTACTACACTATACAACCAGCACCATGTCCGCCGCCGCATCCAGCTCGAGCCGGCCCCCGGTGGTACGCCCCGCCGACATGCCCGAGGACAAGTACACCGCCATCAACACATACAGACAGGTACGTCATACAGCGAAGGGGGGGCGGGGGCTGATGGGAGCGCAGAAAGTCAAGGAGCACAGCCGCATGTCCGACAACCTCAAGACGGGTGAGTGGCGCTATAGGGGAAGGGGAAGGGCGCTGACGGGGGGCAGTACGAATGAACATCAGGACGCTTGGGAAGGACTTTGACAGGACGGAGGATGATATCAAGGCGTTGCAGAGTGTGGGGCAGATCATTGGCGAGGTGCTCAAGCAGCTTGACGAAGAGCGATGTGAGTCCTCCCTCCCCCCTCCTATTCCCTTGCCCATGCTGATCGCCCTGCAAGTCATCGTGAAAGCGTCCTCCGGCCCTCGCTACGTCGTATCCTACCGCCCCACCCTCCCCGCCGCCAAACTCAAACCCACCACCCGCGTCGCCCTCGACATGACCACCCTGACCATCATGCGTATCCTCCCGAGGGAGGTGGACCCGATGGTGTATAATATGAGCCTGGAGGACCCGGGGAGCGCGACGTTTGCGGGGATTGGAGGGTTGGGGGAGCAGGTGAGGGAGTTGAGGGAGGTGATAGAGTTGCCGTTGATGAATCCGGAATTGTTTGAGGTGAGTCTGCTGAGCGAGTGAGCGGAGCGAGCGAGTGGTCGGTGGGAAGGGGGTGGGACGGGGCCCTGCGAGCGCAGCGAGCAGTGTATCTCTCGAGCGAGTGAAACGAGCGAGCTAGCGTTGGGGTGGGTGGGCGGCACAGCGACCGCAGGGAGCGTACTATGCTTCCCATCCCTCTTACCCTGCCCCTTCCCTCACCTTCCATCGCCCCTTAAGACTCTCTTTGAAACCGATGCTGAGACTACCCCCAGCGCGTCGGTATCAACCCCCCCAAGGGCGTGCTCCTCTACGGCCCCCCCGGTACTGGCAAAACCCTCCTCGCCCGTGCTGTCGCTGCTACGCTCAATACCAACTTTTTGAAGGTCGTTTCTTCTGCCGTATGTCCCCCTCTCTAGGAGCAACAAGAAGAAGAGGAAGAAGAAGAAGCTGACAAGGGGGGCAGATCGTTGACAAATACATTGGCGAATCCGCCCGGCTCATCCGCGAAATGTTTGCCTACGCCAAAGAACACGAACCCTGCGTCATCTTCATGGACGAAATCGACGCCATCGGCGGGCGCCGTTTCTCCCAAGGCACCTCTGCCGACCGCGAGATCCAGCGTACCCTCATGGAGCTGCTCAACCAGATGGACGGCTTCGACTCTCTAGGCCGGACCAAGGTCATCATGGCGACGAACCGGCCGGATACGCTGGACCCGGCGCTGTTGAGGCCGGGGAGGTTGGATCGGAAGATTGAGATTCCGCTGCCGAATGAGCAGGGGAGGTTGGAGATTTTGAAGATTCATGCGAAGGGGGTGAATAAGGGGGGGGATATTGATTATGAGGCGGTGGTGAAGCTTTCGGATGGGTTCAATGGGGCGGATTTGAGGAATGTTTGCACCGAGGTGGGTCCCCCTTCGTCTTCTCATCTCCCCTCTCCCTCTCCCTTTTCTTTCCTCCCTCATTCTTGCGTCTACTGGGAGTAAAAGCTGACTAGCATTGACAGGCAGGCATGTTTGCCATCCGCGACGACCGAGATGCCGTCGTCCAAGAAGACTTTATGAAGGCTGTTAGGAAGCTTAATGAGGCAAAGAAGCACGAGACTGGATTGTGAGTTTATCTCTTTTCCTGTGCCCTTTCCTTTCCTTTGTCCTATCCGATTCCTGCCTTCTTCTCGCCCTTTCCGGACTCGTCTCAACGACCTCGCCTCGACCCGTCGACTCGTCGACTCGCGTTTCATCGAAGGGTGGTATGCTAACGATTGATCTAGGGACTACAATGTCGTATAAAGAACGAGTCGAAGGACTCGAATGACTCGGATGGTTGTGATACGGTGGGATGCATTGTGTGGATTCTTCTCCTTTCTCCTTTTCTTTCCACCACTTCACTTTCACATTGGGACCGGAATCGGAGCGTCCAAGACGAGGTGTGGGCTGTGGCTTTTTGAAGCTGAAGCTTGAGGGCCGGGTTCCAGAGACGAGCACGGGAAGATATGATAAAAGGCAGTGAGAGAAGGGGGAAGAGCTGATTACATGATTTTCCCTCGTTCCCTCATTCACTTCGTTTCTTTGACGTACTGACATCTCTATATATGCTAACATGATGATTGGATTCCGGATCTATGCCCTTAACTCTACTGCCTCCCGCCCTCCATGTCATCTCTGTCCCCCACCCTCGAAATACGCTTCTCTCGTCTCTCGTCTCACATCTCTCTTCTCACGTCTCGCATCTCGCATCTCACATCTCGCTCCAGCTCGCCCCTCTGCCCTCAAAGCTTCAAAGCCCTCGAAATGCCCAAGCATGCAGTGGAAGAGTCGAAAAGAGTTCTAGGCATCCAAAAACCGGCATTCCCGCCAAGCCAACTTTTCGCCCTCCCCGACCAACTCGCCTACTCTTTGTCTGACCCTCTCCGCCGTAAAAGAAGAGGACGAGGGATGGGAAAGGGAAGGAGGGAGGAGGAACTCGACCCTGGGGCCTGGGGAATTGCCAACTTGGCGGATGTAGGCGACGACTCTTTGTGCCAAGTGTTCGACCACCTCGTTCTCGTCGATGATGGCAGATGGAGAGGAAGGGGAGGAAGTGGAAGGCGAAGGAGAGAGAGAAGGAGAGGGAGGGGGAGGGGGACGGGGGAGGAAGGTGATCCTCAGGACGGGGGCTGGGAAGGGTGGGTATCGGAATACGGGGATTGAAATCGACGACGAAGAAGAAGAATGGGGGACGCGGAGTTCGAGGAGGGATAGACGGAATTCGGAGGCGAGCTCGGATATCGCTTCTTCCATCCATTTTCTTGCGCCGCTCCCGCCCTCTGGAGAGGTTGAGGAAGGGGGAGAAGAAAGAGAAGGGTGACGATGCAACTCGGCATTGGGAAACTCGCCGAGATTGACGATCAGCGTCGAAACATCCAGCGGTATACAACATATGGGCACACTCTCAAACCTCGGTACCGGCGCGTGAGAGTCGGCCAAGTACCAAACCAGGTCCCAGCCTGCTTCGAGGACGCGGACAGAACCGAGGGGCCACTGTTCTTCGGCGGACGAGCGGCGGGAGGAGGAGGAGGAGGTTTGGATTTGGATGATGGGCGAGTGGGAGAGGATCTGGACGTGCGCGGCGCAAAGGGTGGAGAGGGAGGGGGCGTCGAGGAGGGTTAGGTGGGAGGTGTGGGAGAGGGCGGAGAATTTGCGGGTGTCTCGTGGGCTTTGGGTTAGAGAGATGGAAGTGTCCGGGAGGAAGGGCGATGAAGGGGCGGAAGATGAGGAAGGAGGAGGGAGGGTGAGAGGCGTAGGGAGATGAGGGAATGAAGGTAGTCGTTTGCGCTTGCTTCCTCCCCCCCGGCCGTTACTCGCTGGACCCCATTTCCTCCCGACACGCTCCCAACCCACGCCGTCCAGCCAGCCGGCGAAATATTCTTTGACGTTGCTCCCTTTCAACCGCGCGCGGGTATAAACGACAGAGATGTACTCGTCGTAGGTGGTGCTGGAGAGGGAGAGGACAAGGGAGGGGGCTTGGAGGGCGAGGTGGAGGAGGATGCGGGGGTGGAGCGGGGCGAGGTCGGCGAAGGTGGGGTGTATTGGCGGGGACATGGTTGGCTGCCGTCTGCGTGTCAGCGGGCGTCCGAGAGTGGGAGGGATCAAGCTTACCTCATTCCCAGTGTTTGGTCGTGTGCCGGCATGGGGGGGAGAAGAAAGTGGCTAAACCTTTATTCGTGTGAGCAGGGGGTATTCCAGAAGGGTGCCATTCATGGTGTGATGCTCGTTTGTTCTCTGCCGACCAGCGAGACGGGGCGGTGGCGTGATCACGGCTCATAGTACTGCACCTCCTTCCATCCGCTTCTCTGGTGCTCCTATGCACCCCGCTTTGTGGTGTGACGCATGCATGGGGGATATTTCTACGGGGGCAGGTGGAGAGGACACTCGATGGAGGAAGAATAGCAGCGAAGAGGAGATGGAATAGAGTGCGACGCGTTTGATCTTGACTTTTGATTGCCAATTCCCGCGCATCTCGGCAGCCTCGGCTGTAAAGAGTCTCCTTTCTTCTCGTCCATTCTATAGCTTGGTATATGCATGGAGAAAGACTGTTTTTACATTGGGGGGATGGAACATCTCATGACTGTAAGGAATCCCCTTCAAAGGAAAGTTCTAAGTCTCGAAGAGACTCGAGTACTCGTACAGTAAAGTACAGTGATCATCTCTCGACTATGCGCCGAAGAAGAACGGGCGAGAGATCTCCTATACAACTCATGCATAGTATGTCATACCACTCATCGCCCCTCTCCTTCTCCACGTCGTTCATGCTATCAGCATGCAGGCGCTAGCATCTCGATATCAAAAGTGATAGTACCCCATCTCGATCCATCACCTTCTTTTCTTTGAAACTGTCGGGTTTTCGATAAGTTTCGGCACAAAATGCTTTTATTTAGACATGCTAGTAGCTGCATGATACGACGCTTCGCGTTTGAGAACATATACAGCCTGCGTGATCAGGAGTTTTGTTCAATGGAAGGTTATAAAGGTCGCGGAGGATCAGACTCTGACATGTCGTCCATTCACACTGTATTGCGCATAACTCTCGCAACAATTCATCTTTTTCCTCAGCTTCAGATATACAAACAGAGAGAACCAAACAAGCAACACCAAAAATCTCACAATGGCCTCCGAAAACGAAAACAACGACGCCACCCAACCCACCTCCGTCTCCGTCCCTCCTTCCACGGTGCCCCCCACTGCCAGGTCTTGCTGCATGTCAATGGAGGACATATTGATAGCCTCCAGGGTCGACTTGTCGACTGACGAGTTGGGGGACTATCTGAGGAGGCGGCGCGCTAGGGAGGATGAGCTTTTTGGGGAAGGGGGGCAGTCTCGTAAGCCGTGGGAGGCTGTAGGGAGGGAGGGTGTGTCGGGATGGAATGATGGTGCTGGTGTCACAAGGGAGAGTAATGAAGAGTGATGCATAGCAGTTGTGGAAAGATACGACGAGAGCACGAGGGGGAAGGATGGTGTGGGTTCGAGAGAGCGATTGAGATATCTAGACAATGATAGCTTCTTGTAAGATATGGCATTCAGTGCAAAAACAATAACGTAGAGTACGAGTACAGTCCTGGCACAATACGAAACTCTCCAAGTGCTGTAGGGATATGTTACACCGCTGCATTATGAGAATGAGGACTCGTGCGACATTGACGGATACGATATCGATATGCAAACCTCAAACACAGCTATGATGCGCGCACTAGGTATCCAGCCATCTGTCGCAGTAATGATATCATAAAGGGGATGATTCGGACATCTCTGAAGTGCAACTCGATATAATCCACTGAGGTGATACTACTTTCCATCTCATGCATCGACCATCCATACAAGCTCGTCAACTGAAAGCACCATCATCCTTCTTCTTCCCGAGCTTGATACGCGATACTCCCCCGCCCCGTCCCATCATCTCCAGTCTTCGCAACAATCTGGTTCTCGATAAACGAAGGGTCATCGTTGATTATGCAGCTCACGGCGTCGTCTAGCGTTCCACGAGAGAGGTTGACGGGTACGGTCTTGACGACGGTGCCGGTGCCGGTGATGGAGGTGGTGCTGGTAGCAGCGCGGGCAGTGCGGGTGTCGTGTGTGTGTCCGGAGAAGCTGGATGTATCGGGCATTGTTGATGGGTGTGGGAAAACGAGTAGGTATTTCGGAGAAGTAGGAATGGGACGAGAAATAGAGGGGCTGGGGCTGCTTTCAAACGGTTTTGTTAGAGGTAGGAGGCTTGGGGTGTTGTGTGCGGGTTCCTCAGGGTGGGAATGGCTTTCCCATTTTCCTTTCTTTGTAGGACTGTCGGCAACATTTTTGCAATATTCCAACCCCGCAATCTCAATCGCTAGCCGAATTGTGCGAAAATCTCTCCCGTCATTGGGTGGGAAGTCTTGCTACCACACGTTGTGACACATCCGAACCCCGCAATCTCAATCGATGGCCGAATTGTGCGCAGATCTCTCTTTTCATTGACTGGGAAGGCCCTGCTACCATCCGTTGTGTGACGCATCAACATACATATGCGTGATTGTACTCAGCTATCCTGCAAACGGACCTGTTGGATGATTATGTTATCGGCGGGGGAGGTGAATGGCTTGACTTACTATTCTCGGAGGCAAGCCAAATCGAGACGGCTCAATGTATTGTTGGCGAGCCAAGCCAGTGCGCAACAGCATGACTACTGTTCCCACCGGGATCGACGGTGTACTTGTTGAGCCAGTAACGGGTGTTCTTGTGGAGCCAGTAACGACTTACTAGCAAAGGATAAGTTTTCATGGGAAACGGTCCGGGGGGAGACGGGTACTCCCATCATCCTGTCTTCTCCTTTTTACACTCTCGCTCGCTGGATACTATCTCCCTGTAGGCCGCATGAGCACCCTCGCTTTTGTGCTGTCCGGATACATGAGGTGTGTATGTACAGGGAAATACTACTGGGTACATTCGAGAGGGAACATAATTGAGAGAAGATAAGATGGATTGAGAGTGCAACGCGTTTGATTCTTGACTTTTGAATTATTTGCGATTTGCTCGAGGTGCGTGTCTCGTCAGCTCCGGCTGCGAAGAGTTTGATTTGTTCTCGTCCATTTTCTCTTCTGGGGTATGCATAAGGGTATGAGTTTTTTTCACTTCGGGGCTTATGGGTCATTATAATGGCGTTACCCCATAGAATATCAAAGCCTTCGAGGGGACTGCGTTGCGGATACAGCAGTATTGTCACGCTTGGGGGGTGCCCTTGGCAGGCAAAAACTCTCTTCAGCACGCCAAGGGCACTCCCCAAGCGTGACAAGTATTGCCCTCTGCCGCCGACGATCAATTTCCTAAGTCAGCATTGACAGTCGTATCGATATGCAAACCTCAATCGCAGCTATGATGCGCGCACCTGGTACCCAGCCATCCGTCACAGTCATGATATCACAATATTATTCAAGGGGAATAATTAGGACATGTCTGAAGTGCAACTCGATAAAATCCACTGAGGTGATACTACTTTCCATCTTGATGCATTGACCATCTGTACAAGCTCGTCAACTGGCAACATCATCATTCTTCTTCTTCTTCCCGATCATTCCGATCATATCATCATTCTCGAGCTCGATACGTGACAGTCCCATATCCCGCCCCCTCATCCTTAGTCTTCACAACCTGGTTCGCGATAAACGAAGGGTCATCGTTGATTATGCGGGTCGTGGCGTCGTTCAGCGTTTCGGCAGAGAGGTCGACGGATACGACCTTTTCGACGGTGTCGGTGCCGGGGATGGAGGTGGTGCTGGTAACAGTGATGGTGTCGTGACTATCGGGCATTGTTGGTGGGCGTGGGAAAAGTGGGAAGGATCGAGTAGGTATTCTGTGGAAGTGGGAATGGGACGAGAAACAGAGGGGTTGGGGCTGCCTTTATACATTTTTGTTGGAGGTAGAAGGCTTGGGGTGCTGTGTGGCTGCTTTCCCACCTTCCTTTCTTTGAAGGACTGGCGGCAAAATTTTTGCATCATCTCAACCCCGCGGCAGAATTGTGCGCAGATCTCTCCCTTCATTGGGGGGGAAGTCCCGCTACCATCCGTTGTATATCAATCGCTGGCCGAATTGTGCGCAGATCTCTCTTTTCATTGGGTGTGAAGTCCTGCTACCATCCGTTGTGACGCATCAGCATACATATGCGTCTTTGTACTCGGCTATCCTACAAACGAACCTATTGGTTGATTATGTTATCGGCGGGGGAAGTAAATGACTTGACTCATCATTCCTGGAAGCAAGCCAAATCGAGACGGCTCAATGGAATTATTTGCAGGCCAAGCCAAGTGCGCTACAGCATGACTACTGTTCCCATCGGGATCTACAGTGTCTCTGTTGATGCAGTAATGATACACTAGCACAGGATACGTCTTCTTGGGAAACGGTCCCGGAGAAGACGGGTGGATGGTAACTCCCATCATTCTGCCTTCTCTTCTTTACACTCTGTACGCTACTCGTACTCTAGTCTTCTGTGATCAACAAAATTTGTCCTTGGGTAAAGGGTCTCTACTGCGGGCTTTGCAGTATGTGAATTTTCATGATAGAGCCTATGAGGAACGTCACAAGCTGAAGCATCACTGTGGACAATCGGCGAGAGATGGGGAAAGATGGTGATGACGATATGATGGGTGATTTATGGGCGATGCGAATGAAAAAGATGGCGACTGCGCTGGTTTGAGTGTGTACTCGAGGATCTTACTGCGAGCCAGATACAGTTCGTGACACCTTGACAAGTAGTAAGGTCTCAGCATGCTCTGAAATAGGTATGGTGATACTGCTCTCAATCCGATGCATCGTCGTCACCATTCGTATAAGCTCCGCCAGAACATCATCCTTCTTCTTCTTCTCCGTCCCAATCAAGCCCTAGCCTGATAAGTGATAGTACCCCGCCTCGAATTATCCCTCTTCTTGGAAACAATCTGATTGTCGATAAAGTTGGGGTCTGTATTGATCACGCGACTTGTAGCTTGGTCCAGCGTTTCGAGAGAGAGGTCGACGGTGATGATTCTCTCGACTGTGCTGGCGTTGGTCGTGGTAAAGCGGGTGACACGGGTGGCGTTTCCGGATGAGGGTGGTGTCTCGGGCATTGCTGGTGGTGTGGGATAGTGAAATGGTGTTGTGGAGAAGATTGAAAAGACCGGACGATGATGTGGTTGGACTTTTATACGGACTCAAGGCAAGAGAATGAGGTTGGTTTGTTGTGAGTAGATTTCCCATGATGAGAGTGTCATCTATATCTCCCACGACCCAAGGACATCTTAGGTTATATCATTCTCGCCTTCTTCAACTCGTCTGCATCTCGTTTTAGGTATCATACTACTTCCCGTTCTTCCCGTCTCCTCCTTTTTTGCAGCGTTAAGGGCAACCAAACGCCCCCATGCGCACCTCCTTCTACCTTACGTTACTCCCCCCGCGTCCTTCTCATTATTTTCATTATTCTAGGCCTCGTGAACACTTCGATAGACGACTTGTTCCCGTAGTACTCGCCCCTTATCGAACACGTTTAGCGTAGCCGCCCCTTCTACCGTCTCGTCGTCCACGCATGTATATAAGGAAGGCAGCCTGAGTGCTGGGATTAGCAGCTACAGTTTTCGACCCTTTTCTTTACCGTTGTGTCTTTCCTTGTCGGCAAGCAATCTCTTGGTTCACTCCTTACTGTATCGCCTTTTCGTGTCATACCTTCACAAACCGTCTTGTCCTCAGCTACTTTATATCTATGTGTTCGTCTTCCTACGCAAGCATCTGCACCATACTCCTATTGTACTTGGCGTTGGAGACTTCATCTGTCCCCCTGGAGCAGGCCTCACCACCATAATACGCATGACGTGTATGCGCTTTAGTTTACGGGAGCCCTTCTTCATCGCTGATCGACTTGTGCGTACAATTTTCCTCAATGGGGTTTACATAACAAGCAATATGTCGGAGCTCAATGAATTGCCCGGCTTGGGGCTACTGATGTCTACATTGATGCTGGCATGTCATATCATGTTAATTCGGGACACTAGGATAGAGGGCTGATGTCAAACAACCAACAAATTCTTTTGTTCATCCTCCCGCTCTCGAGATGGTGGACACGATATGACATGATACGACACAATGTACATGAAGTTATACCATGTACCTATTTATACTCTTTCAGTCACTATTCATTCCATTATGATCGGGTAGCACGAGCTGGAAATGGAGCTTTCCGTTCTTGTGGAACGTCACGGCCGGGGGCGGGCATTGATTTCCGCTTTCGACTCCTTCTCCTTGTGTATCTTCTCTGCGTGGTGGCGTAATTCCCCGTACGTGGTGGTTGTTGCGAAGAGGATTGAATATGGTGGAATAGTAGGCTGGAGGAGGATTGTCGGGCGGAGGGGCGTATTCTGTTGAGGCGGGAGTTGGGAAGGAGGAGTATTGCGGTAGTGTGTCGGGCGGAGAAGGAATATGTTCTTGGGGGCTGGAGCTGTTTAAGAGGGAGGGGCAAGGCGGAATGGGGCTCATATGATTGACGGATGGTTGTTGCATTCTGAGCCTTTGGTTGTGTCGGTGGGTGAGGTGAAGTGTGGATGTCATGAGATAATGGTTAATGCCGTTCATAGGTATGGTGAGTTGGATGTCACACGGGTCCATGACCTCTAGCGATGCCCTTGTAGTAGTCGAGGTGAGTCGAAATGACTTGAGGACCATGAGAGGTAGCCAAGCCAATGCCGGAGGACATGGACGCTTGTGTTGGAGAGAGACAACATATTTGATCGACGGAGTATCTAAAAGCTATGAAAGAGTGTGGGTATTTATATCCAGCCTCAAGCCTACGTATCCCTTTTCCATGACCTTCCAGTGTTTTCTACAGTGTCCAACAGAGCGGCAAAGATTATTCTAGATGCTTCGAGATATTTCTGGGTCGAGTGGCGACAGCCACGTGACATTGGATTCACAATGGCACGGTGTAAATAGCCTGCAATTGGTACTCAGCAAAGGCAAGCAACCGTAGTGAATGGAGCGCGTGTGGTAACTCTTTTCGTTCTTCGCTCACGAGGGTAACAATTTCCCCCAGAAAGATGAGGCGGCTATGAGTAATCGGAATGACCAGGCTTGGAAGTGTGAAGTGTGAAGTGAGTGGGCCACTCAATAAGAGGGAGGCTGGGCGACTTTGCGGTACCCCTGATGACTGGTGTTATGATAATGTAATGTCAATGTATAGCAATACAAAACACCTAAATGGACACATCAATCATGCCTGAATGGTCAACGTAAGGGGCCCGACCTGTATAGGAATCCTTCGTGACATTCTAATGAAACGATCTGCCGCAGCCTTTATAGCCTTCCATTGTTGACGACTCCTTGATCACAGGTTGTATTCTTGAACATCAAATAACATTTTCAGCGGTCATAAATAGTCTGTACTTACCGAGATACAGCATTTACAGACAGACGTATTTCAGGAGCAGGCGGGAGTTTACGCACGGTGCGCTGAATCTCGCCTCTTAATTCATCCTCGATGGTCGGTCAGTGGTAATCATCCTCAGAGTGGCTGATGATATGTGCTGTTATCTGATGCATCATCAAGCAGACCGTCACCGGCTAGACTCGAAGTCAATGGGCCCGTCACGCATCCTTCCTACTCACTCTGACGGATTACATTACCATCGTTACTCTATCTTAGGCTCTTGCGTGATACGTAATAGTCGTCCACCTCGAACCAGGCTGGGTGGAGGCCGTCACTGGGACGTCTTCTCCTTCGATGAAGTCGGAGTCTTCGTTCGCAATTCGCGTGATCGCGTCCTCAATTGATTACCGACACAGCCTTCTGTACTGTGGCGGAGCCCTGGGAGGTGACGGAAGAGGTGAATTGAGTGTTGCTTTCGGACATTGTGTTATTCTTTGGCAAATGAATGTTTGGGTGTGGACAAGAATAGCACAGGACAATGACAATAAGCTATTACATGTACCGCAAATAGATGAGAAGTACATCGACGATTTCCCAGAATACAACGAGTCTTCACAATCCTTTTAGCCCCCATTGACAGAACCCTTTGGACAGTTTCTTCTCTGCAGATACAAAACACGATGTCTGAAAGGAATCATGTCCAGCCTGGAAATGATGTGCAACAGTGTCAAATGATAATCTCGTCACATTCGTTTTCCCTTATTACACGGCTACACAGGCATCCTCCACGAAGGCAATTTCTCAGCCTTTCAGACGAATCGGTACCGGGATTTTATGTCGTACCCGATATAAGGATGGGAAATGCAGGTGATCTTTTGATGTCGCGATGTGTAATTCTCACGGTAGATCCTTTCCGTTCCGTCGTTACCGATGTTTTGACAGAAACCGTTCTCTCGCTCTTTGTTGAGGTCTCGCTTTCTTTCTCAACTGATCGTTGTGGCTTGTGAATAGCTCTTCTACAGTCTGCACAGATCATCGTCAGAGGACTCGGCATCTCAGCTTTCAAGTCACACGTCAGCCCTCCTGCTCATATCCATGGTGTATATGTCGACCAACATGACCCAACATATACGATTATCGTTCCTCAATCGAGTCTAGTTGATAAATAGGCTATTCTATACCCCGAATCATGCCACGGATGACTGAAAGTTTGATGTGGTGCATCATGTACGAGTACTGAGCGACCCATGCATCACAAGCATAATTGTTGTAATGTAGCTGGTACTGGTCTCAGTCTCACTCCAACTATGGTCAGATGAGAGACGAGAATCCCAGTCACCAGGCGCTATCTACGCGGCTACACGATTTGATCCCGTCCTCCGTTTCTCCGCATATCGCCGACAATGTTGTGGCGTCACCATTCTAACAATAATTCTGCATAATATGCGCATGAGGAGAAGAATTGTTATGATACGCTTCGACGTGTTGCTTCATATGTGACGTAAGCCCCAATTGGACCCCTCCTCCCTAGTGATTCTTACTGGCGGGTCAGCCTCAACAAAATCGGGGTCGGCATCGGTAATCCGAATGACTGCGTCTTGTAATGATTCTCCCAAGGACAAGTCAATGGAGAACGTTTTGCTGACTGTAGTCATATCTGATTATTGAGTCTCGTCTTGGGCAGAAGAGGCTGAGGGGGTGTAGTTGCTACCGGACATTGGGGTTTGACGTTGCACGATGTCGGGTGTGAAGTTTCAACCTGACTGCTCTTTTTCATTCATTCACTTGTGTACTCGTATCCTGTCGGTGTAGATAGGATCTAGTTGCGAATTACTCAGAAGGATAGAGGAGGGAAACGTTCCCCATGCTGCCAAATCTCAGCGTGGGTATTGAAAGCCCGCGATGAAGCATCTGAAAGGAGGAGTCTGTGCTCGAAGCGTAGCATCATACACGATAATAACGCACTAGTGGATTTCGCCTTGCATCTTTCGGTACGCAATGCCCAAATTGTCTACGAAGCAGTGCAAGAGCGGATCAGCACTTCTGCTGTAGTAGCGACGAGCTGTCATTAACGAGAGGATCAATGAAAGCCGAAGACCGAAGTTGAGCGAATGCTCGCAATTCCAATGGTGTTGCGAGTCCACAACTTCTTCTGCATTTGGTAGTATATACGCGCTAACTACTCTGACTATGACAGTGACGATACTGATCAACAACAAGCCCCTACTGCTGTTCCACAGTCGGCTGGGTCTGACTGCTGTGCCCCCATGTGATGATACTATCTCCTCCCCCGATATTTCTCGTGCTCACATTCTTTCTTCCAACAAGCTTGAACGAATAAACCGTACAAGAAGCATAAGTACCAGGTACTCGGACCTTACCGCTATCATTTGGATCGAACACAGAGCTTTGCGGGGTAGAGCGGACAACAGACGATGGTGCTTGGCTTATGACATCTTGTTGGTCGTTGTTTGTGGAGTCGGTGGGGTTGGAGTCTGTCATTTTTGCAAAAGATGCTGATGGAATGATGGTGCATTGAGCGGGTAATGTCTTATATATGCACCGCTCGTTGATGAGGAGCCAGTGCACCTTGGCTGTACAATAGACTAGAAGGCAAGTAAGCGAAAACAAGTGGAGCAAGCTAGCCCAGTCGGAAGGCCCCAGCCTTCGCTGAGATGACTCCATTGTGTCTGCCCTGTATAGGTCTAACGATCAGTGGGGGGCATGGGCATACATCGTTTACAAAGGAAGTGCCACGAATCAGCTGACAGCATAACAACAGCGTAGGACGGATCGAATTCTAGCTCGAACATACATGATCGTAGCGAGCGCCAAGACAGAGAAATAGAGTCCCGCTCCGATGTGCTCTTTTTCGTGTAGATGCTGTACTTTCAATCGGAGTCTGGTTGGTAGTACTCCATACAGGCGGGCGACTCCTACATCGGCTCGTACGTCGGGCGCAAAGGAAACCAAACACCCCCCGCTCTGATACGTGGTTGCGACGTGCCTCTAGTAGATGCATCGCGTGACTCGCCGACGTTCCCTTGAAGCATGCAGACGACCATCCATCATATATATAGCACCATATCAATGGGTACTGCAAGTCAAGAGTCAGCTGTAAGGCAGCTGCCGATGTATAAAGCGAGGTACGGCTCTCGTCTTTTGTTTGGTCTGCGTGTCGTCGGGAGCGAGGTGCTGACGCGGCGATTGATCAGGGGTTGGTTGCGGAATCATGATGTTTCATTTCTTTTTAGCCAGCATCGTCTTGGACGAATGATCCTCTGAATAGGGACGGCAAGATGCTCGAAATAGCTATGAAGTCAGACATATAAGGCAGGTAAGTCGCGCCTTTTCATCCATCCATCATCACACGACTCATCACCAAACGTCTACCAGCACCATGCCACGAGAGGACCAATCGATTTATACCCGCACCACGATCACCCAAGATTCTTCGCGCCGGGACACTGCCTCCAACAGATCCTCTACGCGCGGGTGGGAGGATGCCGGCGGCTCGTCGTCAGCCCAAGGCCAGTACAGCCACAGCGCTTCCGTCACTTCCCCCAGGAAGACCGAGCCCACCACTGTGACAGTGCCCAATGACAATGTGGAAGATACTATAGACGATTTGGATCGTATGGGGTGTCAGCTGCTGTCTGTTTCGCGTAGCCGGAAGAATGGGAAAGGGTGGACGGATATTAGTTATCAGGCTGTCCCGCGCTAGAGATAGTCGCCCCATCTGTCGTACTACACTCCTCGTGTATTTCGAGATGATTGTACTTTCGAAATGAGATTGGAAGTGCTTGATATTGTGCCCGATTGATGCATCATCCATTCTTCCACGACTGAGAGCGCCCTCTCCTCAGAGAGGGATCAAAGATTAGTCAAGTCTCGTGCGCCCGTTCCCCGCCGGCCGTCTTTGAAGCGCAGCCACGGTACAAAAGCCAAGTAGTATGCTACTTTGGATATGTTTCAGGTGATTGTTACATCCGTTGGCAGCTCCAAAAGCAAGGTATACTTTTCTTGCTTACAAGATTGCTTTGTATGAAGTTGAAAGGCCCAGAAACGTAGGTTGTGCGAGATTTTGATTTCCAAAGAGGGACGTCAGTGTGGCGAGCTACCCGCCTGCACGGCCTATGCAATGGCCTCTACGAGCTGCTCTCGTCTCCACGCCGTCGTCGTCTTCGTCTCCGTTTCGTCTAGTATTGTTCGTTCTCGTTCTCTCCTCTTCTTCTACCGATAATGTTGGAGTTGGAGAGCATGTCCTCCCTGGAAATGAAAATGATGTGCAACAGCGTCAAACGAGAATCTCGTCCCATTCGTTCTCCCTTATCGCACGGCTATACACAAAGGCGATTTCTCGGTATTTTTGTATCGTACCCGATATACAGTAAGGATGGGAAATTGCAGGTGATCTTTTGATGTCGCGATGTATAATTATCACGAAGAAATCCTTTTCCGTCCCGTTGTTCCCGAGGTTGTGACAAAAACCTTTCTGTCTGTCGCTCTTTGTTGAGGTCTCGCTGTTTTTGATGCTCGAAATGGCTATGAAGTTGGGCATATAAGGCAGGTAAGTTCGCCCCTTCCCCCCCCCATCCATCCATCCATCATCATACAACTCATCACCAAATGTCTACCAATACCATGCCAGAAGAGGACCGATCGATTGATTCCGGCACCACGGTCACCCAAGATACTCCAACAGGCAGTGACTCCGGCAGAGTCTCTGCGAGCGGGGGGGAGGATGCCGGGGGCTCGTCGTCTGCCCAAGACCAGATCGGAAACAGCGTTTCCGTCACTTCCCCCGAGAGGACCGAGCCCTACACTAAGACAGTGCCCAATGACGATGTGGGGGATACTATAGCCGATTTGGATGATAAGGGGTGTCAGCTGCTGTCTGTTCTTCCTAGCCAGGAGAGAGGGAAGGGGTGGACTGATATTAGTTATCAGGCTGTCCCGCGCTAGAGATAGTCGCCCCGTCCGTCGTACTACACTCCTCGTGAATTTGGAGATGACTGTACTTCGGAATGAAATTGGAAGTGCTTGAAATGCAATGGCCACTATGAGATGCTCTCGTCGCCGTGCCGTCTTCGTCTTCGTCTCCGTTTTGTCTAGTATTGCTCGCTCTCGTTCTCGCCTCTTCTTTTAGTAATACGGCTGCACGACGTAGCTCCGCACGTTCCCAGTATTCACGTCCTTTACTATACCTCGCCCCTCATCTTCTCGCCCTTCGTACTGTCTGCAGTCTCTTGTACTGCCTGTCTCGTGGCTGTCGCCACTCGACCAAAGTAACGAACCAAACACCCAAACCTCCACCTCCCACGTCCGCGTCGACCACCACGATCTTGCCACCATCTGGCTACAACATTCATCTGCTTTACCTCCGCGGCTGAGCTATACCAGCACCGCCTTCTAGCTCGATGCTTACTACATAAGCCTTTGCGGGCGAGAAGGGAAATACGCGGAGATGGAGAGAGCAAACCCATTCCACCTCTTTCGCCACCAGGTTTGCCGATGTACATTTAGTTGACTCTAGAAGTTTCGACGGAGGATACAATGAGTAAGCAGACCTGAGCTGCTAGGGTATATAAGGACGTGTCACCATAGCAGTAGATACTTTGTCGATCCAATATTGTTGTCATCTCTGGTACACACACTCTCTCTCGCTCACCACACTCGCACAAACGCTATCTTCCTTCGGCATTGGTCTGGCCACTCACTTCGAGTTCTCAGATCATTTCGTATCTACACCTCGACGACCTCTGAAGGCATAGCCTAAGGAAGGTAGCCCCCTGACACTGCCCCAGCCCGCAACAAATAGGCGAAACTACAGCTGTCATCCCTGAACATTCATGCATGACTTTGAATCATCTGGCTGAGCGTACCCTTACCTACTGATGAAACGATCAATGATGAGACGGCACTGCAGACTTGCAGGTGACGCACTCCTGTGGCACGCCCAGCGCGTTGAGGGAAAAATTTGATCCCTTCGGTGTGTGGTTCCATACACGGCCCATCTAAGCCGTTCGTCTGCTACATATGCATAAGGTTGCCCGTCGTAGCACCAGCCGAGATGCAGCCAGCGCATACGACAATGGGCTACGCTAGCGCATCGATACTTTGCACAATCAGCAAAAGTCCCATTCCATCTCGAAGCGACGGAGCAGGCCCGGAGCTTGGCCCTCATGGAACACACAGACACACTCAGGGCCTGGTGGTGCGGGGTGGCGACGGTGACGAGGGGGTGATGCGTGATGCATGCGGTGTATCCCTGGGGCAGACGGGGTGGATGCATGAGAGACAGCGGCGAGTGGCGGTGGATGTGGCAGGATGGATTTGCATGACGATGCGGTGAAGGACAACACCTTTCATCCCAAACAACGACACCCCTCGCCACTTTTTATAGTTATCTTTCCATCTCCATCTTCCATCATTTCGCGGCCCCGCCTCGCAAGTACTTCTTACTCGGCCACGTCCACCTACACCCCGCCCCTCTTCGCCTCCCCCTTCCCCCTCGTGCCCCTGCAGCACCGCCAACCTCTCTTCTACTTTCTCCGCGCCCTCTCACAAGCAGCGGTGGAGAGGATGAACTATTACAACCAAAACCAACAAGCCATGCCGGGGGGGATGGGTATGCCGGGGCAGTACCCCCCCGGTGGCATGGGCGGTTATGCCGGAGGGGGAGGGGGAGGGATGGGCGGGGGGCTGAACCCGATGATGACGGGCGGGGTGATGATGCCGGGTGTGCAGGGTATGGGCGGTATGGCGCAGGGTGGGATGGGCAGCTACGGTCAAGCGTTACACAACCTCGTCAGTCCCCTCTTCCTTCCCTCCTGCGATGGTCACCCAACTGAACTCGGATGGTAGGGCTACGACTACAACCCGCCCTCTCTGGGGTACACTGCCAAAGCCAACTGGTCCCCCTGGGACCTCGCCAACGCGCAGTACAACGGCGCGCACCTCGATAGAGGCTTTTTCGACAATATCGTACGTCTTTGTCGTGAACACCAAGCACTCAAGAATCATGCAAGCTTACAAGATCCCCTTCTTCACCCCCACTCTCATTCTTTTGAACGGCCGCATACTCCGCCATCTCCTCTTCGACGTACTGAAACACCTCGCCGCACTCGTTTTGCGCCTGCCCTCGACTCGTCGGACGACCCACCGGCGGAACGAAATATATTACCGTCGACGACGATCCAAAAGATCTCGACGCTGACCAACTTTTTCACAAGCCGTCATCTCAGTGAAGAAGCTGCAAGAGATGCTCACCGGTACGTCCCCTCCCCCTCCCCGTCCTCCTTCTTCTTCCTGCCCCTTCATAGAAAAGAGTCCAGGCTGACGAAAAGCGTGTAGCCGGGTGTACTACGCGAACGAAGGCTCTGACGCCGGCAACAAGACCCTCGGCGGCGCCGCGGCCTACCAAGCATATCTTATCTGGGACAGGGACCATTATTCGGCTTATCATGCGAATCCGTTGCAGGAGAATAGGGAGAGGCTTGTGGGGCTTGCTGTTGCTGAACGTACGGCCTTCTCTCATCTGCATCTCTTTCTCCCGGCTATATCCTTCTTGCCTTCCCTTTCTTCGTGTTTGGCTGACGATCTGATTAGTGTTCAGTCTTTGGGACAGAGTCTTGCCGAGGAGTACGAGGGCGAGTATTGAGGATGCTTCGCAGTATGCGGCTGCGACTGCTAAACATCTGTTTGATCGAGTACGTCCTCTCTTCCATCTACATCTTCCCTCTTTCTCCTCTTTCCTTCTTCCTCTTCCTTCCTTTTGAACCTTCTCTTTTTCTTCCTCTTCTTTCCCCCCTCTCACCCCTCTCGCCCTCCTTCGAAATATATGAAAAAGTAATGGAGCTGATAGAGGGAAAAGCACTACGACATAGATCGAAACTACAACAACTATGCCAGGTCCAACGCCGGCGGGGGGTCGCACTATTATGGCTACAGAGACGACAGCGGGGCGTCGGATGTGGAAGAACGAAATCATAGGAGGAGGAGTATGTATGGTCGTACGTCTCTTTTCTTTTTCTGTTCTCTCCTCCTTCTACCTCCCAAGAAGGCATGAAAGAGAAAGAGCTGATCCAAGGGGCGGTTTTAGAACAAGCAGCCTACGGTCCGGGCGGGAGTCAGCCGCCGGCGGTTATGGGTATGAATGGTGGGCTTGGTCAGCAGATGGGCGGTGCTGGGCAGATGGGCGGTGGTATGGGTGGAATGGGTATGGGAATGCAGCCTGGGATCGGAGGACCTATGGGCGGGATGGGGATGTCTGGTATGCCCGGTGGCGGTGGGATGGGCGGGATGGGGGCTTATGGCCCTGGCGCTGGTATGGGAGGGATGGGAGGGATGGGCGGAATGGGTATGGGCGGTGGTGGTATGGGCGGTGGTGGTATGGGCGGTGGTGGTATGGGCGGAGCTTACGGCGGTATGGGCGGCATGGGAGCCTACGGCCCTGGCATGGGTGGGATGGGGATGGGCGGGATGGGAATGGGAATGGGAGGTATGGGCGGCGGGATGGGTCTGGCACAAGGTATGCCCCCTCATGGTTCGTTTGGTGAAGGTCAAGCTGCTCCTGTACGTTCCCTTTCCTCCCAAGACAAAAGACCCAGAGAGCTGACAAAAAGAGTAACAGGGCATGCATCCATACCACTACGGCACCCAATCCGGCGTCGCGTGGGGTAATCAGCCGATCGATTCGGGGGGGCACAATACGTTTCTGCAGGGGGGAGGACAGAGGGGGTTTTATGGGTATGGACAGCCGTAGAACAGGTATTTTTGAGCCTGTTCGGGGTCTTTGGGGTCTTCATGTTGAGTATGAGTCGGATTGGGAGTCGGTATCGGAGGCGGAGTTGGAGTACGGGTCGGAAGGGGAAGAGGGAGAAGGGGGAGGAAAAAAAGGGCGATTGTCTGTGTCGAAAAGTGTGCGATGGAAAGAGGAAGGGGAACTTGTGTCTGAATACGGGTAGATCAGATTTATATCCATCATTATTTATTCGTCGTTCGAGTGGGGGTCTAGGGCGGTGTTTCTTGAGATTGGGAGGGGGTGGTGTTTATGTATCGATAGGTAATTTGTGCGTTTGCTGGCTCTTGTACGGGGCGAGATGACGGGTAAGAAGGATGTCCATCCACTGGGCCTCTCACTCGCATCGTAGATCGTACTGAGCTACGTGCGGCCCTTGCCGCAGACGGGATCAATTTCCTCGCCCATTCCACCGCGTCCGTCCCTCCATTTGCCCTCCATCATCCCATCTATCTCATCTATACCCCTCTTCTTTCCCTACAACCTCAAGATGGCCCCCAAAGACCGCACCTCCGAATTCCACAGTACTCTCAACTCTATCAAGTCTCGCTCTGCCGTGCCCCTCAGCCGCGCCAACAACAATAAGGGGAAACAGGCCGATAGGGAGGCGAGGCAGCCGTTGCTCGGCAATGGCGCATCTGGCGCAGGAAGTGGGGCAGGGGGAGGAGCGGGAGGAGGGGCAGGGGGAACGAAGAGTGAATTTGGGAGGATGGCGGGGGCGATAGCGAAGGATATCAATACGACGACTATGAAGTTGCAGAAGCTTGCGCAGCGTGAGTTCATGGTCTCTTCGTGGGAATGGGGGAGGGGAGGAGCTGGGTGGCTGAGATGGGGCTGTTGAACTTGGAGGGGAGGAGATGAAGAACTCGATCGCTGCCATTCGACGCTGACCTTGACCGCAGTTGCCAAACGCAAGACCCTCTTCGACGACCGTCCTATCGAAATATCCGAACTCACCTACATCATCCGCCAAGACATTGCCTCCCTCAACACCCAAATCGCCTCTCTCCAATCATACACCCGATCCCAAAAACCAGCATCTTCCAAGAACGCAGGCAAGCAGGTGGAAGAGCATAATAGCAATGTGGTGATGTTGTTGCAGAGCAGGTTGGCGAATATGGGCATGGGATTCAAGGATGTGTTGGAGTTGAGGACGCAGAATATGAAGGCGAGTAAGGATCGGACGGAGCAGTTCATGCACACTGCTGCGAGCAGTAGTGTACCGGCGCCTGCTGAGAGTGAGTCTCTTGTCTCTTTTCTCTTTTTCGTGGGGTTGTGCTGATGAGGTGTAGACTCGCTTTTGTTTTCGCAATCCGGCAAGGGCAAATCCCGCGCTACGACTCCCAACCCACCGAATGGAGGCCATCCCAACACGGCACAGGAAGGCGCCGATTTCCTCGCTCTGGACATTGACGGCGATAGAGGCGAGAGCGGTGTCATGCGGGGTGATTATCAACAAATGCAGCTCGTCGAACAACAAGTACGCCCCCCCTCCCGCTCCCCTCCCCCCAGCCCACGCTAATCTGAGGTGTAGGACTCATACATCCAATCTCGCTCGACCGCCATCGAATCCATCGAATCCACCATCGCCGAGCTGGGTGGCATTTTCAGCCAGCTCGCCAATATGGTCGCCGAGCAGCGCGATACGGTGGAGCGGATCGATGCGGATACGACGGATATAGCGGCGAATGTGAGCGGGGCGCAGAGGGAGCTGTTGAAGTATTATGCGAGCGTGACAAGTAATCGGTGGTTGATGTTGAAGATTTTTGGGGTGTTGATCATCTTTGTGAGTGCTTGCTTCAACTGCTTTGACAGGTATGGGAGGGGCAAGCTGATGAAGGGGGCAGTTCCTTGTTTTTATTCTTGTATCATAATACGGCGATGGACGTTGATGAGTTATTGTTATGGACTTTATGGTTTCACCCGCTGTCATATCGACTTGCCAATTGCATGGCACGACGCTCACATCTTAGAACCTTTCCCGCATATCTCTCAGCCCACTAACACACCACCCCCCTGATAAGTCTCCTCCATTCTCGCACTCGGACTATGTATACACAGAAACAGACTGCAGACCCCTTTCGTCAAACCCGCGCCGATCTCGCCCCATCTGCGCCGTGACGTTGGTCGTTCGTTCAGCCTGTCTCCCAGCCCCCAGAGCAGGATTTGTATCACCACAGTAATTGTAGAATTAATCCAGAGCAACGTGGATAACACAAGACGCCCGAGCACCTGGAAGAAGGCAGCTGCGGGAGGACAGCGATTTAGACGATGATGGATGGTAAGATGAGTACATTGTGATTGTATGATTGCATTTGATTGTACGTACGGTCCCTCTCAGGATGATGGTTCGAGGTGGATATTCGCTGCTCGCTAGAGTAGTCGAGTACGAGCACGAGTACTCTACGCAGGGTATGTCACAGTGCTCCGGTCCCGGTAGATTGGGGGTTTTGAGGATTCCGTTGATTGTACGTACGGTGCTCTCAGAATGATAATTCTAGGTGGATATTCGGCCGCTCGCTTGACTAGTGCTCCGGTAGATCCGAGGGCTGTTGATGACTACGTTGATATGCGCAGATATGAAAGGGAGCGAGTTGGAAGGGCGGCACCGCTACTCGTACGATCAAGACGAGGGGATCGTCTCGGAACGGAACGACGCCGACGCCGCAGGCTTTGCTCTTCCCCAACTTTGGTCCAGGAATGTCAGCCAACATCTACGAAAAGAGAACGCCAAGATGTACCCTTTCATCATACTGTCAATCTGTATTCGGGATTTACCCGTCATCCAATCAACAGTATTTGCCAACAATGGGTATTCGGGTGTCAAAGGTTGCGGAGTATTAGATCGTCATAGTAGACATCCTGACGAGTCCAACAATTTTTTCCTATATAATCTCCCTCCAATGCTCCTCCCCTCGACATTATCCTTGTCTTTACAAATAAAACCAGATTCCACCAAGCATCCCAAACATTTTTTCTCAACAATGTCCGACAATATCACCCGAATCAGCACCGGCTCTGTCGACACGATCACAAAGTTTGTGGTGCTCGACACGTCCCTGGAGGAGAACAGAGACCTGAAAAGTGCCGTGCGCCGGATCACCACCGGAAACCCAGACTTTATTGAGGGCGAGGATGTTGAGGTGACGGTGACTAGGCAGCCAGGGACTGATTACGCTACTGTCACTTATCCAGGATGGCCGGCGGAATCCGAGGAGTAAATCAGGCGCCTCTCTGGCTCGACACAAGCCCCGCGCCGCGGAATGTTTACGTTGCGTCGAGCGGGTGCGCTTCTTGGATGACGCGACGAATGAAGCTTGATGGCGTGGTGTTGGAGTCTGGCGATAGATTATATGGCTCTTGAGAGATGCATTGAATGAGGTAGCTCCGCCTGATGCTCATGTACGTACGTGCCTCTCAGAACGATGGTTCGAGGTGGATATTCGCCGCTTGCTTCATGTAAGGATCCAGTGGTCAGATCTCGGGGCGTGAGTCAACAAGTCCAAATACCATCATATGCATAATGATTTCAGGGTTGGAGTTGTGATGCGAAATTATGATGCAGTGGCTTTTGTTGCTCATTCGGTTGATTGATCTTACTTGGTATTTAGGTCCATTACACTTGACTACTAGTCGAGTATTGAGTACTGTACGCAGGGTATGTCACAGTGCTCCGGTAGATCGGGGGAGTTTTGCGGATTCCATTGATATGCGCAGATATGAAAGGAAGCGAGCTGGAAGGACGGCACCCACCCCACTCGTACGATCAAGACAAAGGAGACACGTGGAAGCCCGTCCAGCGTTTCCCTTTTATATTCACTACAACAACCATGGAAACAGAACGCCAAGACGTACCCTTTCAGCATACTTCCAGTCTGCATTCGGGATATACCCGTCATACATCCAGAAATAGAGCTTTAGCGCAGTATCTGCCAACAATGGGTAGCCGGGCGTCAAAGGTTGCGGAGTATTAGATCGCGTGACATAGTCCAACAATTTTCCTATATAATCTCCCTCCAGGGCTGCCCCCCTCTACAGTATCATTGTTTTCGTTACAGATAAATCAGATTCCACCAGACATCCCACCCACTTTGCCTTCAACAACAATGTCAGACAACAGATCTCGAATCAGCACCCGCTCTGCCAACACGGTCGAAAAGTCTGTGGTGATCGACACGACCCTGGAGGAGAACCAAGACATCGATAGTGCCGTGAGCCGGATCACCTCTGCAGACCAAGACTTTATTACGGCCGAGGATGTTGAGGTGAGGGTGACTAGGAAGGCAGGGACTGATTACGTTACCGTGCACTATCCAGTAAGGCGGGTTATCGAAGAGGAGTAAAGCAGCCAACTCGGCGTCCGCGCGCGCGCTTTTTGGATGACGCGAAGAATGCAAGCTGGAGGGCAAGTCTTAGATTTCTATGGCCTTGACAGATGCATTTGAGTGAGGTAGCTCAGCCTGGTGCTAATCATCAAGCTAGATAATCTTGAAACTGACCAACGCGTTGCCATTCTGAGGATTTTAAAGCCTCTCTGAGCCACATGAACAATAAGAGGCAGAGGATTGTTTGTAGTCTATATCGCTCCGTCTGCTGCAGCCTCTAACCCTCGATGGATGCATCTGCGTACTATATATATATATATATATCTAGCCGTCGGCGCGACTCCTTCTCACCACCACCACGCCTCCCACATCGCTATCCTATATCATCACATAATACACTGTGCATCATACACCGTCATGCCCATAGGCTTAATATGCCACACATTTTCAGGCATCAGGTGCACACAAGCCCTCCCCTCACCACCCCGTTCGCCGCCGGTGAAAGCAGCTTCCCTCCTTCTCGTTCAAACGCACACATCCATTACCGTCCGGAAGTGTTTGCAATTCTCGGCTCGATGAGCTCCATCGTATAGTGGGCAGTGACGGAAAACATAAAGTGTCTTGGGAGAAATACTTCCCATATGCATCAATTTTACGTATCGAGCAGCTACACTTACGGCGCGCTGACCACTTTATCCCGCGCGTCGTGACTCGGTGCCATATGCTCCCAGCAACTTTTTATTACTCTAGACCCCGCCAGCCCAGTACTGTACGTTCTAGAAATGTAGTCTATAGAGGTACGAGTGGGAGCGGAAGAACGATGACGGTGCAGAATGTGATCATATACTTCTTGCATTGTTGTAGGTGACACGCAGCTGGTAGTGATTACGTAAACCTGTACCTGAAAAGCAACTCTCCTGCCTCTTTCAATCGCGAGCGTTTCTTTCGTGTTGTCCTTGTCCCTCTATCTTCCTTTTCCGCATCTAACCCCTGGCCATCCTCGACCCCCTCTTGCCACCCCTACTCCCAAGAAGAATAACCAACTGAATCACGATGTCTAGGGCTTCCCAACCGGAACTTAAGAGTGCGTAATCGGAGAGTGAAGGGGTGGGATTGTTTTGCTGATCGTTGCTTCTTCTTTTTCTTTCCTTCAATCCCTTCATCAATAACCGACATGTTCCTCGCACTACAACTACGTCAATACTCGACCGTCTGCGTTGTCTTGCTGGTTCTTTGACGATCCGCTTCTGTCTTGGCTTGGACAACCTCGACTGTAAAAACCGTCCATCACCTCCCTGCCCTCTTCTCTCACTCCCTCAATCGTCATCTTGCCTTTCCATCGCCTCTCCCACCCATCCTCCACCATCTCTTCCTTCGCTAACTCCTCCCCTCGCCCACAAATGCGACGCGAAAAAACAAACAAACAGAATTCATGGACCGTCGCCTCTTCCTCCACCTCCAAGGCGGGCGTCAAATCTCTGGTGTTTTGAGGGGTTACGACATGTTTTTGAACTTGGTGGTGGATTCGGCGTTTGAAGAGCTTGGGGCTGGGCAGAGGAAGCCTGCTGGGATGGTTGTGAGTATCTTTTCTTTTTCCGTGTTTTTCTTTGATGGGTTTGTGTTGGGTGCGGAGGGGAATTGGGAGGAGAGGGATGAGTGAGAGGAGGGAGGGGAGAGGGGAGAGTACACAGAAGGGAGTGGGGTGCCGGGCTTGAGCTCCTTGGACGTTTTGTGTGCTGAGCGAATACCCGGTCTTCCTGTCATTCCGACTTTCCCATCCCTCTCTCCTTCTCCTCTCCCCTCATAATTCCCCACCTCTCCATCACCCTCTTGCGCCTGCTCTTCAAGCCTTCTCGCTCTTTGCTTCTTTGCTGCTTCTGCTTCTGCTTCTGCGTCTTGTCTACTTTGCTCCTCCCCCTTATGCCTTACCTTCCTCCAGTCCTCTCGAAAGCGAATGAGAAAGAAGCTGACGACTCGGTCAATAGGTTATCCGAGGAAACTCTGTCTCTGCGATGGAGCTTTTAGATAATCAGCGTGTATAATCCCTCCCCACTTTCCCACTTTCCCATATTCCTCTCCATTCGTCTTTCACCCTCGCCCCTCGCCCTTCGTCTTTGCTTTTCCACTTTTCCCCACACACCTTCCCTCTTGTGCTTGTCGACAAAAAACCAACAATCACCTCTTCTCTCTTCGAAAGCCTTCTGTATCGGCGACGGTAGCGGCGGTAGGATATGGAAGTGTTCTGTGAAAAAGGTTGAATTGGGACGGGGCGGTGTACTTTCTTCTCGAGGACGGCGCGGTAGAGGAAGGGAAGGAGAAGGAGGTGTTCTGAAAACTAGTAATATTCCCCTTTTGTAAAGAAAACAATGCAAGCAAAATCCACAGAATAAAACCAAAATGACTTAGAACGCACAAAGGCAAGAATGTCCAGAAGATTGAACGTCTAGTAGATATATAGTCGAGAGCAGAAATTGTCCAGCGATACAAGTATACGAAGAGTGAGCAAGAGTACGAGAGTGAGAAGATGGTAAAGACGAAAGATGGGTAAAGATGATAGATGACGCGAAAGACTAGATATAAACAACAACCCCTTCCCTCCCTCTTCTCTTCTACTCCTCCCTCCTTCCCTTACTCAATCACCATCCCCCCTCCCCGCAACGCCCCCCGCAACACCCGCAACAACGCCCACCAACACCACCGCCCCCACCGCCCCCAATACCAAAAACCGTCTCTTCTTCTTCCCCTTAACATCCCCCTGCGCGGTCCACCACTCGCGCCAGGACAAGACAGGGGTCCAGGCGGGCCCGGTGGAGAGGGTGGAGAGGATGGATTGGCGGTGGCGCCAGGATGGGGAACGGTGCCCTAGGTGGGGGGATTGGTGGTACTTTTCGGGCTCGACTTCTACGGTGGAGGAGCTGTTGGCCGAGGAGCCATCCTGTTCACCCCCCAAACCCTTCTCCATATCAGACAACAACGGTGTCGGCGACGTCGGCGTCAAACAATGAGGAATGCGCAGGGACTTGCCTTCTTTCCCCTTGCCCTCCTCTTTGTCTTTGCTCTTGGTGAAAGCGTTGTGGAGGTTGGAGGTGGAGATGGAGACGAGGTGGAGGTCTTTGGCGGGCGTGGGCGGGGGCGTGGGGGAGAGTTCTTCGGGAAAGACGAGGACGCCTTGACCGCCTATTCTGTCTTTGCCTTTTTCTTCCTTCCCCTTCTCTTCTCCTCGAACGTTTTGGACGTGTCCGTCTTTCGCTTCCCGGGGAGTAGCACCACCAGCGGCAGCAAACACGCTAAACCGCCGACTCGTCCTCCAAGCACCTTTACTAACAGGCCTCGGCGGACGATCGCCAGCTTCCAACTGATCAGGAAACATCCCCGGGTCCTCCTCCTCCTCCTCCTCTCCGCCGGCGCCGGGAGCGGCGCGTTCGTCACCAGAAGATCCCAGTTCGGTAAACGTATCTTCCCGGCTTTTTGACCTTTGCAACTTTCGAGAAAGCCTGATGCGCAGAGTGTGGCGCTTTGCAGCGGTGGAGGTGGAGGTTGTAGAGGGTGTGGTTGAAGAGTGTTTTGACCTTCGACCAGAGGCGGAGGCGGTGAAAGACGAGCGCGGGGTATTGGAACCTTTCATCCCCATCCCCACGGCGGACCGAGAAACGCCTTTGCTCGGTTTACTCGGTGATGGCGGGGGAAGATCGAGGTGATGCAAAGTAGAGTGGGCTTGGGAAGAGAGTGATATGGAAGGACGGTGTGCTGAAGGGGTGGGGGTGGAGGAGGTGAAGCGGGAAAGACGGTAGCCTCCTTTTTTGGACTGGTTTGATAGCTGCGAGGGGAGTGATTAGTTGACCTGTTCATTCGTGAGGGAAGAGGAGAGGGGAAGAGGGGAGAAGGGAAGAAGGGACATACACGTTTGCCACCCCTCAACATATTTTCCAATACGACAGCGCGCCCTACAAGACTTCCTAGGTCCATCCATTCTTCTTCGTCGCCTCCTTCGCCCCCTTCTCCCTGCCCTCCTGACCTTCCCCCAAGCCCGACACGTCCGCCATCCAACGGCGCACTCTTCAACCCCCGCCCCCGCTCCTGCTCCCGCTCGAGATCGTCGTACCGCCGCACTTCCCACCGCTTCGCAAACACATGCCCCAGAGTACTGGTTGAGGCTCGGCGGGTGTTGTAATAAGACCGGGTACTGCGCGTTGATCTGGTGGAGCGGGAAGATTTTGTACGGGAGAGGGAGAATGATCTCGCCGTATGGCCGGAAGAAGAGGGGTCGGGGATGATGGAGGAGCGGGTTTTGGAGGGGTGGTGGTGGGAGGAGGAGCCGTGTGTCGCAGCGCCGGAATTGGAGTCGACGTCGTCGACCCAGTCGGAGGTGAGGTACTCAGCGGGTATATCGACGTAGGGCGTGACACCTTCGCCTTCCCATGTACCCGTATATCCACTCCAATTCGAGAGCCTGTACTCTTCTCCATACCCGTCGCCAAAGCCGTGTCCAGTAAAAGAGGCAGAGGCAGAAGCGTGCCCGAGAGACGGCGACATTGGTACGTCGGAGGGTCCGAGTCGGGAGTTTGGGCGAGAGCGGGCAGAGGAGGAGGTGGATGGTTTTCGGGAATGGGACCGGGGGAGAGAGGGAGAGGGGAGGGGGTCGGAGGCGAGGAATGCGTAGGAGGGTGTGAGGCCTGGGGAGGGGGCGGGGAGGAGAGGAGAGGGTGTGATGGGGGTGATGGGGGTGGTTGGTGATGATTGTAAAGGCGTGGGCAAGCGGGGAGGGGGTTCGGCCCATGGCAAGTTGGCCAACGCCGCCCCCAGCCCTCCTCCCCCCGCGCGCGTTTGGGACAAGTGGACGAGGCTGGCGAGCGAAGGGTTGAGCTGGTGGGCATGCGCCTGACTGACAGTCTCGCGCCGGCCTCTGAGGGCGGTCCGGGGCTGGACGGGCGTTTCGGTGGTGACTGATGAGTCGGAGTAGGCTATGGAGGAGGCGTAGGCGGAGGTGGAAGGTGTTGGGGGGGCGGGTTTGGGAGGGAGGGGAGGGGGAGTGTCGGGCTGCGTGGTACGCGACTTGGTCCTGGTTGTAGAGTTTTTGCTCTTGATGCTGGACGACTTGCGCGGGCTGAGCAGCTCGGCGAGGACTTTTGCATCGAGGTCACCCTGGTACACGCCTCCTCCGCGGATTTCTTCAGGCAAGTGCGCGAGAAAGTCGGTACGGTCTGGCGAGCCCGTATACCCGCTCAGCGGGATCGAGTCGCGTACCGTCCGCTGTACCGGCTCATCTTTCGCCGGCAAGGCAGGGGGGAGGGGCGGGAACGGGGGCGCGTCGTCGTGCAGGGGGGTGTTGGGCTGGGAAGGTTTAGGGGGGTTGTAGAAGAGGACGGAGGCGCGGGGTGTGTCCCAGCTGGACCCGGAGGCCGAGTAGAGCGAGTTTTCGCGCATCGTCGGGGGGCGAGAGCCTTCTGCGCGGTCTGGCATCCTGGGGCAAGGGGGGGTATCAGCAGAATTGAAGAAGAAGAAGAACAGGCATGTTGTTGATGAGATGGAAGTTCGTTGCGATGGAGGGATTAGTGGATGTCGTAGCGAGGAGCGTGCACGAGGTGCAGGGGTCAGTGCGCAGGGCAGAGTGGGCTGCAGATTTCAGTGCGTGGGGGGGACAGTTGGGCCTTTTCCTTGCTGGCTTGCTGGGTGGGGGGCAGCTGTCGCATGCTGGAGGGGTATTCCCTGGGATGGGAGGTGTATGCAGGGGATTGAAAAGAGACGCGGTGGGAGCTGGGAACTGTCGTAAACATCCAGGGACGCGCCTGATTTTTCTTACTCGGCCTCCTCCGCCGTACCCGTACCACTTTGGGAAGGGGGCGGGATGGGGGCCGAGCGAGCGCAGCGAGCGAGTACATGTTCGGGTGGGTGGGCGGCACAGCGACCAACGGGAGCGTACTCTCGGAGCAAAGCGACAATACGTTGGGGTGGGCGGGCGGGGGAGGCGGAGGCGCAAACTCTAGGGGCGGGCGGGCAACATCTTCTTTCGCTCGCGGCTTACAGCCCCCGCTGTATGGGTGACTTCTCAAGATCCCATAGGGGGTTGGTAGAGTATAAAATCAATGTGCGCATACCATAAGAAGTCCCATATCAAGAAAACATCTGCGGTAATCATGAAATTCTCAACTTTACCAACAACGCCGCGGGCAAGTTGCAACGAAGGTCGCGCGCTTCTTCGAGATCATTCTTGACGCGAGCACATGCGAGACAAAAGAGGCACCGGCTCGCACGTACCCTCGCACAGAGCTATGAAAGGACGATTTCATGCGTATCTTGAAGTTTGGACGCAAAGGATATGCCTGCAGCCCGGCTTGTGGCACTGTTCGCCGAGTCTGAGGGAGGGCACAGACTGGCCTTGTATGCTGCATATGTATTCTGAGATTTCACGACATGTATGTACTTGATGTCAAACGCGGCTCACGCTTAGACAATGGGCCGACTTTATCTGATCATGCTACCAAGTGAGATCACCGAGGAGCTCAACGCCGAACTTCACTGAGCGGAGTTATGGTATTCCACAATAGTATGAAGATATGAGGCTGGCATATGAGTGCTGTTCTTTGTTTTTCCTTTCATGGTGTGCTCAGAAATTGCATTTTTGTAAAGGATAGAGTGTATGAGCCCTATTTTGAGACGGGGCGATATGAAAAAGAGATGATTGCAGTATGACAGACGGAGTTGAAGTGGCTGGTTCATGCTTGGCATATAAATGTACCCCCTGTCAGAACAGCATTGGGCTTCTGCACAAAAGCGAAAGAAGGCTCGTTGATAAAACGATCATGCCTGTATCGAAATACTCTAGCTCGACCTATCATCGAGGGGGTATCCATCCCAACATCGTCAGAGGGGAGGATGGAAGTATCTCCATCGTCCCTCCCTCGTCAGAGTTTCCTACCAAACAAGAAGAAGAAGCTGTGCAAGATAGCTCGGGCCAAACAAAGAATCTTAGTAGAGCGGAATACATCGCCCAGCGCCGAAGCGACATCCTAAGCCGAGGTACAGCCCTCATGGGGGAGGGCACAGAAAGCGACACTTTGGTAGGAGAAGACGACTCGGCGCTCACGGGCAGCTCGGCCTTTTCGAGGGAGGTTTTAGAGAGTCTTCCGAGAAATGAAGGCAGGGCGCGTTTGGAAGATGCGGAGGAGATGAGAAAGACGTTGGAAAAGGGTGGGTGGGTGGTGATGAGTGAGGACGGGGAGACGGAAAAGGGGTGGACGACGTTTTCGTTTGTGCATACGCTGGGAGTGTAAAGTAGGTGGTGGGGTTGGAGCGAGCGAGTGCTGGGATATGATCGTCTCGTAGGCTGGAGTATCGTGAAATAGACAGCGGGCGCTGCTTTGGGCTCTTGCTGTGTCCTCTTTCTGTTTTGAAGCTGAGATGGACAAGTGATCAGAGTGAGTTGTGTGGGGAAGACGGACATTACGATAGCAGCCTCTGCCTGATAGTAGTCGTTCCAGTCTATTGGAGATGGTCGACGTTGTCACTTGTCTTTTGGTACCCAGGTAAATATTGACGTATACGTGCGTCAGCTCATCACCATTCACCCCTCTTCATGTAGCTCCTGCCTCGTGGACTTATCGGGCGCGTTGAGTCATCGAAACAAACGTCGTTGGGCCAACGCGCAGCTACGTACGTATATTAGTGAAGAGGGAGTGTCCAATGAGCGCCGGTGATCCACAGTATCCATATGCGGTTAGCATCGTCCGTGTCGGTGCGTTCATAGCTCCTTGCATGTCGCGAAACATGTCCTTTTAAAACACCTTCTCTCGCTTGAGCCTACAACCCCAGCTGCGTGGATCATTTTCTCAAGATCCCATAGGGGGCTGGTGCGGTATAAACTCAATGCGCTCAGACCATAATAAGAAGTCTCGTATCAAGAGAACATCTACGGTGATCATGAAATCTCAACGTGAACCAATAACGCCGCGCAAGTTGCAAGTTGGCAAGGTCGGCGCTTCTTCGAGATCATTCTTGATCGAGCACATTAGGGGACAAAAGAGGCACCGGCATGCACGTACCCTCGCACAGACCTACAAGTATGAAAGGACGATGTCTTACGTATCTTGCAGCTTAAACGCAAAGGATATGAAGGCAGCCCGGCAGTCCGGGAGGAGCGGAGGGGCGCGGTCCGTCCGGCTTGCTACCTATTTTGAGAGTGTAGGGTAAGGTGGTTGATTGAGCGGAGATTGAGTAGCCACGAAAATGTCATCGAGAGGAGTGTTTCCTTTCAAGGGTCATGGCCTGGACTAGATATAGCATTATTATCATGAACGATCTAGTACATGTGAATGCGAGCCCGAGGTATTAGCAAGCGCGCACGTCGGCCTTGGAGATTGGTTGAAAGGACGAGACGGCGGCGACTGATACATTTTGAGCTTCAACAACAAAGACATCGGGGGCCTTTGATTGCTTGGGGAGGAGAGCATGAACGGAGTGGGCTCTTGTGTATCACTGTGGCATGCAAATACAAACGAGCTGCAAGTATGCTCACGGATAACAAAGGTCCATTGTTCTGACCTACCTTTGGTTGTTCTACGGGATTCGGACGACGTCTTGAGCAGCAGCAGCCTCAAGGGGTGGGTTCTTTCTATGTCATGGGATCGGATATAGAAAGCTTGATGCTCTGCTGGTGGTGCATCTCGCTCTATTTTGAGAGCTGAAGAACAAAGAGATGTTTGCAGCAAAAACACCTATATAAGCATACTAGCCCAGTAGCAATACAGAGCCTATAACAGCTCTAACTACTCAACAATGACTGACTCCGAGTCCAAGACGAATACAACCCCACCAGCATCTCTTGAGGGAACACAGCCCACGGAGGCTACTTCGCCGTCAGCCCCGAGTACCAATGGCAGATGGGATAGCTCCGCGCTCAGCTCGAGGTGGCCTATTGAGGTCTTGAGCGACTCACCGCGCATGGAAAGGACAGTCAAGACGGAGCACGCGGAGAGGTACAGGACAGAGCTTCAACAGACTGGGTGGATTATTATGACCACGGACAATCAGACGAACCCTGTGTATACGACCTTCTCGTGTGTTGATACGCCGTTGGAGCTGAAGCCTGGAATGTGGGCATACGACCGTGTCATGCGTGGATGAGCCGCCGGAGTTGAAGCCTGGAAGGAAGTGGTGAAAGTGTGGTGGTACGAGTAGCGTACATGGTGTCGGTCGTTGAGATGTGGATGAATGCAGCAGTGTTTGCGAGTTCTGACAGTTGCGTTTGCGCATGTCGTGCAGGGCGCAAAATCATGATAGCATCACCTCGTTGTATGAACCGAATTGGAATTGTCCTACAATTTGAAGGGTGCATTATGGTGATCAGTGGGGCTATCGATCCGTGCAATTGTGGAATGCTGAGCTTGCATACCGTTTTTATCTTTGCCCGCTGGGACTGAAACAACCTCGCATTCCACTCCATTGCTTGCGAAATCACTATTTGTGTAAGCGAGATGGTAGGGGTAGAACAATAACTATCTCTGTCCATGACTCTGTCTGCTGGTGTCACATATATCGACTGTCCTTTCAGGATAAGCCCAAAAACAGCATTATTGTCGCTGAACGGATCTATCATTTTCGTTCTAGCAAAAGACGTGGACATAATACCTCGACAAAAGGCTGAAAGTCTGTGCTTTGGGATATATATACGGACCAATGCGGCGGCGCAAGTTTGGTTTACCTTCAAATCATCCAACATGCCTGGTTCCAAGTATGATTCTTGCTTTACTTACCACATAGGCGGTACCAGCGCCTCGATCACACATAGTGACGATGGTAGGGTCCTCATCGCTCGCTCCGAGACGCCTAATCAGATCGACGAAACGACTACTACAGGCGCCTCTTAAACGACGAAATCGGAATACATTGACCATCACAGAAAGTTGAGACAGGCACGTCGTGAACAAGAGGAGCTGGACAAAGACCCAACGTTCAAACCTGATCAATATGCACTCTCGTCGGGGTTTCCTATGTTGGTGTGAAAGCAAGCACCGCGTATGTACGCGACAACCAAGACCGAGGATACGGAAGCCGCACGCGAAGAGCTTGCAAGAAACGGGTACATCATCATGACTACAGACAACGAGGAGGATGATGGCTACATGACGTTCTCGTTCGTGGACACGCCATCCCTCTTGGAGTAAAACTAGAACAATTTGTGCCGAGCGGGCAAAGCTGTGGACGTATGTAAAAAGTTTGGTTTAAATAATAGTAGGCTGTTGTCTCCCAACAAGAGAGAGAGGATCCTAGCATATAGCCAGCAGAAAAAGTTTTGATTGACATCCACGCTCGCATCAGCAGCATATAAGCAGCTTGTGTCGCTATGCTCGCATACTACCCTTGCATCTATAATTCCACAATGTTTTGCTGCGCCGTGATGACAAATACTGGGACCTTGAGACGTGTAAAGGACAATACGAGACTCTGCCTCTGTTAGTGGTGGTGGGAGACTCAGTGGAAGGTGAGGTGCAGATGATACCATCTTCTTCCTTTCTAGACGATGGGTTGATGCCGCATCTATGATACGTTAGAAGAGAGTCGTATTTCGAATCGGGCATGCTAGTCGGTGGTAGTGTAGATCGCTTGACTTGAATTCCTGCTTGGTCTCTGCTTTTCTCAATTCTAGGATGCTCACATCAAAGGAGCGGAACATCGTTTGGGACTTTCCCATACTCCCACTATGTATGGAATGCTCGAGTACGACGTACAAATGGAGGTATGTTTGAGAAAAGCAGGACCGGATATGTGTCAGAGCTGGGAAACTTGTATGCTCGTCTGAGTGTCAGTCTACTCTCAGACCATCGCTGCGCTCTGTGATATGCGATGCGGTGGATAATGTAGTTAAGGATGATAGCATCGTTCACATCATCATAGTATGCATCATTTTCTCGATCGCTGGCTGTCCCGCTATCTGCGCACGGCACAAATAGCCAATCGTGCGCGATAAAAACAAGTGCTGATCACCCCCGATACTGTATATAGTCCCCTGCTGCTTTCCCGACTCTCCTTAAAGGTAGCGTTGGTACGTCATACTCGACTGGATTGACAATACAGTGTGACCGTCACCAACTGGCACTCGAGAAGTCGCCGTTTGATTACCTCTCGACTCAATTTCTGCAACGGTACTTTCCACATCATCGTCAGCAACAGTCTGGCTTTCAGTATGTGTCTCCGTAACGTCTTGGGCTGTGACTACCCCGCTGTCTGCTTGACTGCCTGCATTTGATGCATTAGCGGGGAGGTGGTGGCCTTCTCGGTTGGGAAGCCTGTTATCGTCCTAGTTCCCGGTATCAGTCAACGTGTACTTCCAGACACACAGATGACCAGAATGGTGGGGAACTAGGGAGCGTAGCTATGAGAATATATATATATGTGAGATAGAGCGGAAAGAAAGATATAAATAGGTAGGATGTACCGTAGTGAAGGTAACGGGACAAAGGTAACTGTTACGGGACCATAACGACCTCGGGTCTCTATCCCAACAAAGCCTACCGCTGGATGTGTTGGAATTGTGGTCTGACATTGATGTCTGGTGATGATAGCCTTGATACGAGCTTGATAACACTCCAACGTGAAAAACTTCTCCTCCTTATATACCCCACATCGAGCAGGCGGATAACCCGCTCACTTTGTACACCTTTTGTGAACGCCTGCGGGGCAAGATGAATGACAGGCCCCCGACGATTATTGTCGCTTCTCAACTCCTTGAACAGACCTCGAGTCGTCCCACAAGCCTGAACGGAGGGTATTCCAAAAATAAAGCTTCGTCCTCCTCGTTTACTCATGATAGAATCATAGCTTTTGACTCGTGAAGGTATCTAAAAGGTACACAAATGGCTATATATGCAGTCAATCGCCGGATGATATCAGATCCCCTTTTAGAGGCACCCCACAATGGTGGGGTGGGAGGAATGCAATAGAAGTGTAGTATGACTAATCCAATCTGGCGTCCTGTCCGACACCATCGTATCTCAGCGAAGAATGTCGAGTCTTTTTATGTCATTCAACATGCACTACTGTGAAGGCGTCTTATGCCGGAGGATACAAACGCTCCTGGGATGTACTGGGATGGCTTTCCGTACGGCGTTGGCTTCAAGATCTTGCCCTATCATCGCTAGCATTCGATCGCTGCAGCACACTGTTCAAGCTCAAAGTGCTCATTGAGACTATAGAAAGGATCTGGTGCTCAGGTTCCAGTAGCGTGCAGAGCGGTCCAGACCCTCGGTCACGCATATTTGTGAACTCGAGTACCTTTCATGACCCAGTCCAAACGTTGAATTATTACCTTGAGGGGATGATTTCTCGATGTCGATACAAAGGAAGGGTGCGAAACATGACTGAGACAACCGCGTTTCGATCTTTTCTGAGGAGGTACTGCGCCCTTTGACAACGATGTGCGCATATATATAGGCGGCGATATGCAAATATACCGAGAAAGGTTTGTTGATTGACTTTTCGCGCGGGCTCGCTACTATATACTACATCATAATTGATCGTCTCTGTCATTGTTCAGCGCGACACTTACACACTTGTAAATACGACATAAGACAATCTACAAACTCATAATCGACAATGTTCACCAAGTCTCTTTTTCTATCGGTTCTGCTCTTCTTCTCGGCGACCAATTTCGCTCAGCCGACACGGAGAACAATATACAAACGCTTGTCCGGCGTCAAGATTCAGTCCGGGCATACTGGTAAATGTCTTGTACCGGATGGAGGTAGAGATGCTACTGCCGGTGCGCAGATATCGACCGTAGACTGCACAGATTATGGGGTTGGACACTGGGATATGGACTATGGAAGCGGGCAGGTAGTGTTGACTAGTACCGTGGGCGGAGACGATATCTTGGTCATGGATGCTGGTACGGGAAAGGACAACGGGGAGTCTTTGACCGTAAGCTATCTTTCGGCTCTAGCCCGGTTCATTCATCGCTTACGAGATATGTGTTCTGTACTAGGTTGAGAAATATAGTAATGGAACTTTCGCTCAAACGTGAGACAACGAGCTAGGTATGGATCCGGGCTGTGCGCTGACGTTTCGCTTCCCCAGCTGGTATCTCACCACCGACAACCGCATCGCTATCACAGACGGCGATGAGTGTATGGAGATGGACGACTATGACAAGGTGATAACGAATCCCTGCGAGGGAGGCGATACTAACCAAGGTGAGTCTCCTCACCTAGTGATACCACCAATACATCTGATAACAACGATGCAGTCTGGTGGCTGTTGGCGGGGGATGACGCATCGACGTTGGCCCCACCTGACAGCACATCGGCGGAAGCGGCTTCGTCCACCACCTCCGGCAATGCTGACGTTTCCACCACCACTGGTGGCTCTGTTGCCCAAAGCTCTGGGGCTGCTACATCTTCGAGTGGGGCTTCGGCGAGTCCCTCCAATGGCGCCTTGGTTGCCACAGCTGGAGGGTCGGCAGAGTCGAGCTCCGCAACAAGCAGCACCGTCAGCAAAGTGACGAGCGAGGTCTCCAGCAGCGAGGGGAAGAAAAGCGCTACATTGACTTCGTCCTCTGTCTCTTCCATCAGCATAAGTTCCACTGCAAGCACCACCACCAGCAACACGGCGAGCAGCGAAGAAAATGTTACTAGTGTTGTATCGAGCGACAAACAAGAGAGTGCCACGTCCGACAGCGACTCGGAGTCTTCATCTTCGGCCGCCCCTACAGCGACTACAAGCTCGGAGGTGGACAAGATAGAAACTTTCCATTGTCTTGGACGACGTCGCTGTGCAGCATAAAGCGCATGGCTTGACCCAACTAAAGTCTCGGACGTCAACGATCACGCCTGACGATTAGACTGCGATTAGATTTTGTTCTGGTATAAGCCGTATAACAGATGTAATAAGTGTGCCTGGAAGCTGATCGTGGGAGAGTTGCGTAAAGCGGGATCCTTGAGAAAGTCGCAGAATGAACGTCTTTTCTCATCTTTTCAACTTTTGTCATATGCAGAACCCTTACAAGGCGCGCCGAACTATCTCTGTATACCTAGAGACTGCCATCACGCCTTCCCGTCCCCTCTCAACAATTCTACATCACCTTCTAGAGACCTATCGCCCCTGACACCTTCGAGTCGACCACCGTCGCAAGACCGACAATGACCGGAACACAGACAACAGACAAGGGCGCCTTATCAACCTCACATTCGCAGGCTTTGGATAGCAAGTATTAACAAGAGGAGCGTTCGGAGGAGAGGATCACTGTGTACACCGAGGAACATGGCGAAGAAGAGTTCAAACCGCTGAGGGTCAGGGAGCTGGTACGCCCGCCTGTGGTACGGCAAGTGAGTGTTTCTCGGTCAGGTTTACTCTAGGTCGGCTATCAACACACCTGTCTACCTCGTCGAGATGTTACGTCCTGATGGATTGTTTTGGGAGATTCCCGGAGACCGAAGTACTGATCCAGTTTGCGTCCTGAATGGTAAAGTACTTTGCTGGCTACTGTCATCTACCTATACCATCAGTCATTCATCTAATCATGAGCTGACCCTTATTCAATGGATGGAAGACGGCAAAATCTACCGAGAACCCTCTCCTCGTGAAACACCTCGAATCGAACTCTTCTTTGATCTTCTCTTTGTCGCTATCGCCCATCAACTAGCCGACGCTGCTATTGGTATCATTTATATCTTCTGCCCTTTTGGAATAAGCAGTGCTGATATAGTGTTAATAGAGAAGCCCGGGGGCAAGTCTGTCGCAAGGTTTGTACTTACGTTCTGGCCTAGGTGAGTATATCGCGATGCCCTATCATCATCACAAGAGCATACTTCCATCTGTTAGCTGGAGTATATGGGAAGAAGCCCGCAAGTTTTCAAACCAAAGCGGTACCGATGATGTACGTCTATCTCGTCTTTTGTCGCGTCGCTGACAGTAAAATCAGCTCCTCCACCGCGTCTGGGTGTTGATCGGTATGATGACCCTCATCGGCTACTCTTCAAATGCCTCCGCTATCGAAATTCATCCCGAAGGCGAGGAAGAAGAGCTCGATCATTAGGCAGTACGGGCAGCGGTAGCTTTCTGGCTTGTCATCAAGTTGACGCGAGGCGAGTATAAATAGAGGACGTATGCTATGCGAGGCCGCACTGATCTCAGCGGTAGTCGTCATTCTTTTCTACTATGCTCCGAAGCTGCCGCAATCTCGGTCAGCGCATATATGGAAGGCGGTAGCAGTGCTAGTGCCTATGTTCGTCTTACTAGTGAGTCTTGCACATGTCTTATGGACACATCTGACTTCGATCATAGCCTCTGATATGGGTTACATCTCGCCCCGCTCAAATAGTCCTCGCTACTCTCCTCATCATTATCGACATAATGCGTATCGACCTCATCTTCCTCCTCGTTCGTGGCCGCATCCATGAGTATCGCCAGAGGCGACAAGAAAGGATCAAGGGCTTGCAAGCGTGGGGGTTCAAGGGCTGGCACAGGATGCCCGATGTGAATGGCGGGGGAGCGGTGCCGGTGGTGAATATTGAGCATGCTACCAAGAGACTGGGGGCTTTTTTCGTCATTGTCGTAAGTCCGCCCGTCCCATCCACCCAATCAAGTCTGATCAAGAGATCAGCTGGGCGAGATGGTCATCCGCGTTGAATATACGGCTGCGAAGGGCGAGATGGGTGTCTCGCATGAGTTTGGGAAGGCTGCTTTGGGATTGATGGTTGCTTGGGCGCTGAATTACTTGTATGTATTCCCTATCTGCCTCAAGATCCGAAAGATTTGATTCTCGTACAGGTATATGCTTCCCAGCGAGCCTTCGGCCGAGTACGAGCATGCACTTCGAAGGAGTTGGCTGACCGGCGTGTTATTCAACTTGCAAGTCCTTCTCGTACGTCGCGCTTAGTAGCTGTACTAATGAGCTGCCTCCTAGCTTCCACTGGCCTCTCAGCGCATCACTGGTACTCGCTTCGGCAGCGTGCGGGAAGATGGTTGCGAACGATGAAGTCGAGGTCGGTGTTCGTTGGTAAGCTATCTCTTGTACCAGAAGGCCGTCGGCTGACAGTATCAGGTATTGGGGATGCGGAGTAGGCTTCGCCATGCTGTTCATCGCTCTACTCGATCTTACTCACAATGATCTTGCTCCGGGAGAAGCGCGTATCCCGCGGGTACGTCCTTGTCTCTGTCTATTACGCAAAACTTATTAACTTGACTCAACATCAGTCTATTCGCGCTGTTCTATGTCTCGCGGCGGCTCTATCCCTCATACTCTTCTCCTTTGGCACCGAGCACATGCCTTCGACCGGTATCCTCGCTATCACCGTCGGCGTCACGTGGTTCACCCTCGCCGTCTCGATCTACGGACAGCTGCCGAAGCCGGGAGGAGTCACAACGCAGGAACGGGAACAGCTGAACAGGAGGAGGGAAGAAGCAGAAAGGAGGTCCGTGGAAGTAGTAGAACCGGTCGGCGGGTCTGGCCAAGAGCGAGAGCGCGAGAGGCAAGGTCTCATTTGAGACTGCGATCCGTATGATGTCTGATAATTCTGGACTGCGTCTAGGGGTCATAATTATGAATGGAAACGGTCAATGTTCGTCCCATGTGTTTCCATCCTCGATACCTTTCATTCACCAAACGTGATTACACCTACATGTCGCAAGTGCGACATAAAGGGGGTGAAAGGATGTATGTGCGCTTTCATTGACATCAGGGGCGAGGACGATACTCGACTGATGCGTATATGAGATGAAGCTCATGGTGTGATACCCCAACCTCATTCTTTACTTGTGCAGGCTCACACCGGTTTACCTTCGCTGCTATTACATTCGTTTCTATATACTCCACCGGCACTTATATTGAATTCACCAGGGCATCAACATACGCAATGGTCAGCTATACTAGCGCTCTTATTCCCGCTCTTCTCTTGCTACTCCCCTCTTCTTTTGGTCATTCAACATCGCACTCATACCACAAGCGATTCACGGGCGTCAAACTCCAGTCTGGACGGACTGGTCTTTGTCTCGCTCCACTCGGCAATAGCACCAGCTGGGTCGCCGGGACACAAATTTCCTCCTCGGAGTGTACCGATGAGAATGTGGGAGTTTGGGATATGAGCTACGGGAGTGGCATTGTGCTTTTGAGCAAGACATCGGGAACCAATCAGCTGTTGGTTCTGGATGGAGGGACAGGGGAAGATGATGACGAGAATCTGAGAGTGAGTGGATGCGGAATCGCACGTGGAGTTGACTGATATATTGTCGTCAGCTTGACATTTCAAACAACGGAAGCTTTGCCCAGACGTAAGCCATTGTTGATATGTCATTTCACCTGCTCAAGTGCTACTCTAGATGGTACTATACTAACGACAATCGTCTCGCTATCACGGGCGGAAATCAGTGCCTCGATATGGGCGATAGGGGAAATGTACAAACCTACAACTGTACTTCAGGCAACACCAATCAAGGTAATGTCTTTCGTGTACGATAGAGAATAATGGGTACTGACGCTAGATCAGTCTGGTGGCTAATTTCCGAAGATGACAATGAGACTTTGAGCCCATCCGGTAGCTCGTCTACGGCTGTATCGGCCGCAGCCACTTCCGGTGCTGCAGCGTCATCGAGCAGCGGCGCTGAAGCTGCCTCATCGTCGTCTGCTGGTGTTCTGGCAGCAACGTCTGGAGCTGTGTCATCCACTACTGCAGCGAGCGGCAGCGCTTCGTTGGATAGCGCAGGAAGCGCGTCATCATCCGGCGGTAGTACAGGCGATATCGACGTAAGCAGCAGCGCGAGCGAAGAAAGCTCCTCTAGCGGCTCTTCTCAAGCCTCCAGTACTGAATCGGAGATGTCATCTGAAGCCACCGGTGATGCTTCGGCAAGTAGTGCTGGGAATAAAGCGAGCACTACTCTCGAAAGCGGCGCAACCTCGGATAGCAGTAGCGCTGGGGCTCAAGCCAGTAACGCGACCTCTTCGCCTTCATCAGCCGTCGCCAAGTCCACATCAGCGGAGGAAGTTGAATCAACGTCCGAAGCAGCCACATCCTCCTCGGCCAGAACCAGCGACAGCACTTCGACAGTGGTCAACGTTTCCGAGGACAAGAGTAGCTCAACATCGTCCACGGCCAAGGAAGATGCTACGTCTACAACGGCTCAAGACGCCGGGGCTACCATGGGAGCTGATAATGGGGAAGGATATGTGACATTGACTGTGGGGGGTCAAATCATTGTGATGCAGACCGAGTTTGCCAGCGACGGCGCAACATCCCTGGCTACCGTAAGTAGTGAAGCTGCAAAAGCGAGTGCTTAAGGGCTGTAATATCTATCGACGATTTGTATGTCTCTTGTATCATATATCTTCTCTCGTGATGTGTATGTATCTCAACCTTCCTATCCAGTCACCATTGTAACACGACGAGATGCTATGCTCAAGAGAACTTTTCGATTGTGACGCTTGTGATACGAGATGGCAAGCTGAGCGTTGTCTTCGACATCATCACCGACGTTTCCATTGACTATGGCTCGTAAGAAGTCCTGGTATTCCTCCTTTGAAGCTGTAATAATGCCGAGCCGGGTACTTGGCCGCTGGGTAGACTGCTTCTATCGCGACGAACGGAAGAACGATGCTCCTTTTGTCAGGGTGGGGTTCCCACCACTTCACCTTCATCGTGATAAGATTGATCCGGTCCGGATGACTGTATATATAGCAGCCCTATTCCATGAATACAAAGTGTCCCTCAGCTTCATCAACCAACAACACCGGTAAAAGAGATGCCAGCCTCTAAATACACAAAAACCGACTACGCCGCCGGCAGCTCAGTCACCACCGGCGGACAAAGATCGAGCGCTACGAGCTCTACTCGATCATGGAACAAAGGCGGGCTATCGAGCGAGCATCCTGCTTGGGGACATGAGAGGTCTATCAAGAAGGAGAGGGAGGAGCGGGCAGCTGCGGCTGCGGCGGCTACGAAAGAACAGGAACTACAGCAGAAACGAGAGGATGAAGAACAAAGTCGAGCGCTCCGGGAAGGGTCGGCGACTGAAGCTGATTATTCTGAGGCGATGGATGAATACTGGAGTGACTATGGGGACGAAGAAGGGGGTGGGGCTAGTCTGTCTAGACAGCCTGCTAGGCGAGATAGAACCCGTGGTTCCGAACAAAGTATTCCTCGTAGTGAGAACGAGACTAGGGCGCCAACCTTTGTCGATGACCTGCTTGAGTTTGCTGGTGTTCGGAGATCTCGGTCTAATGGTTTTTCCAAGAACACATGATAGGTGGATATATATCTGGAAGCTATGCGCTCGATGAGGCTTTCCAATGATGAATCAGTTGCGTCTGTCTTGTTCTGATATGCGAAGAGCGACTTGCCGCTTGCGCGCTTCGTCCATCGGTTACTTTCTAGCAGCGTTTTCCGAGTCCCACTATACGCTTATCTTGCATTGGTTCAGTCATACGGCGTTTTCAAGAAGATACGACGAGGAGCGTTACTCGGCGTAGATGTCGACACGTCCGACACGTCTTCATCCCAAGCTCGCCCGCCTTCTCCCCGTAATCTTGAAACTGAAGTACGATATGTGAATCCACTCATCTGGTATGCATACCCACACCCGTGATCCGAGACGAAAATAGACAAATAATAAAGTCTGAAGGACGAGAGCGGGGGCGACTGCAATCTTCGGCGAGGGCGTCAAGTCCGATTGCGTCTTTATGTCGGAGATCTTTGTCAAGCCGAGACGATTGATGAGGGGCTAACGCGTCAGGAAGTGGTCAGCTTTCATTGTCAGCTTCACATGGCCGAGAGTGGTATAAGTACGCCGCGTCGAACGAAGATACGTGGAAGCCGTCGAATGTGGAGCCGGTCGTGTGAGATGAGGACGAGACGAGAGTTGGATAGCGATGGACCGAGTGGATACGATGATATTGCCGGTCGATGTGGACCTGTCAGTACGCTGAACACCACTCAGACCTTCAAAACCTCTCCCTCGTGCTACGCAACATCCCCAAAAACGCCAGGTCCTCATCTTCCTCTCCATCGCCTGTCCTCTTCGTCGCCATCTTTCGCCCGCCGAGCCTCCTGCCCACTTCGTGTCCCAAAAAAACGTGTTCGATGGTCGTATGCAATACATCCTGCCCGCTACCCAACAAAACGAAGGACATCCATCTACTCTTAACGAGCAACGATACCGTCGAATCGCTGCTTGAACCAAGCAACGGTCCTATCAACTGCGTCAGCTTTCATCCTTCCCCTTGGCCAAAGACTGAAGAGAGAGAGAGAGACGTACTGCTCGGGGCGGACCTTGTGGCTAGAGCCAACCTTGGCAGTAGCGTGCTTCCTCCTGGCAACCCTCATACCGGGTCGGCCCATCACGACGAAAAAGTCCATACCGAAGATACCGATTCCGGGGTCGTACTTGATACCGAGGTCGATGTGCTCCTCGATACCGAAACCGAAGTTGCCGGTCTCGGAGAAGTTCCTATGGGGGGTGTCAGTGCAAGCTCCCTTTCTCCGACAGCCCCCGCAGAGATGCGCATCCTCACGCTCCGCACTCATCCTCGAGAAGAAAAGACTCACCTCCTCCTGAGCTCGTACTCCTTGACCTTCAACGCACGCTCGAGAACCTCCTCAGCCTTGGGACCTCGGATGGTGACGTGGCAAGCAATCTTTTCGTTCCTCCTGATCTGGAAAGATCGGATGGTGTATCGGGCCTTGGAGGTGACGGGGGTCTGACCGGTAAGCTGCTCGAGGACCTTGGCGGCACGGGTAAGTCGATCACCAGACTCTCCGACGGAGATGTCTATGCGAGTGTTAGTACGATTTGAAGGGAAAGGGGGTAGGGGGACACACTGATGACGAGCTTCTCGATACGGAGCTCCTTCATGGGGTTGACGGCGGCAGTCTTCTCGGCCTAAAGACGAGTCAGTTTGACGTTCCTCCAAAACACCATATTTGTCGATCTCCCAGCGCCGCGCTTGATCTCCTGCTTTCCCTCTTTCGACAACACACAGTCTCTCCCTCGTCTAATCCCTGCCTGCAAAATCTTCCACCACTCCATCTTCGTCAAAGTCCTCTCCATCGTCCCCTTCTCCAATTCTCTCTTCTCATCTATTCGGGTGCGGCGCTGAGGAAAAGTCGTAGATAGTTGGGGACATACCATTTTGAAGATCTATAGGGGGTCAGTGGATGTGGATGGGCGTATGGTACAGCTTTGGGACTCACGTATTACTTGATGTATGGAGACAATTCTTCCATAAACTTGCTGCAAAGCCAAGTGCGCGGCGGGACCCACCGACACTGCACCCGGTGTTTCAGCTGACACGCGGAAGTGGCACAAAGCCCAGGGCGCGGAAGCAGATTTATCCCCGACTATCTCGACGCGGCTCACCGTCATTACAACATGGGCGCATTAGAAAAATGTTTTGTAATGCCATTAGCGGGCGTTCGCGCGTTCGGGTCGCCGAGCATAGCGCAGTTTAGCCGGCCTCGCAAACACGTTATAAACGCACTCTTTCTCTTTCTCGTCCATACATCGCAGCATGTCCGAAGTAGTCTACAACAACGACACCCGCTACCCCGGCCCTCTATCATACACAGCTCCCCCTGAAGTCACCGGACTTCCCACGCAAGCTGAGCTTGATGCCTATCCGCGCATGTTCACCTGGGGCGAGCTCAAAGAGATTATTCGTGCGCGATTTTGAGGCGATATGACAATTGCTAATATCCGATAGGGAGTGGGGATCTTGGGCAGCTGATGAGGAATAAGGAGATGCAGTGGAAGTATGATCAGTGGAGTGCTGGTATGAAGGCGAAGTTTGGGTCTACGGGTGCGTTATCTTCTCACCCCGAAGCTCGTCTCCTCCCATTATATTGCCATGCTGACGTGATCGTAGAGAAATACCTCACAAACACCCGTCTTCCATTCCCCAAACAATCCTCCGACCCTATCGGCCTCGCCGCCCACACCGCCCGACTGAACCTCTCTACGCCCTCTGTATCCGGCACTTCCACTCCTCGCTCTGTCGGCTTTGCTTCCCTGGACTCCCGCGGTGAAGAAGAGCCAGAGTATCTAAAGTGGACAGGCGAGCTAGACCCGGAGAAGTACGCCGTTTTGCCGAATGACTGGCCGTATTGTGTTCCTTATGGCGTGAGGCATTTCTGTGTTTGGTCCAGGGTGCGTCATTTCCCTCTTCCTCTTTCTCTTCCCCCTTGCCCCATCTCTCCCTTTCTTTCAATCTAGAAGCGGAAGGTGGCACTGACAAGGTACTAGATCCCGATCGGACATCCGCATTTGGTGGACTATGACCCGGAAGCATGGGCGATCATCGAAGATCAAGGTCTCGGCGGGTTCACCGGCGTGGCACCTGTCACTTTTCCCGCCACCCCTCCCGAATTCACTTCCCTCCAGGTACCCCCTTCTTCTACCGCCGATAGTCTCCCTGCTGCGTTAGGCCGTGGAGCCGTCGACGGCGCAGGCGACCGCCTGACTTCCGATTGGTACAACACCGACGTCCTGCACGGTGGGAAAGAGCTTCGCAGATGGGCTGGCGTCAAGTATGAGAGTCGGGGAGGGGAGGAGGTGGGGAGGATGGTTAGGGGGTTGTGGGATGAGAGGGGGTGGGAGTGTTTGTTTTTCGTTAATCCGCCTGTGAGTTTTCGTCTATTGTTCTCGTTCTTTCGTCTCTAGCCAATGCGGTCCTCTCCCTCTTCGGGACGTTTCCTTCTTCATGGCATTTGTCCTCTCCTTTTTGCGCCTTATCGTCGGCTCATGCCTTCTCTTTTCGCCACTTCTCCTCGTCTCATCTTGTCTTTTAACCTCGTCCCTTCTTCTTTTCTTTTCCTTCTTTCCCTTTTTTCCTTGCCTCGATGATGTCGACATGAGCTGATCACGCGCCGACTTTGCAGAGACTCCAATCCGTCCCCGGTTTTTCCCATTTCCACGTGTTTGCGAGGAGAAAGACGCCGGAGGAGATTGATGCTGCTGAGAAGATTTGGGAGGGTGCGCTATAAGGGAGCTGCTTGGTTGGCTGGGAGAGGGATGTTCAGTGGGGATTGAGGGACTGGAGCTCGAGGAGGGGAAGTAGGGTCGGGAAAAGATGAAGGAGGTGGACGGAGATGGGAGATGGAGGGGCGTTGGTTGGGGTTTGGTATAGATAATACGACAAAATGTAAGATAGATAATGCCATTGATGCATACTCAAATCTCATGTCATCTGTTTTGTTCAAGTGATGCACCCTATCCTCTCAAGCACAGCGTATAGATCAACGAAAGCTCATGAACAAGAACGACATTGGAAGGTACGAAAATGAACGTTGTATTATGCAAAGCTATAATGAAGCTTGGTGCAGCGCCTGAAAACACAGCGGATGGAGAGGTGTGTGACGAAACTCATAGAGACGAATGAGATGATGGACACCGACACCAAACATGTGGTATGGTACATGCTGCAGAAAAGCACAGAAGAGTACTATATGGTTTCGCTCGACAACCCTCGAGGTAAGCTACTCTTGAATCTCGCTTGTTGGGTTCTAGACAACCCTCGGATCAGTCACCTTGGTTATACGCCTCACCGGCGTGCTCAAGTACTGAGCAACAGCAGATATGAATGATGGATGAGGCGAGGAAGACTATGATATGCGACGGCTGGATCGATGGGTGAACTGTAATAGAGGGGACGAGAGGCGAGATCTTGTATGCTGACACCGACCAGGCATATGTTTAATCTACAGAAAAGAACGAACTGGTTTGAAATGATTAAGCTGTACGGCCGTCAAGGCAGGCAACGGATCGGATGATTGAATTCTGCATCACTCCTCTTGGTTACTTGGCCCCCTACCGCTCCTAGATTGGCAGCGTCACTCCTAGAATGGCAATGCGACATCCCTCCCCACTGTACGTACTTCAATAGCAATAGCATACGGTGATGTAAAGGAAGAAACTCGTCATCCACGCCGCCGGAGCAGCTAGGCAGCGGGTGCTCGACTGTTGGTACTAAACGGCGGCGCAGATGATACACTGTCTTCTGCTGTCCTATCGCCATCATTCCCAGAAGCCACTTGGAATGGGCCTTCAGTGTTGTCAACCAAGATGACCGAGAGAGACGTGTCCCTTCTTTTACTAACAGCGGAACCGGAAGCGGAGATACGAGCTTGACTCTGAGCCCTTCTTTCTTGCTGCTTCGCATCTTGGCTCTCCCAAGCGGAGTGGTTACCGGCAAGACCACCTTTGTTCCACTTTCCAGAAGGGGTAGGACTTCCGGGGCTTGTGGGAGGTTGACTGGAGGCATCGATGGAGCCGGCTTGTTTGGAGAATTTGGAGGCTGGCATGTTGGGTTAGAGAAGCGTTTACGCGCGCGGTGTACTTCGACAGGGGTGGATTTTCACAATTCAAAATCTTTTTTATCGTGTCCTACAAGATAGCGAATTTCCCAGAATCTCCGTATCGATCCGTAGCATTCCGAGAGACTTCGAGGACTTCAATCCGCTTCTCAAGTTCTTTGCGCTTCTCTAGCTCCGACCTCGTCGCGACTCCTCCCCCGCCGCGACTAGAAAAGGAGGAGTGGGGGAAAGTGGGGTGTTTTATTGCAGATTGTAACCAAGAAGAAAACGCCATGACACTGAGCTAAGCTTGTCTCCGAACGTTCTGTGCTTGTTCCATGTATAGCAATCAGATCGATGATGTCCGATCATCACGGCTCTGATCTGCCCCAAAGAGCCGCCGAGGCCAGTGTTTGATCACACTCGGTCACAGCAGCATATCCTAAGAGCTTCTCTCCTAGTAGCTCTTCTGCGATAGAGCACAACGGAATAACGGAAATTCAAATACTTATTTCGTACGCAGCGATGTGGTTCGTCTTACAATGTCGGAGACGACGACTGCGCTGCTGAAAATTCAAACGACGCCGAGTCGCCTTCCTCGATAGCGTACGTATATATGTCTATCAGAAGAAGTCATCATCCATAAACATTTTTCGTAAACATTTTTCATCGTCAACTATCAGTTGAACCCCATTAAGCCCTCGAAGCCCGCCATTCCCATTCCTTCCATCACCCGTGCGCTGTCACCTCCATCGGTTACCTGTCCACTCTGCCTCCTGGGTATCACTTCTCTCCTATCGCCCTTCTCTCCGCCGTCTTTCAACTCACTTTCTAACCCATCCCAGGTCTCAAAATCGAGTCCACCGGATCCAAGGTCGAGATGTTCCATGCCCATGGGTTGGTTAAACAGCGTTGGACTATCGAGATCCTTGTCGAGATTCATGCGTGGAACGTGATCGATGCTCGGAAGATGCGCGGCGTTAGGATTGACGAGGACTGGAGAGCCGGGCATAGAGCTCGCTGACATCAACGTCCACAAACTAGGCTTTCGAATCTTGGTGGGGACATAGTATGGTGTTTCGGGCGGATCGGGAGAATGCGAAGAGTAGGCAGACGGAGGACGACTGTGCGCAGATGTAACAACGGAGAGCGATGGCCTCGCTGAGGCTACTCTGGAGCGGGAAGGAGACTTTACTGGACTAACGTCAGGTCGATCGGCCTCGGCACGCCCGATCTGGTCGGCTGTCCTCTGTCTTGTCAATGTTGACAGTGAGAACGGCGCGATAGGGCTGACGGCCCTACTGAAAGGGTCATTCGCGATCCCCGTTGCTAGAGGCAGTCTTCCTTCTACGGTTGTTTGAGATCCCGTATCCCGTCCAGCCTCTGTATCGGCAGATACTTGCATAGGCGGAATTTGCTGGCCAGAGGGGTTCGATACCGACACTCGCTGGCCGTTGACCCACCTCGGACCCGTGATTGCTGCCGAAAGTGCATCCGCCAATGCGAAAGAGGTGGGGCGAGGGCCAGGGGGATATGCAGAGATTGATTGCTGCTGAGGCAGCACCCAAGATGGCGAAGTCACATTTGCGAGCGCTTTTACAGTAGCCGAAGCATCACCTTGATTGTGTCGATTTGCTTGGGGGTAAGAGTGTTGGGGCACGTACGAATTGCTCGTTTGCTGATTGTTTGTCACAAACTTGGATGCACGGCGCTTGTATGGTCCTCTATTGATGCGTCAATGGAATTCCGAGACTGAAGGGAAGTCTGCACCTTTTGATACCAGTCTTTCTCGGCTTGCGCGTAGAATCGACACAGTCGTTGAGTCCGTACTTCACACACCTCTCGCATGGCCTTGGTTCTGTAAGCCTTGGGGGACGATCTAGATATATCTTAACTCACCGAGTATTCGAGCATTTTTTGCAAGCCTTTTGACAATGCGTGCAGGCAACTCTCACTTGCGCTCCCTTCTTTCTCCCTGTTTCTCCTGATCCATCGACGCCTTCGTTCTCCATCTGCTCATTGCTCGAAAAGATCCCCGAGAAATCAGAGCTGGGCATACTGTAGGCTGATCCGGGCTGATAGGTCGAGTTCCCATTATCACTCCCAAGGATCAATGGTGGATGCGTTTGCGAAGGCTGTAGACTGGCGAGATGGTTAGTAGATGACCCATTCAAGGCCATATACTGCTGGTCATATGCCGGAGCGGATGAAGTTTGCGTCTGAAGTGGAAAATTCTGCGAGAGTCAGCTGGATGTCTGGCTTTACGGACGTTGAATTACGCTGTTTGTCAAAGGGTGAGGTGACTGAGTATCGCTAGCCGAAGCCGGCAAGTCGAATCCATTTTGTATGGCGGTTTGGGGCTACGTTAAGACATGTCAGCGCCTGATCATCCCTTTATTTACCAACAAAACTCACAGCCCTCCACCCAATTTCACCCATATCAGTACTTGGCGGATACCTTCCCAGCAAAGGCGATGAGGGCATGGAGACGGTCCCTCTCTGCTGAATGATACCCAGCGGAGGCCCTCGAAAGGTATGAGTTTGGCCGGGGCCGTTGAGGTGCCACTGATGAAGAGCCTGGGGGTTTCCTTGCATGATGATGACGTCGGCTGGTGGCGTTTAACAAAGAAGGCAGATGTGATTGTTTTTAAATGAACTGGACGTCTTGAGATAAGGTCTTGCACGACACGAGATAATAGCGTAAGCTAGGGACGTATGGGGATTCGTCTTCGACGGGCGGGTAAGGGACAAGAAGCAGGACAATAGGATCGACGAGGTAGAACTGATAGATTGTTGTATGAACCCGTGAAGGATAGCTATGGATCGAATCGGGGAGGAGCGGGGATTATTTTGAGACAAGCGGCCACACAACTCCGCACTCGTCTGTATCCTACTTGTACCCTCCGCGACCACGAGCCTCAGTCTATCGGAATATCAAATCGACCATCCTGTCCTTTGAAGCCCGTCGATTTTGAAAGGGGACGTTGCATAAAAGAGTGTATGCTAGGCAGTAGACTATGGTGTCCACAATTGAGACGTGATAGAGTGCGTTTTGAATAGCATCAAGGATGAGAAATGCTGCGAAGGACGTGACTCATACTGTAAGATGGAGTGTAGCATGAACAATACTCGGAAGACATAACAGCTGACAGCTGCCCAATTTATAATGCCCCTTGTCGTTGCTCTTCACACAACGAGCCCCATGACACCGAAGCAAGACTATCGTGAGAGAGGAGTCTGTCTTCCTCCCTTCGTACGATTACACTCTTGCGAGAATACCAATGTTATGGGCTCCAAGATTGCAGTGGAATGGCAATGTCAGAATCAGAGATTCGACGCGTAACATATCAGTATTGTCTTTCTAGTTGGCTCGATTGACAGCGCTTAGTGATAGAGAAGAGAGTAGCCGCTGATGAGTTGTCTCCGTCGGTCGTTGTTTCTTTTTCAAACTCGCACCCCTCGCTTACAAGTCTATCTTCCACTGATCACCTTGTGGGATTGTTGGTACTTCCTATGCTGAATTTGGTGGGGATATTGCCACAACCATGCCAGCGTACCTATCATAGATTGATCATCATGTGTGATGATCATAACGTGGACTGCCGAATATCACTTCATGATGGCCATACTCATCCTGTACGGAAATGCGACGGCCGCGCTTATCTACAGCTATTGCCGATCCTTTGATGCAGTCGTATAAACGTAGACTCGATGGATGAACGTGTCTTCTGCAGAGAAGCCAAAGTCGAGGACATCAAGGGATGCGTATGTGGGGAGGGAAAGAGTCGCACGATGTATAAGAAGCACGTCGATGAAGCGACATACGCTGTATCCTGCCTTAGCTCCTGATCATTCAACTTCGGAGACAGTAACCGTGTTAACGTCCTAGTTCCCGGTATCAGTCAACGTGTACTTCCAGACACACAGATGACCAGAATGGTGGGGAACTAGGGAGCGTAGCTATGAGAATATATATATATGTGAGATAGAGCGGAAAAGAAAGATATAAATAGGTAGGATGTACCGTAGTGAAGGTAACGGGACAAAGGTAACTGTTACGGGACCATAACGACCACGGGTCTCTATCCCAACAAACCGGTAGTTGTACGACCATGACTTGGGACATCGTTTACCTCGACGATAAGCGATACCCTGGACCCGTGATATACGAGCCAGATGTGCTTGACACAGGCCTTCCCACCCGTCAAGAGCTGGAGGCCTATCCGTCCCTATTCACTTGGGGGGAGGTGAAAGAGATCGTTCGTCAGTAGATTTCTTAGCTCAAAGTATAATCCTCTAGGCGTATGTGAACTGATGATTTTCGGGACAGAAAGCGGTGACTTTGCGCCGTTCAGGAGAAACTGCGAGATTGAGGGCAGGTATAGAAGATGGATTGCGAAGATAAGAGACGAGTACGGATCGACGGGTAAGTGCACGATTATCCGAATTACGTTTGAAAGGAAGCGATCGACGAAGCTGAGTGCCCTTTTGACAGAACACTTTCTGAGTAAGTATAGTTTACCATGGGGGGCAGAAAAGGCATACGCACCTATCTCGACGTCGAGAGCGCAGAGTGCTATATTAGACCATGGTGAGTGCTGCCAACTCGCGAGCAACGTCATCATCAAGTCCCAAATTCATTCACAGCGAAGTAGCTTTGTCCTTGCCCGCTCTGGCCGAGCCTCTACTTTGTACGATAACAGTTAAGCAGCCTGACACTTCCCCACTCTACCTCAAATGGAGAGAGATGACCTACGATCGAAATACATCGAGGGCGATCTTGAGGAACGGATGGCCTTATTCGTTACCCCGTGATGTTCGGCATTTCTGCGTATGGGTACGGGTAAGTATCCGACGCTCAACACGACGGTGGAGTGTCACACTGACCTTTAGATGATAGAAACCCATCCTTGATCCCAGGCTAGTGGACAATGACCCGGCCAAATGGAAGAGAATCGAAGAGCAAGGCCTTGGCGGCTTCACCGGGATCATCCCCCGCAGTGATCGCTATCGTATCGAAGACGGTATCAAAGACAACGTTGGCCGGCACCCCCATAATGAGCGAGAGTGGCAGTACTTGGATCGAATACAAGGTTATTCCGAGATGAAGAGATGGTATGGGGTGGAACATGAAGCCGAGGGGGGGCATGAGATTGGGGCTATGGTGAGATCGTTGTGGGATGAGAGAGGGTGGGAATGCGTTTGGTTTGTGAATCCTCGGGTGAGCTCGGTACGCTTCGTGTTGAGATAGGGATGACTAAGCATGTTGTAGGCGCTGCAGTCGATGCCCGGTCTATCGCATTTCCATGTCATGGCCCGGCGTAAATCGCCGGAGGAGATCGACGCATCGGAGGAGATCTGGGGATGATTGATCGCCGTTTAAGAGTTGTAGGCTTGTATGTGTGGGGTCAATACTGTGGAATACGGGTCATAGCGAAGAATGAACCGAGTTTGGATGACGTACTGTACTTATCAATGATGAATATCACTTGCCTCTTGTGCGTAGTCTAATTCGCTTGTGCTATCGAGACATCAACTTGTGAGATTTATGGTCCATAGCTCCCACATATGGGTGCGATACATCAGTCATTGATGGAGCGTAAGAGAAGGATTGGTTGAAGCGACATGATAACCGCCCAGCCTGTATGCAGAGGCAATCCAACACAATTGAAAGGTGGGCTACGTCTTCTGAGCGCTTTGTGTCACCTTTGAAAAACTCACTATGCATCCTCACATAAGCTCTTAAAGGAGTAGTTTCGGTATTCCTTTGGGCCTTTGGACGTTACAAGTCGACGGATGCACCCATATAAACAAGAGCTGTCGAGTTCTGCAGCCGAGTATATTCGTCCGCTATCGAACTACAGAGAAAGTCAGTATGATAGACATTGTATACGCACAAGACAAGCGCTACCCCGGCCCCGACATTAACGCGCCCAAGGCAGGGGAGATCTTGACGCAAGAGCAGCTCGATGCCATGAACCCGTTGTACTCTTGGGCAGATGTCAAGGAGATTGCCCGTGAGTTGAAGCTACCCAGCATCAAGTATCAGTCGATTTGACTAACGCGTATAAGGGGCGGGGAGGCTGGATAAATTTGGACGTACTGGTAAAGTACAATACACGTATGAACAATGGAAAGCGCATGTCATCAAGGAGCATGGTACCTTGGGTCAGTAATACTCTACCATATGGCGCCTGGACCAATTTTTGCTCACCAATAGGTCAGAAAAGTACCTCAAAATCAACAACCTGCCCTGGGGGGAAGAGTCCGATGACGCGGATGCTGCCGTCCAGAAACAGCACTCTGTAGACGGTGTCGACGGTGAGTACGCTTCAGCGATACCCATTGCGGATTATACTAGTATCTAAATGACACTATTAAAGCATATCTCCGTTGGGACAAGATGAAAGACGGCAAGAATAAGACCTGGGCTGTCCTTCGTAATCAAATGCCATACGCCCTTCCTCGGGACGTCCGACACTTTGTCGTTTGGGTCAGAGTACGCATCTTCCACTCTACAATACGAAACCTTACTGACCGGTGTAATAGGTACCAATCTACAGCCCCAAGCTCGTACATGATGACAAAGATAAGTGGGAAAAGATCCAAAACGAAGGCCTCGGGGGATTTACCGGCATCATCCCGCCCGCCGACGACTGCTCAAACCTCATCCTCCCCTCCGGGCCCCCTCCCACCCGCCATGACTTCTTCTCCTCCCTCTCCGCCTCCACCGGCGACTGGCATCACTACGACCAACTCCGCGGCTGTACCGACATACAAAAATGGTATGGAGTGCGGTACGAAGCGGAGGGGGGGCATGAGGTTGGGAGTATGGTTAGGGCGTTGTGGGATGAGAGGGGGTGGGAATGTGTTTGGGTTGCGAATCCTCCGGTGAGTACAGAGTCTTGTGCGTAAGGATTCCGCGGGAGGAAGCTGATGGTGTGGTGTAGAGGATACAATCGGTGCGGGGATTAGCTCACTTTCATGTGTTTGCGCGACGAAAGACGCCTGATGAGATTGATGCTTCCGAGGCGGTTTGGGGTACTGATTGAATACGAATTATCATATCGCGTAGCAGTATGCTCGTGTTTTCCGTATGTAGAAACGTACATGTCTTCTCGATGCACAGAATGGACGTAAGAGCGCAGCATGGCGGAGATGTCCGCTGAAATCAAACGCGTCGCGTCGGTGCTCCAGGCCTTGTTGTCTTGTGATGGCCCTCGCCCGGACCATCCATTTGTCAGTGCCCGCAATCCCTCCATCATGTCTTCCCCCTCATCGTCGTCTACTCTCAAGCCGGCTATCTCGCTCCACTCCAGCTCACCATCCACCATGTCCCACGACCTCCCTCCTCTCCACGACCCCACCTCTCCACCCCTCAAGCAACAGCCCCCGCTCGTTCACCTCCCCCTTCTTTCCAAGCCCTGAGGCCCACTTGCCGAACACCCAACGGAGCGGCTAACCCCGCTAACCCCCCTAACCCCCCTAACCCCCCGCTAAACCCGCTAACCCCCGCTAACCCCCAACCCCGCTAACCCCCGCTACCCCCCTAACCCCGTAACCCCCCCTAACCCCCGCTAACCCCCGCTAACCCCGCTAACCCCCGCTAACCCCCGCTAACCCCCGAACCCGCAACCCCGCTAACCCCGTAACCCCCCTATGTAACTCTCCTCACCCCCTAACGCTCGGAGTCTCGGACGGTAAGAGCCGTGTATCTCTCTTATTTTGACGAGTGCTCATGACGAGGATGGAGCGATGAAGACAGCCTCTGTCCAGTGCCCCCCCGCTGGTCATACCAGCCTGTGCATCCGTTCTTGGGACGAGAGTGGACCATCGGCATGCCCTCGGACTTGTCCGACCGTGATCAAAAGTACGGCGTTGACTACTTGTAAACAGGTATACTCGCAGCTTCCTGCGTACTGGACTCCAGAATTCAACATGCTCATGTACTAGTACCTTACTTCGGCGTACTGCACAGCTCTATACATCGTAAAAGGTCATCAAGCAAGCAAGAAAAGGCATCATACAACATATCCAACGCATGCCACTCTTTAACAGTTGTCCTCCATCTCACCAACGCACAGCAGGCTCTGCCTCTCCCCCTTTTCAGCCATGCTCACACATCTCGCCCCACCCATACAATTCTCCTCAGTCTAATCTCACACAGGTGCGGACGCAAGGCCGGACTTAGAATTCAATAAGAGGAGAAGACGGCGAAGGTGCTGGATCAGGGGCTCGAGGGTCTGAAGTACGCTGTCGAGGTGCCGAAGAGAGGGGATGTCTCGAGGATGATCCGTCCCATGGACTGATTATACTTTGCAGTCCAGACCTACGCAATCATGAGCCCCCATACTACACCAAGCACATTGCAGAGGGAGAAGGGGGGGACAAGACAACTCACAAATCAAAGCTCGACCCAAACGGCGCCCACCCCCCCTCTTTCCTCTTCTTCTCCACCTCTCCCCCCTCCTCACGCGTAGACTCCCCCAGTCTCATATCCTCCTCTCCCTCAGGCGTCTTCCCATTCGCAGCAGCCCCCACCGTCCTCCACAAGTTTCCCAAAAACTTCTTTCCCCCCTCCAACACCTCCGGACTCAGGTACTCTTCCGCCTCCTGATTGATCATCCCCGACAACGCCTTCTCTATGCCTACACTCTGCTCTGACGTGCGGGTGTGAGTGGTGAGGGCGGATTCCTCGATGGGGAAGAGGGAGGAGGATGTGGAGGATGAAGAGAGGGAGTTTGAGGTGGATGTGAGTTCGGGGGTCTGCTCGGAAGAGGGGGACCGGGCGGCGCGGGATACGAGGGTGATCCAGCGGGATTTGAGTTGGTGGAGGGATGTTTCTTGTTGATGCAGATCTATGAACAGAGTCAGTACTGGCTTCAAGCCCTGAGAAGAGAACATACCTTGCTTGAGCTCGTTGACCTTGCGCTCTTTTTCTGCTATTTGACGGAGGAGGTCGGCATGTCTGCGCTACAGTCAGCAGTGCGAAGAGAAGGGATACAAGAGCTGCTCACCTGTCCATGAAGGTCTGCGGATCGTCCACCGTATCACCCTCTTCAAAACCTCTATGCCCACTCTCTTCGCTACCCCGCCCGACATTCCCCCCTCGGCCCTCCCAGCTATCTCTCCCTCCTATCTCGCTCTGCGATGTGCCGACCCTCGAGATACTGCGCGACACAGCAGGCGAGTATGCGATATTCGACCGCCCAATGATAGCGCTCCTAGGCCTCCTCAACCCCCCATCAGGCGTCGAGGGCGCCGGCGACCTCGCGCTCCTCGCCGAGCCTGGCTCCCGGTCCAGGTCGAGGGAAGTCGGTCTCGCCACTAGCGATAGTCGCTTCAGGCGGTTGCT